GTAAAGTTTTAATTTAGTAAAGAAAGATATAAATTTTTTTTTACTAATGTTAAAAAAAAGTGTCTTTATTTTTATATAATAAAGATAGTAGTTTTGTCTTTATGTATAATAATATTTAAAACATTATTAAAGTATGCCCTAAGTTAGTTAGCATCTACTAGCAATAGCAGGAATAGTGTTAGAGTTTCTAAGATGTAATATGTTATGTTACTAACTAGGTTAGTAATTTATATAGTACTAATTAATTCTGTTAATCTTTGTTTTTTAAAGCTAATACTCTTCTTCCTTAGTGTCTAGTCTACTTTTGTATAAAGGAATTTTTGTAGGTATGCTTTAAGTTATAACTTTCTTATAGTAGAAATCTTTGCTACGCTAGTATTCTATAGTTTACCTTAGTATACTGTATAGTATTAATCTTTAAAGATAAACTGTTCTGCGTATTCTTTAGGTTCTAGGCTGTAGATGTCCTCTGCAGTTGTGTAGTAGAAAAATATAGTATTAGTAAGGTAGTTAATAATCTTCTTACCTTTCTTTTTATCTAAGTTATTATTATTATGTAACTTTTTTTTTTTCTACTCTAGTTTACTTTTAAACTTTTAAATATATACATTTACTTTCTTACATGTTAGTGTCTTGTTATAGAATTCTTTATATAAAGAGATATATTAGCGTTTTGCATAAAATTAATTTATATAAGAATAATTTATTAACTAATATCTTTTTTTATAATAAATAAAGCATTGCTTTAATTATATAGAGGACTATAGTCTAAATAATTTTTTATATCCCCTTAAGCTTCTTTTATGTTGTTAATAGCTATGTATATGTAGTAAGCTATATTACTTATTAGTGTAGTACATGTCTTAGAATTTATTTATAAATGCATTATTTTATTAATTAATTATAACCTAAAGTGCTAAACAAAGGTTACTATATAGTGCCTTATATATAGGCTTAATTAAGAACATTACTTATTTAAGTTTAAGTTACTCTTAGCATACTTATATAATAGTAGTGTAAAGTAGTATCTTGCTTTAGAATTATAAACTAAGAGCTTTTTATATAAAAGTAAGTTTATTAATTATAGCTTTAAAAGCTTTATGTAAAGTTTTTATAAAGTTTTTTTACTTACTTTATATAAAGCTTATTGTTGTTTAATCTATCTAATACTAGTTATAGTTTACGTTAGTATTAAAGTAATTACTAAGCTGCTTGTACAGTAACTTCTATAATTATTCTAGACTAATATTATAAAAGTAGAACATGTGTGCGCGCCTTTTAAGGATATTAGAAAAGATGCTTATGTATAATGCCTTAAAGATAGTAAAGTGTTAGCAAAGCTTAATAAATACTATAGCCTTATTAGCTAAGATATTATATAGTTGCCTTATATAGTTATTCTTCTTTCTTTATGCCTTCTAGAATTATATAACCTTCTTAGGTGTAAGGTTCTCTGCTATAATATCTTATATAAGTAGAAGTTAGTATAAATTATACAGTAATTAAATTATATATAGTAAGTACAAGCTTTAGGGAATCTTATGTAGAGCTGTGGCTACAGGAATATATAGCTGCCTAGTTGTGCTCTTGTATAGTAAGCTATTACAAGGTAGTTGTACTAATTACAGAGGAAGTATTAGGTCTATAGGTAATTTATACAGAAACATTTTTTATTATGTTAAAACTAGTAATAGTAGTAATAGTTTTATATAATGCTTTAGTAAGATAGTAAATGTGTGTTCTTTTTTTATAAGTCTATATAGTGTAGTAGCCTCTATTATGTTCTTTTTAAAGCTAATGCCTTTATTCTGCAGAGTAGTAATTAGTTTTTATAAAAATAGTTAGCTAAGATCTTTAAAGTGTATAAGCTTCTACTTTATAAAGTTATTCTAAAAGTTCTTAAGTATATGTACATCTGTTACACTTAACATGTAAAGTTTTATAATTAAGTTAGCTGTGTATAAATTAAGCTTTTTTTTAAGTATATTATTTAATAGTTTAATTTTATCTACTTAATTTTTAATATTTATTTACTTTACTAGAGTCTTTGCTAAGATGCCTATAAAAGGTATATATTAGTTATACATTAATACATTATGTTAGCTAGTTATAAATAGAGCTAGCGTTGCTTATTGCTTTATAGTAGTTAATTATGCGTTGTTGCGCGCTGTCTTACTTCTTGTTGTACGCTGCCTCTAAACAGCCTTGTGCAAAAAAATAAAATAGACCTTCTAGTGTTAAATAAGCACTACTATTTATATAATACCTCTAAATAGTATTATATAGACAGGTTTTTTACTTTTACTTAGGTAACTAAATAAAAATTTATAGCTACTTACACATAAATTAGACTCTATTTTTACTTTTACTAATTTATAGTTAAAGTAGTAAAGAAAAGAATTCTTTTTATACATAAACTTTTAAATAAAAAGGTATAAAAAGAGCTTCTTTTTTTACAGTATTTAAACTACTAATTAGTGTTAAATAGACTCTCTGCTAGCTAGCACTTAGTGTTAGCAAATGCGTACAAGACAGAGAGGTTTGCACAGTGTAAACATTGCACAGGGGTGTTAGGTAACTAGTGTTAATTACTTCTTGTTTTTCCTCTGTACAGAGGAAAAGGGGGATATCTAGATGTTCGCGCACAGAGGTTCGCGCACGAGCATCATGTGACATAGATACGTGATCCTGCTCGTGCGTGATCGCTCGTATCCAGGCCGCGACGCTGCTGCTGCGTACGGACACTTACTATACTTAAAGTATTAACTTTTTTTTTTATAATCTTTACACTTTTTAGAACTAACTAAAGCATAATTTAAATTAATTTTTATTATATTAGGGTCTTTATTTATAACTGCGCTAGTTTAGGGGTGTATTAGGGCTTATATAAGAAGGAACCTTATGTTATTATTATAGGTAGCAATTAGGTTTACATATGCATTAAAGTTGTTTAGGAGGGGTTTTTCTACTATAGCGCGTTACAGTTTAGTTAAGAGGGAGTTATATAAGGCTATAATTAGACCTATTTTATTTAGGCCTATATTAGATGCAAGTTAGCAGAACTTAGTAAAGTGTAAAGTAAAGCTTTTTTTTTTATTATAAAGTGTTTAGGTAACTTAGAGCTATTAACTTTTTATTTAAGTCTTTATAAGTTACTTATAAAAACACTATAAATTAATCTAAGTTAATAATATTTTTATTTATTAGTAAGTTAATTAAGGCTATTATATTATAGTTAAGTTAAAAGTAGGCATATAGTAACTAAAAGTGTTTAAAAAGAAATTAGTCTATATTTTCTTTAAGTTTATATTAAAGCTTGCATAGAAAAAAAGGTAGGTCTTTTTATTTTCTATTAAATAGTAGGGAATTAGAGAGTTAGTTAGATTTTATTACTAAGTTAAAAAAGTTATAAGTTATAAGCAGTGTTAGGCAGAAAAAAGTTAAGCTATCTCTAAACTTCTAAGTAAGCTTTAAGGCTAGTAAGTTCTTAGTTTTTACTACTATAATAAAAGTTAAAGTAAAAATAAACTACTTAATAATGTAAAGCTGTTTTTTAAAGTTCTTTTAAAAAGCTTTAAAGCTTATAACATAGTAGCTTTTTTATAAAGTAAGCACTTTTTAAAAAGCTTTTTAGCTTACTTTAATAGCTTAAAGTTATGTAAGTACTAAGCTTATTAGATTAAATTTAAAAGCTATTCTTAGCTAGGGTTTTAACATAATGTAATGTTATAATTATGCATAAGTAAGGTTATAGAGCTTTATAGAGGTCTAGTTTAATTACTATGTAAGGTATTATAGTAGGTATAAGACATGATATAAGAAATAGAAAAGTTTAAAAGAAAATTAGTAATTAAATACTTAGCTTAAAAGTCTAAGCGCTTTAGGTATAAATTAAGCCTGTTTTAGGTTTAGTTAGTGTTAAGGCAGTTTGTGCTTAAGTTCATGTCTGTGTCGTGTTGTGTTTGTGTCAGACGTGCACTAATAATACTCCAGTACGCGTCTAATACAGTTATGTCTGGGATCCGGGGAGGATACCGTGACACGCCTATACACTTTCTTTAAAAGTGTAAAATAACCTACATTAAGTAGCTATAAAAAGTAAAATAAGTAAAACAGCATATCGAAAGTAATAGTTTTATTTATAGCTACTATTATTAAAACTTAAAGGTGCTAGTTATAACTTTTATAGCTGTTAATAATAAGCAGCTAGTGCTCTCTAATAGTACACTTTTCTATATAAGTGTGTTAGATTGAAGCACTGTTTCTGGGCTTCCTGAGATGAATGATGGGTTTAGATATAATGTAGAGGTGATGTATGGGATGATGATTGATTGTGTTGATTTATCGATCCTTTTTCTGCTCTACTCGTGTTGCTCGGCTTTTTGTTTTGCCGATCCGAGTCCCTCGCGCACTTGCCCTATGCGCGACCAGCTTGCAACATGCTGCAAATTGCTGCAAATTGCTGCAAAATGCTGCAACATGCTGCAAAATGCTGCAAAATGCTGCAAAATGCTGCAACATGCAGCAATTTGCAGCAACATACTGTTCGAGCTTATTGCTCGTACTATGTAGCAGCTTTCGTCAAGCGTTCCTCCTGTCTTGACAGTAGGTGCGCATATCTGACAAAGTGTTAAAGTACTTTAGCTACTAGAAACTAAGCTTATTTATTATCTAGCTATTTTTAAAGACTATAATAACCTAGTCTTAAAGTATAGTATTCTTTTTATAGTATTAGTGCTTTAAATTCCTACTATCTACTTTTAATTACTTTACTATAACTATTAGAGTAGTTTTAGTGGGGGCTTAGCACAAGTGACTAACTCGCCTGTGAGGTACGTTATACTGATCATTAAGCGGCAGGATATCGCGATCACTTAAACTTATCTGGAAAAACTCTCTAGGTCTACTAACGCCGCCTAACTTCCAGGCCTTTCCCCCTTTCCCCTCTCTCTTTTCTACTTCACATATTTATGTTGGTGAGTCTTACACCTCTGTATCGTATGTGTAATGACTTACGACTCTCAGCTATTGATTTCAGGGCTTTTGGAAACGTAGCAAGCGGGATATCAGGTGCAGTGCAGTATCACAGAATGAGGGGGATAACTAGTTTAGAACCCATTTGTTTAAACCGTTCGCTGAAAATAGGGAGAATGCCGATAGCATGCAAATTTCTGTCTTCAAATAGCCCCTAGCCATATTCCACGATGCGTCTTTTGACGCAGTACATCATGCTTTCGCTTTTTTCAAAGTGACAACCTTTCCTAAAAATTTTGACATTTTAACTTGCTCTGCCAATGAGAGTCAGCTGTAGTATATCCAGACTATCGTACTTACAGTTTATTATTGTACCTTCTGGTTTGCACATATTTGAAGATTGTAGATGACGCTGTAGAACAGTTTGCTAAGCGTTTGGGGTAGCTCGAACTGCTGAACAAGCTTTTCCACCAAGTTCAGTGGACTATCCTGCCATTTTAAAAGATCTAATCCATCTAGCTCTTGAGACCCCTTCACTCATGATGCAAAATGGCCCTCAAAACCTCTTCCAGCTTTCCGCACAGGCCCCGTCCTCCCCACTTAGTGTTTAATAGAACGTATTACTGTTGCTACTATTACAAATAGTAACAATCCCTTAGTACTTAGGACAAAAGTGAAATGCCTTCCGTTACTGTACAGTTAATTACTACAGTAACCGCATATCCTAATAGATTTCTTGGAGATTTGATAACACGTTCGCAGCGAACGTTTTCGAGAGGTCTCATAGGGCGTTTTCACGCGTAGTAGCACGAGAGTTGCTGTGGAACGGAGTTGCCAAAACACTAGAATTTGTACTATTTTTAGCCGTGTTATCTATTGACAGGACAGAGCAGTAAATTACCTACTCCTTGCCTCTATTGTCACCATAAGTATGTGGAAGCTCCTCTAAACTCTGCGTAGCAAAAGCGTGCAGTAAAAGTACGCTATTACTAGCCTAAGTACTCTAAGGTTTCAGGTTACAAGGTCTTGCCTTAATATGTTAAAGACTGCCTCTAGAGGCTCTTGGAGCTTTAAACTTAAGGCATTATCCTCTGTGTTTCTTTGCCTGCTCTTTAACTAGCCAATGTCTATTCTTACAGGTTTCCTATAGACTCACGCCCTAGCAACGGCCTAAATTTTAATATCAAGGGGGACAATATCCGGACTAGAGGTTCCAGTAGAAGCCCAGAAGTAATACATATTGCGTATGGCGCTCAAGGGGCTTTCTAGGAGGCTTCGACGTCTTTTCTATAAAAGTACAGCATGGATCTGGGGTAGTTTAACGAGGAAAACAAGCGTTTGAAGAACTGGACATGCAAGTATTGTAATTACTAGGTACAAAGGATTTTGTGAAGGCTGTTGCTTCTACAGCCTATTATCACAACCCACCTCCAGAAGAAGCACAGAGTTGATGCCTTTAAGGGAAACTATCTCCTAGGGAGCCTGTTTCTCTAAAGCTACAGTGCAACTGGATTGCTGGAGGACTTATCTACTTGGAGTTGAACAAATATCTGCCACTATATTAGCAACAATGTGTCAAAGCCGAGCTCTCTAGACGTTCTAGAAACACTAGTCACTGCAGCAATTATACTAAATAGCAACGTCACAGTTAATTGACTTAGCAATAATTATTACTGCTTCTAAGGCCGTTCTAACTCCCTCTATCCGTAAGAAAGAAACTATATTGCCGCCAATAACACCTTAAAAATACCATACACAAAGACGTTGGCTAAAGTAGTGCCTGCAGCCTTCTAGGGATTGCCTCCAATACTAGCGAACAAACTGAACTTACCTTTTACAGGGAGACTAAGTATAGAGACTGCCTTGGTCGAGTTCGTCCAGTTGAGTCAGACGGAGGATAGCTAACTGCCTGAAAACGCACACAATTTGTAGTACATTTCTTCGTTCACAGCCTCTTTGTATTTTAAAGGCTTAGCTTCGTCACAGTGTGCGCGGCTCTGCTATCGCCTCACTGCCCTACCGCGAGCTCTAACCCATGACCCTCGTTATGGATATTCACGACAGTCTCCTGAAGTTACTATCTACGAACCTTCGTGTTAGAGTGAGGGCGATGCTCGGCCACGCCGGCGAGCCGTTCATCCGCGGCATGCGGGTCTGGTAGAACACTGGAAACGTTCCAGACAACCACATGCTCGCGTAGGATTTCGTTAGCCAGTTCCGCAAGCTGAGCAGCAATAGGCTATCTGTATATGTTATATAAATCGAGCAGTACGGTTAGGGCGAGACCGTTGTAAGGAGGTGTATCTCCTAGCTAAGTAGAAGGAATCTTAGATACAGGTATTACTGCCGAGGCCTTCAGTGAGCGTATAGCTATGGATTGCGTCGCCTAAGCAGAACCTAGAATCCGTTAGCACGCTTTTGGTTCTTCCTGTGGATTATATATTTACACGTCCCTTAGATATTTTATCAACAGATATCTCGTTGACGTACCATTTGTTCAGTCCTAGGATTTCGGCGTTTACGCTTAGATCACCAATACTTTTTTGCACACGCTGTCTTCATTCTTCGCTCCTTCGCTTTGGGACTGACTGGTGTTTTGGGAATCGCAACGAGCATCCATTCGTTCCAAGGCTTTAGCATCCGAACCGTACTGTGAAACAGATAGTACCAATGTAATCTGAGGACACAGCTTAGAAGAGAGGGTCGGTATTGCATAAGATGAGCGAGGTCAACCTAGCAAAGACGTTGAAGGACAGGGTGGTGCTCCGTTGATTGGTGAATGGTAACTGGAGTTAATCGGCAACAAACCTGCGTCGTCCACCTGATCCGAAAGGAATCTTGTAATGATGTAGTACCGATTTCCTAAGACGCGGTGTTTTGCTAGATGAATATACTTCCGAGAGATAGCACCTATCTTGAACGACAGCAAATTAGTGTCAACCTTCACTTAAACTTTATCAGTACTGCTTCATTCAAACCTCTCCCCAGATCCCCTCCCTTGAACCCATGGTCCATTACATACTTCGCTGACAAAGGCTCAGTCTACGTCTACGGCAAATTCAAATACCGACACGGGGGGGCATACTCAAAGTCTCCCATTCCTCCTGGAAGTTTTCTCTACACATGTACCCGTGAATATTCTCCTGCCATCTACCCGCACCAACAGAAGTGAGAAATGGCATCGTCACTGCATCCTAGTTTCACGCCGTCTTCTCAGAGCCGGATGTCACGGAGACAATCGAGAGCTAGCAGATTGGCCGTGCCAGATTGACCGTACCAGATTGACCGTATGAACGTGGGGATGTTAGCGGTGCTAGGGGGGAGGCAATAAAAAGGCCAACATTGCCATAGCGAACGAGGAAACAGGCGAGAGATGCTCTAGAAGAGCCAGCTCGTACGATGAGGAAGTCGGTTTTGGTGTTTGGATAAGCAGACATTGTAGAACTGTGGGGGAAGAAGAACTGGTAGCATCAGATGAGTAAATCGTCAGTTTGACACGAACTGGTGGTGCTGTTAGAGTAGAATGGGACGCAAGAGCGCTGGAGATTTCGTGTATCGCACATCCCGAACGAACCCCGCAGCTATTAAAACCTGTAAAGGATAGAAGGGTTCTAACTAGGTTATACTCTCCTATAGTTCTGAAGCTTCAGGATAGGGGGGAGCACATACAGGTTGGCCACAGAGTGCGCTCCAAAGACTTATGAATTGTCGCGAAGCTAGTGATGCCCAGGGAACAGTTCGAACCTCGATTTCTACGCTACGCTTCATAATACTAGCAGAATTGGCGGTTGGACTTGGCGAGGGGCGAAAGTGCGAATAGTACGAGGTTCATGACGTGTAGCAAAGCGTTGTGGTTGAGCAATCTATATCTCAGAGTTGTTGTCAGCAACAGCGCTATGAGAGACCAGGATCTCGCCTTTTACCATCACTGTCTAATACGACGGAATTGAACCGCGAAAAACAAAAGAATCTGTGTTCTTCTTTCCATTGCGTCCGTTGAGCACAGTTTGTGATCCCGGAGGGCGGGCTACGGGCGCAGTTGCTGCTGGGGCTGGAGGAACATTACAAAAATAGGAAGTAGGCGTTCCACCAAACCATAGAAGTTAAGCCCCTTGCATGGCGTTGTAATAATGAGGGCCGTAGGTTCTCCATCGAGCGAGCTCGGTATATTCTCTATAGAAGGTGTGTGCCACGAAATCGCGTACTACTGAAGGCTTTGCTGAATGCTGAAGTATATGACCAATCCGATCGATCTTAACTAAGTATAGAATGTGTAAAATGAGTTTCCATGTGCTTAGGGCACAGCCGACAATGGCCAGCTTTCAAAATGCATCAAATGACTGTGAGCGTGTATGAAGAGAGAAACATCATCCTTCTTTGTCAGGCGCATGACACCCCTCTCTATACTTACATTAAGGTCCTAAGAGCACGAAATTCTCGCACAAAATGCTGTCCCTATATCCTCCTGATGCTGAACAACCTCAACCTTGGAGTCATTGGAATGTTATTTGTGTGAGAACGCCCCCATCGTCTATTTTCAATCGTGAGGACTTGCCAATCAGCCAGAACAAAATGCGAGGTGGACAGAGGCTGCTCGTCGCAACGCAGAGGGCAGGGAGTTTCTGAAGGAGGACTTTTTAGATCCTTTAGGAATAGATCCGTTGAAAAAGATGGTGACCAAAAGGGGTAACACAATGCGGTTGGTTTGATGACAGTTGTGATGGAAGCGTTGATGCGAGAATCCTGTGTATTTAGTGAATGAGATTGGGAAAGTAGGCGAAGCAATACTACTGAAAATGGAAATCGAACGGGGAAGGATATCGTTCACACTTACTCCGGCTAATCGCAATGTTCTCCTGTAGGGGCACCCCATTAGTTCATGTGTGCGACTCTCTTCCATTCCATCGGTAGGCTTATAAGGCATCCGATCTGGAATCATGCAACGCTTTAAGGAGTGGCGTATCCTTCTCGCCAAATCTCCAGTATTCGACCTCAGCCTCAACATTTCCTTTCAGTCCGGCAATCTCCGAGACTGTGCTCTTCGGCTTTTTGTCAGCTGACGTAGGCCCAACTGTGCGCGCAGGCCGACATGAAACGACGTTATGCGTACCGATGTCCGATCCTTAAGGCATGCCGTCCGAGCATGGCGTCATCTCGTGCGAAGAATTTGAGCTTTCGTCTAAGGCACAACCGTGGTTGCGGCATTGTGCGGATGCATCACGCAACTTCGACGTAGACCGAGCCTTGTACTCCGTCGATAAGGGGGCATGAGGTATGAAATAGACGGATGTAGGGGAATCCAAGTTCCGTTAATTTTGCAAATTGCATCACCGAACAACCGAACAACCAGCTACCGCAAGCTCCAGAGAAGTGAACGTTGCAGGGCCTGGAACAGCGTGAGAGAAACTTGAAAGCCTATAGTTATGTGTAACTACCTATAAAAAGTAATTAAGCAAAATCGTTCTAAAATCTACAATAGTACTAATTGCCCATGGAAGGATAGGAACCCGTTGAGAATGAGCAGGCTTGTTGAGTCTCTGTGTACCTCGGCAAACGCATGAACGAACGAGTCACGTGCGACGAATGTGGAAAGAGCTGGGCTCGCTCATGTCAGATTGATCCTATGCAATCCGGAGTATTCCTCCCTGTCCTTTGGGGTCCTTGCGTACGATTAGATGAATTCGATAATCTGTACTTCCTTAACGTACGTGAAGGCGATGAAGGAGTTCCATGCGCCATCCAGTGGATTAATGCTCTTCCGCTCGCGCGTTCCTGATAACCCTTGTTCCATCGTTCCTTCATCCATAGAGCTGCATGTATAGGGCCTGAGACCCGCTTTTGAATATTCTACAGCAATCAGGAGGGAAGACATGGTCGTACAACAAAATCAGCCTCGTAGGATTCACTCCCTCATCCTAGATCCTCAACGGTTTCCTGCATGGCGCAAGGAGTCGGTAATAGGAATAGCGCTTCATATTACATCCTTGCAAGATTCTGAGAGCTCCTGCGAATGCTCTTTCAATAATCTACGCAGAAAAGGTATAGGTCTCGTTAGGATTTTGGCCCATGCTCGGATTTGACCATCCGGCTAATTGATACTTTGGAACATCAATAGTGAATGTGGTTAGTTCCCGTTCCGAGGATCGGAGGCAACACAAATGAAAGCCCACGGGCTTGTTGATCCTGTTCCCTGGTCTTGGGAAACTTAGCCCCAAGACACCGCGAACTTGGGAACTGTTGTTTGAAAGTTGTGTCAACGTCGCTTCTCTGGATCTTCATGGATTCGGACAATAACTCGTTTTATCATTCGTAACCGGGATCAAATACCTTCTTTTGATGAATATTGCAGGTGAATAGTCACTCACACATCTAAGAATTCGCCTTTCCTTTCGGAGCCTTTTCTGATCGGGAGCGCGACGGTAGTCGCCCTGAGGCAATCGGCGTCTTGGCTGGCAGAATTGCCACCACAGGGAATAGTGGTGCAACGGTAACTGAAGCTTAACCTGTCAGCGCAAAGTGACCATGGAACAACCACAACGCTTCTTGTCTCGTCATGTTGTCAGGGTGGCATCGTGGCAACTACACGATCTATTTCCAGTCCCTGCGTGCTCCGATCCAGGTTTTCGACATTCACGGGGCAAGCGGAGGGAGGAAGTAGGGAACTCAGAACTTCAGGAGAATCGTGCAGCAGTGGCTGAATGGAGGATTTCCATGCCTGACTAAACCAACAGGCCTCAAATGATCCTCTGTTGCTGGAATCGATAGGCGAGGCTGTGATTGTAGGACGAATGAATTGGCAAAGGCCAGAGTCAGCCTTGCCTAATCTTCAACAATATCTTGCGGCTGCTCATAGGGAATCGACCAGTCTATTGAATTCTCGTCTACGGAAAAGGAGTAATTAGAACTCGGCATGCACAAAGAGAAGCAGGCTACATCGGAGTGGCAAGCGGCGTTATTCTCGCGTGCAGAACTTGACACATTCAGCACTCAATTGGAGTGGCGGAGGTGACCATGTGTTTCAAGCCATGCTGCAACAATGTGCGGCGAACTTCCTTATCCTCCTTTGGTTCCCACGCGTGCGCGGGCCACAGCGGTTGATGTATCGTGAGCATGGGTCGAGATGGTTGATATGATGACCAGCCAGAGCCCTGGCGACGTCAGAGCTTTCCCCACGAAATCCCAGATGTGGCAGTTGTAAATTTTGTTGACCCTGAGGTCTCGCGATGGGGCCCTCGCCGGAAACAGGTTCCGGCCAAGATGCGAAGTGGGAGATGCTGAGCGGGCAGGGATGCTTCGGCTCCGAGTTAGCGACTATACCGAAGAAGGACTAAAGTAACTATATATAGACAAGCGAGAGGCTGTGCACGCATCTAGTCTTGGCTGATCGCCCGCCGCATCCACCGTCCTAAACTAAGCTTCAGACCTCCTGACTGCACCCCGCCAAGCGCGACTCAACCGCCAGCACCTGCACGAAACTAGCTGCCTTCGCAGCCCTGTGCCGAGCGTCTGCTTGCAATCTGCACTGAGGCGAGAATGGCTGACTGCCCTGAAGCGCTGCGTGCGTCCTGAGCCTCACCGTTCAAGTCAAGGTACGAGGTAGGTATCATGTGTATCAGGTCCACCTGCCAGGGCCACCGGACAGGCCGTAGCTGGGCCTCCCGCTCTCCTCACATCTCAAGCCTCAATCGAGCATGGCCCTTGGTCCTAACCAACAATGTGCCCCAATCCTTCAGTCCACGACCAGAAATACGACGACCCAGATAATAGCTTGTTTCGTTGCAATTTCCGATGAGGCGTCTCTCTCCTCCGTCTGAGGCAATGACCATCCTTCTTCCGCCTCCGCCTCTTTGTCTGCTGTGAGAACGCTCCTCAGACGGAAAAACCAAGTATCTTGTATTACCTTCTATTCTCATTCCTCCTTTCCCGCAGTCGACACATATCAGCATTGCACATCCCGCCCGTTAACCCTGCAATGCCACCACTGCCACCATCGACGCCTCTCAGCTAATCCCCCCGATATCCATCCCTCCTGTCCCACCTTTACATACCACGTTCCCGGATCCACGCTGCTTAACCCAGGATATACAAACAGCGTAGAATTTTAAATTGCCTGAAATTTCGCCTGTTTGCAGTAGCGCAGCCATTTCCGCTGCCTACTGCATCTGCAGACCACGCTCTTAAAGTTGCCCGGCTTTCCGACCCCCTGCCAGGGTGGACGGCACAGCTCCAGCCTCAAATACGCACACATAACCAACCACAGCTCTTTTAGAATGCTACCCAGCGCCCACCTGCTGACCACACCGACTTCGCTCGCCAACTATAAACCTGAAGACCTATCGTCGACTGCGTTTTCGTTACTTTCATCGAGTTACCTGTTTCTGCAGGTCGACCGCGACCTTGCCCATGAGGAGGAGCGTATGGCACATCCACCAAGGCCAAAGAGCAGAAACGACGATGCGGAGCTATGGTTTTCAATGCCTAGTAGTGCGAGGCGGGAGCACCAACAGACTCGGGGTCCAGAGCAGTCGGCATACCAAGCAACGTCAACTCGGCATAGCTTCCGCAGATCTGCATCACCAAGTCGATTTCCACCGATACCATTAATATCTACGACTACAGCTGTCAATAAGCCGCTACCACCCTCCCCCGAGTCCGAGAAGAAGAAGCGCAAGCCGGCTTCGCTGCGCTCCTTAATCCGGCGCCGGCCCTCAGACCAGCTTGATCCGTCCCACCTCCAGCCTGAACCCTACCAGAACCACCAACGCTCTTCGTCCGCTAACGGGAACTTGAGCCCCACGCCATATCAGTATTATTACCAGCAGCCATCTTCCCGCAGCATGCCCTCTTCACCTGCGGAGTACTCTCAGGCTTCATCCCAAGTCCCTATCCTCGCTCGCGCCCATTCCACCACCGTAAATATGTCGACGCCTACTCAGCCCCAAACCTACCCTCAGCGGTCATCCTCTACTAATGCGTATTTCGAACCACAACCTCCTCGCGCCCGTCGCACCTTCCCGGAGACGAGTACACCTTCCAGTGCAACGACTCGCGACTCCATCTCAGATAGACCGCGACCCCATACCTGGTTATCACCAACCGAGCCCTTCGAGGATGCATCTGAATTCCATCTTTTCGTAGAAGCCACTAGTGGACTTTCAGACGGAGGTGGAGGCTTCGACACGCTCTCCCCAAATAGCCCACCACGCCTCCAAGGCTCCCTCTTCGGTCGCGGCCGCCAAAATGACCGAATACCAATCCCACTACAAAACCCTCCCGCGGCCCAACCCTCTCAAACTCACCCTGTCGGCGGATGGCAAACTATGGGCTATGACTTCATTCCACCTCAGCCTACAGATTCTCAAATGACAGCATCGGCCCTACCACGTCTGGATCCTAATGTGCAGTCTCATTTGACTCCCAACATGAATGTCATCAACCTGGAATTAGAAAGATTAGGGTTAAGTGAGGAAGAAGAGGCTGAGGATGAATTGCCCGATTATGCGCAAAGTCAGGCGGAAATGAACGCAATGAGGAGGCGAGAGGCGACCGATCGAGCTAGGGAATTAGAAGCTAGGTGGAATAACTCAAGAGGATGGAGGGGACGCTGAGACACTGCCCATGGACCTACATTGAGTTTGATTGTGGTGGCTGGTCTGTGAAGAAGGGAAGAAATGATTCAATTCTGGGGGCAATGGACGAAAGGTCTGATTCATTTAATTCTGAAGCCGACGTCCCTGCGGACTTCTGCCGCTGTTTTGTTCGATTCACAACATTGATACCCTCGCTTGATACTATTCACTTTGGAAAATTAGGTTGGAAGATTTCGTGGTTGTATGGATATGGAGATAGCATCAACGGACTGGTCAAGTGTATGATGGAACGAAGACTTCGAATGGATATAGTCATATTTTCACCGAAGTTTCTACAATATGCTGCTACGATGAACGTGGAGTTTTCACTTGCTACTGTGATTTCCCATTGGACTTGATGCCTATCCGCTAGTCTCTGGCCTTCCATTTCCTCCTGTGCATCTCGGAGGCGTTCCTGGCGTCCCCTGAGTGAGCATTTGCCAGCGATGCTGCAACTCTTACCGCAAGCACGAATCCTTCACTTTCACTACGACACACGAATTCATCCACCTCAAACCCCTAAATCTGCCTTCAGCGATAGCTACACATACGATACGGTCGGCGCTAATATTCCATCCGTCCAATTGACGCGCGCGACAATGAAAACCCAAACTACCGTCCCAATAGCGTCGTGAATTTGAAAATGCAAAAACGTGACGTCTGCATCGCAAGGCTGATTCCAGCGCCAACCCATGCATGTTAAGCTCGTAAGGCGTTCTTCCAGAGAAGTAGGCCCATGTGATATCAACTCGCAAGCTTCCCGAGGTCCGTTACAGCGTTAAGGAAGAACGGTTGGGGGCCATTTCTGGGTCCCTGTGCCACGTTAGTGCAGATCAGCCAATCACCGAATGACGGATTGCTAGATTGGGCAATCGTGATATAGCCGGCCTGCGTCGGGGCCGCGGATGATCGAGGGCCTGGGAAATGAGGTGACAGCTAGAGGGAGACGCGTAATAAGGATGGTATGCAGGAGAAGTGTTAGAGAAATTGGATAGATGGTGTCCTGGCTGTTAGAGATGGGGATGGATGAGGCTGTGCTGCACTGAGTTTTGGTGATAAGCTTGAGGGTCTCGCCTAGGTATGCATGCTGTTCGAAACGGGTATCATGGTAATTGCTGATCGGTACACAGCAGAAGCGGTGAAGGTAGAGATGTATTATTCGGAATTTGGAGGTCAGCGTGGAGTTCACCATCCAGCAGGAGTCTACCCATATCCCCATTTCTTGATGTAAACCGGCATGTATCATCAGATAGATGACGAGAGTCAACTTCGAAGCATAAATCTTATACTTTTAGAGTCTTCCTTGACCCTGAAGATAGACAGAGATACCTATCTTCCTCTAATTACGCTCTATGATTTGCAGCAGCATGTAGTAATTGGTTCAATTCGGTTTTAATTCATTCAAGACACACTCGCGCGAGTAAACGTAACAATACTCTATCCCCATAGTACGCCTTCAATTATCCAAATCAGGCAAACCTCCGAGAATAGCGGCCCGGGAACGTGCAGCAAGGCCATCAACGTCAGAACCCAATTGAAGGAAAGTTGCTAAAACCATCCTCCCGTTATGCAGCGTAATCGAAACGAGCCCGCTTTACCGTTTCAGGAGAACTTCAAGCAAGGGAATGAAAGGTAAGCACCTTTTTGAGTGGATACATTGACCTGCAATATTGACATGGCTGAGACAGTTGGGCAAGTAGACACCATGACCTCCGGACTCCTGCGCGACGTCCGCCTTGCAGCAACATGATCATCTTAATCATCGCCGTTATTGCATGAGCGTAACCCAGAGAGGGTAAACTATATGCTGAGGGGAGGGAGAACTAGAAGAGATGTGAATGTGGGGTGAAGTGTGATGGGGCCGAAAGCTTAACGATCTGATGCTGAGGTATGAAGGAGTGGCAAATTTAGTGAGAAGGTTAATATCTGCCTCCTATAACACGGCAGCAGTTGCCCCACGGTCAGATAAAGTAATTTGGCGGTTGATATGCGGCTAAGAAACATTGCAGACGTAGAAGCAAGTAATGCTTGAGGTTCATGACGTCTCCAGATACACTCCATGCTACTACATATGACGAAACGAGGAAGTGTCTGGTAAAGAGGATACTAGATCCCCTTGACCATCCCCTTGGCCCCATGGTTGAGTGAAAATCACCAATTGACCACTTTTAGCGTTCAGCGTTATGTTCTCACATCTCGTATAATCGCGCCTTTTGAACAGTGACGCGATGTCTGAACTGGCCTTCATGTAGTAGATAATGATAAGTGACTAATATCTGATATAGTCATTGGAACAATATTTGAATGAGCCTATAGAAATGTAAGAGGATGCAATGATAATCAACAATTTCCCTTCGCGAATAAATTAAAGGAGGGCGAGGTGAGGAGGCTGTGCACCTTAATGAGGCGGGCTGGAACGAATATGCACCACCTACTTTCTCACCTAATCTCAAAATAGCAACACCGACCAGCGGGCCAAACACAAGGCTGTGAATAATCAAGAAATGTGTGAGACTAGAGAAGAAGGGGATGAAGTAGGTTGATGATAGGTGAGCAATGTGGCGATCATTGGATGGTCGCATGTACGAAACGCGGAGTTTGGGAACATCGATGGGGAGAGGAACACCAATAATTGATGGTACTGAAAATAGATATCAAAATCAGATGTAATCTCGATTGCAACGTAATGAGATCTACACTCAACACATCCCAAGAACAGACCCGAAATCAGCACTTTTCTAGCTTGAGCTTACCTGACCGACCTTTTCGCACTCCCCTTCCTTTTATACTCACCTTATGGCACCTGCACTCTTTATCCTCACTTCTGGATGATAGCATGAATGCTCACCGCCTGAATCTCTTCGTAAAACGCCTAAGATGTTGTTTTTCGCCCGCAGACTCACCGGAGTCTGCATCGGAGCGGGTACGACGCTTATGGGACGTTCGAATCTTAGTCCATGCTGCAACCGAACATGGCCGCAAGACTTCCGCGGGCGTACTGTACTTTGCCGTGCTTCGCTCGCTCTCGTACTCAGACTTGCTAGAATATGAGCCTGAGTTAGTACGTCGCTTGCAACGTATCCGAACTTCAGTTAATGCTGCAACTGAATGTGGTTGCGATACTGACAAAGATGTACCAGATCTTACGGTTTCTTGCCTGCTATGGGAAATAGAAGGAGTAGTATCGATACTGCCGTCAGCAGCTGTTATGACACCTAGTATTTTCTTTTGGGGACCGATTTGGTTTGGAGGAATTACTCGGGAAGGCCGGGGAGTTGTGAATTGTTGAAGCGTTTCTATATCAGTAAGTTGTCGTCTAGCCCACCACACGATCTTTTCCGCTTGCGGAATTTGATTATGAGGAATCCTCGCATACCGCTTTGTGAGTTTTCTCTGGAGACGAAGGAATGCAGCCAGAACGTCTTCGGAATCGGACATCAGGGTGTACCTTGAATTTTTGTATTGGACTTTCAGCCTTACAGACGGAGGAGGAATTGCAGTGGGTCCATCCTTCTTGATGATATCCCAAGTATCCTTTCGAAACCACTGAGCAACGTATGACATAGGAATCGTAACCCACTCCTTACCTCCCGCCGCGTCGGTCGTTTTGTCGTCGGCCCAGGGTTTCCCCATCAGGAACGATGGGGCATCAGAGGCCTTGTCGGCGGGATTGATAATGGCCCCGAAGAAGAAATTCTCGAACGCATTCCCAAGCTCAGAATTTTCCGGCTCATCGAGCCTGAGGTGGGGCTCCTTAAGGTCGCCGCGACGCATAATTCCGATTGCATGAACGAGCTCGTGGACTAAAGTAGTAGCAAGGGAGAAATCATGACGGAGCCTCTGGCAAAGAGTACTAGATGTGTAGCTATTCTCAAGAAATCTTTGATATTCCAAGCGTATCTCAATTTTGATCCCGAGGTTATTGCGGATAAACCTAGAGGTACAAACAGATGTGTGAAGGGGCTGCGTGCGGTGTATCATTGTTCGACCATAAAACTTCGATTGTGTAGGGGCCTCGAAATGGAAATGGGTACTGTGAGCCAGACAGTGTAGCGCCATCCGGACCTCTTGAACAAGACCATTCCTTTCAGTACCTGTTCTGTTCCGCAGCGGGTCTGACAAGTAGGTCTTTCCAGACTGTATGTCAGTTAGCATACGTCCGACCAGCGGCGCTACCAACCATTCGAGAAAGGATTCATTTCGAAGAAACATAGAGGCAAGTCGAAGAGATGGTTGTAGGTTAAGGAAGAGAATATCGTTGACGCCTTTCCAATTACTCTTCTGAAATATGGCGTGAATTTCAGCGTCCAGATCTGGTTTTGGGATGGAGGGGTCCTCTAAAAGATTATATTGATCTTTGCTGTTTACCACCGTAACTAACTGGAAGGGACCCTTGGCCGCATTTTTGGCTAGAATAGCCATTCTGGATATGCAAATTGAAGTGTAAGAATTTCAATGGGATGATTGCTGCGAAAGACTATGATATTACAAATAGATTTTTTGGAACAATGCCATTGTGGATGAAAAGTTTAGCTAACAAAAGACAAAGACATAAAATAGAAGTATGACAACACATTATCATGTCTAAAGAGCAATACACGTTGTGCGTTAACAAAGAAACGAAGAGACACGAGTGGACAGACCCTGTGGCACGCAGTGTGCACAAAAGCAAGAATTTCCCAGGTGTGACTTCGGGCTAAGAAGTCTGCGACAGCACCCCAGACATATCAGACTGGTTCTTGAGGTGAGTGTTGTTTCGCACATCATAAAAGTTAGGTTGGATGTTGAAGTGTGAGCAGGTCGCTCTGAATTACACCGGGGCATATTTTCGAGTGGATAGTTTCAGCGTTTGGCATCACGTGAATTGACGACGCGTGTTCTTGGTGTGTGTTTGTGTTGCCTAGCGCGCCACCTGAACGCGTCGCTCGCTTGACCACGTCTCCTCCACCGCAGCCATATCCCTTTTCTCCCCACACATCCCTAGTAATCATTAGCTCTGCTCCAATACATAGGTTAGCCCTGAGCTGGTCATAGCTCGCCCATTCTTCTTTCTAATTCTCCATATCTGTTACCCTGAGCAGCACAGTTCTTCTAGTTGTTGGTGCTCGCCGTGGCTCCGTCTATTCAACTCTACATTCACCCATAGTGCCGAAAACAACGCGACGAGGCGCTCCGACCTATCGCATGCATCCTATGTGCATTTGCTCGTTTATTATCGTTCACCATGAACTGGGACATCTTGCATAGAAAAGCCAAGGCTGCTGTGCCCTCAACCGATTTGGTTCCAAGGCGGTATTGGATTGCTGTTCTCCTGCATGACAGATCCCCCGAAAACCATCTCGAAGAGGGGGATCTCCTATGGATGAAAGCTCATGGGGTTTGTTTGATCCTGACCATGCCCTGTCTCATTCTGGCTGACTTGATATTCTAGAAAATTACGTACAGCAGAATTGTGACAGAATATGCGAAAAGGCACCCTGGCATTAATATCGAAATCGCGTTCATGGATCGAGCGCTTCTACCAACAACTTGCGTCAAGGACCTTAATTACTACTCGGACAATTTCATTGTCTTTCGAGCACAAGCGAAACTAGCGCGGGAGCCCCTGCAGCCTATACAGTGTCAATTAACGACGGAGCATCGCTCATCACAAGGTGATAAGCCATCTAATGGTGCATCTCTGCAGCCTTTGCAGCATCAAGTGGCCATTGAGCCTCGATACTCGCAAAGCGACTCCTCCAAGGTAGTTGGAAAGTTCACAAGTACGTCTGTACAGCCTGTGCAGCCTGTGCAGTCTCAATCGATAGCTGAGCCTCAACCGTCACCACCTGATTCCATCAAGCTACTGGAGAAGTCTACCAGTGCGCTTCTGCAGCTTTCACATCACCAATGGACTGCCGAGCCTCTGTCCGTTCAGTTGGAGTCAGCTATGTCTACTGCAAAGTCCACCAGTGCGCCGCCTTCAACAGCAGTGAATAACACTAGTACAGGAGTACCAGCAGAGAGGACCTCAACGACATTCTTAACTCCAGTTTCGGCTGAACAGCAGAATGTTTCTCAAGTCCCTTGCCATAATGTGAACGTGAATCTCGGCTCAGGCATAGGACCCTCCACCGTAAGACCTGGACGAAGTCCTGGTATTAAAGCTGAGGCTTTATCTCTCTCGCAGATCCCGGCTGACGAAACATCAGCTCCGGCCCTGGGACTACCTTCACCCATTTCGGTTCCTCGACTGATCTCATCGGAGCTATTGCATAAGCCGCCTCATCATGCTCCTCGTTGCATACTTACCTGTTCTGTTGAAACTCTTGCCGAGCAACACAACCAAGGTGTACAGCGCGGAAATGACGCCGACCAGGGAAGTACATATCTAAATAATGCGCCCCCAACACCGACCAATCCAGACGCCCAAGAATATCAATTACCTCATGAGGGAACCCCAGCTCCGAATGAAGAGCCATCTGGAGCTCTAAGTGGACATCATGTGCCAAAGATTAAGGCAGAGAGGCGATCCCAGGGTTTCATGGAGGATGCTCAGTCCTCCTTCAATCCGGAAGACTGCTTCAAGAGAGATTTGTCTCCCAATGCGGACGATCAGAGTCAGTCTAGGCCTACAGATGAGTTTTTACGACAATTGATCGACTCACAACACCCCGAGATCCTAGAAGCTGGTGTTGTCAGAGCACTGAATATCTTGGAATCTCTTCAGAACTTGTTCTCTCAATATGTTGCATCTAGCCAGGATGCTGAAATGTGGATCAAAGCAACTTCTAAACTGGCGGCCCAGGCCGAACGAAAGCGCACTGTCGTTGGTGTGGTTGGCAACACTGGAGCTGGAAAGAGTAGTGTCATCAATGCTTTGCTTGATGAGGAACGATTAGTCCCAACCAATTGCATGCGTGCATGTACGGCTGTGGTGACAGAAATCTCCTGGAACGACAGCAAGGACCCCTTGACTAGATATCGAGCAGAAATCGAGTTCATCACTCCGGCAGATTGGGAAAAGGAACTTGATGCACTGATGAAGGAATTCCTGACGGATAATGGAACCGTATCGAAAGAGGCATCCGATCAAAATTCGGATGCTGGAATAGCCTGGGCCAAGTTTCGTGCAGTCTATCCCAGAAAGACCAAGGATATGCTACGCGACTGTACCGTGGCTGGGCTAATGGCAGAACGCTCTGTTCTCAACGTACTTGGAGCGACCAGGAAAATTAATAAAGCGAGACCGGATTTCTTTTATCAGGAATTGCAGAAATACGTAGACAGCAAGGAAAAGGCGACGAAGGAAGATAAGGAGAAGAAGAAGGACAAGAACAAGAAGGAGATCCCTCAAATGGAGTACTGGCCGTTGATCAAAGTGGTGAAAATATTTACTAAGTCCCCAGCACTGTCTACAGGAGCGGTGATTGTCGACCTACCTGGTGTCCACGATTCAAATGCCGCGCGAGCCGCCGTTGCTCAAGGCTACATGAAACAGTGTACCGGCCTCTGGATCGTGGCTCCTATCACTCGTGCTGTCGATGATAAGGCTGCGAAAACCCTTCTCGGCGATTCCTTCAAACGCCAACTAAAGTACGATGGGGGATTTTCTAGCGTCACATTCGTCTGCTCCAAAACAGACGACATTTCAATTACCGAGGCCATCGATAGCTTAGCACTTGAAGAGGAGATCTCTGCTCTTGAAGACCAAGAGCGGGAATACAAAAAGACTATTGAAGAGCTTCGAAAGAAGATCCAGGACCTTGTGGAATCCAAGGAAGTGTACAAGTTGGCCATTGAGGGGGCGGACAAAGACATAGAGATCTGGGACGAGTTGCAGGACAAGTTGAATGATGGGGCAACAGTATACGCTCCAAACCAGAGCAACAGCAAGAGGAAGAGGGAAAACTCTGGCGAGAAATCTCGAAAGCTACAACGAGCGAGATACTACGACTCTGACGATGACATGGATGATTCTGATTCTAACTCATTCGAAGCGAACAGCGATTCGGAAAATGATTCGGATGTTCAGGGTATTCAACCGCCGCGGACGCCGCTAACCGGGGGTGAAATAAAGTTGAAGCTCGAAGAATTGAGGAGCACCAAGAAGAACGCTAGGCGAGAGCGCAGTGAGATCATACACAAAGTGGATAAGGCTAGGAAGGAAATCCGGGATATCAAGGCTAAGTTAGCGGATATTCGAGCTGAGATGAGCGCTATCTGTATTGCTGGCCGGAACGAGTATTCCAAGGGAGCCATTCAGCAAGACTTCGCCGCTGGAATCAAAGAACTCGACCAAGAGAATGCTGCCGAAGAAGACGAAGAAACATTCAATCCTGATGAGGACCTCCGTGACTATGATGAGGTTGCTAAGTCCCTTCCTGTTTTTTGTGTTAGCAGTCGAGCGTACCAGAAGATGTGCGGCCGCCTTCAAAAAGACGATACCGTCCCTGGATTCAAGACTCGAGAAGAGACTGAAGTGAGTGTTGCGTCTCACCTCTTGTTGTCACTCTCACGAATGTAATAGATTCCTCAACTTCAGGCACACTGCAAGAAGCTTACAGAAGCTGGAAGAATTCAGACAGCCCGCACCTTTCTTCTAAACCTATGTCAACAATTGACCACATTCTATATGTGGGCGTCGAATGACGGCTCAGGGTTGAAGCTGAGTGACAATGAGAAGCGGGCGGAAACAAAGCATCTCGATAAGCGACTTGGCGAACTGGACAAGGTATCCCATATTTTAATGTTCCTGTTTGATGGCACTGACTCGTACTGATCGCTTGTTAGGGACTCGGGAAAGCCGTGGAGTCTTGCATCAAAACCATGAAAAAGGAAATATGTGAACAAATCTTCGAGAAGTATCCCGAGGCCATCGAGGAGGCCATTCGAGTTGCGCCTGATACTGTGCGTAGCTGGGGTGCACATAAGCAGGAGGGAGGCCTGGCCTGGGCGACATATAAAGCCATCGTTCGACGAGACGGAGTATACACATCATCCTCCGCTGGCCTTTGGGACTTCAATACCGAACTGTAAGCGTCCTAAATTTGCGGTTAATTACTCTATCGCTAACAAGCATGTAGGAGTGACCCTATCATCAAGCGATTAGCGAATAGCTGGGAACGCGCCTTCCAAAATCGCCTGCCGAAGATACTCCAAAATTACAGTCGCGACTCGGGCAAGATTCTCCATAGGTTTCACGACACGATCGAGGAGAGGGCTCGACAGAACGGCGTTGGCCTGGCCAACCTTCAATTACTGAAGAACCAGATATATACCTGTGAAAACCTATTCGCCGAATTCTGCTCCGTCCTTGTAAATTCCATGAATGAACTTCAACGGGATGCTAATCGAGAGTTTACTCCAACGATTGTAACTCTCATGCGCGACGCATATGAGGCATGTACAGAAGAACATGGTCAGTATATCGATGGTTTCTTTTGTTGCTTACCTTCTAACGGTCTCTAGGTGCTGGCAGCTTCAAACGCATGAAGGCCTACATGGAAGACCATGTTCAACGCTACAGGTTCAGCATGTTCAAAGACGCCACCCAGACAGTCCAAGGTCGTCTCAACGATATGTGCAAGACTCTCGAAGAAACAATGGCAGAAAAGGCAGAAGAAATATTCTTATCCATGCGACAGGACTACATGAACATTATCGGTGGTGCGAATATCAGTCAGGATAAATTGATTCCAAGAGCGGAGAGGGCAATGAGAGCCGATATCCTGTCAATCCTCCTCGGAGTTGATGAACAGTTCAAGGCTATCGCTAACGGCGAGATCGAGGATAAGGCCGAAGAGCAGACAGCTAGTCATCAACAAGGCCTCCTCGAAAAAAGTACTGAACCCGTTGGGGAAGATGGATTTGAATCGAAGGGTATAGATCCGGAATTGATATTCGATGAACCCGCTGTAGCTGAATCCTCCGAAGCCAAAGGTTCACCCAGTAATTGCATTTATCAAGCCACCATTAAGGATTCCGACACCGATAAGGAGATGGAGTTGTAGAATATGGTTTAGCATTCTCCGGGGAGGCGTTCTCCGATGATTCAAAGGGTATTTTTATTTGCGTCAGGCTAGGGACTCTCTTCCATGCTTCTACCCGACTTTCGACTACCGATCACCGCTAGTCTTGGCGACGAAAGTTCCTCTAGTCATACGAGTGGATAGGATCCATCCCTTTTCACCGAGGACTTTGTTAGCGTTTCCGGAGTCGCCTACAGTATTTTCTCTGGATTCGTTTACAAAACGGGGGTCTCGATGGTTCTAAATGGTCTCTTTCTCATATCCCAGAGCAAAACGGCGCCTTCGCTCGCACCTGGATCTACGCAGAGAGGGTTTCACTTTTCATCTACAGCAATCCTGCAAGTGTCGATCTATTTCACAGAGATCTTTAGGCGCTTCATGAAAGGGTAGGCCATTAATACTTCCGGCTTTCCTTCAAAAGCTACTGGCGCGATCCGGTTTCATAGAACTTGCAGGTGGGGAAGCACTACTTTTAGCGGTTATTGAGTTGGGGATAGCGAGCTGATATCCGGGGTTTGGGATGGGATGCGGAAAAGAGAGTCTCCTGAATGGGATGGGGACTTATTAAATATAATTTAGATGACCGACGGTGTGTTTAATATGCTATAATGTTATGCGGTAGGGAGCCTGCTTTGGTTGAGCTTCGATTGCGTTGAATTCCATAACGGCGCGTCCGCACCGAACATGCCAACATATGGCACCCTAATCTAACCTTGAACGCCTTGGCTAGCTAACTACAGAGTCCCAGGTATTCCGTCACGATTGGCCTAGATGTCAATTCCGACCCCCAGCCACTTCCATAAACGCCGTCGTATGATTATATAATATGCAAGAGCATTCGAACTAAGGAGAAGCAGGAGAGGAAATTCTAGTCGTCCCACTCCTCGTCGAGGTTGTCTATCAGCCGGTTCTCGTCGTCGTTCCTTCGGCCTCGGCGGCCGTTATCTGCGCCAAGCGAGACGCGGCTATAGCCTCGACGTGAAGGGAGGAATCGAGCGCAGGATGAGGTTAGAATGATGAACATGTCCTAGAGCTAGAATTAACAATATTCAGGAAAGTGATCTGAGCGCCTTGCTTACCACGATGAACCTCCCGATGCTAGCCCACATCTGGTAGTTGGGCAGCTGCCTCCAACCGCGCTGATGCATGACCGTCCGCTGGTATACGCAACCACCAACTAGATAGACCAGGATGGCGATCAGCACAATCACACCGAAGACTCCTCCGGGGCCCAGGGCCTGCGATTCGGCTTCCACCTTCCCGCAGGCGTAGGGGGAGCGTCCTTCAAAGAAGTATACACAGTCTTCGACCGCCGCGACAAAGGACACGGAGGTTTTAGCCAAGGGGTCAGATTCGCAGAGAAGTGAGATGACGGTGCTCTTTCGGCGCTTGTCACCCTTGTGTTCCTTATGCTTATCATCGTCATTTGGGTCGTCGTCGACTATCTCGCGGGGAGGAAGAGAGGCGGGGCCTTGGATGTGGCGTCTAGATTTCGTTGAGGGGCAGAGGGAGCCGCCAGTGTAGTTGAGGACGAGCTTGCGTCCCCGGAAGACAGGCTCCGAGTTTTCAAGACTGCAGGAAGGACCAAGGGTCAGCAGGGCTCCTTCGACGTAGTTGAAAGGACTGGAAGAACTAGACCTACCCAATAGCATACTGCCGGTCTCCCTTTTTGTAGAATGCGCTCACGTTCTTCCACATGTCCTTGTCCAGCTCCTTAACGTTGTCCAGCTCTTCCACCACCGCGCCGCAGAAATTGATAGTGAAGTTTGCGCCATAGTCGTAGCCCTTTGCATGCCAGCTGCCTTCCTCTTCCTCCTTCGACTTCTTTCCCTTTTCGGCGCCGGTTCGATGGAGGGGGTTCAGGTCGAAGAAGCGGTCGGTTGTAGGTGAGCGCGCTGTGCAAGGCTTCAGCGGTTTCTTGTCCTTGGATGACGAGGCCGCGGCAGAGAAATCGGCCGTGGACAGCAGGAAAACGAGCGCAGACCAGAATGTGAGCTTCATGATGAAGGCAAAGCCAGGAAATAGCGAGCGTAGAGAAGGGAAGGAGAAATGACGGAAAATAAGACGACGATGCCTGCTCTTCCGTGCAACGTACACTCCTCTGGGCGCCGCCTCGGCCTTGCCTGACCATAGCTGCAGGAACCTAGCGCTAAGTGCGAAAAGGGAGTAGCGGCCTTGGCACGATGTGCGCGTCATTGGCGCAGTTCATCAACTCGGAAGCCAGCAGTCCGACGAGGCATTTCATCAGACGACCTCGAACCTCGAGACCTTAAGTATAAAGGTCACCGCTGCCTTTGTACGCTAGAAGATATCCTTGTGGCATACTGGGCTGGCCGAGGATACGCTGTCAACGCCACCGAGACGCGATCCCGTGCGCCTCGACTCCTTTCTTCAACTTCTTCCTCGTCTTCTTCCCTCCACTTCCTTAGCATCTTCTAAAATGCCGCCGAAACGCAAGGCCTCCCTGACCGTGCCCGCAGCTGAAGCTCCTTATGGATATGAGTTTTTCGGACCGTGAGTATTAACGTTCCACCCTAGCTGAATCTAAGCTCACAACAACCTAGTCCAGGCGCTATTGCAATTTCAATTGGCTTGCCTGTGGTCTGCTATGCTCTGGCATTCTTCTGTAACGACGTCTCTGGATGTCCGGCGCCTTCGCTTCTCCATCCATACAGCTTCAGCTTTGATAATCTGAAAGAGGAAATAGGATGGCAAGGGATGTCGAATATCATCAACACAAAAGCTGTCATCGGCACTCTTGGTTACTATTTCCTGAGCCTGGCTCTGTATGCCTTTCTCCCAGCAGAGACGCCGGAAGGCACGGAATTACGGTCGGGTGGGAAACTAAAGTATCGATTCAATTGTAAGATAGTCACGTGCAGAGCTTGTGTGCAATGAACGGGGAAATACTAACGGTTTCGCAGCTTTCAGCTCAGCAATCTTCATCGTAGTCATTCTTGCCGCAGGGACTGCCGTTGAGGGTGCTGACTTCCCAGTCTGGACTTTCATCTCTGACAACTTTGTTCCGTTGCTCACCACCAACATCCTGATTTGTTTCTTCCTGGCAGTCTACGTCTATGTTGCCTCTTTCTCTGTCAAGCACCCCAAGGACCCCAACATGCGCGAGCTAGCCGCTGGAGGCCACAGCGGCAATGTAATCTACGACTGGTTCATTGGTCGTGAACTAAACCCCCGAGTGAATTTCCCTCTGTTCGGTGAAGTCGACATAAAATCCTTCATGGAGCTGCGCCCTGGAATGCTCGGCTGGATCATCCTCGATCTCGCGTTTGTCATGCAACAATACCGCAATTTTGGCAAAGTCACCGACTCGATGCTGCTCATCACAGCTGCGCAGACTATCTACGTTTTCGATGCGCTGTATATGGAACCCGCGATTTTGACCACCATTGATATTATCTCTGATGGCTTTGGATTCATGCTTTCCTTTGGTGATCTCGCTTGGTTGCCGTTCACCTACTCCATCCAAGCACGCTATCTTGCCACTTATCCTGTCGAGCTAGGATTGAAAGGAATTGTTGGTGTTTTTGCTGTCCAAGCAACAGGCTACTATATCTTCCGCTCCGTAAACAACGAGAAGAACCGGTTCAGGACGAACCCTAATGATCCTCGAGTCAAGCACCTAACATACATCGAGACAGCCGCTGGGTCCAGACTTCTAACTTCAGGCTGGTGGGGAACAGCCCGTCATATCAACTATCTCGGAGACTGGTTCATGAGCTGGGCTTACGTCCTCCCAACTGCCGCTGCAGGATATGTGATTCGCAACGCAGCCGAGCATCCCGTTTCCGCGGCTTCGACCGACGCGATTTTCTTCCGCAACTCGTATGGCAGATACGTCATTCCAGGAGACGCCAAGGGGTGGGGCATGATCTTCACATACTTCTACATGCTTTACTTCGCCATTCTATTGATCCACCGCGAGCGAAGGGATGAGGAGAAGTGTCGTAGGAAATATGGCAAGGACTGGGACAGGTACTGCGAGCTGGTACCGTACCGTATCTTGCCATACGTCTACTAGATAAATGTCTGGGCAGGGGTTGGGTCGATGGAACGCTATCGGACCGGATCTGGATCTGATCGAAGACGTACATCTTGTAATATCAGAAATGGGTGAGGTTGGGTGTCACGCTATCGCTTGGTCGATCAAAGACGTGCATCTAAAAAGTAGATACGTTAGGAGTACAGGATGGCATGCTACCACTGCGGCGGTCGAAGACGTGCATCCAAAAGTAATGCTTAATCTTTAGGGTAGAGAAACGGGGGAGTAGGTGCCATGCTATCGGCTTGGAAATAAGCACGATCGAAGACATGCATCTAAAAAAGTGTATCAAGTGACCAATGGTCCGTGCGTTGAATACGATTTCTCAATTCGATGGGTGAGGTTTCCAAGGTTATTTCAACCACAACTCCTAGGAGTCTCTCTTAACAGATACCTTTATAGCTTGTCCTCTTTTCCACAGCTTTTCGAGCATTTAAGCGAAGATCCCTCTGGGGTCGCGCAGCCCCTCACGACAGTGAGGCTGGCTTTGGGGCTGAGCCGGCTAGTGGCTGCACTAATGCATTGCTGCCTTCAGAGAAACCTCAGGAGGGGACAATTCCTGTTCTTCTATTTCTCATTGATATCTAGAAACTATTTAGATACTATTGACTAGTAGCTCCCCGACACTAATGCTAAGGTAAGAGACAGATGTCGACTGACACGAGGTACGTAGTCTACAAGTCCATATCTCCTATCTCCTCAGCGCTAAGCCTCAGCCTTGCGCACAATATTCCCTGGCCTGTCAAGGGCAAGCTTTCACACCGGAATCCATTGACGCATTTCCTACGGAACGTAAACATTGAGAACTTGAGCTGCTAAGTCGGTCTCTGGATTTCAGGAGATTGCTAGAAGGATAGGCACCCCTGCTCAGATCAACCCTGCTATGTTCTTACATATGTATCGACGTGCAGTGAACTCATTCATTGCTGACCGAATTTAGCGTGAAGGGAGCGCTGGCCGTCTTTCTCCAATCCGCCGAAACCTTCTGTGCTGCCTTATCCCCTGAAGAGCAACAACTCTTCCGAACCTACAAAGATGGACTCTCTATGCTCGAGAGCCTCCAGAAGCGGTGCAGAGACCATCTTATTAATCAAGCCGCTCTCGCGAGGTGTTGTGTTAGAGTTGACAAGATTCGGGTTCGCATGGAGCCATTTTTTGAGATCATTGGGATCTTCGCACAGAGTCATGCCGATATTGCGTGTATTGTCTGGGGGTCTTTGAGGCTTCTTTTCCAGGTGAGCTTCTCCACTGTAGTCTCGGGTTACAAATGGTTCATTGACGATACTGTCTAGTTGGGAGAGAATTATGTTACTTTCTTGGAAAAGATTTGCACGATGCTAGACGACATGACCGATGTGCTCCCAGCTTACGAGGAGTATGTAGGCCAGATTCAATCAAAGTATTCAAAAGAAGGAGTTGACTTTGCTCCTCGTCTGCTGAAAGCTCTCGCCTTTGTGTATAGCGACATTCTAGACTTTTGCCTTGGAGCAGTGCGGATATTGTCGCCAGCGAAAGGTAAAGCCCGAATATCCCGTTATAGTATCATATTAAATTGAGTGATTGGAACCTTTAGGTACGCGTTCGAAAGCAAAGCTAGTCTGGGGTCTTTGCTGGAGACCATTCGATGTTCGCTTTCGCGCTATTCTCGAACGTTTCAACAAGCACACTCAAGCCCTTGACCGTGAAATGGGTTCGACATCTTTCAATGTTATGAGACAACACTGTGAGAGGATTGAATATGATATGCGTAAGGCTAGGGAGGAGCGTGCTTGGCAGGATGAGCGTCAGATGAAGCGTATGTCTTTGAACTAGGTTACAATTGCCCAACAGCTAAACTCCACAGGCGAGCGTGTGCATGACCTCAGAGAATGGATTGGAGCTGGCGATTGGGAGAGCTTTTACGAAGAATTGGCCGACCGGCGTGTTACTGGGTCTTGTGGGTGGCTTCGCTATGATCCCATTTACGTGAGCTGGAAAAAGGCCATGTATCCAAAGAATGCGTCACAACTCCACTCTGGCATTAACCAAGACATTCTTTTGGTTGACGGTATGTTATCTAATCAAAGAAGGTTCTTCATTAGAACTAATCACGATCAGCAAAACCTGGATATGGCAAGACATTCCTTTGCGCCAGTCTAATTGAAGAGTATCGCCGAAAACGAGATCTATCGATCAATTCAACAGAACCAACGGCTGCATTCTTCTTGTTCAATCGGTTAGAACAAGATGCCAAGAAACTACAACCTGATACCGCGTTTCGAGCAATCTTAACTCAATTGCTCCATGCCCATGAGCTTGAAGATGAGGTCATTGATGCTCTCTCGTTAATCAAACATCACAACGGACGCGGCCAACTTGAAGCGTCTTTTGATGAGGTTCTTCTACTTCTTCACTGGCTCTTAGATCGTTATCCCAACACAATTCTCTTGTTCGATGGTGTCGACGAATGCTGGGACGAGCCCGCTTTTTTTCGAAGCCTGCGAAAGATTATTGGTGCCGACTCTCAGCCTACCACTACGAGTTCAACCCCGCCGAGAAATGCACGACCAGGTGTCATTCTTTTCGCTCGACCAACGTTATCCCTCCCTGCATGGGTAGCAAAGCGACACTGTTCCATCCACCTCAATTCCGCCCAGAACTTCGTCGATATTCAGTCATATCTACACGAAAAGATTGCCGAACTAGGGGAATATGGTCTGCTCGGAGATGCTCACGAAATATCAGCAATCTTGGAAAACGCATGCCAGTTTGCGAATGGGATGTTCCTTTGGGCGCGCCTTCTCATTGAGTACCTCAGCGCTGACGGGCTCTCTGTAAACGACAGGCGCGAGGCGTTAAACAACTTGGTCCGCTTTGAGGGCCTGGACCAATTGTATTCCTTAATTCTACAGAATTTAGCAAAGAAGCTTCCACCCAAATCAAGAGTCAACCTAAAAGCAGCTTTCCAATGGATTGGAGGCGCGCTCAGGCCCCTTCACGTCGACGAGTTGCCTCACGCCATTGTATCAACGGCTGAAGGTACCTGGAACGAGCGCGACGTCATCCCAAATCTGAAGCAATCGTTAACTCGAATGTCTGGAGCACTGCTGGAGCTCGCCCCGGATCTCACCGTTCGGTTCACGCATACATCAGTGCTCGAGTTTCTATGTGGCGATCATCTCGACCAAGACGCTCGCGGAGAAGAACGACAGTTCCGGATGTGTGCACCCAGCGTCCAGCAGCTTGTTGCACTGTCCTGTCTGCGCTATATTAGTCGTACAGTTCCCCCTATGCCACTGAGTGGATCTTCCCAGATCACCCCCGAAAGGGACGTCCAAAGCAAGCGGTTTCCTCTCGCCGACTACAGCCTTAAACACTGGGTAAAACACGTTGATTTAGCAATTTCAAGGCCACCCCCTAACAAGTTCGCATTTCTATCATTCGTGGAGGGGCTGCTGCAAGCCATGCAAGGGTTTTTGAACTCAAAGAAACAAGTCATGGTTTGGATAGAGTTGAGCTGGCTCTTTGGGTATCCTGCAGCCCTGGGAAATATACCCCAGTTGTTTGCAAAGGCTCTAACGGTGAGGCATGGCATGGTTGAAGGGTATGAAAAGCTCCCTAGGCAGCTCGAGTGTCTCAGCGAGGATCTTAAAATTTTAGAGATCAGATGGGGTACGGTACTCTCGCAGACACCGAACGAAATCTGGGAGCCAAGTATCCCTGCATTCACACAATCCGACTACTATATGATAACGAAGGAGGTTAGCCTCACGAGGATGGAAACAGTCGTCAATCATGCTGAGAAGTCAGTCATGATTCAGTCCCAAGTTTCAGCCAGTGGAAAGGAGATTAGCGTTGTCAGGCTGAGTATACCAAAGTACTTCTATCCGTCGCACATACGAGGATGTGACTGACGGTTTCCCTCAGGAACTTACTCGAGAATTCCGTTGCCATGCATCCAGATGAGTGGATGCAGCGCCATACCTCAGGTTGGAAAGCGATCTTCGAAGTGTGGAATCTTTCTACCAAGTTACTAGAATTCCGGTTCTTTGTTCCCATTCCGGCCGCGCATGCAAGACAGATTCTTAGCCAGCAGGCCAACTTTTGCAACGACATTCTATACAAACTCTCGAAACCTCTGGCTTTAGATAGGCTAGACTTCGAGTTTCCAGTTTCGATCTCTCTGGACTTGCGAGTAGCATTGATTCTTGGTTGTTACATCAAGATTGAGCTCCGCTACGAAGACACCAGTGCTTCCCATCCGCACCGCTACACCATGTACTATATCGAGCTCAATCCTTGGGGAGACTTGACGCAACCAGATCCTCGCGTAACTTCACCGTTGATCCCCGCTTCATTCGCCGCCTGCCTCAGCCCGTCCGGCCAAGAAATGCTAGTCGTTCGTCCTTCGAATGGTAATGGCAATGCGGGAGCGTTGACCATGGGGTTGCGCTACTGGGATCTACTGTTATACTACAAGCTTGAATGCCACGGTACCCAGCATCTCTCCAAGTCCGCATCAAAATTGAGGGTTGACCGATTCGATCTCTACGTAGACTATCAGCAGACTCAAGATTTGGGGCAGCATTTTTTGTTTCATCCTTTTCTGCCTATTCTGGTCTTCTGTCTAGGTAAAAAGACGATTGGGTGGAGCTACTCAGAACCGGGTACGACCTCTCACTTTGGTACACGAAATATTCTTGCAATACTAATGATGAACTAGGAGCCCGAGTCGTAGAGATCTGCGCACATCCACTCCGAAAGCTTTCTATATCAGGATGCGGACAATATCTACAGGGCTTCACAGTCAGCCGGCATGGCGACAAGATGGTTGTGCTTGACATCTCCAGCATCTTGTGTCGCGTACTCAACCTCGTGCCCATTCGCATGCTGGAACAAAGCATTGTCGATCTTTCTCTCGCGGGCCGGAACGATAACAGGCTCACCCGAATTCCCAATTCCACAATATCTACCGCAATCACGCTGCAGGACCTTGTTCGAAACAGAGCCGCGCCAGCCACCATGACAACTAATACCGTTCAATTCATCACCAACGAAAACGGCGTGACGGAGATGTCAATGCTGCGTCAATTCGAGCAAGAAGGCGCCGTAGTTCTCCACACACTCTCTGAAGACGGCGTTGCTACTTCTAAGACGATTACCAGGTTGCCGGAGGATCTGGTGTCGAGATCGGAACCCGTACTGGTGAAAGCGAAGGAAGGTGAAGAGAAGAATAGTGAGACAGTGATGTTAGTGCTGAATCAGAAGCCGAAGCCAACGTATTCGTTTAGGGAGGAAGAGGGGGGAGAGGTTCTGCCGATTGTGTTGGAGAGGACGACGGCGAGTATTCCGGTGACGGCTGTTAATTTGGGGAGGACACTGAATTGAGAGAGTCGGAAGGGGTGTATGTAGAGTTTGTTAAATTAGAGATACCCTAGATGTTTCGATATGCCGCTATTGTGAATAGCGTAGCGCATGGCAGGCGCGCTTTAGGATCAAAATTTGCATTCCATTGACGTTCTCCCTTGAATCCAGAAATAGGTTTAACAGATGAACTTCACCCTGGTCGGGCTCCGTGTTGTATGAGAACAGACTGCAGAGCGGCTGTTCAGAGGATGCTGAATTCTGTCCTAGACCAATACCTTACCATGTTTCGGTAAGATTCCGGCATACAAGATGAATGATCCGACAGTGAAAAGTTCTCCTGAGTAGGAGATAAGAGGAGTGTGACCTAGACAAGGGATACGTAGGGAAAAAAGACGGATAGCATAAGAAGTAGCGTGTTTTAAGGATTTGCCTGCAAAGAAACCGAAGAGGTGTTGTTGTTGATGAAACAGGCGCCGCTCGTCCGATGTACAATACGCCCGATCTTTAACCCAAGAATGTTGGCATGCAGCCGTGCAACCAGCATTCACGCTCGCCAAAACGCCTAAAAATGATTTCGTGATATTACATGGGCTCATCAAAAAGCCCAGGAATATTTGGCTCTTAAGAGGCTTTTGCTTCCTTACCCTTACCCTCTTCGCTCTCGCGCTTCTTCTCTTTGGCAGCTTGCTTCCGCTCATTCATCCTAGCTTCTTCGGCTTCAACCATTTCTGCAAGCATGTTAGTCAGAGTACTGCTTTCTCGAATGGGTAGTTTAGAGGCGCCAAGCCATGCACTCTGCTGAGAGCGATGACAAAGCATGGCGAGTAATCTGCCAGTCACGTACCTCTCCACTGATCCTCGCCAGCATATCGCTCGTGGTGAATGCGCTTCTCGATGAAATGCTTATGCGTTGGGTCATTCGGATCCAGGACCTTGATAGTTTCCCACCTGCCCTTGCCCTTTGCTGCATCGGAGCCCTCGGCCGCAAAACTAGCCAGGAGGACCGCAAGTGTGAAGCCTTGTGCGTACATACGTGCCTGCACGATTTTCTGCGGTGCGCTGAGGTAGCGGTTGCGGTTGACCAGCACGAAGGAGCCCACAAGAGAGGTTACCCAGAAGCCGAAGATAATAGGGTATCGGTTCTGTTCTGCCCATTCCCGCGCGAGTTGGAGGCGTGTTTTACCAGACTCGTAGAGGGCTTCTTTTTCCTTTTCTTCTTGTATTAGACGCCGTTTTTCGGGGTTGTGGGCGATGTCGTATCGGTAGGAGGCGCGGTCTGCGGCGAGGATGGCTAGGAAGTTATAGTTAGCACATTGTGTGATAGGGAGGGCAATTGGGAAATGCGCACAAACAAAGGTTCCTGAAGAGGCGACGAGGAAGGCTCGGAAAGGCACTGTGAGCGATCGGAAGGCTGCGAATCTGCGGTTGGCAGCGAAGACACCAACACCTCCGATTATGGTGCCGACGACAGCGCCAATGGTTCCACCTTTTACTGTGGCACTGTGCAGAATATTAGTATCTCCGAGAAGAATTGAGGTTATGCGAGCAGTACTTGTAATGGGCAGCCTCCTCTTCTTTTGTTAGGACTTTCATATTAGATAATCCGCAGCCTGGGAGGATGTTAAGGGGTCAAGGGATGTTCGAATCACGGAGGGAAGTGTGGGGAGGATGTAGACGACGCAGGGCCGTGGGTCTCCTTATAACAATATGCGTCCGGGCAAGGCGAGATAAGTTCTTCTTGGAATACGGCAATGGTGACGTCGCCGAATCCCCGAGCGAGCGCCGCACGCCTTACCTCATCCTTTCGGCAGGACTCGGCTGCCTCCAAATGCTTCGTGGGTCACTCCACCGGCCTGCGCCGGTGTACTCTGCGTCGGCTCGCATCACTTGCAGCACCGTTGGATGGCTGTGGCTGGAGCACCGCGTTCTGCGTTTTATTCTCGCAGCAGGCATTATGACAATTACTGCCCCTGGGCTGCGTCGTCTGGTGGTGCGACTTCGCCGACTGAGTGTGCGAGATGCCCGAGATTCTGGTACAGAGGATCTCGTTTGCAGCATCGTTAATGTTGGGTCAGCAGACATTCAGATATGCTATGTGCAATCTACGGAGTTGTTTTCCATGCATATTCGCGTGTTTGCGCAAGTATCACGTACGTATGTATGAACAAAGTCCGATGGAGCACTCCCCTCGAGCGCTGAGAGGTGTTTCATGACAGATGCCGATGCGGCTGTTGAGATGCCGACGACTTGCCGCTTGCGATGCGCCATGCTCAGACTTCGCGGGTACTGCCGTGGCGTCCCTGCTAAGGCGAGTAGCTCATGAATAGCCCCCTCATCCTTCCTTTCCAGAATCCCAAATTCTGCGAGCACTGGAGAAGTTTTGGAGATGTCACGGCAGATCCCGAACGGGATCCGAGCCGGAGCCGCGTTTCGTGCTCCGTGCTCCGAGATTCCGTATCGGGGTTAGGGAGGTCGCTAACTAACTCTGCCCACCCACCCAACACCAAAACGTCGATCGTGACTTTTGCCTAGTAAAAAATTGAAATTACCCATCATGGCTCCCAAGGTATGCACTCATGAATTGATGGCGTAGTATTTTACAAACGAACAAATTCCAGACAAAGAAAGCCCCTGCTCCCCAGGAGAACGTCACGCTTGGACCAAATGTTCCAGAAGGTTAGATCCGGAACCCTCAAGTTTAGCGGGAATCTCAGGACTGACTTTATCTAGGCACTCTTGTCTTTGGAGTCGCGCGAATCTTCGCGTCCTTCAATGACACCTTTGTCCACATTACCGATCTCTCCGGCCGCGAGACGATCAGCAGAGTTACTGGGGGCATGAAGGTAAAGGGTTAGGAGTGACATCCCAAATCCCGTCCTACCTTCTCTCTCTGCTAATGCAGGCTGCCACGTAGCTGATCGTGACGAGTCTTCGCCGTATGCTGCTATGTTGGCGGCGCAGGTCAGTGAACCCAAATATCTACAACACTCACTCCAAAGCAGAGCAAGATTAATTAGGTGAGGATAGGACGTTGCTGCCCGGTGCAAAGAAGTCGGTATCACCGCGCTTCACATCAAGATTCGCGCTACCGGCGGAAACCGCACTAAGACGCCCGGCCCTGGTGCCCAATCCGCGCTTCGTGCCCTCGCTCGTGCTGGAATGAGGATCGGACGTATCGAGGACGTTACGCCAACTCCGTCTGACTCCACTCGCAAGAAGGGAGGTCGAAGAGGTCGCAGGCTCTGAACAGCATATTGACCTGCGTTTCATCTCGGTGGGGTTTTGGGATGGGCTAAACCTAGCACAATACAGTGGTGATAGCGAATAGGAAAGAAAGTCCCATCAAGCGGGAGGTGGAAGACGCTCCTACGTCATTGTGGTAGCTTCACCAGGCGTCAATATCAATCTAATACCTGCTCGATGCTAACCACTCGTTCTGTACGGCCGATTTCTTGACCTGTATTCACTCCAGCAGCGGCTCGACGATCTAAAGTATGTGAAAATACACGTAAGGTAGATCTCTGAGTGGTAGGAGAAATACTTGCCCTCCAAGATTAGAAAAACAAGCGAAGAGTTGGGTTTTTGATGAACCCACAACAGAAAGCGTCGAAGCCAACACCTCAGCGGAAATGAGCACTATCTATTAAAGAATCAAGGCCGGCGTGTATACCTATTCCAAACATACACCACTAAAAGCGAAACAACAGCTATCCTACCAACCAACGCCGTTGCAACTGCTTTGCGTACAATCGGATAGTAGCCCTCCAACATGGAATTGACAGCGGCGCCTCGTGCCACTAGCTTTGCTCTTCCTGTTTTACCCCAGTTTCTACCAACACCAAGTCCTGCAATACCTACTTCTCCAGGTTCTTCAGCCTCTGTTGCTTGCGGGTCTGGCAAATCCTGTTTCGGCGCCTCGGCGGCATCTATACCCTCCTCTACAATACCAATAGTCCCGCGCTGTTCTGTAGAGCTCATCTCTATTGCTTTCTGCTTTCTAAACCGGTAGGACATAGCCCACATAGTGAACCGCACATCCCAATTAGTAAATGTGGGATACGTCCACAGCTCCAGAGCATTATGTGGAGGTATATGTTCTAGGAAATCCGATACAACTCCAAGCGTAAGACCCCACAAAAGCAGCGGCTGTTGACGGCTAGGATAACTCGCCTCGGGACCTTTCAAAATCTCCTTCAATTTCCCCATTCCAAAGCCATTCGCTGGCGGACCTTCGGGCACAAAGCCGGAGATGGAGCTACAATAAGTGCTCTCTGAAGGTGTAAGGCATATGGCGGCGAACATCATTTTGCTAAGCATGGCTTGCAGAAACCAGCGTTTGATGCCGAGTTCGGATTTCGCGAGGCGGTTGGACACGTCAGCGTACTCGTACGTACGGAGGGCGGGAGAGAGGAGCGCGCGGAGGGATACCCAATGGGTGGAGGCCACTTCGGTGGGTTGGAGACGCTGGGGTGGGTAGTCCGAGGAGGTGAGGAGGTAGACGTATGGGCAGAGCACCATTAATCTAGGCAAGATGAGTTTAGGCTTACTGAGGCATTGGATGGTATGTGATCAAATGTCGGTGCCCAGGTTGAACTTACGGCACCTTGCCCCATGAAGTCGTCACGATCCGTTGCGGGAGATTCCCAATTGAGATGGCGTGCGAGTACGAGAGGTCAATCCCGACCTCCTCCATAGCCTCGCGAACAGCCGTGACTTGGTCGTCCTCGTCCTCGGGGTCCCTCTTCCCTCCAGGCAGAGCAACATGACCATTCCACTTATCCCCAACCCGCGTCGCCCGCTTTATGAACAGCATCTCTGGGTCCCCATGTTTAACCCAGTCCTGCTCAAAGAAGGCATCCAATATGTCCTTGAACGACAGCTTATGCTCCGGGTTCGAGGCCAGCGAAGATCTCCGCCGGTGATGGGGTCTATGCGCGTGGAAATGCTTAGTCTGCACAGCAGGCCAATGGTCGAAATGGGGCTGGATGCGGAGAATGACAGCTACCGAAGCTCGGCGCGGCAGATTAGGCGGACACGCGACTTCAGGATAGGGGTTGGTGGAAAGTTCGAGGAGGACGTCCTTGAGGTGAGCAACCAGAGCTTCCGTGCCTGTCTCCATCTTGGCTGCAGGTGGATGCGAGGATGTAGGAGCATTACTAAATAAGAGAGATATAAGAGTCTAAGTAATTGAGCCGAGGCCCGAATTCCAGCTAATAGGGCTAATTAGCTCCTATGAGATCATCAGAGGTTGAGGGAGAGCAGACTGCAGTGTATAAAGGGCAGGATTGATATCAAGGCTAAGCAATTGAGACACTGGAACATTCCGATGTCTTGACAGCAGGATCCCCTAAATTGGTGGACGTTGAGAGTTTCATCGGTCTTACATTCATCCGACAGCCTTGCCGAAGTCGGACGAGGGGCACCACACCCCGACGTCAATCAGGTGGGGCAAAACTTCTACGAAAATTCACGCTTGAAAACACGAACTCACCTCATCGTAGATTTGCTCTCAAATACCCTCTTCATTCTCTCTTTTCTTTTGCTTTTCTTTCTTCAATTCTCTTCGTGAAGTCCTCCAAAATATTCCACTATGGCGGGGCAGAAGACCGGTATGAGGTATATCTTGGTTAGGGCTAATCGCGCGCTGATTATACCCAGCCATCCTGTCGGTATACGACAAGACAGGTCTCTTGGATCTCGCTAAGGGTCTCCATGACCAAGGGGTGAGAATTCTGGCTTCTGGTGGCACAGCAAAGATGATTCGAGAGGCCAATTTCCCAGTCGAAGATGTCTCTGCGATTACCAAGGCTCCAGAGATGCTTGGTGGAAGAGTGAAGACGCTGCACCCAGCCGTCCATGGAGGAATCCTTGCAAGAAATTTGGACTCGGATAGCAAAGACCTTGCTGAGAACAGCATCGATAAGATTGACTTTGTTGTTTGCAACCTCTATCCATTCTCGGAAACTGTTGCTCGGATCAACGTTACCATTCCCGAAGCTGTGGAGGAGATAGATATTGGAGGTGTGACTCTGCTTCGAGCTGCGGCAAAGAACCATTCCCGAGTCACCATCATCAGCGACCCAAAGGACTACCACGACTTCCTGACCGAGCTAGAGAAGGATGGAGAGGTTTCGGAAAAGAGCAGGCAGAGATATGCGCTGAAGGCATTCGAGCAGACGGCCGGGTACGATAGTGCGATCTCAGACTTCTTCCGCAAGAAGTATGCTGGCGAGGGCGAGCAGCAATTGCCGCTTCGATACGGCGCCAATCCCCATCAGAAACCAGCAACGGTCTTCATGCAGGACTCACAGCTACCCTTTAAGGTCCTTTGCGGAGCGCCAGGATACATCAATCTTCTAGATGCTCTCAACGCTTGGCCACTTGTCCAAGAGCTCAGCAACGCGCTTAATTACCCTGCAGCTGCAAGTTTTAAGGTAAGCCTTTGCCCTGAAGGTCCGATTTCTTAAAGTAACAAGCCTGCAGCACGTATCTCCAGCGGGCGCTGCTATCGGAGTCCCTCTGAGTGACGACGAGAGGAAGGCATACATGGTTGATGATATTGATGGCATTGAGAGTTCTGGGTTAGCCCAAGCTTACGCCCGTGCCCGTGGAGCTGATCGAATGTCAAGCTTCGGAGACATGATAGCCCTCTCGCACGAAGTAGATTTGACTACAGCAAAAATCATCAGTCGTGAAGTGTCCGACGGCGTCGTCGCTCCGAAGTATACCGATGAGGCATTAGAAATCCTCAAGAAAAAGAAAGGAGGAAAGTACCTTGTGCTGCAAATGGACCCAGACTATGTGCCACCAATGGAAGAGACCAGGAGTGTGTTCGGTGTTAACCTTCGCCAACACCGGAATGATGCAAAGATCTCACCAGCTGATACGTTCAACACCGTCATCACCCCAAAGAACTCACCTCCGCTCCCGGAATCTGCCCTTCGAGACTTGGCTATAGCTACTATTTCCTTGAAATATACCCAATCGAACAGCGTATGCTATGCTCTCAATGGTCAGCTCATCGGTCTTGGTGCGGGCCAGCAATGTAAGCCAACCAATATTCAGTGTATCACAGAGCGATAGGCTGATGCTTTCTCCAGCCCGAATCCACTGCACCCGTCTCGCCGGTGATAAAGCTGACAACTGGTGGATGCGCTTCCATGAACGGACCCTAAGTCTTAAATGGAAAAAGGGCACAAAGCGACCCTCCAAGTCTAATGCAATTGACCTCCTTTGTAGTGGACTTGTGCCAGAATCCGGTATCGAACGCGACGATTTCGAGTCTAACTTCGAGGAGGGCCAGGTTCCCCAGGTTTTCAGCACCGAGGAGCGGAAGGCGTGGCTGGAAAAGCTGAAGGACGTAGCTGTTAGCTCTGATGCCTTCTTCCCCTTCATCGACAATATCTTCCGGACGGCACGTAGCGGGGCGAAATATATCGCAGCGCCGACAGGGAGCCAGAATGATGGAGCTGTGTTCGACACTGCGGAGAAGTTAGGTATCACTTTCGTCGAGCAGCACATTCGACTGTTCCACCACTGAACAGGAGGGTCTAGTGGGTTACGATACCCTCATGGTCATGAAACTGCATTCGAGGCTGGAAGTTACATCAGGCTATATCACAAAAGCTATTCTCTTTTGAATTAGCTGTACAAACATTCAACATGTCATTCACGTCACTCTCACAGGAAACATGCTAGTCAAGGCCTCTCCATCTCAAAATCCGCCCGCGATCAACCCTGAGCTTCTAAGTTGTTGTAAATCAGAAGCTACTGTGGCCGCCCCATCGCGAGTAACTGTGGTAACCCAATATTCCGGTGACCTGTGGCTTAGAAAATTCAGAGTGAATCAAGCTCAGTCCCTTGGGCGGCTTTGCGTCACCTGCAATGAAGAGTTGTATTCGGTGAAGTAATAGGCGGGGATCTAGTCATCATTGGACCACATCCCTCAGCATGCTAATCAATGAAATACACTTTGTATCTGGCCTACGAAGGCGTCTCTTTTCGACCACCAAGGGTACGAACAGCGAGATAAAGCAGAGATGTACTTGTTTCACATGTGACATATATCAATTATAATTTAGTTATACCTGGTGGAAACATCCTTGGATGCGTTAGTTTCATCTTGGTTAAAGGTCTCGTTGGATCGGTTTCGGAGAATTGGGTTGTATATCACGGATTTTTATGGTCCGGAAGATGGTATTAGGCTCTGGCGGCCCAATGCCCAGTGGACTCCGGTGTCAATCATATGAGGCGGTGGGTACAGGGTGTTCGCGCACACTACTGGCCACGATTGAAACCACAAGAAACACGGCGATGATATCTCGTTGATACAGTAGTGGCACATATCCACCTTCAACAGATTTTCACGAAGATAGTGACACGGTATCTACACGCAGCTAAATACACGACACCAAAACCTCGTTGAACTCTTCGCGGACTTAATCATGAGCATGCTGCCCAAGAGCTATAATTCGACGTTAGAAAGTATTCTCATTCAGTGCTGTAATATTAGGCTAACTAGTAACAGTAACCCACAAGATTAAGTCTACTTCCCGATTAGGATAAGTCAGGACCAAATACTGCGCCGTCAGAAGGAGATCCCAGGACCAGGCTACCGGGTAACACATCTCCCGTTTTCGCTGTCGCACATGCCCAACGGATATCCCCAAAACGGACTCGGAAATGCAATTTAAGATAGGATTTGATTGGTTCATCTCTTTGACTTGTTACCGGATTTGAGGGGAAAGTAGATAAGGTGCCCAGCGATGCTCGACAATTTATACCCATTTAGATACAGCAGCACAACCGGAAATCTGACGGTTAACCACTTTTTAAGCCAACGACTCTTGGCTCCTTGGAACGTTAACCTGCACTTAATATTCACTTTCTCTCCCTCAACAAATCAGATGTCATCAGTGAGCACTCAATTGCTAGTTTGGTTGAATTCAAAGCATCCACAGTACAACCGTCACACTCGGCTTGCAGACGCTACAACACAAGACTTTCTTTAGAAATGATGTATAGCCAAACCGCCACCAGCATGCCATCCCAGCATCTCAAAAATATCCACAAGAAGCGAAATATATACAAAGTAAAAGTCCCATTCCCTCAATTTTGTCCTACTCACTCCCTGACCAGCTTTCTTACCCTCCTTCTTGTCATTATCCTAGCTTTAGAACGACAAGGTAGCTCCCGCAGAACCCACAACTGCATCCTTAACTGCGCTGGCAGCCAAAAGGGTGGGCACCGTATATGGCGCAGTGTTCAGGGTTCCTGCCAAAGCCTCATTGCTAGCGCCTCCGAAGTCGTTTCCGCTGGCGACCGCATATCCATCATCAGTACTATACAACGGTTTCTTTGAGTTTACAAAAACGTTGTTTTGGACGAGGACTTGGGCGCCGTCCCGGGTGTTGATACCATCAGCAACATTTTCGTAGTAGTTGTTGAAGATGTGGCCGGTTCCGAAGCGAATGCTCGGGCCGCGGGAGTTGATGTTCTTCCAGTAGTTATTGTGGTAGGTGACGCGGAGGTGGCCGGTATCTTCGTCGGCGTTTGAGTCAGAGTGGCCAACAAGCGAGCACTTCCAGTGGTCGTGGAAGTAGGTATTTGACACGGTGATGAAGTCGGCGGCGTGTGTCAGATCGAGGAGGCCATCGTAGTAGTCTTTGTCGTGGTCCATGTCCGAGGATAGGTCGCAGTGGTCGATCCATACGTTTTGGGCAAGCTGAACCGCGATGGCATCGCCGCCGACGACTTTGGCGATGGAGAGATTGCGGATGATGACGTTTTTCTTAGACTTTACGGTGAGGGTAAAGCCGGTAAGTTCTGGGAGGAGAAAGTTAATGAGGTATCGGAAAGGCTAATTGAACAGAGTACTCACTCGCAGCAGAGCTCTTGCCGATGATACTCTTGTTGGAGCCAATTTTGACGTTACCCGTGGAGCTGATTGGTCCAGAGACCATAACGATACGTGCGGTGTCGTCCGCAACGGCTGCGGTGAACTGGGCAAAAGTCGAAACAGTAGTGGTGCTTCCGCCCTTTCCGCCCGTCGTGCCACCATTCTGGGTTGCGAAGCCGGCGCTTGGGGTATCTGTAACTGAGGCTCGTTTGGCCAAAACACCTCGCTTCTCCTCGGTGGTCGGTGTTGGAGCTGCCAGAGCGATGGTCGAAAGACCCAAGGAGAGGAATGTAGAAAGCTTCATCTTGATGAATTGTAGATGAGAAGTAGGTTGAAACAAAGAATTGATGGGAAAGAAGAGAGGAGCAGACCGAGCTGATGGATAGCTGTGTTTTAGCTGCCAGTCCTCATTCTTTTATACAAAGCCGTTTACTTGGACACAGACCCAGCCTAGCCTTATACATCACCACTAAGAAATCGCAAGGACTGCTGGCTTACACCAAATAGGGTTGCCAGTGGAAAAATGTTTCAACCAGATATCGCACCAATCGCTATCCATCAAAGTAGGGAGCAAGCACGGTCGCGGTCGGAGAAAAATGCTTCTGGGGCCAGGCATCATGATGCAAACAGGCTTGTTGGTCCCTGGCCGCAATTTATGTTTCGTTCCACCATTCCCTGGATGGTATTGACGAGCCCCACCAATCCGCGCGGCAAGAGAACCGGTGCCAGAACAAGGGTGGTGTGAAACATTAAAGTGGCCCAACCGCTTTCTTATAAGGTGCTTTTAAGATTAGAGGAGAGGGACTGCGCTCGTGGCGTATGCTCGTTCTCGGGTCGGATCAAATGTCACGACATCATTTCTACGATGTCGGTTGGATGTCGTGCAACGTCTTCAGAAAGTCGGTAAAGGAGCATTTCATCCATGCAGCGTGAAAGCCTGTCGGAGCATTTTTGAAAACGAGATTTTCGGCTTCTGTTCCTAGCGGAATAATGCGCTGTTATATCAATATAACGATATTAAGCAGATTATCGGATCATGCAGTCCCCCGCATTATGCAACATGCTTGCTTCGAGAAGCGATTTCTGAACAAGATGCAGATGAGATCCGGAGACAAAAGGGGCGCGGAAGAATCAACACCGTCAACTTCTTGTGTCCGTCTGAGATGTGCTGAGGATAAAGATTGTTGGAGGAAATCGTGGGGAAATTAGTAAGAAGAATTGGATGACAGGGCCGTCCATCCAGCGACGATGAGACCTCCTCTTTCTTTGAACAAACATTGAAGAATCTGGGAAGAATCCGTGAAGTGTATCGGTCATACTTAGCCCGAGTCTCCCAATATCAAGGGAGGGAGGCTTCCTCTTCCTACCCGGAACGAAGAGACACAAGCTCCTCGAACACACATGCTCCTGTTCCTTCAATGAGAATTCTTAGAGCTCAGCCGATGTGAGGAGTTGATAGACATTAAGGGACAAATGTGTGGAGTATTGAGATTTAGGTGATAGCGCTACTCTCATGTATCTATGCTCGCGCCATTGGAAGTCTGGGAGGCCTGTGCAGAAGTCATGTTGCTTTCTTGGTTCCTCTCAAAACATAAAGCGAGAGCACGGAAGTGACAGCAAGTCTCTATACGAGAGAATTGCGAAGTTATCATCAGGTGTTTCGATAGAATGGGAAGTCTTTGCCAAAGTACACGTTACGCAACTGTGCTAGTCTTTCAAATACCAGTAATCTCAACCCGAAGCAACACTAATTTCAGGAACGATTACGGGCCAGATGCACCTACACCCCAGAAAGGGACTCCGGAATACAAGAATTGACGTGCGAGGAAGGACTGTTCTCCGCAGAACTAGTTAGAGCCTTGAGTACATCAAAAATACTAAACGACTGTGACATTCTCATATCTAGAATGCCTACTGCTAGGTCCTATCTAGAACAGCGTGTTCTAGAGAAACGAACAACGTCATACCTTAAGTTGAATATCATTTGAAGGTCTGTAGAGCCACTGGCGACTGGAAGTGGAGACTCAATGAAATTGAAATGCTATGCCTCCCGCCACATCTCGCTGGTATCTTTAGACTCTCCCCCATGGGTTGCCACCTGTTCTACATGAAAATGGATAGCTAGAGTTCTCATGAAGAAAGAAAGTTCGAGTATGATCTCTTGAATGCTATAGTATTTACGAAGATTTGGCTTTTCAAAAAAAAAATTTGGTGCTGTTACGTGTGTGCCTATAACTTAGTACTTTTTGAAAACCTTGCAAAGTAGCTGTAAAGGAAGGACACCTCGAAATCCTAAATTTTTTTTCATTGCAGATGTAGACCGACCCAGTTCACTAAGTAGATACAGGATCTTGTGTACCGCTTAAGGGAGGGAGAACCTAGGATGGTAAATTCTCTCCTCAGGTCAAATCTGAGCCTATTCAAAATACGGTCACGTAAACAACCACGAGGCCAACAGAGCATTGATCACACTAAATATTCAGTCACCCAACATAATCGTGGCCAAGAGAGAGATGTGGATCCCGACCCTTTACTTATAGATCTACTGCTTACACCACCTGCAGTGCAGCTAAGAACTGTTGGGCGTAGATGACACATCACCTTCCTCTCGGCGCACCTAGTTGTCCCGATATCGGAATGGAGATGCCTGGAGATGCCTCTATTTTATGTTTGCAAGGGATGTTTTGGGTTTTGGCGAAATAGCCGAGTTGTTAGTTGACTGGGGTGGAAAATCTGTGGTACTGAGCTGTGCCTATTTGCTACGCATGGAAACTCGAAAGCAGCTAAGAGGTTTTTGGAACGTCGTGCAGACATACATTGTGTAGGTGTCAGGGAACTCCTATTGGGAGCTGTAAGCAAAGGATATCTTGGAATAGTCCAAATGTCCCTTGTTTCCGATGGTATTAACAAAGAATCTCCTCTACCATTGTCCACGCTGCATAATTGGAACACAGTGCCATGTTTTGGCTGCTAATGGAATGGGGTGCAAATTCGTGCATACTTGAAGTCGCTGCCGAAGCTTCAAGAAGAGCTACGGCTGCTGGGATGGAGTCTATGCTGGCATCTTTGCGCAGTTCTATTCCCTCAAGTCAAGCCTGGGGGACGTAGATATTACAGAGTGCTTGGGTTTAACCTACCTTTTCGGTTCCAGCAACCACCCTAGTTCCATAGATATCTAGCCTAGCAACTATGGCAGTTTAATAGTTAACAGAGCTACTAGGGCAAGGAAAAGGTGACTTTTCAGAAGCCTGATCAGGCAGTGTATCAGCCTATTTAGGTGTAATCCTAGTCTCCCATCTTCTAGCCTTAACATCTCCATTAAACCTCCGCAGATTTAGGCGATTCTAACGCTATTGGAAACCCTTAGCAAGATGTGCAAATTACATGCAGGACGTATTGTCGTGGCTCGTTGCGTTGAGGAGCCGTTGCAGAATTTGCTGGATGGGCGGTGCTGGAACCTTAGCGGTGGTGCAAAAGCCCATCCCTTTACTCAATCATTAACTAGATGAGACAATTCCAACGCCGTTAGAAAGCTATTATTAAGCTCGATAAATCTTGCATCGAAAGCCTTCTGATAGCTTGTACCCTTTACGTAGTGTTCTTACCTGAGTAGACGGAGAAAGGATGGGCATTGGAACTGAAAAAGTGGTACGAAAACCAACAACCTATTTTGAGCGGGGGTGCTCGCCCAGGAAGCTAGTGCAGAGTGATCAGTCGAGATTTAAGATGAGATTTAAGATCTGAGATGAAAGCGGTGGAGGAACACGAGATGCCGGAATATAGCATGTGGTGTGACATCACCGCCGAAAACGGTATAGAGCTCAATCAAAGAAGCCAGCACGACAACTTCCAAAGGCAACAGCAATCGGCATTTTTTACTATACCTACCTCTCTCCGTCATCAGCTTCCTCAATTTTGATTCTACTGCTTCATCACACTGTTTCTTGTCCTGCACAGGTGAAGAGGCACATCTGCTTCATTGCCGAAGCTGCTCCAACACCGCCACCAAAACCCGGCTTCAAACCCAGATACATCAGCCCTAACCTCACAACCCTCAACCCGCAGTCATGCCCCCAATCCCCATCCACAAAAACGACCCCATCCAACCGGTGGCGGCAAAACCCGACGGCGTGACCCCGCAAACCGCAAACCCACCCCCAACACGCACAACACCGGCCTCGATTCCCGCAACCACAACTGCGGACGCCAACGCCAACCCGCCTCCTCCCCAGCCAGGCGCTCGCCCAATCCCTCCAACTGCCTCGACGGCGGCGCCAACATCCTCTTCCTTCTCACCACCTGCCCCGCAACCAGGCTACACAGCAACCCTTTCAACCACCGAAACACGTCTCGGCGGACTACCACCACAATTCACCATCCCGCCACCCTCAGACTCTCAACTGGCCGGCCGCTCTACCACAGCCGCGAGGCAGGCCTCAAAGCCTGGCCCCACAACCCTCAACATGGCGCCCGCAGCTTCGCCGTTTCAAATCGAACATTCGCAGGGTGCGATCCATGCAAGCGCAAGTGGAGAGGACGAAAGGAGCCTTGAACACCCACCGGGCTATGTGCAGAATTCTGACAATCGCCTATATGCAGCGGAAGGAAGTGCGACAGACGGTCAGCAGGAGAGTGACGGCGGTGTGGGCAGTGCAGCCTGGAATGTGTTGAACAAAGCCGGGGCGGCGCTGAAGAAAGGAGAGGAGGCAGCTTGGAGGGCTGTTAGGAATAAGGGTTAGGGAGCGCGTCATCGAAGTTTGCAACCTACCTATGTTAGTCGGCGTATGGCGTTAGGGGGAACCAGATAGATTGATCATCAGCTATTGGGGCCGTCCGGCTGAGAATTATATTAGCATGCTGGTTGAGATCACGGATCACAGATCACACGCCACAGTCAACACATCGGTAGCATTAGCGAATGATAAAGAAAACCCAGACTTCTATGGACTACTATTTCCCCCACCATCCCCAAACGACAGAGACACTGAAGGAAAGAGGCAAATAGACAAAGCAATGCAAGCCGAGGTGCCGTTGTGTAATACAGAGTGCTGAGAGGGAAAAAGATTTGCCAGGCAAGGATAAAGTACAGGGCGTGTGGATCACCTCCATCGTGCTTTTCGTTAACTAGAGCAATCTTCTACCCCGACGGGCTTCTTATTGCTCTGTCCAGTCTACCACTCGCTACCACTCGCTACCCCTCCCCTCAAGCCCAACTCACCACAACAACAATTATCTCCCTCCACCACATCGTTCCAGCATATCGGGTATCGGAGGATGGAGAGGCGCTTAACCAGATCCACCCTTGAACTTCTTGCCGAAGAGGATCAGCTGGACTTGGTCATAGATGGAGAGCACACCAGCACCGGCGACACCACGGAGGATGTTGGCACCAGCACCCTTGAAGAGAGACTTGACGCCCTCAGCGGCGATGATCTTGCGGGCAGCATCCATCGAAGACTTATACTTGACGGCCTGGAAATGGATTAGCATGTGATTCTTCAATGGAGCATGGATGCTTGATGACATACCTCACCAGAAGTCATCATCATACGACGACGGATGGTGTCGAGAGGGTAGGAAGCGATACCAGCACCAGTAGTGACAGTCCAACCGAGCAAGAAGGAGGCCAAGAAGTTACCCTCGAGAGGGCCGACGAGAACAACGGGTTTGATGGAGTCGTACATGCCGAAGTAGAGACCACGGTAGACGACGATACCAAGAACAGAAGGCATGAAACCACGGTAGAGACCAGCAATACCATCGGAGGCGAGAGTCTTCTTGTAAACGTCGACGAGGCCGTTGAACTGGCGGGCACCACCAGTCTTGGCATCCTTAGCATCGTTGGCAAGACGAGTACGGGCATAGTCGAGGGAGTAGACGAAGAGCAGCGAAGTAGCACCGGCGGCCTAGAGTAATCAGCTGAAGCCCATGCTGCTCGAAGAGTCTAGGGACTTACACCACCAGAGGCCAAGTTGCCCATCATCCACTTGGCGTAGCCATCACGCTCTTTCTTGAAGGCGAACATGGACTTGTAGGTATCACGGAAGGCGAAGTTCAGGGCCTGGGTGGGGAAGTAACGGATGACGTTGGCAGTGTTACCACGCCACAGGGAGAGAACACCCTCTTGTTGCGAGGTTCGCCTAAAGCAGTCCGCGATACCGTTGTACTTGCGGTCAAGACGACCAGACTTGAGCATCTCATCCTGTGCAAGGCAAAATGTCAGTGGCGACCTTGGGGGAAGCTCTCAAAGAGCAGTAGATAGTGCGTACCTGATTCTGGATGAGGAGCTTAATACGCTCGATGGGAGCGGCGGCGGTCTTGGAGACGGCGGCAGAGACACCACCCACTGGAGATAAGGCGTTAGTTCCCGCATCAACCGGTAAAATTTTGGGAAAGATTGGACATCAATTCACGAGGCCAATTGCATTGGCAGAAGATGGAACCGGCGTTGTGAAGGGTGACATACTCAAGAAATCGACCACGAAGCCCTGTAGAAGTTAGCACGGGAGTTACAAAATTGCCGCAAAAAAAGTTGCGAAGCTGAGCCGCCTCCCACGACGCCCATCAGCAACAGCAATAATTTCATCTCGCACAATCATTGCATCACCCGGAAGCCATTGCTCGATCGCATTGAGATGATTTTATCGCTCGTCGCCGGTCAGGTCGCCATTGATGTGGACAGGTTGCTGTGGAATTGGGGGTTAAGCTTACGGGCATGCCCATGAACGACTTGTCCGCCTGGACGACATCGCCTTTAGCCATTGCGAGAGAAATGAAGGTATTCGGAGTGGAGAATTCTGCTGGTGCCGCTGGCAAAGAGTGGTGTGGAGGTCGGGCTGGTGGATGGGAGAGGAATATATGGAGTCTGCGGGCGAGAAAAATAGAGAATACCAAGGTTTTGCCCGAGCGCCGCGCTAGCTTAGTTAAGCCAGCCGATGGTCCGGGAGGTCTTCGCACACTCTACCCCGAGGATATTCAACGGGGGAAGATACTCGCAAATATTTGCCATGCGGCTTAAAAATGTGATGTCACTAGTAGATGCACCATCTGCACCTTCATCTCAAGGCCTTTTGATAAGCTCCGTCTCTAATGAACTGCTCAAATAATACTCTTCTCACCTCTAGTCCTCCCTATCGCACATGAACCACGCTGTGCTTCACCGCCCCACCCCCAACGTAGCAGCGGCCCTCGGGTATCTTTTGGCGCATCTTTTCTGCCAGATGGCACTCCAGAAGTCCGCCCTCGATCCGTTTCCTTTCACGGTCGTTCAGATTTTGTTCAGCGTCGGGTAATATCGGCTTGGGACCCCGCGGCTGGACCAATCAGGACCAGGGAGATGGAAAAACCATGATGAGGCTGTGATTGCGATGGCAGCGAAACGGCTGTGAACAAAGCGACAATTCTCTGTCAGATTTTGGCACACTCATATTTAGTAACACTTCTCCTACAGAAAATAAGGCTGGCATTGAGAGTGTACATTGCTTCTAATACCAGACCTAGTGCACAACAGTTTAGAATTTGAGTCAAGCACACAAACGCCGACAGGGTAGCCTTTTTGAATTATATCGTTCTTCCTAGCATCATGCTGATACTCCACACTTAGCTTTTCTTATCCTCCTATCTGTTAGGGAATAGTGTCTGTTATAGTAGCAGCAGCGTTTCTCCACTCGTCCTCTAGTTTCCTGGCAAGCATACAACACTAGCGAAATCTATGTTTCACTGTACCTCAGCCTTCTCGAACTACTTTCCTTATCTTTAAAATTCTTCACTTAATTATTACCGCTTTTCCATAACTATCCAAAATGATCCAAAAAAGTGCAGGAAAAAGCACAATTGTGTAATCTCAAAAGGATGTTTTCGGCAGGACGCCAATCAACACATTCCTTACTAACAGGGTTCATAAATCTACAGCTTAGATTCTAAAGAAGAGAATCAAGAGAGGCATATTAGCATCATCTTGAAACCCGTGGCAGCTGCTTTTCTATATCAAAAGGCCTTTCTATGTCAAGATATACGAGCTTGAAAGTGGAATGGCAGGCGGAAAATACTAGAAATTCGTACTAGACACACACGCAAACAAATCACGTAAGCCAGTTCGATCAGAGTGTCTCCAAGCAACACCTTCGTTGCTATTGATTTCGTCTTACATGCGCTTTCTTTCGCCTGCGCCCCCTCTCCATATTACTGTATGCCGTGAAAGATCATCAGACGCCTCAGTCAACGAGGACGGTGAGGCCCGAGCGTCATCTACCACACCTCCTGAGCCTGATGCCGATGCTGGTGACGGAGAGGTGACCACGTCATCCACAGGTGCACCATCCAAATTGGCCAACAACTCACTCTCATTCTTCTGAGATGGAAGGATGAGCTCTGTGGGGCTAAGGAGGAATGAATGTCGTTTCCAATTCCCGCCAAGCGCGTCGATATTAGAATGCCGTCTCGAAGCTCCTTCGGGTGCGATGAGAAGGTCAGAATTTCGCTCTCTGGAAGCGTCTTGTGAATGGAATCGCCGATGCGCCGATTTTTGAGCCGAGGTAGAACCCTCTAGCAAGCTCAACGTCTCGAAATGAGACTGTCGTCGAGGTGAAGGAGGGGTTAGGATTGTCGAGGGGCTCTCGTCTGATGTAATCGAAATGAGAGGCGATATCTCGGAGTGAGATCCCGAGGTGTCCTTTCCTTCACCTGTCTTCTTCCTTTTATTGGTATTATTAGCCGTAATCTGGACACTCACATGGGCCGGCCTCCGCATTTGGCCCTCTGTCCTCTGTATACTAAGTTCAACTGCAGAGGAGGCATGCCGCAGGGTGCCAATATCCGGCGCATTATTGGCCTGCATATTGGTTGTGATTAGTGCTATCGGAGACGATATTTTGGCCTTATCAATATGTTGCCTTGGAGATTTTGTTCGAGGGAATGGTGATGGTGGTATCTGATATCGCTTCATCGCTGGAATTTTTTTTCGTCTGGGTGACGTAGATGGCGAGGGTTGGAGGGATGATGTTGGGGAGTCTTTGCCTAACGAAAGCGTTGGCGGTGAGGCCAAGCCAGGGAGCGTATCCGTAGGAGGTGCTGCTGGCTGAGTTGACGAAGGCGCGGAGTTATTCAATGAAAGCCTTAGTATTGCCCGTGCTGCTTCGAGTTAGCTTGCCTTTAGCGAGAACATAGACAAAGAGATAAAATAGTAAGCGTGAATTGTGTGAGAAAAAAGGCTCAGATCTAAAATGAGCGATCAAGAAGCCTCATCAATAGGGTTTGGTCAATGTGGGCGTGTTTGTTAAGGACTTTCATGGATAGTTTTTAGGAAATGATCCCACTTACCATTTTCTCCTGATATTGTCGCTGGATACTCCTTTAAATACTTTTTCACACAATGAGTTCTCCGAACTGACATTTCATCGTCAGAAAGGTTGGTGTCCAGGGTAGGGTAGTGAGTTTTCATCGCATTCTCCAACGCTTCGGCGCTCGGGAATATTACGGGGTTCCTTTGGTATTTGAAAATCTGGAGAGCCTTCATATCACCCATGGAAAATGGCAGGCCTTTAATGTCATTTCCGATCACAGAAAGAACTTTGAGCGATGTAAGCTTCGAGATGCTCCCAGGAATAGCTCGAAGGCGATTTCTGGCCATGTCTAAGATCTCGAGTGATGCAAGCTCTAATATAGCGCTAGGAATGACTTCGAATTTATTGCCACGCAAATTTAAATAACGAAGACGCGAGCATAATACCAGGTTGCTGGGGATTTGTTCCAGATTGTTGTGACTCAATGCTAACCGTTCGAGATGAAATCGCAGAACATCAACAATTTGCTCCGGGAGATCATCGATTTTCTTATAGCTAAGATCGATGGTAAGCCCAGGATATTCGCTTGAAGGTATCATAGAATCGTGAGTCGTATTTTTGATTTTGAGGTCGTGGGCGATGACTTGCTCTTTGACTAGTCGATTGATTTCTCGTGGTTGCAGGCCACCCCCTCCATTTCTTGGATCCACCATGCCTTTAACAGTTTTTGTCTCCCACTTAGACGTTTTGGTTGGAGTCGGATGCTTTGGTGAACGATATCTCTCACGTTGAAGGTTGTCACTACTCGGCGATCTTGGTGATATCCCGCCAACATCGTTCATCAGCGTCCCCAAGATTATCCGTCGATCTTCAAATGAACGTTCGATTAGCCAAGTACGGACAATTCCATAGAAGGGGTCTGATAAGACATTCGATGTCCAGGCACTTTCAGATGCCGGCGATATTCTCCCGTTAATCACAGGAGAGGGTCGTCGTTGATGTGAAGGTATCCAGGATTGTGGAAGGTATCGAGTAGGTGTAGTTCCATAAGAAGAAGAGGATAGGACAGTAGACCACCGTTGACTGATCCTTTTCTGATCTTCCGACATTAACGCGGAGAGTCTCTGGCTGTGTCGAGAAACCTGCTCCTGAACAGTTTCTGGTTCAAAAGATAATCTCCTCGAGAGGCTAGAGCGGATATATTCAATTTCCTCACGCACTGAGCCCACTAAGGTATCGGTCGGAGAGTATTCTCCAATAGGTTGCTTCGGGCCTGGGGGGTTTTGAAGGGTCTCTGACAAATTCGACAAATGTTCGGATAGATGAACTTCCTTTGCCATTGCAGCAGAGTATTCTTTGAATTCGCGCTCCGCTTGTTCCAACTCAATCATGGAGGCACGGTGTTCAAGTTGGAGACTTTGTAGGAACGAGCGGTCTTGCTCTTCTTCTATAATAATCTCTGGAGTATTCTTCATTGACCTGAGACTTTGTTAGCATAATGTTCAGATAGTTAGAGTAATGACATACGCCCGCCGCGTTACTTTCTCTGCTGTGTTGAGCGTTCCCAACATGAGCGCCAGGTTCGATTTATATGCCTCCAAGGCAGCTCGCAGGATAGTAATCTTAGGCTTTTGGAAGACAACCCATTGAAGCTTTCCAACGAGCCCAAATTTCCCATCTTTTCCTTTCGACATGCCCCGGACACTCTCGGATGCATCAAGGATTTCCGTGAACATTTCCATACTAGCCTCAGTCATGTCTTTGGTCATCTCGGCACAGTGTGAATAATATGCCGAATCTTGGACCTGCTCCAATGTCTCTCCCAATGTCTTGACGACCGCGCAAAGAGCTCTGATTTCACTGCCGATCATTCGAGCTTCCTTGCCCGCTGAGCCTACATCAGCTGCTAGCTGTGAGAGGACAAGAGTGACCTTCGTGCCGGCTGACACGATGCCAATGATGCTCGCGGCCAATTCAGCCATGACTCACAAAGTTAAACGAGAGTACAATGGGATTATAATAAGCATAGGAGGAAAGACAAAATATTTTAGAAAGGCGGCCCTTATGGGGAGCCCGACTCCTGAGGCTAAATCCTCAGGCTCCAGTCAAAAGCAATTCTGTGGCGCAGCAGCTAGATGTCTAAACCAGGGGAAACAAGTTTGCAGCAGCCACAGGCGGCAGTTTAAATAGAGAATGTTTCAAACTCGAGGCTGAAGCCATCGGTATCTGCATGAGATTTAGCACAGGGTTGATCGACTGGAGGAGATGATTGCCGATGGCCTAGTGCTCCCCTGTGGCGGTGCGGCTGAGACTCATTTTGACAAAAGGCCATGGTCGATGTCGTCAGTCAGGAGGTTAGTGTTGATGTGCTGAGTAAATGTGTTATTGCAAGCAATCAAGCACTGTCCTGTGCGAATAGAGGAGAATGTAGGACGAATGTCAAGAAAGCACACGAAGAGGGAAACGGCTCTCGGTTTATCTTTTCTCCGTTCTTCAACGCCCCAAATTCACCGAAGCTTTCCCGCGACCCTGCCCTGCGTGCCTGCTCACTCACTAACCTTGCAAATCCTCCCTTTTAACCCGGGAACCCACCCCGCAACACGATGCGGGCTTCACATTTATCTCTGGCCGGTCTAGTTTCCATCGCCTCTGCTGCCCGCTTTGTACTGCACATCCCCACAACCCAAGTGGTTAATCCTTCAACGCTTACAGCCAGCACGCACGCAACGCTGCAGTCTTCAGGCCCTCCCTTAATCGCACATCTAACACGCTCAAACACATTCAACTTTTACAATGTCACTCCTGGTAGTTACTTTGCCGCCGTTCACTGTCGGGATGTCGCCTTTGAACCTATCCGGATAGACGTCAGCCTCGAGGAGATAGTAGAGGGGAGCGGGGAAAAGAAGGAAATGATTCGAGCGTGGCAGACATTCATTGGGAATGAGTGGGAGAACAAAGGAGAGTCTAGAGGAGAAGGCGGAAATGGGTTGGTTGTTGAAGTCAAAGCCATAGGGCAAAAGTACTTTTTTCAAGAACGAAGCGGATGTAAGTCCTGTCCTCGTCGCGTTAGGAATCTATGGCTAGCATTCGAATGCTCACGCGGTTACCAACAGTCTCTCCCCTCTCCTTCTTGAAGAATCCTATGATTCTCATGGCCCTTTTCTCCATGGTCCTCATTTTTGGGATGCCATATTTGATGGAAAATAGTAAGCCCGGTTTATTTGTACTCTCCGCTTGGCCCCCCGATCGACCTTTTTTTGTTTGGCTACAGCGACTGACGATACCACAGTGGACCCAGAAACCAAAGCCGAGTTCGAGGAAATGCAGAAGAAAAGTCCATTGGGAGGGGGTGGCAACCCAGCAGCCCAGATCCAGAACTTTGATCTTGCATCTTGGATGGCTGGAAAGACAGACCAAGGAAGCTCGAGTCGAGGCCAGAGCCCTGCTCCGCAATCGAAGAAGCGTGGTTGAGCTGCTACTCAGCCATTCTATCCGGCGCACATGACATAGATTTTGCCAAAGTAATTGGAAATTAGGTAGGGCATGAAGGCTATTAAGATTATGAGATACCCTCTTTGTGCATTATGAGATTCCCCGGCAATCTTGATGAAGTCCTATACATAGTGGGGATCGATGGCGGCACCTGAAGACTCGACCCAATCATGCGCACTTATTTCAACTCCTCGGATCTGCTCCATCACCGGCATATTATATACTTCCCATGCGCCTTTTGAAATGCCTCAAAAGGGCTAGAACCACGAAACCATATGTATTCTCTGACATACGAACGATGTCACCAGCTTTCAGATCTCACAATTCTCTGCGTGATGTCGTACATGTTCACAAGACGTACCTTGTAACCAATACGCACACTAATTCTGCTTCTGATGAAGTATATAACAAGCTCTTAATCCTTTGTAGCTGTATCGACCGTCAACTAACTTCTGTTATGCTACTAGTCAACCTAAATCTCCAATTCAATCTCCATGCTTCTCCAAATCTTCTTCACCTTCCTCTCCCCTTGTAAATCCCCATACCTAGATTCTCCTCAACAAACTAACACTGGACCTCTAATATCATACATACACTCACGGAGCCAGTCCCTACCTTCCCATCCCTTGCAAAAGTCTCTTCAAAAGTCTTCATATCCTAGCCCTCTTCTCCCCAACGATTTCCATTCACTGATGGACCAATTCCACCAACCCGCAAACGTGACGATATCGCCTTCACAACGCCGTGCCAATGGAGAGAAGGAAAGGGTGACAACGAACGGAATAAGGATAGGGACGAGGAGGAAGAAATTGTGGGATGAGGATTCCAAAGGGGGGCGAAGGGGGGAGGGGAGGAATTCGGAAGACTAGGGAAGCGAAACAATAGTTGAGATAGATGTTCAGAGGAAGAACGGTAAAGGGAAACCAGTGTCTATCCCGACGAAGAATGGTAGGACGAAGAACGGATTGAGATTGCTTCAATGTCAATGAGTGTTCGGAAGATGGGGTAAAATGGTATAGAGAAGGCAAGGAGGAAATATAGGAAGGGAAAGGGGGGGAGTTTGGGTCGAGTGAGTGTTTCCGGATGACTGTTTCCGCGCCGGTGGATACTTCTTCTGTTCAAAGAGCTAAGGGGACAATGACGGCGGATTATTTTACATCCTAGCTTAAAGGTTTCGATCATATGAACTCTTACATGTTTCTTTAACCTTACAGTACGTCGACACATGGCATGGAACACGAACAGAGTGGGTTTCATCTGTTGAACCGCTTGCTTGAATCGCCAAGAGTGTAAACAGAATGGCTATCCCCGACAAGAATGATATTCTTGTCCTACTCTACTTAAGTGTTGATATCCAGTAAAGCCCGCTATATATGTCCAATAGCACCATTCTCCCCCTTGTCCCTTTTCGCAATCTCCTCTACGTTTAGAACCGTACCGTTTCTGATACTCGCCTCTAAGTCCTTCTTGCTGACCTGACACTTTGCATCGTACTTACACTTATTCCGACCGCAGTGGGCATCCCACAAGATGTTCTGACCCGTCAACGTCGATCCAATAAGCTCCAGAAACAGCACGAAAAGTACTAGGCACGTAGTTGTGGCAATCAGCTCTAGTGAATTGAGATGTTCTTTTGCAAGGGGAAGAAGTATGATCGCAATTGATACTAAGAAGCGAATCAAGATGCATTTATTCTTTCCTAGTCGTCGATTAGGGATGCTCCGGTAGACATGTGTGTAAGAGATTACACTCATGCATGCTAGAGATATGCCGAGACCGCCGCAATAAAACCAACGGAGGCTGTCCTCTATGTGCTCTTCGGAACGGGGGATAAAAGTTTCGTAGAGTGAATCGACGGGGGCGTCTTCGCAGTCGTGGGCGCGGACAAGGACAGCGAGGGCGGATGCGCTTAGAACGAAAGACATGATAAATGGGAGATGGATGGAAAGCCATATCATTGCTAATCGGCCGCGTTAACATTTTGAGAGGCACTGAAGGATGATGCCCTTACCTGATGCAACATGTCGACGGATAGCATGGGTATGCAAATTAAAACTGTCGATCTCGAAATACAGCCAGTTGAATGTGAAGGCTTGAATGAGGCCGAGAGCCGCTTTTCCAAAAAAGGCGTTGATCCCGAACGGGACTTTGCTCTGATAGAGCAACCCGAGGACGCAAGAACCAAATACCAAAGTGACGAAGGCATTCATCCGTTCAATCCTATGCTCAATATTCGTCCCTGGGAAGAATTCGAACTTCTTCTTCGCCCAGGCATGAAACTTCTCGGACATCCAGCCAGCGCCTCGTTGAAACGTAATCATGGCTGGTGGACCAAATATGTCTAAGAATATAGCTGGCCAGATCAAGGCTTGACGGCCAGGCTCCTCAACATGAATGCTGCCGATCCATAAAGCGGCCGGAACGGCATTGATGATACCGTTAGCGATCATCGAGGCTCGGACCATTGGAATCTGCCAGGCGTACCAGAAGATGGATACAGCAATAAACAGCCGGGCGGCAAGATAGAAAGCTACTAAAGGTGCATAGGTCTCTGTGAACGCTGCTGCCATATTTGTTGTAAATCCGAGTAGACAAGTAAGGATGAACAAGATAGAAAAGCGGCGGAGAATGTCGTCAGAGTCGAACCAGCCAATTAAGGCTGAAATATCGGACCAGAACTTCCAACCCATGACGAAGGTTATGACGAATCGTAGAAGAGACTCTCCGGTGGGATGTTCGGCTGCAGTATCGCCTGTGATAGCAATGATCCCAACGTAGAAAAGATCAACAAACAGTTCATAACTTGCTACTTCCTGAGCTTCACGAGCACGCCAGAGAAGCCCTTTATGAAAGTACTGTCTGACGATCGGCTTCTGGTATAAACGCATAGTCTCGCCAAGTTTGCGTTCGGCAGCCCATTGATTTTTGTCGAAGCTAGAGTCGCCGTGAAGGGAAGCTGCTCTTGATTCGTTAGGGCTATCTTTAGTCCCTATACAACATGTTAGGCTCAAAGACGATGTTAGGGGGTGCTTAGAAGCTCGACAGAAGCACGCATGGCGTAATCAGAGCCGATGTTTACAGAAAGAGAAACTCACTCAAATGCGCAGAGTATCCGTATTTCGAAAAGTTGGCATCCAGCTGAACGGCGTGTTCAGATATCATATGGAGCTCGTTGGACAACGCATCTAATTCACGAATGACGCGCTCAAACTCATTTGCAAGATCTCCATGCTCTTCCTTGAGTTGCCGATGCCTACTCTCATGATGGGCATGTGTGTGTCGCAAAGCTTCAATCTACAGTGTATTAGCATAAACCGGCGTATACGCAGCTGTTGGAAACGCACATGCTCTGGGGAACCGTGAATAACTAGGTCGAACTCTCCCTCCTTCTCCACCGCCGACAGGGTCTTCCGCAACTTCTCCGCCTCATCGGGAGACCCGGCGATATGAACTTTCCGACCATCAGGACGAAAGAAGTGTCGTAGTCTTTTTCCCGTATGATGAAGGTGGAGATGATGAGGATGAGCACTCATGGGTGTTTGGTTGTCGACAAGGGTCTGCGGTGTGTCAGCCATGCTTACGCAACAGCATTACAACCGCCAGTGAGGGTCTAAAGTGAATATTTAAAATTATTTGAGCTTCGCATCACGAAACACGGGGTTTGCATCTTATATAAGGATCTCTGCATTAGAGATCCCCGGTGACCACTTCGTTGCTTCAGAGAATGTGGCTTGCCTCTAGTTGGCTTGGCCTTGATCTCCATTGGGCAAGCCAAAGAGATGATATGATGATTCAGCGTTGTCAGCACAGCTCCAAGAGACTTGTATTGAACCCAGAAATCCTTCGAGGTCTGAGCTTTAATGTTGCAACTCTTCATGATCCAGCGACACAGCGACGAAGCTCCTTTTATAGGAACAAAACATGACGAAATCCCGAAGGAAGCTTCCAAGTAACCTACAGCGTGTGGTGATCCCGAATTTCCGCAAGTGGGAACCTTTGGACTCTGGATCATTGCTACCTATGGGAATTCGCGCGGTTTATTCGGTGAATTACGCACATCGAGAGGACCGAAGCCGAAGGCGTGCAACAGATATGATCATTGGTAGATTTTAATTTCAAGTTTGCTCAACATGACTTCGCGATGATGCTGATGCTGCTAGGGAAAAAAATCAATTTAAACTGCCTTTCACAAGCTTCGCCAAAGTAACCTGACTCTCATCATCGATTAGACGCATCTTTTCTCCTAGATTCTGCTTTTTCCTAACCATGTCTTTGCCCTTATGCCAAGTAGCAGCAGTAGTTTACTCTCTGTTTTCGGATGCCGAAGTTTGAGGTGGTTCATCTGGGAATCGTATTGCTCGGGGCGTTGACTGGACTGGTTGAGCCAGTTGAGAGGATTGGGTAGGCTGGGGGAGTTCATTGCTAGCTATCATTTCTATCGTTTCCTGTGAACGCCTTGGAGTTGGTGACGGGTCCCTCTGCGACGCTGAGACCGTCCCGACAGTTGGTGCGTTCGATAATGAGAGCGGAGCTTGTGAGCTAGGGGCCCGGGTATGATTAGCAGATTCGGAGTCGTTGCTACGGACGATGGATCGTCCAATCCGATATACTCGACTTGGGAAGGGATTGGCAATTCCGTTCGATTTAGGGGTCCCCGGGCGACGTCGAAGTCCTTGTTCAGCTTCGTGCTCAGCTTCAGATACATGTTCTCGAATGTGGAACGGCTCAGGCTCGTCCCTGTCAGACGAGATGGCATGAGAGATAGTCCGCGGCAAGTAGAAACCAAGTTTGCCCAGCGGGATACTGAGACCGTGTATAACCTGTACGTGTTAGCTCTATAAATTGGAAAGTCAATACAGCCTAGACTTACAATGCTGCAGATAACTAGAAACCAAATGACAATGTTCATTACCTCCATGAGATACTTTGCATCCGGTCTGATTTCTCCTTCGAGGGTAATCTTTCTCAGAAAGTCTAAGCTAATGTAGAGATAGAAGATTGCACTGACACCGATTGGGCCAAAGAACCCAACGAAGACTGCCTGTCGCTTCTCTTCTATTTGGTGTATACGCTTGTGCATTGCGAACACAATAGGAGGACGACGCAAAAGTAGAACCAGGATTCCGAGGAAGATCAGCCGATAAATAGGGATGACTGAGTTGTGGGCGAACTCATACCAGGGACAAACAGCCCCAAACCAGATGAAGATTGATACGTTGAGCAGCATGTCAATGGTTGGCTGAAATGAATCGTCCATCGTCTCAAGCCGAAACCAATCGCTTCATGATCTTGTCAGTGTCTTGACCGCGGAATTGCTCTTCGTGACCGCTCAACTTACTCCCATGTAAAGGTATTACCGGCAATGAAGCAAGCTAGCACATCGTCAGATCCGATCATTCCGACAGTGCCCACAATGAAGAGCTAAATTATCAATTAGGCTCGCTCAAATTGAATTTTAGCTGCAGAGACTCACCGCTAGAGTGATGGCAAAGACCAAGAAACTCTCTCTGTCTACATACTTGCGCTCTTCTGCCCAGTGGAGAAGCTCTTTGGCGATCCAACCAACCGCTGCGCCATAGACGACGCTGAGTATAATTGTATAACCCCAAGTTTCTCCGAACCACGCCCCCATGGCGTTAAGAGAACTGTTATCCTGCCCTTGTCCACCATATCCGATATGTAGGATCAGGTAGAGTGGCAAGAAAAGAAAGGGGTAGCCTAATCCATCGTTGGCACCTGATTCGGCAATAATAATCTTCTGTAATTCCTTCGGGATGTTCTTGTCTGCAAATTTTCCCTTGACGATGGAGTTCGATAATACTGGATCGGTCGGAGTTACACAAGCTCCAACTGCAAGGGCGTGAAGAAAGCTTATGTGGGGAACGAAGGCAAAGACCAAAAGGCTTGTGAAAATCCACATGACGGTCATCCCTGGACCTAGGAGCAGGGCTAAGCTTTTCCATTCTGTCTTTAGATACTTGGAGGGTAACTGGACCCCTGCGAGGACAAGCTGTACGCCAAGGACAAGTCTTGTAAAATACAGCGTGATGGTTTCTAGAGTCTCTGGATTACCTAAAGCATACTCGTCCGGTCTAAGCAAGTTCGTGGCATGTGGCGAGAAGATGAGACCCGCAATGAGTGAAATTACTATCGATGAGTGTTAGTAGTAAAATGTATTGTCCGGGTAGAATTCTACGGTCTTACATGCTTCAGACAAATAGAATTTCTCTTTGAAGAGATACGAAACCAACCCGAAAAGGGTGATAAACCCTCCAAGAGTGGCACATACAATGTTAAAATTGACCACAGCTAAGGTAGGCATGATGATGAGCCAGTGCGGTGTTAATGGACTGAATGATCTACGAGCCAGGAATTTTAGGTCGCGTAGCCGACCAAAAGCTAATGTTAGGGGATGCTAAGAAAAGCAGCTCCTCTGCTTCGGCAGACAGACTGCAGAAGAGATCGAACCAGTTCCGAAAGTGTTATTGAATCATTGAAGTAGGAGACTTTTGTAAAGCTCTCCAGAAACGCCACTTTGAAGAAGAGCTGAAGAAGAGTGATATCTGTAGGCCTGCAAAGCTTGAAATTAGGCAACGCAGGCTGTTAAGGGCGTCTGTGAGAAAAGGCCGCAAGGTGAGGCGATGTTTAGTGTTAAGTATCCCGACCTTGATATTTTGTTCCTGGGCGGCGCCTTGGCTGGCGTCTTGGCATTGCCAACAACTCTTGCCCGATAGCTGTATTGTATGAAGGGGATCGATTTTCGTGAAAAATTCCGGAGATTCTCCGATTTCAAACCGCAACAGCAATACGTTTATTATAAAATTTAATTCTTGCTGGAATCTGTTTGCCGTGCCTTGATTCCATCCGCACCTTAATTTTGGATGCAAACTCTTTGTTGCCTTGGCTCTTGTGGAGGTTTAAGTTTGTTGGGCATATACAAAGAATATTCCACGCTAAAACGGGCTCCTTCAGAGAATTCATCAACGTTACCATTATCGTCATCTGTAACTTAGCTTTGAAATTATCATCGGTAACTTCTTCTGAAAAGGCGGAAAGATATGCCTCAACACTCATCACAAGACCTCACACTGGGCGCAATATGAAGCAAACATTTCCACGCCCACCGCCCCATTGTTTCTCCTTGGCAAACGATGTCTTTCTAGGCAAAGCTTTGCTATTTGTTGCGATTGGATAAATCAAGTTGCAAAGACGGTACACGTGCTCAGAAGTAGCACACACTGCATGAACTCTTCTTGGCGTGGGAATCGCGTTTGACATTCTCGGTCGGTATCAGTGGTCGGTTTGATAATGGCTTCGTAGGAAACGCCTGCTCATGCCACATCAGTCGGATAGCCTTCATCAACAATGAGATTCGTTAGATGAATGTGGATTCGAAATTTGTAGGATGGTAGAAAGATACGAAGATACTTCTTACAATGACAAGTGCTTTCCAACTTCGTTTAAAGCCTAGTAGTTAAGAATGTGAGACCAAAGAGCTGTTTGAACCATTGTTTTAAGGGCTGGGTGCAAACTATAAAAGAGTCGAATAGATCAAAGCATGGATTTCCTCTTCCGACCGAGTAAACACCTAGAAGAATACGACAAGTAAAATTCAGGGACGGTGGAGGTCCTCACACAAATTACAGTTGAGTACAGCACAAGGTACAAAGTTATCGGTCTGCGGTGGAGGCCACTAAACAATACAAGATGCCTGAATTTAAGGACAGCAGCCAGAGAAACCAAAACTGGATTGTGATTACAACTCGTCCCTTACAACAAGACTGTCGTCTCTGCTTTTTGCAATTGAGGATTGTTCTGAGACAGTGCTGAGACAGAGAGAGCACGAAGTCAATAGAAATGAATTTAATTTAGGTTGCCAAACTGTGTCTCTCCACTCTATAGGGCGTCAAACAGACATCCCAGAAATTGCTAGTCACAGAGAGCGTACTACTCCTACCGAACGAGAACGGGTTAGTCGTAAGAATTTGAAATTAGGTGCTACTTAACACGACTGGCTACAGAAAATTCCGACGAGACGTGAGGAAGAGAGACTACATGATCAGTTAGATGCCTACGACATTTAACAGAATGCATTCCAATTTGACGAAATCCTAAGCAATCGGACGCATGGCTTTCCCATCAAACTCAATTGAAGGTTGAACATGTGCGAACACCTTGCGGGTCTGATCATTGCCTAATCCGGGTTGGTCCTCGGGTTAGAACATCTACCGTCGGTTTGCGCAACTTTGAGTAAGCGGCCGCCATATGATTTATCATTGGTTTCCGTCCTAGGGGGATGTTATGAGGCGGCCAGCTGGCTTGAACGTGGTTCTCTTGAGTTTTTTAGACGGTCAAACGGTTGCTTTAGCACGACGCAGCTAGGGCATGGTCTCGGAAGCGGCGAACATCTAGCAGGAGGACAGAAGACCTGATCCAGACTATCTCACTTCCCCGCTCTGTCACATGCCGGCAAACTCAGGGGTTGAGATGACGGTAATAACAGTTTTGTCGTCGTGGTCGACGACGCTTCACGAGCTGATCGGGAAGAGCAGGCCACGTGCTGCCATACTGTAGGCAAAACTCAACAATTGGGAGCCTCGGCAGGGAAGACGGCGAATCAGAAACCAAAACCGCTTACGCGAGCTCGTAATCAGCCTAGCGCGGGCGATCGGTCCCTGCAGAAAGCCTAGATCTATATTCCATATTTTCGCATGCTCCTCCTTCGCCCCTCGCACCTACAATGCTCAGCGGAGTGATTGTTACAGAATTGTCTCGCAGCTCTAGCCACTGAGCTGCTCGCAGTCGGCTGGCCTCGCCGTACGCTTCCGTGGTCGGCAGCGCCTCAGCTTGCCAGCAAGCGCCGGCTCGGCCTGCAGGTGATATGTGTGCGTCCAGGCGAGATCTGAGCAAGCCATCAGCAGTCCTCAGCGTGATGATGGTTGCGAACTAGCGGTCTGCCTCAACGAGTCCTGCGCCAAGCGCGGCGGGTGTGTGGGATCTTCAGGGAAAACCAAGAGTCCAGGTGGAGAGGACTCGAAAAGCCGTGTGAAGACGGAAGAGTGCAGGCTAGTGAATGCATGCAACCACAGCCGTCTTGCTCTGCTCCGGTTTGACCCAGACGGCGCTCCTACGCGCAGTTTCATCCATGGCGGGGACCTCGCACAGAGACTCTAGCGACGGGTGCTCAGAAGAAGCCCGCGCGGCAGTGGCAATTGAGCGTGAAAATCAATTTGATCGACCGAGACGAGCAGCGGAGAGGACCAGCTCTGTCCCTCTGTTCAGCGGCGCCGTTGTGTATCTTATCCATCAGCCCCTGGCGACACCCTTCTCGAACACGATTTTCGCCTGTCGCTAACCCGGCCCGATTTAGGTCAACCAAGGGTTCCGTCAATTTTCTGTCACCGCCTGGCAGCTCCGTTCCTTTTAAAATCTGCTCCTCCCCCGCCACCCCTCTATCCCTCGCTCCTAATTCCTCGCTCCTAGATTCTCGATAACGTGATAGGCTTCGAGGGTCGTCGTGGTTCTTATCGAGCCCTGCGTTGAGGCGGGAACCCCATTTCAAACAGCGTCTCCCAACAACCGATTCGAGCCTCAACAAGCTCCTGTCACGGCCCGCACCTGCCTTCAATTCCACTCAAAAAGGCCTCGCTTGTTTATTTGGCGACCTGGCTAAATCTTCCATTCTTTTGTAAACCCATTGCTACTCGTATAGCCGTCATACCGCCGCCAACATGGCCACAACTGCCCGCCCACAGAACCCGGTTCTAAAGAGAACTATTACGTCCGATTCCTCCCCGACGTCTCCAGCGCCCTCAGTCTCGGATTCGCCCGTAGAGTCTCCAACCCAGTCTCCATCTGCCACCTCTTTGTCTTCGCTCAGCTCGGCCGATAACGTCGATGTCAAAAACGCTCGTGGTACCCTCTTGGACACGTGGGGCAACGAGTTCGAAATTCCGGACTTCACCATCAAGCAGATTCGCGATGCCATTCCTGCCCACTGTTTCAACCGTTCTGGGGCCCGTGGCCTTGGCTATGTCGCCCGCGATGTTGCTTCGCTAGCTGCCACCTTCTACTTCTTCAACACCTATGTGACCCCGGAGAACATTCCAGCACCCGCTATCAGGGCTGGTTTGTGGGCTGGATATACCTTCGTACAGGGCTTGTTCGGTACCGGGCTTTGGGTGATGGCGCACGAGTGTGGCCATCAGGCCTTCTCGCCGTCCAAGACACTGAACGATACTGTGGGCTGGCTCTGCCACTCCTCTCTCCTCGTCCCATACTTCTCGTGGAAGATCTCCCACGGTAAGCACCACAAAGCTACCGGGAACTTGGAGCGTGACATGGTATTCGTGCCAAAGTTGAGGGAGGAGTATGCGTCCCGGGTTGGCAAGCTGGCTCACCAACTCTCTGAGTTGACCGAGGAAACGCCAATCGCCACTGCCCTCCATCTGGTCACCCAACAGCTCGGAGGTTGGCCTACATATCTCCTCTCCAATGTTACCGGACACAACTACCACGAACGTCAACCTGAAGGCAAGGGCAAAGGAAAGAAGAATGGTTTTGGAGGTGGCGTGAACCACTTCTTCCCCTCCAGTCCCTTGTATGAGAAGAAGGATGAACACCTGATCCTCCTTAGCGATCTTGGCCTCGCCATTACTGTGGGCATACTCCTCTATATTGGAAAGACCTTTGGATGGACCAACTTGTTGGTATGGTACGTTATCCCGTATCTTTGGGTGAACCACTGGCTCGGTAAGTTCTTCCAAATGGCGGATATCGATGTACAATTAACAAGAATTAGTTGCCATAACCTTCCTTCAGCACACCGACCCGACCCTCCCGCACTACGACGCCCATACCTGGAACTTCACCCGCGGAGCCGCTGCGACCATTGATCGTGAATTTGGCTTCATTGGCCGTACCCTCCTTCACGGCATCATCGAGACACACGTGCTTCACCATTACGTCTCCACAATTCCCTTCTATAACGCCGACGAAGCTTCGGAAGCTATCAAGCCGGTTATGGGCAAGCATTACCGCGCTGATGTGAAGGATGGCTCGCTTGGGTTCCTTAAGGCCTTGTGGCGAAGCGCTCGCATGTGCCACTGGGTCGAGCCCAGTGAAGGTGCCAAGGGAGAAGGCAAGGGCGTCTTCTTTTTCCGCAACAGGAATGGGCTCGGTGTCCCACCACAAAAGATGTCCGCCCCGGTCGCTAAGCCGACTGCTGGTAAAGGTGCGAAGATGGAGATGGGCACTGAGAGCGACCACGAGTAATTTACGACGCGATTTTATGATACTCATGCCAGCAGTATATGTATACATCCCCTACCGAACATCTCGCATTGCGTCTAGGAGAGGAGTTTTTCGATTCGGCCGCTTGATACCGAAATGATATCTTCTTTTGTTCGCTTCATCGAGTCGAGCGCTGCCTTTTGCAAGACACTGCTTAGATAGACCATTATATCCCTGACGAGAACTGCGACATGGCTTGTAGAATGCTTGATGGAAAATGATTCCGTAGATAGGTCATAGAGTAAACGACAAAAAATCAGGATGTTCAAAATGTTCAACTCGGGGTTCAGAGTTGCAGTGCTTGAAGTGGTCTTGTGACGCATATGTATGGCTGCCTTTTGCTTCCGGATCCTCCGCCGCTCCTATGGGCGATGGTGGCGACTGCGGGGAAGAAGCCGACCACAAGCGTAATTAACCAACGGTATTCCTTTTCCAAGGTCTGCTCAATACTATCAAACGATGTCGTTGGAGTTTTACAGGCTAGCATTTTGGCTATTTAGTGAAACGTGTGCTGGGTGTCTTGAACTTGGCTTGTTGGTCGGCCCCAGCTGAGTTGGGAGGGTGTTGTGAGCGCACGGAACAGAAATGCACAAAAATTGCACCGTCTGGGGCTGATTGCATGGACTTTCTGCACCGTACTCGAATGGATTGGGTGGATAGCATGCTGCTTGACACGATACGCTCCTGTTGAGTCTAATTCAGGACTGTAAGGGAACAGAAGACCCCTCGTCGTTATAGGACGGCTTGACACATGAGTCTCCCAGCCTGAATAAATCCAAGCGTAATCATGATGATGATGATGATGATGGGATGCAGTTGGTTGAAAAAGATGTAGCGACGTTGGTAAGGAACAAGATATCATCAGAAAAGTCCTCATCCGCTCCAGCTACGGCGCACTGCGAGTCGTGCTCTCGGGCAGGTAGCAGGGGAAGGTCAGATTTGTAACATGCCTCTCTTGCGAGCAGCATGGCCGACCTTCCTACAATAAAATCTGTCCTTGAATGAGTTGAGGAGAGGAAAGGTCGGCCGCCCTGCGAAGATTTCTTATCCACAAGACGCTAACCTGAATGGATAACGGGTACGCTAGCCAATCACGGCTGCCGGATTATCCCGCTGGTGGCGAGCTCTCGAAACCTCACGAGGTAAACGACAGTTGTAGCAACCACACCATTGCTATTCCACACCAACCCAGCATGCTGCGGCAACAATTCATCCGGTCGTTGAAGAGGCCCGCGAGTCGGCTCGCAGGCTTCAATGGCAGCCGGGCCTTTGCTGCCACTGCTAACCGACTCGCAGAGGTTGAGCTCACTATTGGTTTGTGCCGTTGTCCCACGTACACGAAGAAGCATGCTGACTTCCATTGCAGATGGAAAGAAGGTATCAATTGAAGGTATGCCGGCTCTCATACTGCGTTGAAGCTTCGAATACGAATCTCACCCTCTCCCAGCCGGCTCGGCTCTCATCCAAGCGTGCGAGAAAGCCGGAAGTACGGTGCCGCGATACTGTTATCACGAGAAATTGATGATTGCCGGAAATTGCCGTATGTGTCTGGTCGAGGTGGAGCGGGCTCCAAAGCCTGTGGCATCATGCGCCTGGCCCGTACAGCCGGGGATGGTGGTTAAGACGGACTCGCCGCTTGTGCACAAGGCGCGAGAGGGTGTGATGGAGTTCTTGTTGGCCAACCATCCCTTGGACTGCCCAATCTGCGACCAGGGAGGCGAGTGCGATTTGCAGGATCAGTCAATGCGATATGGCGCAGACCGAGGCCGGTTTCATGAGATGGGGGGCAAGCGTGCGGTTGAGGACAAGAACATCGGGCCCTTGGTCAAGGTAGGACATGGCGGTCCGTTAGCACAAGGCAGCCGCTCACGCTGGACAGACTTCAATGAACAGGTGTATTCACTGCACACGATGCGTCCGGTTCGCCAACGACGTTGCCGGCGCTCCTGAATTCGGCTCTACGGGACGTGGCAACGACCTCCAAATTGGCACCTACCTCGAGCGGGCCCTCGACACTGAGCTGTCCGGAAACGTAATAGACCTTTGCCCCGTTGGTGCTCTAACATCAAAGCCTTATGCATTCAAAGCTCGTCCGTGGGAGCTGTATCACACCGAATCAATAGATGTCCTGGATGGTTTAGGTTCAAACATCAGGATAGATGCCCGAGGTATCCAGGTCATGAGAATTCTGCCCCGATTGAACGATGACATCAATGAGGAATGGATTAACGACAAGACTCGTTTCGCTTGTGATGCGCTCAGCACCCAGCGTCTTGTGAACCCACTCATCCGTGCAGAGGATCAGTTCCAGCCAGCTTCATGGGAACAGGCCCTCGTGGAGATTGGTAATGCTTACAAGAGGATAGCACCCAAGGGTGACGAATTCAAGGTTATTGCCGGTCATTTGGTAGAGGCTGAAACTTTGGTTGCCATGAAGGACCTTGCCAACAAGCTGGGATCCGAGAATTTAGCCTTGGACCAACCCGGCGGTAGCGAGCCCATTGCTCATGGTATTGACGTCCGTTCAAACTACCAATTCAACTCTAAAATATATGGTGTGGAGGAGGCGGATGCCATTCTACTTATTGGCACCAACCCACGACACGAAGCTGCTGTCCTAAACGCTAGAATCCGGAAGCAATGGCTAAGGTCCGATCTCGAGATTGGCCTTGTTGGTGAAGACTTCCAGAGCACATTTGAGTACGAGAAGTTAGGATCTTCCGCGACTGACCTAAAGACGGCTCTTGCGGGTCCTTTCGGCAAGAAACTGCAAGCAGCAAAGAAACCGATGATCGTTGTTGGCAGCGGTGTTACGGAACATGGTGATGCTAAATCTATCTACGAGCAGGTTGGGTCTTTCATTGAAAAGCATAAGGCGAACTTCCAGACACCTGAATGGAACGGCTACAATGTCCTCCAGCGAACCGCGTCAAGAACAGGTGCTTACGACGTTGGATTCACAGTCCCATCACAGACCGTTGCGAATACTACGCCAAAGTTTATCTGGCTGCTCGGTGCCGATGAAGTCAACGAAGCAGAATTGCCAAAGGGTGCCTTCATCGTCTACCAGGGCCATCATGGCGATCGAGGCGCACAACTCGCCGACGTCGTTCTCCCTGGTGCAGCATACACGGAAAAGGGTGTCACATTCGTCAACACCGAAGGACGAGTGCAGATGACGCGCAATGCCGTCAGCCTCCCTGGCGCATCAAGAGAAGACTGGAAAATCATCCGCGCAGCATCAGAGTATCTTGGTGCCGAACTGCCGTACGATGATGTAGAGCAACTTCGAGACCGCATGGAGGAAATTTCTCCAGCGCTCAGGCGATACGATGTAGTGGAGCCGGTAGCTTTGCCAGGCCTGAGCAAGGTACAGTTGGTCGATCAAAACAAAGGCGCCAAACCCAGCTCAACGCCCTTGAAGAAGGTCATTGAGGACTTCTACTTCACGGATTCGATTTCGAGAAAGTATGCTTCCCCCCTGTTCTCTTCCTCTCCATCTTTAGACATCATAACGCTAATGGCAATGACAGTTCACCAACAATGGCCCGCTGTTCAGCAGCAAAGGCAGCGAATAACCCCGAGACCAACTTCATGGCACCTGGGGAACCAAATCCTCAGGTGGGATATGGTCCAGATTCGTCGTCGGCGACTTTGGCTGCAACATAAAATGAGTTGTAGAACTTGGATGGGGGCCAGAATTGTACATAGGCGTGCGCTTTTCATCGTTTTGAACTTTAGCTGGCATGAGGAGGTAGATGTAAAAGATTCACAACACTAGTGTCGATTTCAATTCTTTCATCTCCGATTTCTGTGAGAAGGGTGATTTGTGATATGTGTAAGGATGCAATATAGCGGGATACTTGTTAGTCTTGCTCGTCCAGGCGAAGCTGCGAAAATTCTGCTCATTATGTAGGTATATGTGCATCGTCGACAGGCATATGCAACTAACCCAATGCCCCCTCCTCACTCTATCCCTCAATACGGAGACCTAGCACACCTGCAAGCCAACCTGCTATCTAGATCAAACCCTTTCGTATCCCCTTCCGCATCCCCTTCCGTATTCCCCTCCGTATTCAAAATAACGCCAATACAAATGCCTGATCCGTTCTATTCCCTAATGTTGTTTTCAGATTCTAGACGTTGCCTACCTGTCCGACATCATGTCTACCCTAACTTGACCTGACATGACGCTCATCTCATGCGGTAAAATACAATGGTTGAAACAAGGAGTAAGTGAGGGAAACGACACTTGTCTCAATGAACTTAGAATGGAAAGAGAGATGAAATGAAAAAATTAAAGTTGAGTTAACCATACGTAACCCCCAAACCATTAGGCCGCCCAGTAATACCATTGGGCCGCCATGTTTCTTCCTGCTTTGTGCCGGGTGGTAGCCAGCTTGGTTGCTGGTTGGAAGCCCCATATCTGCCTAGCCCCACATCGTCGTGTTTCTTCTCATCGCGCGGTTCGAGGGAGCCATTGGAAATGGGGTATGCGCCTGTGCCAGCAGACACGACTGTCGGAGAAGCGGTGAAAGCGGGACGGGTCAGCTTGTCTGTTGTGAGGGGGAGTAAGGTGCCTTGTTGTTTGCTGCGTAGGGCTCTAGCAAGTTTGTCCGCCTTCGCGGCATCGCTCGTTCGGTCGTAAAGGTATAGACCTAGGAATGTGAGGGCGACGCCGAAGCCTTGGATTCGGGTTATTGGGTTGCCAAACCAGAAAATGGCGAAGACGATGACGAACACACGTTTTATGAGGGAGGCGACGGAGTAGGTGACTGGGGAGACCATGGAGAGGAGGACGAAGGCAACGATGTTTTGACCGAAGTGGAAGGTCCCATTGAAGAGGAATTCGAGGGCGAGGCGGCCATGGTCGAGGCTGCCGGGACGATTGGAGAGATCGATAGAGGCATCTTGGAGGAAGTCGCCCATGAGCGTGAAGCCTTCGGACCAGAGCCAGATGGGGAATGTGAAGATGAAGGCGAGCCCAGATGAATAGCACAGGAGGTTGAGCTTGTCAGGTTTGGAGAACTTGGTGGGAGGGAGACCTTCCTTTTCTGCAGCGGCGGCGTCGTTGAAGATTTGTTTCGAGACGATGTTTTGAGTTACGAAGAGGATGGCGCTAGCGAATGCCATGAGGAGGCCCATGAAGTTTGCATTGAAGTCGGCGGAGCAGGCCATCACTACGCCGAGGGTGAGGGGGATCAACGACAGATAGGTGGGGATGGAGTATTCGATTTGGAAGTAGAGTCGGTACGCCATTACGGTGAGGAGAGGGGAGAGGCCTTTGATAGTGTGGACAAGGGAGACGGGAATCCTCCTGGTGGCGTCGGAGCTTAAAATGTGTCCCCCGATTTGGAAGAGGGTAAGCGGAAGAGTTGTCATGATAAGCTCCTTGCTGGGAGACCGGATGCCCCATTTCAGCACTGGTATGGAAGCTTTCAGGCGGGGATATCTTTTGGCAAGAGCGGCAAGGAAGAGGCACCAGGACGATACAAAGGCGAATTGAATTAGTGTGAGAGTGACGGGGTTCGGGAGCGCAGTGAGGATGGCTTTCGAGGACGTGTTCGTGAAGATGGAGGTCATGTACCAGACGCCGCAGAGTATCTGCTCAAATATCAGCGTTGCTCCGGCCTACGACATTACAGACGTACAATCAGCCTTGGAGATAGCGGGACCTTCAGCGCGTCGGCAATCTCGGCAGCGTTCTGGCTGACGCTCGCTCTCCTCGTTCGTATTGTCCTAATTGCTTCACTCAGACTCTTCTGCCTGCCATGTCTGGTAGCGGGAGCATGGGTCGAGCCATTCATGTACGCATATCTCGACTCCTTGCGCGGCTGCCATCGATCGGAAGACGCGCTCGACTGCGGTTGCGCTGCCCGATTGGGACTTGGTGACCGCGAGGAGCTGAGCCCGAACGGCGGCTCCTCTGGGTGGGCCGGGAGCAGATCAGGCTGGAAGGGCGGGAATTTGAACGTCGCATGCGCGCTCGAGTCTTGAGGCGACGCCATTGAGGCTTTGGTGAAGAGCGCAGGCGGTGCAATGGGTAACCTAAGCCATGGAGCTCGGAGTGGACGATGTCGGGATTTTCGGGGTGGAGTTCAATATTACACACCAAAGCTGAGGGGCGCGCGTACGACCTAGCAGACGTCGAGAGGGTCAATCAGGGAGAAATTCGTTCTTCTGGTGTTGAGGTGTCTGAAATTAACGGCGGATTCATTATGGAGTTGTGACATCGACGGGATCTGCCGAATGCAGTGCGGATCTGCTAATTAAAGATACGGAACAGGGGAATCAGGTGATGACATAATGTTCGCAGAAGCTTGATCCAACCATTCACCCCCACGTGCGCCACGCTCACCAACACTGCATATGGCGGACAAGGCCCCTGAGCAACATCATGTTTTCCTGGCTCACACTTCTGTCATTGTGTGCCTGGTGCTTTCACTCCCACGATGCTCATCATGAACGCGCAATGCATTCGTTGGGCGGTCGCGAAGGTAGCCAGTCCCTCGCTTTCAGCACTTCATGGCAGGTGTTAGGACCATTTCAGATCGGGACAAGAGGCATGGCGAGCCTTCAGCAACAATGATGTCCTGTAGCGGATGCTAATTGTTATTCAGAAGCCACATGGGGTGCAGATCCCCTTGAGTATCTTGGTGGATTTAGGGCACTGCAGTATGACCCGGGAGCACAGTTTCGAAGCTCTCTGCCAACAAATGGAACGGCGAGATGGTCTGTAGTAGTGGCTACACAGACCTCTGGCAATTCGTCTTCATCCAGTGCTTCTTTGAGCATTAGCTATGATAATGTTGACTGGAACTTTCTCAAGGTTGTTTACGGCTGGGCCGCCGTGCAATATCAGGCCTGGGCTCGAGGGGAGATTACAGTCAGCGCGGACGATAATCAACATGTCATCCTTTACACTGACTCAATTCTCGAGTATTGGGTTGATGATGTCCACTATTTCGGAGGAGACTTCTTCACTTACCGAAGAGCGCCGCCTGTCCTCCACCTGACTCCAGGCACCCACAAGATTGATCTTCGCCTTGTCAGGGATGTCAGGGCGATGGGCGGTGTGCTTGATCCTACCATCGACGTGGTGGTAGAGGCACAGAGGGTTTCGGGAACCCTGGAGTTGGCGAAACCTGGGATCCTGATGTCGGACGTTGTGGATGGGAAGCTTGCCAGCCTAATAGGCTCTGTGGCGCTTCGAAACAGCGGTGAAGATGATATCGAGATAGTAGATGTTCAGTCTTCCGACGTGAGATCTCCTGTTTCATTACAGCATTCGGGGTCTCAGATCGTTCTCTCACCAAATCCTCAAGCGTTGACTCCTTGCCAGGTCAATACCACCAACCTCGGTGGTAAATCTAGACTGGTTGTAGTTGCCGGTCAGACAAGACCATTTGCTTTCAATATTTCTTTGCCAACACATAATACTTCTTCAGTACGCTTCTCAATTACTTATAAGACTACTGCGGGTGGCGATCAGCTTTCAACTTTACTTGTCTCTCAAAACCTTACTCGAAGATCTATCTATGACCCCCACAAGATTACCTATCTCCATCCTGGAAGCATGGCCTCTTACGCCATGCTTCGACCTCCTGCAGAGAACGCAGCTTGCTCGGAGGGTCCGAATAGCACCCTACCAGTTCTCTTGCAGCTCCATGGGGCCGGCGTGGAAGCAGACTCTGACCAAGTTGCACATGCTTTAGATCCCGTACCGGATCTTTGTGCTTGGGTCATATTCCCTACTGGTGTCACATCATGGAGTGGCGACGACTGGCGTAGGTGTTCTCTCCATTACGTATAAGACAAGCTGACCATAATTACAGACAACTGGGGGTTTGCTGATGTTGAGGCGGCAGTGAATAGCATACCCTCTTGGATTGATGCTGTTGCCTGGCGAGGCCCTGGCGTAGATGTCAACACATGGGTGGTGAGCGGGCATTCTAATGGGGGTAGGGTTGTCAATTTGCACCTTGCCGCATTTGCTTACTCCACGCAGGGCAGGGATCTTGGTACGCGCTTACGCACCGACCGGATCGAATAGTTGCGGCGTCCCCAATTTCCGGCTATTCTTCAATACAAAGTATTCCCATCATCACTTCTTTCAACGAGCATCTGCTTATGCTACTTAGAATATGTTCCCTACGAGCTCTGGCAGCCAATGGACCCGAGACGGACTGCCATCATCAGTGCTTCATTAAACAGCTACCGACACGAGATGCTGATGGAAAACGCGAAGGGCATTCCAGTACTGCAACAACATGGCGAAAAGGATGACAACGTCCCAACATATCACTCAAGGTTCCTCAGGCAGCTCTTATTCCAAGTCGGGACAAACTCCAACTACTACGAACTCCCAGGGAAAGGCCATTATTATGACGGTGTCATGACTACCGATCAACTGAAGAGCTTTTACCGAGAGCAAACTAGAAGCGATAAGACGACACACACGGACCCTCAGGAATTCAGCATCGTTGTTGGAGATCCTGGCGATATGGGATCCAAAGGTGGAATACTCGTTACTCATCTTGGGGACCCAGGCCAATATGGTAGGGTGGATGTGAAGTACGATTCCACGCTGAAATCCTACACTATCAAAACATCGAATATTCTTGGGCTCAAGCTAGACGAGCGGTATATGCAACACGAGGGAATTGGTATAGACGGCCAAGACATAGCCACTTCAGAAGGGTCGAACACCAAGCGCGGCTTCTTGGAGCTCTCCCACTCACTGGAAGGCAGCTGGAAGGTAGGGTTTCTATGTGCTCATCGAAGATTATAGCTAACCTATCCCAAGATCGGCCCGCTCTACCAGTCTAATGCCAGCACCCAGCACCGTCATGGCAGACAGCTGGGTAGCATGACTGCCATCCTGCGCAGCAGTGGACCCCTCACCATCCGACATCAGGCCGCGGAGACAGCCCACATAGCTCTCCAAGTATCTCGCAATCTGCACCAGTATTTCTCCGCTGACTCGAAAATTATATCTACTGGGTCATGGGACGACAGCCCCCCCGGCAATCTCATATCGATCGCCATTGGTGGAGACGCCCCGCCGATTGTTCAACCTGACTTTCCTATCCAAGTAGGAACGACTTCTGTATCTGTTCGAGACAGCAACGGCCGATGGCGAAGGTTTGGGGAAGGGGAAGGAGCTCATCTTGGCGCGGCATTCCTTCAACCCCCTGCACTACTGGATGAGAGACTTGAGCTTGTCCTCTGGGGCTCTGATGTCGAGATGGTTGCGCAAGTAGCACGGCTGGTACCGATGCTCACAGGGGTTGGACAGCCAGACTTCGTCGTTCTTGGTGACAGTGCCCGGTGGCGAGGCGTGGAGGGAGCTCTGTCGCTTGGCTTCTTCGATTACTCTTGGAACGTGACGCCGTCGTCGGTGGTCTAGAGGGAGTGAAAGGGGGGAACAGCTCCCACCACACCCTGCCGCGTCGCGTGCGTCGACAAAGGTGAAAACAGACACGTCTAAAGACGTCACTTCGGTCTTTCAATTTTCCGTTGCCTCTGTCGCAGTTGCTCTTTTGCAGTGAAGCTTTATAACTTCGTCCGCCCCGCTCGACTGCCGTCCCCGACACTCCTTCACTCTCCCCAAACTTGAATTTCGGCTACCTCCCACGACACCTGCTTTGCTCTTTCTCCACTCTAGCCTCTGAGCTTTCTTTAATTGACTTTCACGGAGCGGCGTCCTCTCGTCACCCCAGCCCCTCCCTTCGCATATCCTTGCTGCCGCCGCTGTGTCTTGAAGCGGAAAGCAGTGCTGCACTGTTCTTGTTACTTGTTTGCCATTTATCTGCACTCTCATCGTAGCTGACTCTACAGAAGTCGGCTGCGGGCAAGAGGTCTCACGATACTTCTTTATTTCGTCCGACTTCTGGCTTGTTCTTCGGCTTGTTTTCTGCATCTGCTCTGGCAATCTACCGCCACACCACAGGACGATACATCGGGACCAGTTCACCAACGGATCGACCAAACAGGTGTTCTCATCTCGGCCACTCAGTAATTTGCATCTTACAATCACATTTCCCCAAGTTACTTCACGGTACTTGTCCTTTGATCTCTGGCATCTCTCGCCATCCAGACGACATCAACATGAGTCTCAATATTACATCCGACGGCTCTCCCACTCCCCGCAAAGGCTCAGCCCGCTTCCTCGCAGATGACCTCAGGGTTGATACGTCTCCAGAGGTATTGGGTCTGGCGGTAGGATCCCGCTACCCCTTCCCTTCCCGGATGACCCCACAGGACATTTCTCACTTCCAATCCATCTACCCATCATTGACATACAATATGCAGGGTGTGAAGCGCCCCAACTCCACAGCCCAGGATGCGCAAGCTCCCCACGTCCCTGTGGCTCGCGGCAATCTAGCTGGGTTGGCCCAACATCAGCAGCAGCTTCCAATGACGGCGGGCCGACAGCCTTCCGAAAACTATAAGGTCAGGACTACTTCTCTCACATCTCATGTAGAGTTCATGCTGACTATTTTAGAAGTTGAAGATCGAGGTGGACACTCTTCAGGATCCGGGCTCTGCCGATGTCTATGATTCCCTCTTGCAGCGTCTCTCTGAGCATTCGCCTCTTGACCAGCACAACAAAAAGATGATGTCTTCTGGCGACTTCACCAATGCCAACCTCAACATGACAGGCAACCAGTACGCCTCCTCCTCCAATGATTCGGTCCCTATCACCCCCGCTACCGATAATTTCGCTGGCACTCCAACCACAGAACCGGACTCCCAAGGCGTGGTCGTCGATGTTGGTGAATACAACAAACTTAGAAAAGAGCTAGAGGATACTCAGCACCAAGTCGCGCGCATGAAGGAGGAGCTTCATACCACGCATCTGACCAAGGCCACTCTTGATCATGCCATTGGTCAGTCTTCTGAAGCAGACTACAACTATTACAAAGGCGACGTAACCGAGCATACCATTTCTCAATTACAGAACAAGTTTAATGCATCGACTCGTCCCAGCTTCGGCCGACAAGAGAGCTGGCCCTTGCAAGAAGATGCTTTGTCTGAGAAGAGTGACGGTCTTTCTACGAAGCCCTTCAACAATGGTCAAGCTATCTGGGGTAATGGTGCGAAGCAGTCGGGCAACTTGAACAACAATGCGACCGTTGGCCAGCAATACCCGGGTGCTATAAATACTTGGGGCAATGATACGTCTCGCTCTTTCTATGGCAGTAACACGAACATGGGAATGAATGTCAACACACAAGGCTTCGGCCCAATGCAGCCTCAGACTCGCCCTTCCACTGGACAATCCAATTACCGCGGACGTAATGGATACTTGAACGAACCGACTCATTTCCCACTTGAGCCGAACTACCGCGGGGGTATGGCCTCAAACCCCCCAAGTCGTCCTGGCTCTGCGTTTGATGCTCCTCGCTACAATCAATATCATGGCTACTCCAATTCAGTGGCTCCAGGGTCCGGTGGAGGCATGAGCCCGTCAATGCCGCCAATGCCGATGCCACCTATGGGCATATATGGTCCGTCAAATGCCTTAACGCCATACCAGCCACGCCCTATTGGTAGCATGGGAACCCGCTTGTCTCCTGAGGCTGCTGAGTTTAGCGTGGATGCTATGGCTCCCACCCCTTGGAATGCACAGGCAAGCTCCGCTTCATGGTTCAACCAGGCTATGGCTAACCTTAATCTCAAGCAGCCAGGTGATTCGAGCATCCAATACGTTACACCAGCCGAGCCTATGAATTACCGTCGCCTTCTTGATCGCAACATGAACTGTAACTGGAAGTACATTGTCGACAAGATCATATGCAACAATGACCAGCAGGCTTCCATATTTCTGCAGCAGAAAGTGAAGGTTGGCACTGCTGAACAGAAATTCGAGATTGTGGAAGCAATCATCGCTCAGGCCTACCCACTCATGGTCAATCGTTTCGGAAACTTCCTTGTCCAACGTGCCTTCGAGAACGGCACTCCAGAGCAGGTCATTGCAATTGCCCAAGCTATTCGTGGCAATACCCTGACCCTCAGCATGGATGCGTTCGGATGCCACGTTATCCAGAAAGCGTTCGATGCGGTTCCGGAGGAATACAAGGCGACCATGGTCCACGAACTCCTTCGTCGCATCCCTGAGACCGTCATACATCGCTATGCTTGCCACGTGTGGCAGAAGTTGTTCGAGCTTCGTTGGAACGATTCCCCACCCCAGATCATGCGCTACGTCAACGAGGCACTTCGCGGCATGTGGCACGAAGTTGCTCTGGGTGAAACCGGCAGCCTCGTAGTCCAAAACATCTTCGAGAATTGTCTTGAGGAAGATAAGGCGAGTCCAAGGTTTATTACAAGTAACCAAAGCTGACATTCGAATAGCGTCCTTGCATCAATGAAGTCCTTGCCAGCATCGATGTCATCTCTCACGGTCAGTTTGGCAATTGGTGCATCCAGCACATCTGCGAGCACGGAGCCCCTCCAGACCGCAGTAGGGCAATTGACCACATTCTCCGCTTCGCCACCGAATACAGCATGGACCAGTATGCATCCAAGGTCATCGAAAAGTGTCTTAAGATCGGCGGAAACGAGTTCCTTGACCGCTACCTCGAGAGGGTCTGTGAAGGCCGCCCTGAGCGTCCGCGCATGCCGTTGATCGATAGTAAGTAATAGCTTAGCTCTGGTCTGGTGCAAGCTCTAACAACATACAGTTGCTGGTGATCAATTTGGAAATTACCTGATCCAGTACGTCCTGACCAACGCCAGCACCCACCACCGTGAGCTAGTCGCGTCCCATGTTCGCAAGCACATGGTCTCCCTTCGAGGCTCAAAGTACGGATCTCGTGTCGCCATGCTCTGCTGCAATCCTGCTCTTGCTACCCGTCCGGGACCGCCAGCTGGCATGCAGATCAACCGCTACAGCACGCATAGCATTCATCGTGGTGGCGGTGGCAGTGGCTACAACGGTTTCCGCTAAACTAATACTTCCAACATCCCCAACTCCTCTTTGGTTTAGCCGGTTGGCAATGCACTCGTTCGATCTCGACCAAAAGTTGCATGGATATGCGAAAGTTACCATTCATGTCAAAAGGCTTGAACCGATTTTGCCATTCTTTGGTGTACGAATTCGGCTGGCCACGTCGCCTATCTATTCAAAGATCGACCGTTTTATCTCCTTGCTTGGGATAACAAAACGTGCATCTCTTACTGGCAAAACGCAGTTGTTGGGCCAGTATCGCTTCCTGGAAACACCATTACCGTCTTACACAAGCACATGTTCCCTTTTGTTTAACACCACATCTCTCTCCACACTTTCGGCAGTTGACACGACTTCATGGGATACTCTCGACCATCTCCCGGGCACTGAGTGGAGATCTCTCTTCTCAGTTGCTTATTGGATTCCGACGGACGGATCTGGCGGACTCACTCCATTGTTTAATTGTATTTCTGAATTTCGCCGAATATGAATTCTCTGTTGACAGCTCGACTGTGCGCCTTGCCCTTATAATCACCCTTCTACGATTGATGGTTCCAGCTTCACCCCTGGTGTGGCTCTGTCTTGAATGTTGGGGGGATTGGCCAAGGTGGTACAAAAGACAGGTTAATGGAGCGATGATACGTGATGGAAAGATGGTATCTGGATTCTCTGAATACACTTACCGTTCTGGACCAAAGCACTGGCAAAATACATAGTTAGCTTACTACAAAACTCAAGATTACGGCAGGATCGCGGATGGATCTGAAGTGGATCCAGGATGTAGATATCCTATAATTAACACTTCATCCTGGAGCATGGCCGCCTTTGGCCTGAGTAAATTTGAACTGTGGATGGGCATAGACAAGCCGACAAACTCGACGAGCATGATTTCAGGTAGAAAAGTCGCTTGAACCCAGTGATGGCGAGGTTGCACGCACGGACATGAATGTATTCGAGTAAAGAAAATACGAGCCCAAGTCACGGATCCACAATTCCATGTACATTAAAAGCTGCCTCCACTGCGACGTCTCTTGGCTTCAGTGAAAGGTGTCAAGTGTGAGCTGCGGCGAACGTGACGTGAGAAGGTGCCGTCATTTGGATGCATCATTCCCAAGGAATTTTAAGCGAGCTGTCGACAACGAATGGAGTCCGCAGCTTGTGAACGCCCACCACGCCGCGTGACATCAACGCCATCCTCTCCCTATTCACCAATTATTCTGTTAACTCGCTTGCTGGCCACACCTACAAAATGGCCTCGACTCTAAAGGCCAACGGCAATGGCCGACCCAGCAACATCAAACATCCCTCCGCACCCTCGCTCATGATGAACTCCCATTTCGCCTCAGTTGGGGAGGATGCCTCCCAGGAGGCCTACGAACATGGCATCCAGGTTATTGATGAGGACAAAGTGTTCAAGTAGGTGTTATGCCCTACCTGCTGCCTCATTGTGGCCCGCTATACTAACAAGTACCCCTTTACGCAGCGAGAGCCTCTATACCTACCTTAACCTCGAGAAAATTATCCCAGCAGGTTTCAACTACCATCTCATATCCGTATTTGGGTCGCAGTCGACGGGGAAATCCACTCTTCTTAACTACCTCTTCGGAACCCACTTTGGCGTCATGGCAGAGCAGGACCGTCGCCAGACCACCAAGGGCATTTGGATGAGCAAGAACAAGCGCGGAGGGAGTGGCAAAGGCATGGCGGAAAACATCTTGGTCATGGATGTCGAAGGCACCGATGGCCGTGAGCGCGGAGAAGATCAGGACTTTGAAAGAAAGAGCGCGTTGTTCGCTCTGGCTACCAGCGAGGTTCTAATTGTTAATATATGGGAACACCAGGTTGGGTTATACCAGGGGGCGAATATGGGTTTGCTCAAAACAGTATTTGAGGTCAACTTGCAGCTTTTTGTAAAGGACAGCAAGTGCGTTTACCCGCCCCTACAGATGGAATTTCTAACAGCTCCGCAGAACCATCCCTAAATCTCTCCTTTTCTTCGTCATCCGCGACCACCTAGGTACCACGCCACTCCGCAACCTCCAGAACACCATCCTTCAAGATTTATCTCGGTTATGGTCGTCGATATCCAAACCCAATGGGCTCGACAACTCGAAGATAGAAGACTACTTTGACTTTGCTTTTGTCGCGCTCCCACACAAGATCCTGCAACCGGAGAGATTCGAGGCCGAGGTGGAGAAACTCAGCACCCGCTTTAGGGAAGGATACAATGACCGGAAGAAGAGCGGTCTTCTTGATGAAGCAGAGCTTCCCGTTTTCCTCCCACAATACCACCGACGGATCCCGGCGGATGGTTTCGCCGTGTATGCGGAGGGTGTCTGGGATCAAATTGTGAACAACAAGGACTTGGATTTGCCCACACAACAGGAGCTGCTCGCCCAGTTCCGATGCGACGAAATTTCGCGAGAAGTTCTAGTCACCTTCGACGAGAAGATTACTCCTCTAGAAGATAAGCAAGCGGAGGATGCTAAGATGGGAAAGCCGACTGTCATCCCTGGCCTTGGTACCGCAATGAATGCAGCGCGGGCAAACGTTATGAAGGACTTCGAGACAAATGCAAGCCGGTACCACAAAGGCGTTTATACACGGAAACGAGCGGAGCTCGAGAGCAAAGTCGATTCTCGACTCAAAGCCCTCTTCCAGAAGCAGCTCAGCGCTGCGCATAAGTCTGGCGTCGACAACTTTAGCAACGCAGTTATTTCTGCCGTAAAGAGCGGGCAGAAGAAGGGTGCAACGTACGACTTCGCCCAGATTGTCGAATCTGAGAAAAAGGAGGCGCTGGCTAAGTTCGAATCTGAGGCACAGGCCATCATGGTCGAAGGAGCGCCTTGGAGTAATTTCAAGCAGGAGCAAAAGCTCTTCCAAAAGGACTTGGACGAGGTGTCATCCAGACTTAGGAAGGAGGAGATGAGACGCCTGGCCACCAGGGTTGAGCGCTGGGTCCGGTCACGATTGGACGAGTCTATTGGTCTGGAATTCAACAAGATTGGCACTGGCCGAGGAGGTGCAGGAGCACCAGAGCACGGTGAACGACCACCATCCGAGAAGAATCTCTGGGACCGCGTCTGGACTATCTTCACCGAGACAGTGGAAGATTCCGAGAAGCGCTTTACTGATCGCGCACAGAGCTTCGACGCCAGCCCTGAAGAAGTCGAGGTCGGCTTGTGGAGGTTGCGACGAAAGTCATGGGGTGTCCTTCGTGCCAAAATTGATGAAGAGGTCATGGAAGGCAACATCCTCCTCAAGCTGCGGGAGAACTTTGAGGATAAGTTCCGGTACGATGAACACGGTGTCCCGAGGATATGGCGACCCACCGACGACATCGAGGGGTTGTACACAAAAGCTCGCGAGTCGACTATCACTCTTATTCCCCTATTATCACGCTTTCGCTTAGTAGCAACTTCAGCACCTCCCCCCCTCGACGCTTGGATTGGCAATGCACCTCCGTCTGTCACATCCGCTGACGAGGAAGATCTGGCGCCTATCGGCGGTGTAGATGAAGACGAGGGCAAGAGTCTGGAAGAAGAGATGACCATCCTTACCGACGCTAAACAGGCCGATCTTTCTGTACGCTTCAAGAAGACGGCGGATGGAGTGTATGTCGAAGCCAAGCGTAGCGCGATTGGTGGGATGACACAAGTGCCTCTGTACTTCTACGCTCTGTTGCTGGCGCTTGGTTGGAACGAAATTGTGGCTGGTAAGTCTTATTCCGACTTCCGAAGGGGAACCATATTAACTCTTCACAGTCCTACGAAACCCTATCTACTTCCTCTTCCTCATCCTCCTCGGCATCGGCGCCTATGTAACTTACACTCTCAACCTTTGGGGTCCTATGGCCCGCATGGCGAACGCAGCATCTCAACAAGCCCTGGAAGTCGGCAAGGAGCGCTTGCGCGAGTTCCTTGAGTCTTCAGATACCGGACGCCAAGCAATGGCCATGTCCGGTAGACAGGGTCGTGCTAGCGGTTCGAGACAGAAGGAATACGATGAGATTAGCATGGATATGTTGAATGGGGATGGGAAGAAGAAGCAGAAGGGTGATGACGACATTGATGATATCTGATCATGAGCAGCGCTGCATTTGCTTGCATTGCTAGCTTTGCTTGCATTACTGGAGTAGGGTAGATTGTATTTTTGTGTGTAATGGAGTTTTGGGTAAAGGGCATTGTCTTCGCCGCTCTACTATACTGTACACTTTGGCGGTTGTTTCTATTGCTCTAGACAGCCATACTACACCTAGAAGAATTGGATTGGTATTAATGTAGAAGATGCTTGTATTCTGTCGGTGGACGTCGTGATGCAGTGCTATCGACTTATCATACATCTATAAAGAAAGCGACATGCTTTAAGGTAGACCCTTCTTTACATCCTTCCTACACCCTTATCCTCCGAACACATTTCTCTTAAATGGCTTTCCCCGATGTCTCGTTCGGAAATACTTTCGGGATATAGCTGGGATACCCGACTGTGCATCCGTAGTAGCCCATAAACAGGCAGAAAACATGATTAATGATGTCTGTAATTTAACCACAATAATGAGGCGTGTTGATTCATTCCCTGGTTTCAGAGTCTTTTTTCCTTTCGCTCGCTCGCTCCCTTCGGAATATAGACCCCATTTTCTCCCTTGGTCGTATAGATCTCCCTGATCTATTGAACGGAACCTAATATCAATTAGTTATGGTGTACTGCAGTTTGTCAGCCCTCGGGTAGCCAAGCCCCTGGGAAATTGATTACAGTTATATCCGAGCCGCCGGCTGTCGAGGGCATGTTGTTGCGTCCGATTCTACACAAGCTGAAAGGGGATTTTGACAATGCAAGGGTATGTAATGGGTGGGAGAGGGGAGTGGGGACGGAACTATTAAAGTGGGTTTATGATGGCGATGGGGTGGGAGTGGTGAGTGCGAGAAGAAGGTAAATGGTTTGATCAATGATGTTGAGAGGTTCTGAGAAGATGGTGGTGGTTGGGAGGAGAGGCAGACTGAGGAGAAAACAAGTAGAGAGCTTGAAAGGATACTAGAATGGTGAAAGAGGAAGTTTAGGGATGGTCAATGGCTAGATGCAGGCTCAGCGTCAGTGCTGCCTAGTGAAGAAGTGAGGATTAGGAATGCTGAAGTTAGTGGGGACAAGGGGTGGTGGAAGTTCTAAAGAAAGCTGCACAACACAAAACCTCCGTAAGAGAGCTTTAAAGAAGCACGACAGCACAAGCATTGAATAAAGTCACTGTCAATTGTATCTGATCATACAGCAGCCAGTCAAAATTACCGCCGCTTGCAAAAGACTCCCTCATGCAAAGAAAGAAGAAAAAAAGAAGCAGAAGAACACCCCCAAAGCCAGCCAACCATCTGGTGGAAGCGGAGACAGGAATCAGACGCAAACAAAGAAGAGAGGTTTATAATCTCCAAAGGACTTCTCGGACGCCGAACGACATTCGCATGAGACACGTTCGCATTCGCATGACAAAGTAATCGTTTCGTGAATATTGTGTGAGGAAGGGGAGGGTGACGATGGACATGGGTGTCATGTCATATTGATGGATGCCTCTCTTGAAACTCATATCGTAGCCCGTATAGACCATCCAGGACAGTAAGGCGCAAACATATCTGATAGAAGAAGGCAAGGGACAAATGGCCTAACAACATCCCTTCTTGGCTTCTGTGTCGGCCGACTTGCTGATCTCGAGCACCTTGCGCTCACCGCCAAGAACGTTCTGACCGCCTTCTCCCTGGTCGAGGGCTTTGCTGGATACGATACGGTAGATCTCTGCGCAAAAGTCAGCATTGACAAACAAACTTGCGCAGCTATTTGACTTGGGTAGGCAGGTAGCGGGTGGAAAGGCCGGGTGAAACACGGCGACGTAGGCATTGTTTCGTCAAGACAGCGGTCCTGATAGCCAACATCTTGGTGTTCCGAACTGCAGAACCGCCCCGCCCCAGCCAAAATTATTATTTTTTGGGAAAGAATAGATGCTTGGATGTGGATCATACCCGTAAGGATGTTTTGAAAGGCTAGCTCAACGTTGCTGGCGTCCAAGGCGGAAGTCTCGATAAAGGATAGATTGTTCTCGCCTGAGTGACAGACAAATCAGTATGTGCTCAAAAGGTACAACTAATACAAATGCTAGAGGAGGATACGGACTGGCAAATTGCTTGGCCTCCTCTGTAGGCACCGCCCGCAGATGCCTTAAATCGCTCTTGTTGCCCACCAGCATAATGACGATATTAGAGTCGGCATGGTCACGGAGCTCCTTCAGCCACCGCGTGACATTCTCGTACGTCTGGTGCTTGCTAATGTCGTAGACCAGCAGGGCGCCGACTGCGCCTCGGTAGTATGCTGAGGTGATGGCGCGATATCGTTCCTGGCCGGCCGTGTCCCAGATCTGTGCCTTGATGGTCTTGGCGTCTACCTGGATGGACCGGGTTGCGAACTCGACGCCGATAGTAGACTTGGAGTCCAGGTTGAACTCGTTGCGAGTGAATCTGCTCAAGAGGTTGGATTTACCGACCCCAGAGTCTCCGATCAGGACGACTGCACGCGTGTTAGCAGGGAGAGGGGCGGTGAGGGGCGGTGAGGGGCGATGAGAAGGGGGAGTATGGAGACCTTTGAACAAGAACTACAGTGGCAGAAGGTCAGTATATCCTGAGAGCGCGCCCGGAAGGGAGGTGCGTGGAGGGACTCACGTCATATTCGTCGTTCGCCATAGTTGCCGTGGGCGAAAGCCAGAGAGCGGCGGTTGAGCAGGTTGAATATGAGAGATAGGGCTAGCTAAGAGCAGGGTGGCCGGCGGCAGAATGGTAGTAGTAGGGTGGTTTACTGGGCGGGGATGTGTTCGCGGTGCGAGTCGGGAGTGGTTACTTGGCTGCCTCGTGGTGGTGGATAAAGCAGCTCTTGCTGTTCGGCGGCGGCGTTCCTACATCACGTGAACCTGCTAGCGCCAAGGCTCCCGCGGTCAACTAGTCACACAACCACCACCCTTCACCTACAAGCTCTGTGAAAACAACCAAACGCCCCACACTTCCCCTGCTGCCCTCGAGGTCATGACCTTGACTGTAAAGTGAGATGGAGGATGAATATGATACCGACACCATCTCTGTCACCTCAACGGTGGAGAGCGAGAAGGAAGCAACTTATGCTGTCAAAGACATATTGGCAGAAACAGTATGTGAAGATGGTAGCACGAAATATTTGGTCCAATGGGAAGGCTATCCTCTGCATAGGTAGGCTAACTTTGGCCAAAGACCAAAGCCCTTCGCTCATTAGCACAGATGTACATGGGAGCCAGTAGAGCACTTTGATGGGTCGACCAGCCTCCTTGATGTCTGGGCGGCCCAGATGCAAGGGCTTGATGATGATGAGGTCATCCAGCACAACGAGGATAACATTGCTCGCTTTGAGCTTGCAGTGGCGGCAGCTGAAGAAGCACACGAAATGCGAAAGAAGAAGCGAGAAAAGAAGCGAAGGAAACTGATATCGGCGCAAAAGGCCAGCCGAAGAGCTCCATTCGACGAGAGCAGCGATGGCAAGGATGACATCCCGCTCGCGTCCCGAGTGAAAGGTAAACTTGAACAAGGGAGTCCTCTTTTCGTACAGGAGACGCAAAAGCCCCGCAGGCCACCATTCGAACAGTCATCGTCATCAGATGGTTCGGACACTGAAGACTCCCTTCTCGAAGAGCTAAGAGCCGACCAACAGCAGAGGAGGAGCTCGGTGAACGATCCGTCTCTGATGAGTTCACGCAATTTATTAAATTCAAAGGAAATGCTCCTGTCTAGCAAGCCTGCCCGACTGGTCATCCAAGAGAAGAAAACCGAGACTAAGGTCAATGAACAGCAGCAATCCGAAGACACCCTCACCGCAGCCCCTAACGCTACTGCATCGCAGGTCCAAACTAAGAAAGTTGCTCCAAGTGGATCAAGCAGACCTCTTCAAGTTGGCATACCCGCTACTTCTGCCACCAGCCCTCCCAGTGCTTCAGCTGGGCGGAGAGCTAGCAATCCCGCCAATTCGGCTACACTAAGCGCTACTACTTTATCCACGGCAGGAACAGCAGCAAGGATAGGTGATCCGTCTGGAGCTAAAGACGCCGTGACGGTTACTGCAAAGGGGAATCCTGCCCCCATCATGATGAGGAGAAGTGCACCAAGTGCAATTAGAATGATCAACGCGCCCAGTACGAACAAGCGAAGGGGGTGGGAAAACCCAAATACCCAATTTTACACAAAGATGCATTTTCGAAGGAAAGCGGAACTCCGAGGGCGTAATGAGAAGATTCCCGACCTCTCGGTCCTTCAGTTCGTAAATGGCTCTTCTGTCAAGCAGCCCAAGCAGGATAAAAATCGAGATGATGCTGGCGAAAATCCCTATGGCCGTCGTGAAACTGGACGTCGCCGCATTCAGGATGACGAAGAGCGAGCCAACTCGGCCCCCCCAGAATGGGAAGCCAGCAAAATCCCTTTGACTTGCTGTGAGTGGAGAAATGGCAGTTGCCCTTACTCAGCAGAAAAGTGTAGGTTTCTGCATCGAGATGGTTATAAACTGTCCCCTTGGGATGGAAGTGTTCCACCAAAGTACCGGAAACCTCCACTGACGTGCTGGTGGTGGATGCGGGATCCCAGAGGATGCGCCAACTCACCAGATGAGTGCTTGTTTGCGCACTATAATACAGGATTGCTAGGAAATCGTGACCTCAAGCCGCCATATCCAATCGACAAAGCAGAAAGGCCTGTATTCGAACAATCACTTGCGCAATACTCCAAGACCATACAACATCCAGCAGGTCCAACTTCTAAGAACAAAAAAGATATCACATGCTCTTTTTGGAATCAAGGGCATTGCCGGAAATCAGAACAAGAGTGTGCGTTTGCCCACCGACATACTGGTCAGATAGGCTCTGCTATCACTTGCGAGTTTTGGAGGAAAGGCCAGTGCCGGCATCCACGGGATCACCTACCGTTCGTGCATCGTTTTCAGGGTGAGAAATTTTCATTAATATTTGGGTTATTTAGTGGCTAATGAGTTTACGAAATAGAAAATTTGCCGTGGCCAGTTGAAGCAGATATGCCTGATGCTGCGACTGAGCTTCCGTTTAGCCCTGTCAGTTCTAATGTCTTGGGCCCTCCGACCAACAATAAACCTGTGCAAGTCTCCAAAACAGCAGCGACGAAGCCCACACCTTCGGGTCCAGCACTAGCTTCAAGAAGTCTCCAGAATCAAGAAAACTTAGCATGCATTGACTTGAAACATGCAATCGAGGAAGCTTGCAAAGTTGATTTCAAGGACATGTTTGTCGACAACGAAGGAAATGCTCTTGACCGAAGAGCATTCCTTGTGTTCCATCCGGAGGATAATAAAATGGAACTCGAACTCATCACCCGATGGTTGCTTATGCACCACGTCGAAGTCTGCAGCATCTGGAAGGAGGGGGCGTGGGATTACTTCAAGCAGCAAATAATGAACGGAGGTACGGGCGTCATCATTGTAAGCCAACAACCCTTCCGAACTGTCTAATACCTTGTCTAATCTTGTCACGCAGAGGCACCCAGATTTCCATCATTTTTGGAAAATACCTGACTTCCGTGAGATCCTTGAGCGAAAGGTTCGCATTTGGTCTGTTGGACGGCAACGGGCTCTCGAGTATGATCCTGAGGTGTGCGAGGTAGAGGTTCCAGATCGATATGATCGCATCGAGATCTTTCCACATGGAGGAGTCATCTACATCACCGACGATGTGTTCATCAAGCAACCTAAGAAGGCTCTCCGGATCATAGAACTATTCTTCAACAAAATCAACGCTTGTCGACAGGTCAATAGTCCGCCTGATGAATGGAGGCTCCCCAAGGATGGAATGCTGCTTTGGCGCCTTGCAACCAGGCCCGAATTGATGGAAGCCATCTACGAATGGACGTCCCCGAATCGGGAGAATCTTGACCCTACAAGTCTTGCCCAGTGGAGGTAAGGTATTTCCCCTATTTTTTATTCCCAAAACAATACTAATAACTTCCGTGCGCGCAGCCGTAAACTCTACAGCCTCCTCGGCAACTCAGGCTACATCCCCGAGGACCAAGTCGATGCCTCCTACTATGCTAACCTACCCGAGGATTATTTCCCCATATTGTCACTCTCAGGCCCTTGGAAACCAGACTACTACTCCGCTCTCCTACGCAGCCAGGAAGAAGCGAACGACAACATGATCGAGTTCTATGCGCAGTGGATGATCGACCATGCACGCGACTACCGCCATTTCTTTGTCGTACATCCCGAGCCTGAGAGGACGGATTGGGAGGCAAAATGGGCTCATTTAGATGAGGTTATCACCCCGGACGAGTGTATTGAGTATTTCTCGATGCCTCCGAAGGGAGCGAGGTTCGATTTCTTCGAGTGGAGTTTCTCGAGGAAGATTCAGGCAGGGGAAGGGGATATTGTTTGAGAAGGAATGAATGCATGGGTGGGTTTATGGCTTTAGCATGTGTTAGATACCCCATAGTTCTAGAAGTCGTTCAAAGGTGAATTCAGGATCCATTTTCCCATCTCTTACCCATCCCCCATATTGTAAATTCCCCCCTTTAATTAGGTAGATAATTTCAGAGAAGGCATCTATTCTTTGGTCGTACATCTTTAGAAATAAACGGGAAACAACACGAAGTATTCTGTCGATCTTGTGTCTTGTAAATGTTGCGCATGAGCTGTTGGCTGGATTTTTGACTGGAGCTGAGATTCATAGGTCGCAGGTCCCAAAATAGTATCTTATCAACTTGCAGACCAACTTGAAGGGCAGACAAATGAATATTTCCCTAAAATAAGATGTTTTTATAGAAGTTCTATTTCCAGATCTGTAGCTCTGATCAAAAAATGGTCCCCACAAAGTGAAGCACATTAGATACATCACTTCTACTACCTAGATCAAGACATAGAGACTACGGGTATCATTCCGAGATAAAAAGGAGTGATCGGTCTTCTAGACCAATCGCTAAATAATGCCTAATACCCAATGCTACCACATGCTGCAGCGCGCCTTATATGGAGGCCCTCTAACGCCGCCAAATAAAATCGGCCTGCTGGGCAAATGGCGATCAATGCGATACGGCATGGCATGCTAACCGTTCTAAAATGGCACAGAAACATTGGCGTCAGCAATGCAACTGAAACCCACAATTCCCCAAAATCCATTTCAATGCCGCCTCAACCACAGGACTGACTTCATAGCGGTGGTGACAGAGGCCGGTCAAGCGCCAGTGAGTGATAGTAATCTGTGAGAGCATTCATTTCATCTCCGAATGTCGTACAGGCGTCATTTCCGCTCAACCTCTTTGTCAAGGCGCCCTTTTCCATAGTGAAAGTAAGTTGTGGTATATCCGAGAAGTTGACTTTGCTATTGCTTTCCTGAACACAATCATATCCTAAAGCCCCGATCTCCCAAACCCGTTTACAGGAGCCACAAGCCAGGATCTCAGTGTCAGGCGCAATAGAAATCGGGGCTCCACACCTAAAACATGCGAATGAGCAGCGTTCACAGAGCAACGATTCTGCTTCTCTGGCGCCGCTGGTCGAATCCGACGGTCGTGCAGGACGTCCACACTGCGTGCATTTCGTCTTTCCAGGGATGACGGTTAGATCCGAGACAATCGCCTTCCACTGTTGGCGCAGCGCATCGGGAATGCGATCACCACTTTTACCCGAATCTCCGGCTTCTTCGCTCGTGACTTTCGTGAAGCCGCTGCCTTGGCAATTCGATATATCGCACTGCGGACCCGGGTCTGTTACTAGACTAAGTTGAAAGTCAAGAGCTTGCTCGCGGAGAAATGGTGCCTCCACACTATGATCGAACGGCCCTGCATAACTCGGGCCTTGAACAGCTTGACAAATGGGAAGGCCGCCGAAATTGGCAATGACCATTTCTCCGCTGGCGAGAAGATCAGATGCAATTGCTCTTCCAGAATCGGCGTCCGTATGAACGACTGGTTGCGAGTCTGGTTCATCGCTTTCTTCATAATGACGATACTTTAGCTTCGCAGTATCTTTGGCTGAGCAATCCTCCCTTCCGACTTCGAGTACATTGATCGACCCGTTGACCTCACCGATCAGAAGCCTACTCTTATCCGGGCTAAAAGCGCCGGACATGATACCGGAGTCGACAGTCATGATGTCTTTAATGAAGACATCTTCTGACGAGCGGGCAACGTCCCAGACTTTAACTACGCCGTCAGAAGACCCTGTATATAGTCGTGTGGCATTGTTCCCCCATGATACAAATCGCACGCCGGTATCGGAGATCTCTCGATCAAGGTCTTCGTGAAGCGGCATCAAGGATTTCCCATGCGTGAGTTTGTAGAGCCAAGAAGCCGGCCTCCTGATGTCCCAAATATATGTACTACCACTCGTGCAACCAGCCGCGACGATATTCTCATCGTAGGGACAAAAGAGTATGTCGTTCATGTCAAGCGCAGGGCACTCTAGTTCCATTAACGCTGAGTACTTCCCTTCGCCTCGACCGTCATGAAAGCGAACCAGTGACCGCGTGCCTCTGTTCACGTTCTGACTGGCAACGCAACCAACAGCGAACAGGGGAGCAGTTCTTTGACACGAGTTGAAAGCAACGTCAAAGACATTCCTTGATGTGCCATGAACGTGCAATTGCGTCTGGGTTACAACATCCCACAAGCATATGTCCCCACTCGTGTCTAGGCGATCCTCACGCATGTTTGCCCCGAAGCCGGCAAGTAGCATGCGTCCATGATTGGGCTCGAATTTTAGAGACGTTGGTAGAATGTTCATATCGGGTCGTTCACGGGCCTTTGCTGATGTGTACGACCATCTGACAATATTTTCGGGATCCTCGAGGTTCATGACTTTGACGGCATTTGTCGTCCATTTCTTCGCCGCTGTGGCAACAAGGCCATGACAACCAACGGCCAAAAGGTCAACCTTAGCCTTGTGTTTCAAGGCCTTGATTAACTCTGGTTGAGAACCATTTTGGCGTGTCCCCCAAACAATAGCATGCTTGTCGTAACCTGCGGAGAACATGTAATCCCCATTAGGAGAGAAGGCAACCGCAGAGACCGTAGTATAGAGCTTAGGATCCTGCGATACATACATAGCGTATGTCGAATTGGGGCCAGTCTCGGTTCGTTTCCGATCAATCTTGTGTTCGCCAAGCTCATGGATGACTTTGTTCGTGATGTCCCCAAACAGTAGATTGTTCGGTCGATTGTATTGCATTGAGTCAGGATCTGTTACACACACAGCACCGGCTACAAAGCATTGGCCGTCGGGGGACCAGGCTACGGTATGAACGTCACTGGATGCTCCTGTGAAATAGTACGCGGGACCTAGAGTATCGTAAACATTATTCCTCATTTGGTACGAAAGGGGTCTCGATGCTGCTTTCCACCCTCTCCTTGACTGAAGACCGAGTTCTCTTTGTCGAACAAGCGAAGAAGTGGACGCTTTTAGGTTTGTGCTGAGCTTTCGATTTTGCCTGACTGCTCCTAATCTATCGATATGTGGAGTTGCGCGAAGCATCCCCTGTCTGGCATCTTGCAGAAAGGCATCAATGCTATCCTTGTCCCGGGTATGCAGTCTTCGTCTAAGCTCGTAGGAAAGCCTTAACAGCTGAGGTTCAGTCTGAGCCTTCATCAATTTCTGCAGCCGCCTTTGGGAACCGTGGGGCGACTGTAAAGGGCGCAGAATTTTCTTTATGACTTGCTCTACAACCTCGATTTCATCGTAGTCAAAGTCGACGTGGATGACGGTGCATTGCCAGCTGCGGCCACTACGCTGATCCCACTCTCCAGACGTGGACCCGGCTTGTAGAGACAGACGTTGTGCGGATGTCAGATATGGAAGATATCCTCCAGACGTGACCGGCTGTCGTGACTGAGATGTAAGAATTGCGAGTCTTGCATCTGCGGCTTCTTGTTGCCAACCCATTTCCATCGGTGTATCAATGGGGATAACATCTTCGGGACCAACTGAGGGCTCTACAGATTGCTCGGGGGACTGGAAAGGGGCTTTCCAATTTAGTGTTTGTGCCATCGGGGATTCATCATCCAATGGGTCTGCAGCGTTTGACTGTCTGCTTCGTTGTTTCGGCCAGGTGTAGTTCACTGTTTGGACCGACCTTCGTGGTCGTCGTCTCGGCCGGGCGGACTCATTTGCGGAGGACACATCAAGCGAAGAATCCACATCTAGTGGTAGTCTTGGTTGGACCAGGGCCTTGTGGTGAAATTGGTGATTTACGACCTGTGCTTCATGGACCTCTGCACTCGTTTCCGCGGACCGAGGGGTGTCACGTTGGGCAGTCCCCCAGTCTATCCCTGCTTCTGCTGCGTATTTGGCGGGCAATCGAAGCCTCGGTGGATCTTGGTTTCTATCCCTCTTGTTCAGTTTTTGAGAGTAACGGGTTTGAATAGTGGGTCCACCGCGATTGAAATGCTTCTTGAAACACTCAATGATTTCGCGCCACGTAAGCTTCTTAGCCTCTTTTAAAAAGATGATCAAATGGTCTTCTTCTTCAGAGTATTTGGGCCATTTGACTGTGTTTCGAGAAGCGAGGGCTGGCGTCGACATGTCAGGTACGTCTTGATTTTGCGTTGAGTCTACGACCATGGGGCCACCCCTATCTTCAGTAGATCCAAAATATACCGAGTTGTGCTGCGGGGGCTTTTCAATGTTCTCCGTTCCTGGCCTGACCTCCCCTTTGTTCGAGGCTCGTTCAGGGTCCCCGATCAGAGGGCGTAACTTTTTTCCCGGTCTGGGCACTCTTCGAGGCTTAAAATCCTCCAACGAGAAAGTGGTATTCTCATGCATTTCAATATCCGAATCCGAATCCAGGGACAGGTAGTTGTCATTTACAGCAGGTTGAGAATTCGGCGGGACCAGAGACATGTCATAGCCGGATCTCCCGATCACAATAGGGAGTGCGCGTGACGCACCTAGAAGGTCTACTGAAGCTGGAGATTTTGTGGGTTTCGTTTTCAATTGAGTGTTCAACGAATAGACTGTTGGGGTTTGGTTCCTGGTCTGTAACCTGACGCGGGCGTTGCTGAGTGAAGATCTTCTTTGCTGTGTGATGGCACCAGCACGGCAAAAGCCAAACATATCATCCTCAGAAGCATATAAGCCATTGTTCTCATTTCCATTCACATTCTCTGAAGACCGTGATACTATTAGCCCTGTCTTGCCTTTGTTCGAAAGCTTCCTCCTCTTTTCTGGTTGTGTAATACAGGTTGCGCCTTGTGGCGTTGTCCCGGAGTAGATTGACAGATACGGCCCTACGTCGGAAGTGCCATTCGCTCCTGCAGCGGTGAGGCTCTGCTTGCTTGTTGTTCCACTCAATGGCGTTGGCGCTGAAGCGTAGGATGAGGAAAAGCTGAACGTCGTGCTCGAAGTCGTGAACTTTCGCAATGAGGACGTGCCCGCCAGATAGCGTACATTTTCCGGTAACGGCACGGGGGATTTCTTCTCTTTGGACGCTACAGAGGTTGCCTCGAATAGGTGCCTCACATTCTCGGGCAGAGGAATGGGGGTCTTTTTGGGGGGCGGAGTGGGGAGGAGCGAGGACAAAGGCCCATCATCGTCAGAGTCGTTTGTAAGATCTATGGTATCTCTCCAATCCCTGCGCTCGTTAGCCATTGTATGCGGGGTCGGTCTCTCGCCCGAGATTTTAGACGCGTTCAGAGAGTCGGTGCTGTGGTATGGTGTTCCACATCTTTGAAGCGCAAATCGCGAGTGCATTAAAAACCTACTTTGGTGCCATCGTCTCCGCCCACGGTCAACGACGCGTCCATGCGACGATAGAGAACAAAGGGCGTCAAGAGTCGCGTAAAGTGGGTTGCTGTGGGAGGGAATTGGCCTGGCGCGGTCATGAGCCAACCCACCTCGGTCTTTAGCGTCGTGTGGCGGTGTACAGGATCCCTAGAGCGCGTGCGTGCGTCAGTGCGTCTCCTCTCAATCAACCAGACCCGCTCACGTGAGACACTCCAGCTCGTCAGGCGGCTAATCTTTAGTCACTTTCCCTTTCACTGTCCCTCCTCCAATATAGGAGTTGCAGAACCCTTCTTCTCTGTTACTACTCCCTAACTTGTCTTGATATTCTATTAACCTTCTGTTAACTTTCTTTTAATAGCTTCTGAACCGCTTAATGGTGGTAAATCAGATACTGCACTACCCGCTGAATTTACGATCCCCAGGAGTCTTGGGATTGCAGCTTCTCTGTAAGAAATATCCACAACAAGTGCATAATTTACAGGCGAATCCGTGAAAATCTTTCTCCATAACTCTCTGAGTGACCAATCCGACACATCATTGGGATTTCTCCCCATACTCATCCGAATTATGTCCATTCCCGTTCGAAGCAACCTTCAAAACCTTCTGCTCGACATCGCCATTCCTCTCATGATTTGACTCAACAGCAGCCATGCCAGTAACTACAATCTCCTCTCCTGGTGCAACATCCTGTGGAACTGGCGGGCCTGTGAAAGACTTTCTACCTCTTATAAAGTACCACGCAAGACTAATGGCAGCGAATCCAGCGAACACTACCGACGCATAGTTCATGGTTGTAGCTTCAACCGGGAGGCTGACCGGCATGCAGAATAAAATCACAGCGAGACATATCCAGCCAATCATAGCAATGTTGATAGCATATCCGAATCTGCCCAGTGAAAATGACGAGTTCTTGACTGCCTTACGTCCCCGCAAAACCGAGATCAGAATAGGCATTCCATATGAGGTGGAGAGACAAATCGTAGCCACTCCCGTAAAGCTATTAAAAGCGGCCGAGGATCCAAAATAGATCAGCCCCAGGAGACAATCGACAACCGTGGAAAGAACGAGCGCCCAGAGTGGTATGTCAAAGCGCTTATCGACCTGCTTCCATAACCTGGATCCCGGAATCGCCCCATCCCGGGCAAACGCATATGTGCAGCGGGAAGCCGCGGTAAGAGCTCCGACACCTGCGAAGAACAGGATCCCGAGAATAAGGAAGAGAAGGCCAAATCCACCACCTGCGGAACCAGTGACGGTCTTGAAGAGCAGGCCAATTGGCTGACCATTTGCTACGTCAAGGAGCATCTGAACGTCGGGAAGGACGAAAAGAATGGGTATGAGATAGATCACTCCAGTAACTCCAGCTGCAGCAACCGATAGAACAATGGCTTTCGGGACTTCTCGCTCGGGATTCTGTACTTCTTCACACATTGCTGCGACCATGCCGTATCCAGTTAGAGTATAGGCAGCTTGTAGGAGCCCGACAAAAAATGCCCAGCCTGAAGGCCTATTATAGCCATCAGCATCAGCAGTATCAAGCTTCGGAAGTTTCACTCACCACCCGCTTTGGGAAGCATCATAATGCGCAAACACAAAGTCTCCACTCCTCCTATGATCTGCCATACTAAGCAATGTGACCAAGATGATCACCACACTACTCGCCGTCCAGTAAATGCAGATTTTGTTGATTAAATCCAGGTACTTCGCTCCAAAGATATTGACAACCATACAAACTATCATTACTGCCCAGAACATCAAGATTGTTTGATATTGGTTTGGGACGAAGCTTTCGTCCCAAAGCGTGATGGCCGACAGGATAAGCTGCCCTCCAGAAAAGTTGATCGAGAGGGTGACTGTTCGCCAGTTAATGATATGTTAATGAAGACCTAGAATTATTTCATTTACCTGTCCAATTCCCAACCAATGTCAACCACCCAGTAACCCACGATGCAACGGGGGCATATTTCCTGGTAGAAAGCATAGCGGACCAGTAGTAAACGCCTCCCGCAGTCGGATACACAGCGCAAATCTCAGCCAAGGACGCTGCAATGGACAGGGAGATTAGCGACACAAGCACCCAACCCCAAAGGATAGTAACAGATTGACCATCAGTGAGCGTGATATACATGGTCGTAGACAGACCAAACGGGACCGCCATAATCGCAAAAGACCTATGAAGCTCAATTAGATTTCCTGATTGGAATAACTGAATAGAAGGGAAACTCACATTCCCAAGACGCTAAGCATGCTCAGATTTCGGGGCAATTCACTCTGATATCCCATCTTCGCTAGCGCCGCATCGGCACTGGGGTCAACTGACCCGCGACGTGTTATTGAGTTACTACGCTTCATGGTGGTGGGTTGATGTTTTCAGGAGGAATTCCTGGAGAAGGTCGGACAGCCTGTTATACGAATCCAAGAATTGCGGCGTTCCAAAGTTCTCGAGCTCGTGAAGCAAGTGTGAACTTTACGTAAAGTGTGCTTCCCCTTGGTAGCTTGGATGCTGAACACTCACTTTCGAGTTGCACGAAAACCAAAGCTATGCGAACCTCGCGATGAACCTCACACTCGGGATGAGAGGTAGCTATATCGAGAATCTAGATCACCAGAGAGTGTCGTCGGCACCACGCAACGAGCAGAAAAAGTTCCTGGTCATCGGTCCGAGCAACACCAAGTGAACCCCCAGCTTCCTCTTCCATCGTAGCGCTCGCTGAGAAGCCGCCTGCGTCATCTTCCGATGCCGAGATATCACGCCTGGGGCTGCCTGTTTTGCGGAGTAATATCGGCGCTTCTGATAACGGTCTTGGCGATTCGTAAAAGGTTGGGTGGCTGGGAACCGGTGATGGATTTTGTCCTTCACGACAGAGGGGTGGTCTTCACCGCGAGCTTAACTAGCGAATGTTGGTGGAGTTGCGACAAGTGACTACATTGCATATATAAATCTATTGCACACACACAAAATCTCTACTATTTCATCTTATGCACGCGACATGGAACATAATCTGGGCAGAGTCAATCCGTTAACCCTCTTACTAGAATCAAGGAGCGTGTCAACAGGATGCACGAATCGCATAACAGTCGAAGAGAGTAGTGGTCGCGTACACCTCATAGAGAAAGACGCGGCATTTGACTATTTGAAAATGGCGGAGGAGAAATGTGGTGACTATCAAAACCAACTTGCAGTCTCTCACTCAAAGGTTGCTGAACACAATAGGAAATAGATAACTACAAAGCCGACCGCAAGTCAAAGAATGAATGGGTTTCTCACCGAATTCGCATGCTGTCGACTTCTTGGTCCTTCTCCTTAGCACATGTGCCTGAAGATCGTTTAGATGTATTCTTGCTTTGCATAGTGGCTGTTGAAATGCAAGAGATGATTCTAGCTCTTAGCGCTTGTTGTAATAGAAAGCAAGTTCCGAGGGAAGAACAGAGCTGCAAGCCATTCTAAAATGAGTCTTGAATGTATTAAGTGCCCTTTGATGCCCTCAAGTTATCTGCCGCAATATAAGTCTTCTCCAGCTAACGCTGTTTCTCGTGCAATCAATTCGACGGTGTCGGTGCTTATCCTGTAATATATTTTGCTACCTAACGCGGGACATGATGAAGTAATTTGGGATAGAGATCTGCATCCCATTTCCACTCTCCCCGATTCTGGTAGGAGTGTGAACAGATAGACTCCACCCTAGACATGTTCCACGTTATACAATAACATACTGTAGAGTATCTAACATATTCCTCGAACACAGTGTTGCTCTAGCCGTCTTTTATCTATATATTTCCTTCATTTTTCTTAACCTCTGATAAAGGTGAGGAGAGCGTGAGGAGGCATCTGCGGCAGTGGAAGGAGGCAGTGGAAGGAGACGCGGGCAAGATGTGATTTCCTACAAGAGCTACGCTACCTTGAATAACAGTAACAGGGACAGAATTATTGAAAAATGTGCCCTGTCATTCCGTCCGATAGATAGGACGGTTTTGCATCCACCAGGTGACTAAAAAGGGTCAATGCAGTGATTCCCAAATGGAAATGAGGGGATTGGAGAACAAGGGCACACACCTGACGTAGAGAGGCTAAGTCTCTCATTCATTGCCATGAATGCTTCGCGTGCATCGCCTGCGCCAATGAAACCGGAATCTCTACCATGGTGCAACCCCAATGCTTGGCATCGGCAGCAAAGCCCGGAACTATGAATCAAAGAAAGATGCGACAAACTATGGAGAGGTGGATGGGACAAGCATGAGTCGGGGCAACATTGAGCGCAGTGTCCGTTGCAACTCATCGGCACACCAAGCCATTAGCCAGGTTTATGTACACATTATACGAAAAGATAACCTGTTCCGACTGCTCCCTACACCAAGAACCCCGGACTCAAAGCAAAATGCAAACAATAGGGTATCCAGACAGCCATATCAACACCACCTAATGAAGCGGAGACCCGGCGTTGAGAGCAGGCCAGTAAAGGTCGCGTCTCTGTTCTTTTCAGCTCTACCATGCTGCGTCGCCGCGTCAGCATGCTCCAAGGTAGTTTCTTTCTGCATGTGCCAGCTTACAGAGCTACTATGCTTGGAGTGCTCACGATGAGTCAGTGATCAGAGCTCGTACTGGCCATAGAGCGCAGTCGATTTTGCTGGCGCAGAGGTTGGGAGGTGAGTTTGCGTCACGCTCTGAGATAAAGACCATGCTTTGCCAGCCATAAGATCGGTTGTATGCATTGGTTTCTGAAGCATCGGGTCGTCGAAGGCAACTGGAGTGGCACGGTTGTGGTGGGGAAACGCAGAGGTCAAAGTGATTGTGGAGGTGAGCAGGCTTACTGCTACAAAAGCTTTCATTTCGTCGGCTTGAAGAACTTCTTATAGGAAGATCTGAGTAGTTGGAGGGTTGGTGAGTTCGCTGGAGGCAATGTTGTCGGGGCGGTGTCGCTTGGAAACTAGAATGGATGAATGACTGATAATACAAGTTGTGTATTTGATTGAGACAGAAATAATAAGTTCTTTGTCTGTGGATAGTTGTGCGAGCTCGAATTTCTCCGGAAAGACTTCCCAGTGATACGTATTTCCGCAAATGGATTGTGCAATTGTGTGGCTGCTCAAAAGGAATTTAAATATCACCCCTCGGAGCTGACTTGTTGAGGATAGATAAGGAAAGTGGAAGTGAAAAAACAGGAAGCCAACGCGATAGCACCAACTCTTAATACTCTTGATACTTACTCGGACACCGAGAGGCTAGATTGATGGCGGCTATGATCTAGCAGTTCCCTGAACACTGTTGGTGCGAAGAAGGGGCACGTTGGGTGGAGTGCGCTATGAGTGGTCAAGTCGAGACTCGTTTCTGAGCGATCCGGCCTCGTTGCTCGGCAAGCAAACCGTATTCGTCTTAGCGCGTTTTACCAACGAACTATCTCGAACTTCTACGACAAGGCTGCTGCACAAAATAAAGCCCAATGACACAGATCTTCGCATATTGCACCCAATCCTCGAGCTTTTCTGGCTGCGGAGACCTTACCAGCCATGCTGTCGCTTCCCCTCATCACACCGCGCCCGGTAAGTTCATTGGAAGCATTCCTGTCAATCGTATGAAAACAAACAACTGCCGCACCATGTTTCAACCTCCGCGGTCCTTGAGTCTCAGAAGGGTTTCTTTGGAACTATCGAGTTCATGAAATTGCTCATTGTAGCACCAGGATGCTAGCCTCTGGCCCTCGCACCGATTGAGCAACACCTCCTTCGACGCCCCTTCCGCCGACTCGCAGAACCCCTCGTCCAGCAATGGCCACCGCCGGCCGAACTCACGCCATGGACACCACTCTTCCTCCTCCCGCTCAGCCCTCGCTGCCCTAGCTGCGGATGAGAATGTCATCTACCAGCGCAAACAGAATGTTCGGCGCTTCGGCGCAGGCTGGATTCGTCCTCCCGGTGTCGCGAAGACCTATCAAGCTACTATGGACGAAGCAGCTGAGCGCGAAGAGCAGGAGATATTGGCAAGGCGTGAACAGGTTCTGCTAGATCTTGCAGCTGCTCAGACAGAGACAGCCAACCAACAGCAGGCGGCAGAAGGCGCGGACGAAGAGATGGCGGAACCTGAGAGAGATCTTGATGATGAGGTACCTGAGGCAGAGGCGGATGAGAGCGACGTCTCTGTCACCGAAGATGACGTGAGCGGGGTCGATGAAGGAGACAACGGCCATCAAGGCCAAGCAGCCGATATCACATTCAACGAGGACAGTTTCATTGAGGGGAGCATGGTTGCTGGCGAGGTCGAACGCATGCTCGAAATGGAGGAAGCAGAGATGACTGGAGTCTTGCAGGAGGAACGTGATCTTGACGACGACATCCCTGAGGCCGGAAGCTACGAACACACCGAAACGGATCTTGAAGACTCAAGCTCAGAGGAAGATGCGAGCCGAGGGCCAGCACCGAGCACAGGAAGACGAAGCTCCGGAAGGCAGAGTTCAGGCCGATCAAGTTTTGGCATAAGAGGCGGAAGAAGGAACAGGAGCAGCATCGAGATTGAAGGAAGCAGCTCCATTATTGATGGCAGTTCATTCCTACGCAGTTCTCCTGCTGCAGCCAGAGGCTCATTGAGGAGCCAGTTCATGAGATCACGCGGCAGGGCCGAGTAAGATCCGATCACATGTTATATGGCGGTGTCAACGACGTCATGACCGAAGTCCATTCCTCGACGGCGAATATTTGAACGACTTACGATAGGTAGGGTGTATCAAAAGGAGGTTATCGATACCTAACTAAGGTACTCTCCGTGAGGGCGAATATTTGAACCACCTACCACAGGCGGTGTTGTGAAAGGAGCTCAGCAGTACCGTAAACTGTTACAGTAGTACTCGGAAGCAATTGTTTGACTTTCATCCCTATCCCTCAACAATTCTCCGAGTTGTATTCTTCGCTACTGTAAGGAGCTAGTCAAGCAAACCCAAACCAAAGACCGAAGGTTCCACATCAGCATGGAGGAAAACTTTTCAGTTGGGTTTGAGCTGGAGTATGCTTTATTGTTTGTGAGAATCAGCAAGTCATGTTCCAACATTGTGCCGTCACACCAAGTTACACGGTTGTGGGGATGATGATGCCTTCAAGAGGGAAATGCGATCGAATGGTCTGCGTTGGAAACCAAAGGAAAGTCGGCAATCGAACCGCCAACATTGGGAGCTCCCGAACGGCAATTTGTCCGACTAAAAGATCGATTGTTCCCTTCATGGGCAGCATTTACCGGAATCAATCGATCAGTTCCTAGTTTTCGAGCTTTGCGGGCCCATTCCATGTAATGTAGTGCACAGCGCCAACTTGACACAATACAGCCTTTCGTGTGTTTCTTATTCTACGCATCTATTGCTAATAAGTGCCCTTCACGGCGCTTGAATTTCAGTTACAGATCCATTGCGATATATCGCTTCCATAGAAACAACCCCTTTGTGCTCAACAACTTTGCATTTTTCCTTTTCGACTCCTCACATTCCTCCCCTCTCAACTCCTTCACTCCTAGGCCTATCTCTCCCAAAATTTACTCGCGCCAAGCGGCGGTCATCTGGAAACATCAACAAAAACAGGAATCAATCTTAGTATTCACTTTGCTCTCACAAGTGCGCGTTGCTCTTTAGTGTGGATACAAGGTGGGGCAAAGAAAGAGACAGACGCAAACTCTGGAAGTGGAAGCAAGTACAACGATTAAGGAGCAGGCGAAGCAGATTGAGGAGAAAGACGCGCCTGACACCATTATAATCTATCGGCTCCAGAACTTGTGGATATGCCAACTGTAGGAAACTGGTGAGAGAACATCGTCAGGGTTCCTGCTTTGCAGCTACTTTTTGTATTTGCACGTGTGATGGGACAAGGTGGAAATAGGGATCATAGGCAAAAATGCTTCACCAGTAGAGTATCAAAAGAGGGTTAAGCAAGCTAACAACTTAGCAAGAGGGTGCAGTTTGGGATCAGAAAATCTCGATGACTTCACGAGTATGTGGGTTCGGGGAATTTTGATCCTAGCATTCAGAGCGCTCGCAACAGTCACGGTACATTAATGAAGAGGGTCCAGTCTGCTAGTACTGTTGTTGCTGTGACTGAATATGGAGCTGACAAGTGCAAATCTCAACTAGCGAAGGGAATAGCTCACTTTCCTCCTCTTCAGCCTCTCTTATGAATCATTCTCTCACAATCTTAGAGAAGGAGAGTCAGATGATGCATATATTAACCATGAGCACCTTCCACAAGCTAATTTCAGGGGCACTCAGCTGCCTAGGTCTTTCTTCTCGCGTATCAAGCGTCTTCTAGGATCTTCATAGTCACAGACTCATATCTTTTCACAAATTCGATGACATATAATTGCCTTTCGTGCATTCTCCAACCTCTCGAAACTTCTCAAGCAACCACCTCCAAATTCTCCGTACATCGTAACTCTGGCCTTCTTAATTCACCAGCCAAGCGTCACGCCCTGACATACACCATATAAGCGTATTGCCTCTTCGAGACCCCTTTCTGGGAATCAGAACCTCTAACGTGAAGAAGAAGGAACAGACTAGGAGAACAGAGATGCTTTTATCCGCGGCGGTGGATTTTCAGCCTTCAGAAAACCAAGCATTTCGGGAATAGCACATGTGCTCATATCGCGTATCAATCGCCCGGGCACTCCTGGTTTAGGGGATATTTAAGCCCGTATGACTGACGCATGCACAAACCACATGTAATACCGTCATAAATTCTAATTAAAGACCTTATCTAAGGAAGTTATGGGTCTCGCATTCTACAAACAAGAGAGTCGGAGACCAGGCGGTCCGAGCTTGGAAGTTTAGAAAATACGTTCATGCGAATCATTCAATTCAATAAAAGCCCGATCGCTTAGATATATGTGTGGGAGCCCGTTCTCCCACGGCTTCAACAAAATTTAGAGCATGGAACTTGGAGACCATGGGCTCTACGAAAATAAAATTATCCAACTGGCAAGCTCATGCTCCGAGTTTGACTTCGAGAATCCCAAAAAACAGTTAGAACAAGGAGGAATGCTGTCCAGGAGTTCAGGGGCCAGAATGTAGGTTGGAATCAATTCCGTATTCTCGCTTCCATTAGAGAGCCCTCTAGAACGATCTGGATTCAACAGCGGGAACTGCTCATTCACAATCTCCAAACTGACTGATCCCGTGACAGGTCTGGGCCGACGCCTATAAAACCCCCTTCCGAGTCTCTCAGCTTCTTCCCACCGTGATTCTAGCGTTTGCGCCACGAGCTCCAAAAACCATTTAAACTGAGAAAATATGGATCCGTTAGGCTGGCTGGTGACCTCAACTTGATATCTCTGGGGAGAGCTGGAACATCCAAGAATGCAGTCAAGAATACCCGAATGGGAGCTTCCGTGTTCCAAAAGCAGGTTCGCTTCAGCAAATGTTTCTAGATGCTTTCTCTTAGACCAGAAGAAGACGCAAAATAATGAGTGGAACGTTGGCGATATTCGTCGCGGATTTTATCTGCCAGACTGGATTAGGAATTTAAATTTCGACCTCGGTATCTCATGTTGAGCAAGAACCAATCCGGAACCAAAAGATGAGGACGAGAACAACATATGGGATCCTTTCCTATAGTTACACAAGCGCCTTTTTCCGAATTTGTGGACATGATTTCGGAGACAAAAAAAGGACAAGGCTATCTCATGAGTTGTTAATGGCATAAAATTGTGAATCTACCAATAGTATGACATTCTTCCGTTATGGAACTCTCTCCTTTCAATGGCCATTACACTATCCTCTATGGAGCATTCGAGGGTACTCCAGAATGTATTTAAGAGAACAATGTGGGGAAAGAATGGCAAATAACTAGAAAATTAAACGACGACATCAATCGCCTATGAGTTCTCTCTCTGCCGAGGCCAAGAGTGAATCGGAGAAAAAGCCATGGGTCCCAATCCACAGAGCTCCCATATTAATAAAAAGCTGAATATAAGATCGCATGTCTGGACCAAGCGTACAAAAGCAGACGAACCCCTCGACAATATACCGCATGCTCACTGAAGGTTCTTCGTGCAACTGCCCGGGGATTAAACACAACGAAAAGATGCTCGAGAAGAAATTGGAGTTAACATGAAGGGATAAATAGACATCATTCACTCTCTATGGAGCACCTTAAAAATTCTACGATAAAGGAGAACTACGGCGGCAGATCTCTGGAGCCCCTCAGTCAAAGACCAATACTCTACGAACACTGTAAACGTTGAGCAGTATACTGCAAACCCTACGAAGACCGGTGGCTAGTTTCAGCTCATTTCCTTCTAGATATGGATGCGTGCACTTTCAAGAATCTTTCACTACGGGTTTCTACGGAAAGCGCTGCCTACAGGGGACAATGATTCAGCGGCAAGAGAATTCTAAAAATCTTCAGTCACAGACTATGTCTCTTGTTCTTCCAAGCGCTAGATTTCGATGGCTGAGCCCGAAACTAGAAAATCTACGCTCGCGGATTAGGGAAATTGACTTATGATCCCCGGTATTGGACTCCAAGATGTTGCCATGGTATCCTATGGAACGCATACGAAGACTACTGGATACACTACTCCCGATCCTGGTCCCCTTCATGGAGGACATGCAGTTCCGCCAACAACAATAAAATAGTATTTCGATCCTTCAATGATGGGAGACTTACAAAGTTTTGAGGTCCGTTAATGAATCATATTCAAAAAGCTGAATGCTGACCGTCATGGCCTGAGCCTTGGAGTCCCCTAGATCAGAGCTGGAAATATCTACATACCGAATACAATAGACCAGCATGTTAGACAAATGAAAGTACGGCCATCAAGTTAGAAAGAAAATGACAACAGAACTTGTGGTATGAGAACTACCTTCAAGCAATGCTTACCAAAGAATGGCACTGATTCCAATGAACCATTCCCGCCCTTGAAACGCCTGGCTAGCGCTGCTATGAGAGCGCCGTTTCGAAGCCTTGAATAAAAACTGGTGGTCCAGATTTTAGAGGATGGATTGGAAAGTACCCAAAATCGAACATCTCGAGCATGAGCCTATAAACTCCTAAACCCGAACGCCGAAATGAAACCCCTGGAAAATATCTGTGGATTACGCCTGTAAGGTCAATTTGGCCACAACAGTGGAGATTAGATCTGAAGGTCTGTAGCCAAATACAGTTGCTAGCGTGTTACAGCATATCAGGGAACGTTAATAGGGCTAGGTCGGATCCATCAAATCTTACGTTAGAAGTAGGGAGAAGCTAAGAAGGTGCGAATTTATGCCCGAAATCATATTTTCGTAATGGTTTGCTCGAAAAGCGCGCTTGCGATAGATCCAATAATGAAACACTCCAGGGCTCCGAGCTCTGGATAATTCAATGCTTTCCCAATTTGGTATCTTGGCGGATACCTGAATAGAAAAATCCTGGGAGAGTTTTAGGTGAGAATCCCCGTTAGTGTGTGCCCGTACGAAAGTCAAGAGAAAGTTCGAATTCAAGGACCATTGGTGTGCCGAAACTGACAACCTCTGTCAAGCCTCAAGTTTCGGCACGGATTATAGTTGTTCCAAGAGGACTGCTTGAGCTTGCCTCCTCTGAGAATTTCACACCTCTCTGCAGCAGTATTTCAACAATATTGGCGTTTAAAATCCCGCCTGCCCCAAGTCCTCTGTTGAGACATTTACAGGTGGATCCTACACTCACTTTATCCCACACTCTCCAGTCTCCCCATCACCATGCTAGATCATAGTGCACTCATCCTAGATCATTGCCCCCAACCTATTTCTTGCTGGGAGGCCTGGGTGATCCCAAAACGAATCGTCACGCAAACGATAATTGCCTCAATCTGGATATGGGTGGCTCAGTGCATATTTCAATTCTCCTTGATGAAGTGTACTGCCCAACCCTTCAAGCGAGTTTCTGGTGACCCCACCAGAAACAATATCAGAACTGTTTGGGTAGAACGCAATCGAGGAGCGCATGGTAGAAGGCCTGGGAGAAGGTCTTTAAGAATAGGCCGGCATTATGGGCATGAGTGCGATGAAGTCTTGAAGATCATAGTAGCCAAAGGCTTAGCCTAGGTGGCAGCCGAACTATCCAGACTCCCATTTAAATAATCCCGGACGCAGGTGGCTTAACCTATTCAGCTAGAATTTTGATTCCATTCTATCTACCCCTTCTTATTTTGTCGGTTCAGTCTTCATCAAGTTGATATAGGGGCGCCATAGTGAACAAAAAAGATGGTGGGCACTTCGTTGGCACCGCGGAAGCTCATCTTCGGCAAGATGCAACAAAGTTCTATCTTCAGCCTTTTACTTGCCGCAAACTAGTACCTCTCTCCAATGTGCAAGGCTGCCCAAACTCCACAAGGGTGGCCAACGTTTCTAAGGTCCATCATGTCTTCCGCCTGGTTGTCATCCAAGAAGTTGCCACCGATGTCATTCCGTACAGATTCCCACTCTCCTTTCTCGCCTTTAGCCTCACAATCAGCAGCTACGATCGGGCTCCAACAGCGCCCACGATGCATGCCTGATACATTGCTAGAACCAACTAATATAGTCCCAGTGTATTCCCCATCCTCTTTGCAGCTGCACTCGGCCGCGTAGCTCACGTAATTCTTTTCTGGCGTCTTGAACTAGGTGAACGCGCTGACGTTCTGCATCTCTTGGCTAGAAGCACCTCGCTCACTGGTACAGTTACATCGCAACTCAAACTTCGCATCATATATCATGCCCTACGTTTTCGAACTGTGCTACCTCGAGACCCCATCGCTTGCGTCTGGAGTATCCAACAAATGTCTCGTTTCTTCCAATCACACTAACCTCTTTCAGTGGGATAACCATTATCCAACAAAGTCTCCGCAGTTTGACTAGGCTTGCACTTCAGCGCTTACTGGCCATACATAAAAGGTATGTATTCCATCTCCGGCACTACGATCCCTGAACAAACCACCCACAAGACTGCCCATAGTGCCCGAAGCATTGACACAGAAGCCATCGAAGCGTAAAGGGATGGTTCGCTGCTCTCCCCATCGCTTCTGTCGTCATGGCCTTCGCGAGTTTAGTGCATGCTGTTGCATGGTAATTCCTCACCCAAGACCCGGAGTTGATGCTTAGTATTCGGGCCTGGATATGCAGAATTATGCTACGTTGAGCTAACGTCGAATGGAAGTTTTACGGGTGCGTCGGACCTCGCGAGGTTATTGAAGAACATGAGAATGAAGTTTGGGGATATGGAGGGGAAGGCCGGGATTGGGGGTCTGGCTAATACACCTATGGATGCTGATGGAGAGTTGAAGATCACGGGCGTTGTAAGGGCGACTGTGCGAGTTACATCGGGATATAAATTGTATGCTTGTTAGCAGGGCGATTCATAACAGCAATCTCCTAAAATGTCTTGCACAAAGTGTTCCCCCAGGTTTAACATGTCTGTGGCTAGCTGAAGGGGCAAGTACGACGGAGTTAGGAGGGCACTGAACAGGCTGGTAACAGAAGCTATAGTGGGCTCGATGAGAACGGCATTCGTCATCGTTGTCGTACTAGTGATGTAGGCCACCACTGTCGGCCGCGGATGGAGATACCGGTGAACTGTCTTCGCCACGTCCGCTGTCAACAACAAGTAACCTCGTGATCGTTCTGAAGACAGTGCCACTTATGCATCAGTGTTGGCTATGTATGGGTGCTGACAATCTCCTTATCCGGTAACACTAGAAGGACACATAGGTGTTCAAGGATTGTTTTTCTAGAATAAGTTGGAGCTACTCAATTGCTCGTATATAGAATTTATTGTTGAGTTGATGCCATGCGTTGCCTGTGTAAGGAAAGAAGAAGAGAGGAACATGGAGAGCCTTAGATACCCTAGCAGATTCTGGATCTGGGCTCAAGGCAGTATGGGTAAGTAATGCAGCCTAGTTAAATCCTAGTGGCATTCTAGGCTGCACGATGGTGGTAGACGTTAGAGTTGGTGTGGGATGTCCCGTGTCGGAAACCGGGAGAATGCACCAAACCTAGACAGGTTTGAATATTGCGGGGCTCAAGCAAGGGAAACAAATGTAGGATCCAGGCCGAGCCGAGCACATCTCATGCAGATATGGGCTTTCTCATTGGCGACACATGCTTGTGAAGCTCAGTAGGCGCATTCAGTTCCTTGGTTGGAACAGGTTATTTCTTAAAGTTGAAGACAGTTGAATGCTCCTCTTATACCACGTGATTAGTTTGGCATTGCAACTATCGATATTGCGTACCTTTTCCGCCAGGCCTCTTACTCTGTTTTGATTATATGTTTTGGTTATATGTTTTGGTTATAAGTTTTAGTTAGCGTGCATTTTAACCAATATCTTATACCCTGGTGACAAGATCTTGGCAAGCGAAGCCACTAGGGTAGATAGCATAGATTGGAGTAGCCCAGTATCTGTACACCATGGCATCTGCCCTTTGCAGAGGAACCAAGCGGAGACTGTAGAGCACGAACGTATACACATACGAGCTCGTAATAAAATATGCATTACGCAAAAGGGACAGGCTGAGGAAATGGGTCTGTCTAATTTCTGTACACAGGGAGACTAATATGACAACGGCCAACTCAGCAGCGATTCACTATTCGCGAACCCGCACCGCTCTCATCGACCTCAGATATCTTCATGCAAACAGTACCAAAAGGAAATGCGCTGTTGGACCCAAAGAGAGGGAATAAGTTGGGTATTAATTTTGGTATTGTTTGTATGCCACCACGATGGTCTAGACATCCTCTATTCCTCATCATCGCCGAATTGGTTCTTGGGCCCTGGCTTGCTCTGTACCATCATTCCCTTGTATCCGGTAATCGTCTCGGTGCCTTGTGCCTGGGTAGCAGGCGGTTAGTGTGGGTTGCTAGGAGGAGAAGTGGGATTGCTATGGGGTATCATGCATACCTTCAGGTACTCTTCTGTTGCCTCCTGCCACTCCTTCGTCATAGTGCGCGGTCGTTGGGGGTTCGCAAACACGCGGGTGAGGGAGAAGAGGACGATTGAAACGCCCATAATGGCCGAGACGAGGATGAAAACCTTGCGGCCCTCATCTGGAGGGGGAGGCCTTCGCGGGCCATGGGGGCCGAACGCAATGTAGTACGCTGCAGAGTGGTATTGGAGTTAGTTTTGGTGTTCCTCTCGGACAGCTTGCGATGGTCTGATTAGAAATTTTGGTGAAGTCGGCAGCAGAGCCCGATACGACGCCGAACGTCACAGGTGCTTCCCAGAAACCCAATTGAACATGTAAAAATACCACGCACCGGCCTTCTTCTCCTGCATCGTCATCTCCTTCCAGTCGACCTTCATGCGGTCCCTAAGCGACATCCAGAGATCGGCCTGCTCCTGGGGGGGCATGTCCTCCCATCGCTTCTCGATGTTAGCCAGCGTCGGGTTGGAGATGGCATGTGCCTGGCGGGTCTGCTGCTGTTGGAGGCACACGGCGGGTGCGATTCGAGGCACACGAAGGGCTGGTCGGGTCGCGGACGAGGGGACGATGCAGGCCGAGCTCCTCGTGGCCCGGATGACGGAGGAGCGCAGCATGGCGAAGGGTAGAGTGGAGAGGGTCGCAGAATTGAAGATGAGAAGGGGAGCGGTCCCTGTCGAGGAAGTTGGCGGTGCCAATTGGTGATGAGGATGGGGGGAGAAGCCGGGTCGTGGACGGGCTTCAGGTGAAGTTCGAAGGCTTGGCGGAGAAAAGGACCTTTCCAGTTGCAAAGCCAGTGGTGTGAGCGCAACGCTCACCTAATCGGCGAGCCAATCAGCAGCAGCCATTTCGAGGCTTCACATCAGCAACAATTCGCGCATGCTGCCAGAGCTCCAAGGACTGAAGCTGCGCAATTGCGCCGTGAGAGCTGCCATTTTCTGGGCTCAGCGCTGCAGTACATATAGGGCAGCTTCACCCACGCCATCTCGTCCTACTTTGATTCAGTGCCTGCTCCCTACCCAGTCCCAGGGTCGCAGGCGTGTTCCCCAAGCTCTCGGGCCGAGCAGCATCGGCTCATGCCACCCTCACAATCGCCTGTCCCCAGCCCTACCTCGTCAGATCACCACCTGACGCTCATCTATATTCGCTGCCCGCCGCCCCTCACCTTAATGCAGGTACCTCTCTCTCGTCTGGACGCCGTCGTGGCACACAGATGGCCTCAAGGTGGCATCGAGGCTGTCCACACGCGAACCGCTGGGAGAGTTCTCTTCCTCCCGGCCGCGGACTCGCTACCCTCCCTCTCACAGCTCAACATGTGCATCTGCAAAGACCGCCTCGTGGTGGTTTCTACGTGGAGGTGACGCTGGGTAGCACTTACATTCGCACTTCCCACGCAGGCCGGATTCAGCATAATAACGCACAGTCATCTTATCGAATGACCATGTAGCCATCCAGAGCCCCAGCAGGTAAACAACCGACCAAAACGCTGAGACTGACTTTTCCCATCAAGCAAATCTCATCCCACGGTGCCGAGCATGTTGAAGGATCATGAGATGCGCAAATCTCGCTCTCTGTAAGCGGCGCTGAGAAATTTCTGTGGTGTAGATGCTTCTTCGCAGAGGCGGACGAGTCTGCAGGAGCCAAGCGGAGCCATCTGCATCATTGTACATGGAGTCCAGCAAGCACGCAGCGTCGTTGAGTGGATCGAGAACATGGTGAAGCAGAAATGCTAGTGCTCCGTAGACTGGGGAAATGTCGCGTTTTGAATGCCTGAGCAATCCCGGGCCTGTTCAGTGCATTCAGGTCATTCCCCGGACGATTCCGGCCTCGCAGCCGCAATGAGTGCACCGCGTCCGAGGTAGCAGTGTGTGACAAGCCCCCCCCCCCGAAGCACTGTCGGCCGGAAGTGTGGGAGCAGGAAGAGGTATATTATTGGGCTAGGCCGGCGGCTGAGGCAGTTTTATCTCTCAGAAAAAAAGAAGTGCTTGTGACGTTGACGTCTCTTTGGCTCTGCAATAATATTTAAGTGAGGGGCCAGCTCGACCACCCCACCACCCAACAAACAACTTTTCGCCCTCAGCCCACAACAATTCTCCCACCCATTGCCTGCCTCCATCGCTGATTCAATTCTTCTTATAGTGAGTAAAGTTCGTCTGGTACATGGACTGACCCTCGTTGACTCTCGCAGCACTCCATTCACTCTATCTAGCCATCATGGTCGTCAAGGTTAGCTAGCTCTACCCCGCGAGAGTCGTTCTCAGCCATTGACTCACGTCTTCTAGGTCGGCATCAACGGCTTCGGTCGTATTGGCAGAATCGTCTTCCGAAATGCGTGAGTATTTCTCCAGTGTCGAGCAGTGTCTTTTGAAGCCTCCCTCTCTCTAACACGCCACCGCAGCGTCGAGCATAACGACGTCGAAATTGTTGCCTGCAATGATCCCTTCATTGAGCCCCACTACGCTGTAAGCATCCCTATACCCCATAAAAGTCGGTTCTACCCATGGGCACAGCTTTGCTATGTCTAGGACAAGAGAACACGCTGAATGCGAGTGCGGGGCTGACTCGCCATCATCAGGCGTACATGCTCAAGTATGACAGCACGCACGGCCAATTCAAGGGAGACATCAAAGTTGATGGCAACAACCTCATCATCAATGGCAAGACTGTCCGCTTCTACATGGAGAAGGACCCGGCCAACATCCCGTGGAGCGAGACTGGTGCATACTACATCGTCGAGTCGACTGGTGTTTTCACCACGACTGAGAAGGCTAAGGCCCATATCAAGGGCGGTGCTAAGAAGGTCGTCATCTCTGCTCCCTCTGCTGATGCCCCCATGTTCGTCATGGGTGTCAACCACGAGACATACAAGTCGGACATCGAGGTGCTCTCCAACGCCTCCTGCACAACCAACTGCTTAGCTCCGCTGGCCAAAGTCGTTCACGACAAGTTCACTATCATTGAGGGCTTGATGACTACTATCCACTCCTACACTGCTACCCAGAAAGTTGTCGACGGACCGTCCGCCAAGGACTGGCGTGGTGGACGTACTGCTGCGCAGAACATCATTCCTAGCAGCACCGGTGCCGCCAAGGCTGTTGGCAAGGTCATCCCAGACCTTAATGGCAAGCTCACTGGCATGTCGATGCGTGTCCCAACCGCAAACGTCTCCGTTGTCGACCTGACCTGCCGTATTGAGAAGGGTGCTACTTATGACGAGATCAAGGCCGCCGTTAAGGAGGCTTCAGAGGGCGCGCTCCAGGGCATGTATTCAAAAAACGATTGTCCCAGCGATATCACTAACGGGATTCCTAGGTATCCTTGGATACACCGAGGATGACATCGTCTCCACCGACTTGATCGGCGACAACCGATCCTCTATCTTTGATGCCAAGGCAGGAATTTCCCTCAACAAGAATTTCGTTAAGCTCGTTTCCTGGTACGACAACGAGTGGGGATACTCCCGCCGTGTTCTCGACCTCCTCGTGTACATTGCCAAGGTGGATGGCAACGCTTAGGAATCAGGACGGAGCCAGGCAATGCCTAGACTGTAGGGAGAAGTTTCGATGATTTGGGCCCAATCCTTCTAGGGGTTCATATCTTGCAGTTTGCGTTCCCTTCATGATGAAATGCTTCCTTGTGAGATCGGAACGCGGTGGGGAAAATATGATTTTGGCATTGACGACAGTTGTTAGACGAGCAAACAATCAAGATATGATTGCTGTGTCAGCCTTGCCAAGCTTATGTGGAACATCGTGAAGCTCCTCTCGTCCATGGAAGCTACCCCTGTTTCCGTTTTCTAGCGCCTCGATGCATGGCCCGTTCCGAGGTAAGTGGTCATGGGACGGGATCTCACGTGAAGTCGAGGTATAAAAATCCGAGATCCTTACCTGTCTTCACGTTAGCTCCCGAGAGATGAAGCTTGAGTGAACAGCACTTTTTAGGTCTCGTGAGCTTTTGCAAGCCTTGACGGAGAAGTACGGGGGAAGGTTCCCATCCGAAAAGGTCGGTCCAGTGGATGATTTGGCGGTGTGGGCAGTGGCTGAGTGTGGTGAGGAGAAACCAACAGGCTTAAAAGACCTTCCACTGTCTGCTCAGGCCCAGATACTTGCGCCGCTCACCACATTATGTCTACATAGGATGAGGTGCAAGAACTACTCAATATAGTAGATTAGGTTGGCTAAGCCAGTGCCTATGGACGCATAAGATGGAAAATAAGAGGCGCAATTACACGTTCTTGTCCATATTATCAGGATACAAATAGAAAATCAAGGGCTTACTTTATTATTTTGGAGTCTCTCCAAATCATTCATCGTTGGTGAAAGCATGCTACAGAGCGACGTTTCGAGGTGAGCCAAGGTTATCAATTAACTTTAAAAGGACTAGTGTGTGATTAGTCACCTTCAACACCAAGCCGCATCTCCTTCGTCTGTGAGCAACTATCCCTATCTGCACGCTTTCGACACCGTCCATACATCGATCTCTTTAGCGAATAGCCTGCGATACCCACCAGCGAATTTTACGCTGATTCATATTTCTAGTTCTGTCTCTTATCGCTCTCTTCGTACGACACCGCGGGTATGTTCATTTCGCAACTCACACTTCTTTGAGCCTCACATAACTCAGAGCTCCGAAGTGGAACAGCAAATCTCTTCGAAAACCACGCAACCTTGCCTGCGCTTAAATTTTGTGCGCTACTCGAGCATCCACGGCCACGACCCACCCTAACGAAGCTTTACTGCTACAATCCGACTCAGCAAAGCACTATTCCGCACAGGGTTTGCGCCACCGCATCGTAACCTCTACTCGGCATTATTGTCGCAACTTACTAAATATTCTATGGTAAAGCTCCGATAGAGTAAGTACGCATTTCCAAACCGCCTTCCTGCAAATGCGTGTTTGCACCCTCCAGCCCCACTAGTGTACAATGACATCTTCACCCTGGTGACAGTTCAGTGCTTGTCCAAGTCCTGAATCCTAACTTCCATTCACTCTTCCTAGCCATGGGCTGCGACCTTTGGCCCGGCTCTTCCTGGTCTTTTGATACTCTTGTATTTCGGATATGTATCATTTCTCTTCGTTTATCTTTCTATGGATCAATCCAATCAACACTGTCGTCCAAATAGACCGATCTCTTCCCTTTCCCTTTTATATCTCACTTCAACTGCTTGATTAAGAGTACAGAGGCCTGCTGACCCATCTTCTAGCCACCGTCTTTCTCTTCATCAACCACGGCGTCTTGCGCCCGGCGTTTATGAAGTGAAGAGACCAATATGGATGAGGAGGATTATGTTATGGAGGACTCGGTAGTGAACTCAACAGAGGTGAATGGGAACCGCCCAGAGAGCACCGTGGATCCTACCATGATTACCCTGCATGCGAAAAAAGATCGACTCCCAATCCTTAGTCATACTGAGCCAGTGCGGGGTTCTTCAAGACTTGCTTTCCCAAACGAATCTCTAGAGCATCCATTTGCATTGGGCGCTGCTTCCGCAGGTCTTAGCTCGGATTCGCTCCAAGACTCATCGTCAGATGAAATGGACCTTACATCCCCGACACCCTCGAATGTTCAAGTGCGGATACCCCCTCCGCCTACATATCCGCCACTCCGCTACTCCTCTTCCAAGACTGGAGTCGTCTACGATCCACGAATGCGGTTCCATTCTGAGCCCGATGATATGATCAGTAGGCCTGATGATATCCATCCAGAGGATCCCCGTCGCATTTATGAAATTTTCCAAGAACTTCAGCAAGCAGGCCTTGTTCCAGGCGACGATGAGTCCGAAGAGGACACCGACCCCCATCAGTGTTGGCGAATTGAAGCGCGGCCTGCTATTAGGGGTGAAATCTGCTTAATACACACACCAAAACACTACGAGTTCATTAGGGGGCTTTCCGGTAGTGTAACATCACCAAAGAGCATATTTTCAGGACTGACAAGATGGCAGACAAGACATTGGCTGAGCTTATTGCGCTTGGACACGAACATGACTCCATATACTTCAACGAAAGCACATTTGCTTGTGCAAAGCTAGCCGTTGGTGGCGCCATCGAAGCTTGCAGAGCCGTAGTCAGAGGTGATGTGAGGAATGCAATCGCTATAATACGCCCGCCAGGCCATCATGCCGAGTCAGAGGCCCCCTCTGGGTTCTGCATTTTCAACAACGTTCCTATCGCGGCCCGCGTCTGTCAGAAAGACTTTCCTGATAAATGCCGAAAGGTTCTAATCCTAGACTGGGACGTACACCACGGGAACGGCGTTCAACACGCATTCTACGAAGACCCCAACGTTCTGTACATTTCCCTTCACGTGTTCAAGAATGGCACATTTTATCCGAATCTTCCAGACGCGGATTATGATTACTGTGGCGAAGGCCAAGGTGTTGGTAGAAACGTGAACATTCCATGGGAGGACCATGGCATGGGTGACGCTGAGTACATGTATGCCTTCCAACAGGTCGTCATGCCCGTCGCAACCGAATTCGACCCTGACCTAGTTCTCGTATCTGCTGGATTCGACGCTGCAGAGGGTGACGTTCTCGGCGGTTGTCACGTTACGCCAGCTTGTTATGGCCATATGACACACATGCTGATGAGTCTGGCGGAAGGAAAAATTGCTGTTTGCCTCGAAGGAGGCTACAACCTACGCTCCATCGCGAGATCGGCCCTCGCCGTTACTAGGACACTTATGCTTCAACCGCCAGACCGTCTGGACGAAGACATTGGCTCCCCGAATGATAGCTGCGTTCGGACGATCGAACTAGTGAAACGCGAACAGTCAAAGCACTGGAAATGTTTTTACCCGAAATATCTAAACAAGCACGATCCTTCTTTCTTTGCCACCCAACGTTTACACGAAGTAATACGAGAATGGCAGAGTAAAGTCCTGGGAGATGAGCACCAAATGACGCCTTTGGCGATTCGGCGACCATTGATAGCGGAGACCTTTGAACACAATGTCATCGCGACGTAAGTGACTCCCTTGCAATCTACGTTCTTCCAACTTTGCTGATTAGCCTAGACCTCAATTCATGGAACGCCGGCCGCTTCTAGTTATTTTCCATGATCCTCCAGAATTCATGAACTTGGCCGACGCTGTGACTGGCAAGACAGACCTTCATAATTCTTGGCTTGTACGTACTTATTACAGTTTTGCGCTGTATTTCCGCTGACTTTGGACTCGAAGACTGATGTTGTCAAGTCCTACATCGATTGGGCCATCAAGAACGACTTCGAAGTGATTGACGTAAACATTCCTAAAGTAGTGGCCATTGAAGACGTGAGTATAAGAACTAAATGAGTCATTCTTCCAATACTAATATCCTTCTAGGACGATGGTGGCTACATTAGGGCAGACAGCAAAGAAGTTCGTGTTAGCCAGACGAGAGAATTGGCGGGCTATCTATGGGAGAATTATATCGAGTTAGTACATGCACATGATCTTCTGGTAGACAAACTGACTGTTCTCAGGCCGAATGATGCGACGCAGGTTTTCTTGATGGGAGTTGGCCCTGCATATCTAGGGCTGTTAGACCTCCTTAGCAATAGTGGTAGGGCCTCTCTAAGCCTCGCAAATGTCAGTATACTAATGAGGATACTCTAAGAAAATTGCACGGAGGCCGACAGTGTTATCCAGTGCTTAATAGGATTCGTTGCTGATACCGTGATTCAATCAATCAAGCGTGCCACGGACGATAATATTGCGAGCTGGTATTACAATGTATGGATCCTCCAAGTAATTTTCAGAATGTTTGTGTACGGACTGAGCTTATTACTGACCGGGGGGTTTTTTTTTTAGCACTCTCTAGTCTTCGTCGCGTCCACACACCACGTCTGGGAACCTACTCGACAGCGGAAGATACGCAAGAAGTATGGAAAGCTAAAGAAGTCTCAATGCAATAATCTCAACGAGATGCTAGTTGAGCATCAGGATGAAGTAAAAGAATACCTACTTCGAAAGAAGAGCGAGTTTGAAGAATCAGAAATGGAGACTAAACTTGCTGACGACATACGGTCAGGTCTGAGAAGCCCCCCACTACCCTCCGGAAGCAACACACCAAGGCCCAACAACGTGGAGGCTCGACCAGGAAGTGTGCCAGCTTCGCTCAGAAGTCCAAAGATGCCTCAAGTAGGATATTTTACGGTATCGAATAGCCCTCGTAGTCCTCGAAGTCCAATGAAGAGGACTTTCTGAAGTCGGTTGGCACAGTTTGATATTTCTGGAATGGCTCATAACTTTTGCATGGGAAGGTGTTTGATGTTCCGAAAGTCGCTTGGTGGGGAGCCGTTAAGTGTCGATTAGCCGATTTTTGAATAAATGGTTCTGCACGACAGGCGCTTACGCGTAGGATGACTTTATCCCGCCAAAGGGTGGCGCCTCAATGGAGACCCTGTCTGAACAACAATCGCATCGTGCTTCTATGTAGGCGATTGTGTCCGAACGTGGTATAGTCTAACTAGAACAAAAGTCTGCCTTATCTTAATACTCTCGCTGGTCCTACACACAGATTTATAAGCTCAACCTTTCTTGTAGAGCTTCCATAGTAAGTATTAATATGCAGTATCGTGTTCTAGATTAATGTAATAATAAAAAAGGCCCATTGCCTTGTCCGAGAGAATGCGGAGCGTTAAAGTATTATTTCTAAGAATTCATAGTCAGAGCCGGAGCCGCGCCACTTTCACACAAGAGCGCGAGGTTGGGTAAGAAGCCAAGATCTACACTGGGGGCCGAATTTCGGAAACCTGAAGTTCTTGAATTGGTTGCTAAGCTGAGGTCGATCCTTCTCTAGCTGAAAGAAGAATTGGCGTGAGCGTTTGAAGGCATAGCGGAGAGAATGATTGAACTTCAATTCCCTTCCACCCATTTCCCCCCTATATTATTGTACGGTATACTTTACCTGCGGTAGATCTGCACAATGCTCCTCTGCTGTCTCTTAGTCTCTTCGTCTCTTCGTCTCTTCGTCTCTTTGCGATCACGAGATTGGTTATTGCACTCTCCTCGGGCTTGCTCAAGCTTTTTCCTAGGATTGGAAGCAATACGAGAGCGCCCAGGTACCGACCTTCTGGATTCGTGCTGTCGTCCATGCCGCATCTATTAAAAGTCGTATCTAGCGCCAGCTCGTCGCCCTCCGCTCTCGTGCAGAATGTGGCACAGCATTTTCATAAGCGACCCAGTCAGGCCGTGTTTTTCTCAGCCATCAACATGCCATGTGGTGGAGGCTGGTTCGACATGAGTGGTGGGACATATTGTTCTTACCTGCCTTTGGGGCACAAGAGTTGAGCGCGAGGCCAAGGCGACCTGGATGCTGGCATGCTGGCATGCTGACGGGGGGGATGGGACGGATTCAATCAATTTGTGAGCTTTTATAGATGAGGGATGGATCCCCGCTCGTTCTAGTTCCCTTTGTCCTCGCATTCTTATTATCGGTTCTTCTGTCGTCGCGTTTTGGGCTTGAGTAGATTTCGACGTCCTTTTGGTTGGACCGTGAATGGATTCGACATACTCTTCGAAAACGCCTTTTAAATCGCAGTCTTCGCTATCGTGGGGCATCTCAGCCTTCTCACGGAGTTCAACATGCTTCAAACATGGATACCAAGACTGGGGACACTCTTCACCCTAACATCTCTACTTGCAATCGTATCAGCACAAAGCTCGTCGGAAACAATAACAGCGAGAGCAACATTATCGTCGACCGGAGCAGCCCCGTCACCAACAAGCAGCGCTACCAATTCAACGACCTCAAGAGGGCCAAAAGTATTTACAGTCAAAGTCGGAGCCGGTGAATTTGCATACAATCCAGCGAACCTCAGCGATGTCCATGTGGGGGACACTGTCTCTTTTGAGTTCTACCCGCTAGATCACTCAGTAGCAAGAGCGGAGTTTGGAAGCGCGTGTGTGCCATATGAGTATACTGGGAAGAATAAGGTGGGCTTCTACAGTGGCACAGAAAATGTCACCACCGTCAACGACGTAAGTTGCCGGACCTCAGTGGCACGTAGCACTAGAGTCCCTGCTGACCAGCTATTTGCAGCTGAAATACTGGAATCTTACAATCAATGACACTGCGCCTATCTTCTACTACTGTACAGCGCCTGGCTCGTGCAAAGATCACCAGATGGTTGGTGTAATAAATCCGAATGCAACGCAAACTCTAGATGACCAAATCGAGTCTGCTAAAGAGGCCAAGTTTATGGTCGCGCCTGGTCAGCCTCTTCCAGGTGAAGCCTCCTCAAGTCTTTCAGTACCAAGCTCGACTTCAACTAGCTCGCCCACTTCCACGCCTGTACCGACACATTCCTCCCACCACAGCAATCTATCAGGAGGTGCAATAGCGGGAATCGCCGTGGGTGCCGCGGCATTCCTCGTTATTTGCGCCGCACTCTTTTTCTACATCGGCCGAACCAAGTCCCTCAAAGAAGTGCTAGACCGGAGAGATGCCACGGTCACGAAAACCACACCCATGACGGCGGGCACAGAATTTGGGACACCAGGCACACCAGGATACCCTAGTCAATTATCTCCCCAAGCGGAGTACAGCACCCATCCACCAACCTACGGGCAACACCACGCCACAGAGACACATCCTTCTGGATGGACGAGTCCGCAGATGCATCCGGGACATATGTCGATGACGCCGCCACCACCACCACAGTAAGTGATTCTGACGCAGCCCCGCTGAGTAGCAGAGTAATGCTGATGTTTTTGTTTCAGGATGGCTGAGGTGAAATCACAACACGCCCCGGTTGAGATGCACAGCCCTACCCCGATGCAGCAGACGTTTCCTCACGAGTTAGAAGCACCGATTAAGTCTCCACGCTGATGATGATATTTTGGGGCCCACTGTCCCATAACTTATTGACGTCAACTACGGACCACCAATAGCGATGCTTCGATCTGTCACGCCAGCAGCTGGAACCAAGCAGAATTGCCCAGAGGATGCAGACTTATGTCCTTTCTTAAGCCTCATGTTCCATCGATCCCTGCGGAACAGGTTGTAGGCGCAAGACCGGATGGATTTTGCCTTACATGGAGTTGGAAGCGGTTGGATTACCCCAGCGGCGCATTTGGATATGTTTTGCATGGAAGTAGATGTTGCTGCGCTTTTCTTTTTTGTCTAGATACCACTCCGAGCCGGGGGTTTGTCAAGGGCAAAATGATGTGCTGGGGCCGAATCACCCACTCTGTATACCGTTATCTAATCTAATTACTGATTATAGCAGTGTGATGATCCAACCACCCTCCTCGGAAGAACAATGAGACAACGTCTTGCTGGTGCATCTTCTTAACTAACGTGGAACAAGACCACTGTCATTATGGCAGTTGTATGCACCCTGCTCACATTCTCTATGATTCTAGCAAGAGGTTTAATTGATCAAATCTGTCTTGTTCATGCTCCACGGTTCATCCGGGTATGTTGCGGTCAGAGTCGGGAGATGAATGGGAAGTGGTGTGCTTTGGCTGGCCCGTACTGCCAGTGAATAGCTAATGTTGAAGTACACGTCTCCGCTTCGACTTCAATATGTGTGCCACCATGCAAACTAACTGAACGAGGTGTAGCAGATTGCAAGAGGTCGGTGATAAATTCATGTTGTCATTCGCCTGAAGCGATGCGACCTTAGGAGCCAATGATCCACCCACGTTCGCTGACGTCTCCCTCAAGCCGTCCAGCGCTGGACGGACCGACCTGGGCCAAGCACAAGGGAACTGGCGCGAGAATGCGCCGCTGCATTTTCTTCTTTTCACGTTTACAAGAGCCTCCCTCACGTACTTTTCCCCCTTTCCCCCGCGACATCGTCTACTATGCTCCAAGGGAACCTTCGACGGCGCTTCTTTTGCACTTGCACTAGTGCTCTTGTGAAGACCTTGCACCGCGAGCAGTAAAGACTGCAAGACCGCCATGCTCACATCGTCCCCGACCATTTCAGCACCCTCGTCGCCCTCAGCAGCATTCCACACGCGTGCCCGCTCATATCATGCCTCGGCCGCCTCGACCGCGCCTTCTCCCCGATTCTTGCCCTCGGTGAACGGCGCACCCTCCCGCAGTGTACCTTCCCTCGGCGCACCCCACACGTCGAATGCTGCTATGCATTCGCTGGTGCCCACATTCACGCGGTCACCCCAGATTATGAGAAGGGAGTACAGCGACGCGGGGACACAGTATACGCCACCAGGTTACCCACCCACATATCACCGGCCCCCGCCAGACACCACGCCCGCCATCAATCTTAGCCTCAGTGAAGGAGCCCAGCGAGAGGTCTCGAGAGCAGAGAGCGAGCGGAGGGGGACCTCTGCGAAAGCTATCGTCACGGAGCCCACAGATCCTGACCTGCGGATAAATCCGCAGCCAGTTGTACCTGCGCCAAATGCCCAACTGGCCAGGAGATATTCTGCCTCTGGGGAGCCCCAAGTGGGAGAACAGAGCGTAAGCCAGGGCCAGGGCCAGGGCCAGGCGAGTACTGCCCCAACGGCACAGCCGTCGACTGCTAAACGGGCGCGACAACTGGACCCCAATGACAAAGTTCTCCCGTTGAAGTACGAGGATTGCGACGTGAAAGATTTGGGCGTCTTGATATCGGACATGCTGATGGAGCTGGTGCGATTGAACGAAGAGTTTCCGTTTAATGGTGGGCAGCTCACGAGGTTTCATTCAAGGTAGTACAACTTTGCCTTCAAGAAATACGGTGGCACTGACATGGCTTACAAAGAGCGCCGCCTGGCATCTCGGTCCGCGACTACCTTAATCGTCTCATCGTACACGCAACACTCTCCCCTCCAATTCTCCTATCAATGGTCTTCTACCTCGACAAGCTTTGCACCATGTATCCTGCCTTCAAAATCAGCAGCTTGACAGTGCATCGATTCCTCATTACTGCGGCCACCGTTGCTGCGAAGGGCTTGAGCGACAGCTTCTGGACGAACAGTCTATACGCAAGAGTAGGGGGCGTTAGCGTCAGGGAACTAGCGCTCCTAGAATTAGAATTTCTACGTCAGCTAGAATGGCGAATCGTTCCGAAGCCGGAGACGCTCGTAGACTACTACAAGGGATTAGTGGAGCGAGGGGCCGGCTATGTCATGGAGAGAGATCCGGAGTCAGCTCAGGCGCCTGGTTCTCCAGCTCAAAATCCACAGCTAAGCAGTTCAACGGCAGAGACCGATGCTGGCCCGCCTGCCAGCTCATAGCTTGGACAATGATAACGAGTCAGTAAGAAGTACCCACACGACTCAATTCCTCCACTCCCTGACCATTTTTCTGTCTTTGTGTATGGTGTTGGCTGTATTGTTGTCCAAGCTTGATGACTCCATAGCACGTCTTACGCAGGAAGCCTATCGCACCAACCATATTTCCCACACCGGATAGCACTGTGGTTTTGCGTCTATGGATCTTCAGCGTTCAAGGAATCCAGCCTGATGAGTTGGCTAGCTCGGCCCAGAGAGGAGCAGGCTGAGGGAAGAGAGATTGAACTGTGGATCCAGCTTGGGTGAACGACATTGGTACCGACAAAGAGGGTGCAGCGTGCTGGAAATGAGAGCAATGATAGGCGTGCATAGGAGAAACGCATCACGGGCCGGGCCATGCGGCAGACTTCCGGTTGGAAGATTTCTGTCGGCATTGATAACAGTTCATACGATCTGCTTCGGTTTGAGATAGGGCTCTGTCAACGGGGATAGATGCAGCAATGGAGAGAGGCGCGCTGGATCGATGCTACTCCCACTTGTGGACGTCAGGCATGGCATGCGAGCGCATATTGGGACGCAGGACAAGGACAATGTCACAGTAGCATGATTGGATAACCATGGTCGTAGCATGACAGCAGAGGATGGATCAGATATTGCAGTCCTAAGGGAAGTTTAATGGACGAACAGTTAACGGCGTTGTCGTGAGTGATGCGTTGGACAAATGATATCTCAGAAGTCAAGCTACCCCTGCTTGCACCAATTCAACGCACACGTCGGAATTCAGAAGTGAGGCTAGCTCTCCGCATTCTTTGGCTATTCTCTGCGTCCTTCGAGAACCGCCGCCGTAAGGTCTGAAGGGCAGGCTGGGCTCAGGGCGATGGACCGCAAACAGCATGGCAGACCCATGGCCGGCGCACGGCAGCCCCATGGCTGGGCCATGGCTGGCACATGTGTGCAAAGACAGCCGTGTACGCTGCCTGGCTTAGCGACTTGAAACCTCCCTTCATTTCACAAAGACCACCGCACCCCCACGGCCGGCTGGGAGGTTACAACTCGGCTGGACTCCAGGGTGGATTTCCCTTAGCAAACTGCACTCCACACAACGCAAATCGCGCTCTGCCTGTGCGGGAAAGACAGCGGCAGTCCGAGCTCAGGCGTGAGATTCAATATACCAGACGCACCCTCTTGATTCTAAGGCTCGAAGTTGAAAACCGCGGCACGAGCACCAGATCATGAAAGTGAGTCGTGCTATTTTACTCGTTCACATCATGCATGGCCTGCCACGAGCGCTTTCACTGCGGCGGCCCTCTTGGAGACGTCTCTGCAGGGCGCATCTAGCCTTCTCCCAAGACCCTCACTTGCTAACATGGCCGTGGCCGACAGGAGCGCAGGCCTGCATAGCTACAGCGACGAGCGTTATGCAGAAAACATGAACTCGGACATCGGCCGGCGGGAACCCAGCCAGCGAGACTTGGGTGTGAATTGGTCCCATCAGTACTCAGAGGTACCGCCCCGCACGTTCGCGTCCCCCTCCCCCCAGCAGAGCGGACGGCGACTGACAGTTTGTCGTGGATCAGTGGCAGGTAGGAAGAGTAGTCGCGCAGGTGCCCAGGACACGAACCAGCCCCATCTTCACCCGCAGTAGAGTCGCCCGTCATGGATCGCAGCCCAATCCCCAGAGGCCGTCGTCGAGCGGGGACAATGTGCTCCTGCCTTTCCGGCACATGCCCCCGCCACGACGAGCCGAGTCGTACTCTCACCCTACGCCTCTCGAGGAGTTTCGCAGCTCGAGACGGTGGCCGCCGCATGGATACAGGATGGACGAGGTCCTGAACCATCAGGTCGCCGAGGACGTAATAAGTGCTGGGGTATCGACCTTTAAGGGATATTCGGATGAGATCCCCAATGCTCCCCTAGGCTACGATCGTTTCTATGCCGTTATGGATTCCGCCCACCCCAGCAGGACAGACCGCTCCCTTTTTCAGCATCAGGCCTACAAGGATATCTCGCTGAACATGACGGGGCCCTCTGACAGCCTGTTTCCATGGCTCTCGTTGGACCAGCCTTGCATGGCCTATGCGTTTGGGAAGAGTGCCGGAACTACTACTTTCAATTTCTGGGTCAGCAAGTCCGGAAGCAGCAACCCTCCGATGAAGTTTGTGGCCGATGTGAAGCCGCGGAAGTTGAAACTCCTGCAAATCTTGGAACGTTTAGCGCATCTCGAGACGCAGGGCCTTGAGGAAGAAGTCAGTCAAGACACCTCCCTCCCTCCCCCGATCCAGAGGTAAATTTGGTTCATGTGACCTGACCTTTTCTATATAGGATCCAGATGAGCTCTACCGATATCTATACAGCACTCTCATTGAGGATCCGGACCGTTTCGGTAACCCTCATTACAGAATGGAGCAGCAGATTACCGATCTTATCACCGTCCTGACTCACCCTTCCTGGATAGACTTCTCGAACCCCAAGAACCAGGTTGTTGCTAAATTCTTCGACTCCCCGGACCAACATAGGAAGCAAGATTTCTTTCATCAACTTCTCCTTTCCGTTGAGCTATATCTACGAATCCATTCTAGCGGTCACCTGGACAAGGCCAAGCGGAAACTGATATTGCAGCTTCCTCCCACAATCGCCTGGGACTTGGCCGTAGCACAACGTTGGCTGGAAAACATGACCATCACAAAATCTCGGACTTCACAAAACCAAAGCACTTTTAGCTTTGAGCTAAGGAGCAAGGCCAGGCAGAAGGAAGCCCTCAAGACATTCGCGGCAACCTTGAAGTGGCCAAATATGGATGAAATAGACTACGTCCTAGATGAGAAGGACAGGGAGGAGAAGGCTTTAGAAGACCGTTCCGCAGACGCAATGTCGTGGTTCTCGGGTATTATTCTGCCTGGGAAGACTCTTCCGTGGCTCATTATGAACAGTCTAATAGACTGTGATCGGGACACGGGAGAAGCTCTAAAATATCTGACCCACATGCACCCCTCTGCAGGCTTTCAATATCGTGCTAATACCTACTGGTCATCTCAATGCATTGTGGGAAAAGTCCTAGGTGCAGCCCGAGGAGTAACGCAGATCGCCGGTTGGATTGGACCCTGCATCTACACTCCGGATCTTAAACGGACAGAATGCGTACGAATCAGACAAAAGGAGCCCTTGGATCCCAGACTCACTGCTAAGGATGTAGACACTATGGACATTCGCACCAACCCTCTCGGAAGGCCACAAGAGCCTAGCCATCCAGTTGCTGACTATGAAGTTCCAATGCCGGATAAGGACGACGTGACGGATGTGATTAGGATGGAGAAACTTAGCTTCGTTCCTTTAAGAGAGCAACCCTCGTCCAGTCGCCAGGGCCCAGGAGCGCCACTGACGTTTGATGCAGCGATCTACTTCGCTTGCGGAGGCGAGAGTTGGCCAATGAAGTTAAGATACGATGTCGATTTCATTCAAGCATTTCCTTGTCACCAAGGTCCTCACGGTAAGAATATCATCTCCGAATCTCTCATATCTCGTTTCTCGTTCACCAATTGACATGTGTGAAGTTCTTTTCTATGAGTTCGCCTACAAAGCTATCAAAATTGACGACGGCCTCGTCGACATGCACGACTGGGGTCGTCAGTCTGGTCGCACTTCTCGTCCACCCTCTCGCCCGTCGTCATCTCGCTCTTCGCCCTCGCCTAGAAAGGCGCTCACTCTCACTGCTGCCACTGAGGATGCCCATGTCCAAGTCAGGAAGGTGCTGGCAATTGAGGCATTGGGAGTCAGTGACAACGAGGTCTTTGCCCGAGCTTGGTGTGCCCATCATGGCCACAGTGCGATTATTGCGAATATCAAAGAGACTTGCATGGCTTGTGCGATAAGAGAGGCTTATGCCGCTTGCATCTCCGTGGTCATATTCACGGAAGGTGGAAAAGAGACGGAGAAGGATAAGGGGGTGAACGGCTACTAAGACGAAGCTGCCTTGAAGGAACTGCCGCATAGCTGGCTTTACATTACCTCCCCGTCACTCTTCATGAGGGCTTGAGACACGTCGTATGGGGCTGTAGATTATGGCCCAGGAGCGTCTGGCTGTACGCTGCATACACGGAGTGACCTTTTGAGGACACACTTCATAAAACACTTTCACACCTTTTCCTTTGTTCACATCTGGAGGGAGGAATAAGAGCAGGGCTTTCAATCATGCACGTTGAGCGGCTGCCTGGGGCAAACTTACACGGAGCATTTGGCTGGGATCGGAATGGCTTTTCGGGCATGGGTCGGTTGGTTGGTGGCTTAGGCAATGAGTGATGCCGATGAAGGCTACGTAGCAATGTGCTACGAATGTACGATTTAAGATTCTTTTTTAATGAATAAGGATGAACTGTAGGACGATGCTTTTAGATCCTAGGACATAGGAACCGTGAATTCACGATTCTGAAAAATGTTGATGATGCCTGGTGCCTTGGCTTCATGGTTGAGTACACCAATATTACCGATTAGAATATGTTACAAACTACCACGGAACATAAACAAGGTCGATTCAATCAGTTGATCCTCTTACTAGAATTAAGGAGAACGGTAACAGGATGCTGGTTTCTTCTCCAAATCAAGTCCTCGTCACGTTCCGTGGTTGGGTGGGAGGGTACAGTATGAAGACAAGGGCATTGCATGCGATCCCAATCCGAGAAGGCTGACAAGGATTAAGGGTTGCGCTCCCAGGCAGTTCCAGAGTTCCAGACTTGAGGCCAAACAGAATTTTAAATTCCGACAGCCGCGAATATCACAACCTAATTCTGATTTACAAGACCGAGCCATGTCTTCCGTCTCACCGATTGACTCAGCTTGTGACACGCTCCGCCCTTGAGCTCGCCAAGTCGAAGATCACGATCTTCCGCTCAGGCTAGAGCGAGCTCCCCGCTATCCATCTCCGGCCACTTTGCACCGCCATCCGCATCGCGTCCTACCTTACACATGCTCCTCCCAGGCAGCCAAGGTACCACAGCTACACCTTGCTTCACTTTCTTCCGCTTTATTAGCCAACGACGACGTAAAAGCTTCGTCTCCAACAATTCTACCGAGCCACCTCCTGCCCTTCGCAATGGGGCGCTCCTCCATCCCTCCCGCGCTCCTCGAGCTCTCAAGCCCGACCACGCCAGAGAATCAGGTGAATGCGCTGCGGGACCTGAAGAATGAGATTGTTGGACATGATCAGAGGAAAGAGGTGGCGGTTAAACATGGCGTCGTTAAGCCATTGTCGGGGATACTGAGGACAGAGGGGAGGAGAGGGGGAAAGAAGAGGAGAAGTGCTGGGGTAGTAAATGGAGGAGGGGGGAGTCTAGGGCGGGACGGTGGAGTGGGCCTGGGGCCTAGGGCATTTCTGGAGTGGACGATTGAGGATGAGATGAGATTCCAGGCTACGCTTGTGCTGGGGAGTTTGGCAAATGGTGAGTATAGAAGAAGTTAGATACTAGCGTGGATGGCTGATACTTGGATTCTACAGGTGGCCCGGCTTTGGTCTCTCCGCTGCTCGCTGGCAACATTTTCCCCGCGCTACTTGAGGCTCTGATGCCCTGCGAAGTTCCCTCCAAGCTTGTGCTAGCTACATTACGAACGCTTGAACAAATCGCCGATGCGGTTGCCCAGGAGAAGCCAGCAGATGCATCAGATGGGCCTCTGCGGACTTCCCTTTCAAGCTCGATTTCGGAGCAGCTCTACACGAAACCAGTCATGGACAGCTTCGCAGAGATACTCGCACAAACCTCGCAGTCATCTTCGGCACAGCAACAGATCTGGTTCGTCTCAAAGTTGATAATAAAAACATGTCACGAAGAGCATCAGCGGAAGATGTTGCTGGAAGCAGGCATTCTAGACCTCTTAGCGGGGAAGCTCGCCGCCATGGCTTCGGTGGAGGCACAGTCCTTGAGGAACGAGCCCAGAAATCCGACTCGAGATGAGCTGCCTACCATGTACCTCGCCGACATCCTAGAAGCCATCGCGGCCATTATCCAGGGTTCTCACTACAACACAGCGCGATTCCTATACTCTCAGCCCATTCAGCAACAATTTGGATCGCCAAAGGAGAGCACCACCGAATACAATGGATACTCTACTTCACCGCGTGCAACGCCATGGGAGAGACTGATACCTCGCTTGCAGACAATGCAAAACAAATCCGATGCGTACACAAAATCATGGCCAGCTCTTGGGTCTTACACTTCAACAAGCACTAGCGACAGCTATACCCGATTACCAAGCATGGAGTCGCTGCAGCCAACAAGCCGAACTGTCATCACAGATGAATCAGAGAACCCCCTTTTTATATGGCTCATGTTCGCCGCCCGTCGAGGGGAGGGGAGGGCTAGACTGGCAGCCTGTTGGCTTCTGGCGCTATTGAAGAAGTTTGGCGAGAGATGGCCGCTCAACGATCCGTCCAAGATTACACGGGAACGACACTTCGCATACTTGATCATGCCATTGGTTGTGAAGATGATCGAGGGGGCTCATGCAGGATTCAATCAAAGTAAGAAGAACGGCTCATTGAGCCCGCAGGAAAAGCAGGAGGCCAAGTACATATTGGAGCGTGCACCGCTGGTCCTAGCTGAGCTGGTCTCTGGCAACAAGACGCTACAGAATGCGGCCGTCGACGCAAAGATTCTTCCACAATTGTGTCAGATTCTGAAGAAGTCGTTCGATCCAATTACGACGACATCTAAGCCATTATGGTCAGCCAGGTCATCCGCTCTGCAGCCAGCCGACCCGATGATCGACCTAGCTTCATCGACGCTAGGCAGACCAGGCCTGAGTCCTGAGATCCTCCACACCTTTCGGTATCGAGAGAGTGCGTTGCTAGCATTAGCAGCCATGGCGGACACTCAAGACGGACTAAGAAAACTCATCATTGAAATCGGAACGGTTGCTCACATTGTAGATTCATTGATACCTTACTCAGATGCCGCATGTCGTCTTTCTCGGCCTCCAGGCTCGACAACTGCGAAGGACGGAAGCCCTATACCCGTCCTCATTGCGGCGTGTAAAGTTACGAGATCGCTGTCAAGGTCCGTAAGTGTGCTTAGGACAAGTCTAATTGACAATGGGCTTGCGGCTCCTATGCAGGAACTCTTAACACATCCGGATGTCGAAGTGCAGATTGCAGCAACGGATGTTATCACAAATTTGGTACTGGAGGTGTCTCCAGTCCGCCAGGTTAGTGGCATGGAGTCCCTTCGACTTATTTCTCCCTCGCCTATTCGATTTTCCTTCGAAAGGGTTTGGCGAATCGATTTAATTGACGATACTCCGGCGAACCCAAGGTTGTCAGGCGCTAACAAAGTGGCACAGGAAATTATCGATGCGGGAGCTCTGAGGACACTATGCGAGCATTGCCGTTCTGCGAACTTTGAACTCCGTTATGGTAGTCTTTGGGCCCTGAAACACGCTATCCTCAAGCTCAGCTATTCTATGAAAGCGCAATGCCTGGATGAGCTCGGTGTTGGATGGCTTGTGCAGACTCTTAATGGGGAACCAGCAAAGACGTCTATGTCTACACCTCTCGGGATGGGCACACCAAATGCGGCTGGAGAACAAGTCGATATTCTCAACGCCGTCGATAACCCTAACATGGATGTTGACGAAGACACATCGGAGGAGGACGACGAAGATACAATGACAGACAGCATTCCCTCAATGCGTCGTCACCACCGCCCTGGATCTCGCTACACAAGCGCAACCAACATCCGCGACCGTCTCCAGCAGATCAAAAACGACGAACAGGACCTCCGTCTTAGCTCAGAGCGGGACGACATCCGCATGCAAGAACAAGCCCTTGATTTCATCCGCAACTTCATCAATGAAGACAAAGCCTCTGGCGAGATGATCGACCACCTGCTCAAATCTTTCGGCCACAGCCGCTTCTTCGAACTCCTCGACGCTAAAATCCGCCCCAAAGGCTCCTCCACAGCAAACCCACCCCAACCGAACGCTCCGAGCTACTGGAACACCGGCACCCAACGCACCCCCTTCGGCGCCACCTCATCCTCAACTCCAAACCCCTCCCTTGTCCTCTCCCAGCCCGTAAACTGGCCCTCCTACCCCCCAACCGAACTCCTGATCGCCACCCTCTACATCCTCGTGCACCTCGCCAATGGCCGCCCACAACACCGCTCCCTGCTCATCTCCCAAACCACACTCATGTCCCACATCCTCCCGCTACTGACACATCCTCGCCGCGATGTCCGTCTCGCATGTGCCTGGTTCATTCTCAATCTCACCTGGATTGAAGACAACGGCGATTTCAGCGCGAGTCGCGAACGTGCGCTAAGTCTACGGCAATTAGGCTTTGATGAGGGTGTTAAATTGCTGGGGAGGGATGCCGATCAGGATATTAGGGAGAGGGCAAAGGCAGGGATTGATCAGTTGAATAAGTTGCTCGGAGAGGACGGAGGCGGAGGGAGAGGTGGAAGCGCGAGCGTCGCGTATGGTAGTCCTGCGATTGGAGGAGGGGGATTTGGGGGAGATGGGAGTGGGGGGGTGAGTGGGCTGGGGAGAGTCGGGAGTGGGATTGGAAGTTTGCATAGTCATCGAGCTTGGGGACGAGATGGTAATTAATCAGATCTCACGATGGGTACGTGGGTGAGGTCTGCCAGAGGGCCGGGAGGATGTAGAGTTGAAAGCACGCTTGCATTTCCGAGGGGGATATTGACTCTGTAGATTTATATATCACCCACCCCATCTTCTCTTTCTTGTCTTCTCACTTATTAGCATGGATGGCGTATCGGATTGGTCTTGCGTCGATCTCTACACATTCTATCTGCACTGCTTTGGAACGAATATTCTGGAAGGGAAATTCTTGCGTTCTGTACGGATCTCTGGTTCTGGGTTGTAAGATTGACACACACCAGGCACATTCATAGAGCATATACGACAACAAAAACACAGAAGGGCGGTTTTTGAGACCGATTTAGCTTCGTATCTGTATGATTTTGTAGTTTAGCTAATAGCTGCAACGAGAAAGCTCAGTTTCATGAAACATCATACTTGTAATCACAGCTCAGGTAAGAATCACAGTAAACATGACATCTTTAACACACAAGAAAACGTCAAACATCAAACCAACCCCTTCCATTCAGGACCACACGTCTAGCATAGGTAGGAGAGTAGTAGGAGAGAAAAACGGCATCGTTTGCATGCAAGATTGAGAGAGATAAGATTACACAAGGAAGCCATGTCCCTCCAACGACACCCGCTAGCGAAGTGTTCCTCCCCAAGTCCTCCATATTTTTAAGATCTTTTGTACAAAAAAGGGCTTTGGGAGTACCGCCGACGAGTGGTCTTCAAACACATGGCCTGGTTTGTTCTTCACTTTTGCCAGCCACCCACAGCTCATGACTTCTCGAGTTCTGCGAGAATCTTCTCACCCTTGGCCCGTGCCGACTCGAAGTCACCCACCATGTAGAAAGCACCTGAGAAACGTCAGCATTCGAGTTTGGGAATTAGATATCAAGGATCAGCGTACCTTCTGGCAAGTCATCACCCTCGCCATTCATGATAGCCTTGAACGACCTGATAGTGTCCTTAAGGTCGACAAGCTTGCCCTCAATACCCGTGAAGACCTGGGCAACAGTGAAAGGCTGACTCAAGAACCTCTGGAGCTTACGAGCACGCTCGACAGTCAACTTGTCTGCTTCCGACAATTCGTCCATTCCCAAAATGGCAATAATATCTTGGAGCGACTTGTACTCTTGCAACATCTGCTGGACACGGGTGGCGGTCTCGTAGTGGTCGTCACCGACGACACGTGGATCCAACATACGGGACTTGGAGTCGAGAGGGTCGACGGCGGGATAGATACCCAATTCAGAGATACCACGAGACAACACAGTAGTAGCGTCCAAATGGGCGAATGTGGTGGCGGGAGCAGGATCGGTCAAATCGTCAGCGGGGACGTAGACAGCTTGCACGGAGGTAATGGATCCCTTCTGGGTGGTAGTGATACGTTCCTGCATAGCACCCATGTCGACGGCGAGCGTGGGCTGGTAACCGACGGCAGATGGGATACGACCAAGCAAAGCAGACACCTCGGAACCTGCCTGGGTGAATCGGAAAATGTTGTCAATGAAGAGCAACACTATCACACATTAGAATAACTTCCATCGCGGAGTAGGTCGTGTTCCTTACCGTCCTGACCCTCCTCGTCACGGAAATACTCGGCGACGGTCAAACCAGTCAGAGCAACACGAGCACGAGCACCTGGGGGTTCGTTCATCTGACCGAACACTAGGGCGACCTTAGACTCTCCATCGAGCTGAATGACAGAGGTCTCCTGCATTTCGTGGTACAGATCGTTACCCTCACGGGTTCGCTCGCCGACACCTGTGAACACGGAGAAACCACCGTGGGCCTTGGCAATGTTGTTCTGAGATGCTGTTAGCCCATACTCGATCTGCAGGAGGCGCGAACCATACAATCAGCTCCTGAATGAACACAGTCTTGCCGACACCGGCACCTCCGAACAGTCCAATCTTTCCACCACGGGCGTAGGGAGCCAACAGGTCGACGACCTTGATACCGGTAACCAGCACCTCGGCACTCGTAGATTGCTCGGTGAACTCTGGGGGGTCGGCGTGGATGGGAAGCTTCTTGGTGTGCTTAATGGGACCTCGCTCATCAATGGGGTCACCGGTGACGTTCATGATACGGCCAAGAGTTCCAGGGCCGACGGGAATCATGATGGGGGAGCCAGTGTCGGTAGCGATTGATCCTCGGACGAGACCCTCGGTACCTAGATCCATCACCGTCAGCGTGGTTCATCGCCCAATTGAGGAGATGCATCAACCTACCGTCCATGGCAATACACCTGACGACATTCTCACCCAAATGTTGCTGTGATTGATTAGAGACTGTTTCCAGCTGTCCGATGCTTGGCATTCTTACCGCGACCTCCAGAACCAGCTTCTGGCCACCATTGTCGGTCGTCAAGGCATTGAGAATGGGAGGGAGCTGCTCCGTGTCGAACTTGACTGCAATTGGTTGTCAGCGCCAATTTTCGCGATACGATTTTCGTGAGGCTCTGGCAGAGTTCCCATAGCCGGGGGAGCAAGAAAACTTTTTCGCATACCATCGACGACGGCACCGATGACCTGATGGATCTTGCCATCCTTCGCCGCATCAGTACTTGCGAACCGAGCCGACAGCGCCGGGGCGAAGTTCTTCTTGATGGGCTGGAAGGCACGCTGGACCGTGGCTGGTCGGCGGAAGGACGCTCGGAGCGACCGCTGGAAGCCGCTGTTTTCATCGAATTAGGGCCTTGTGCATCATCAATTGGCTTCCCCGGGGCTGTTACTTACCTCTTGAGCATTGTGAAAGATGTGCGAGGCGGTAGTGGCGGGAGTGGAGAGGGTGGTGATGGAGGTGGAAGAGCTCTGTGAAGAAGTTCGCCGGGGCAGTTGGGAGGTCCACGGCAAGAGCTAGGAGCTAGGCCTGGAAAGGCTTAGCGCTCCATTTATCCCGCAGCTCCAGCAATGACACCAGGCCGTGGACTTCACTTCTACACGTTCTCACCTCCCATGGGAAAATTATCGGGGAAAGATGTAGCCGACCAGGTCCCTTGCTAGAACTAGGAAGGCCATCAACAGGATGCAAACTTCTGTCCTCAATCACCCCTCATGTGTCACGTAAGTGATCGAGACGCCGTAAACAGTTGGTATTCATTCACGCGGACCTTCGGTCAAATTAATTCCCCATGTCTAGTGGATGAAGGCTTTGCACCCTCAAGAGAAGTCGTTACAATACAGATACCTCAAATATTTCCAGATTCACGCATCCGTAGCGGCTAACATGCAATCCACAAACACACACATTCCTACAAAGTGCTTTCGAGCGCGAGGACCTAGAACAGATTAGCGGGAATTTGGGTAACAGCAGTGAGGGCATCTTACAATGGCGGTCCGGCTTGGGATATAGACTTGCAGGAAATTCTTCCTATTATTCCATGTGAAGGGCGTCGTGAAGAACCTTGTGGTCTCATCAACGTTTCCATGACCTCCAAAGTCTTTGCTGTCTGTGCTGATGACAATCCTGTAGGTGCCTTCCTGCTCAACACCCACACGATAGTCAGTGAAGCTGCTCTGGGGGTGAAAGTTGAAGATCCACAAGAGCCCTGCCCGTTCGAACACAATCACCTTATCGCCGTCATGCTTCAAGCTCACGTATGCTTGCGGAGAATGCAGCCAGCCATACTTCTCTTCAGTCCACTGCATCTTACTATCAAACTCATTGAGGAATCGGTATCGGAGCAATTGATCATCCACAAGGTTGAACTGTCTTCGGGCGTAATGGAAGCTGTTGTTGTTTCCTTCGCGAGGGAAGTCGAGCCATTCGGGGTGTCCAAACTCGTTGCCTTCAAAGTTCAGATATCCTTCACCACCCAGCCCATGTGTGATGAGACGGATCATCTTGTGAAGCGACAGACCTCGATCGATGACCGGCGTTAGCTCACTGAGGACAGACATATTTGTGTACATCTGGGCATCGCAGAGCCAGAAAAGGAGGGACTTGTCTCCGACAAGACTATCTTGCATTAGCTTAATAGCACTTAGTAGGGAGGCGAACTTACGCTTGGTCGTGGCTCTCCGCATACGCGATTGTCTTCTCACCATGCCGACGATTGGTCAGGGTGAAGGTGAGGTTAGCCATGTCCCAGTCGATGTCTTGCTTCTCCTTAAGCCACTTGATGTACAGGTCAGGAATCGCCATAGCAAGCCTGTAGTCAAATCCAATGCCACCAAGCGACAAGGCCACGCACAGGCCAGGCATGCCCGACACATCCTCTGCAATGGTAATGACGTCAGGGTACAGCTCATGAAGCAGCTCGTTAGCGAGCATGAGATACACCACGCCTTCCTCGTCAACGGCAGGACCGAAGTACTCGTGATAGCCACCGGAGAAACCACTAGAAAATGTAAGCGAGCGCAGGCGGGTTTCAAAGACGATTACTTACGTTCCAATACCATGGTGGGAGTAGAGCATGCTAGTCACGCCATCAAATCTGAAGCCGTCGAACTGGTACTCATCCATCCAGAAGCGGAGATTGCTGAGTAGAAATCGCAGCACTTCATGGTGGCCGTAGTTGAACAGCCGACTATCCCAGAGCTCATGGCGACCCTTTGCACCCTCATGGAAGTACAGGTGGTCGCTACCGTCGAACATGTTCAGCCCATCGAGGACATTCTTGGAGGCGTGGCTGTGCACTACATCCAGTAGGACCGTGATGCCCATTCCATGGGCTGTGTCAATGAGCTCCTTCAAGTCGTCTGGGAAGCCGTACCGACTACTTGCAGCAAAGAAGCTGTTGATCTGGTATCCGAAGCTGGCATAGTACGCATGCTCCATGATTGCCATCAACTGAATGACATTGTATCCTAGATGCTTGATTCGAGGGAGTACGTTCTCGGTGAATTCCTTGTATGTCGCCACTTTCGGATCGGGGGACGATATTCCGACATGGGCTTCATAAATTCGAGCGCTTTGGGGCTTAGACGGCTTCTTATTCTTAAAGATATACTTCGATTCTTTTGGAGGATTCCAGAAGCGGGCATCGTAAACAGGAGAGATGTTGAGGTCTTGGGTGACTCGTGTGATCCAAGCGGGTATGCGCTCCTGACGCGCATGGTCATTAGGGACGACGAGGGAGATCTTCACGAATGCTGTCAGCTAAAAATTAACTCGCTGTCCGCTGACAAACACACCTTGAGCTTCGAGTCATGGGGTATCGTTGACTGGCCGTCCTTGCCTGGCACAGTCACTTCGAAAACACCAAAGTTATCTTTCGTCATGGGAGTTGCATCCCTGTCCCAGTTGTTGAAGTCTCCTATCAGATATGCTCTGAGTGCATTTGGGGCCCACTCTCGATATACGACATCGCCGTTTTCCTTGACGTTGAAACCAAACTTCTCGAAGCCCTGTGCCGGTTTGGTCAGCGATCATGTTGAGCGGAGTAGCCCGAAGTGCATTCTTACTCTTGAAAACTTCTCTAATCCACCTTCAGTATCCTGGATCGTCTTCAGCCATTCCTGGGCTTTGGCGTATCGAGTGCGGAGGCCGTCCTTGAAAGGGGAGAGCCACGGATCCAGCTGGACGATGCCTGTGCAAGAAGAAGTCAGCCAATTGGGGGATTTCCCGATCTCAGAATGGGCATACCAGTGCCATCGTTAGCAACATTCCCAGCGGGATTCTCGGTGATGGAATTCCCAGACGCGTTGTTGAGGGCCATGGCTTGAGATTGGGATGGGAAGGGTTGACGGCAGACGCAGCTTTAAGTTTGCTCTCAGGCGAACCCTTCGTATCAGGATTTGGGCGCAGGCGGCACGGGATTTAGCAAATCGTAGCAGACAACTTTCGAGTGTGTTTATATGGCAGAAAACATTGCGGGGCCTAACCCCTTTGCTGCACGTTGCGACAGACTTCTCCTCAACCAAAGAATCACCCATGTCAGAAAGCTGCTCAACGTCATAGCGCGCTATCGGGATGAGGCATCGCGCGTCAAGCCACCACTCCGCGCCACCTAGACTGGCCTCAATCGCCGCACAGCAGGCACTTGACCGCCGCGAGCCGCGCTGGCTAATGGCAGGGTTACGGGACGTTTTTATACGCTCCAGCAACTGTCAGGAACCTCGCCTGCTGCCTCAGGAGAGTCATGGAGCTAGACACGCTGAGCCAGAAATACGAGCCTCCAGATTGAGGCTTTCCGTTCAGAACAGCTTCTTATCGGGCCGGACGGTGCCCCGCTGTCCGCCGTCTGCGCCAAGCAATCGAGATGTGGAGTGTCGTACTTGCCTCCACCACCCTCCGCTCCTGCGCTATTCGCCGTCGTAGCTTCCCGTCCCACTGTCGCACCTTCCGGAGCCTCCCTACTGAGATATGAGAAGAGCCGTCACTTCCTCACTCGGCTCGCCATGAACACGCAGACGCTCATTATCTCTGTCTCCCCGCAGGCGCGGACCTCGTACCTTGCGCTTGCCAGCATCGGCCGGCGCTCGTTGTCCACGACAGCTTCGCAGCAGTCGTCCGGTCAGTATCATCGCTCTGACTTCATGGGTCAGGGTTTTACTGGAATATACGAGCCCGGTCAGCCGACAAAGGGTCCATTGGGAGGCGCAAGCATCGTGGGTGCGCCCCGGGTTACTCCCAAGGCACTGAAACACCATTTGGACCAGTTTGTCGTCGGCCAGGAGCGCGCAAAGAAAGTGCTGAGCGTAGCTGTCTACAACCACTACCAGAGGATACAGGAGCTCCAGAGACAGGAAGATGAGCAGCTTGAGCTTGAGGCGCAGGAGCAGCGCAGGGAGATGAGCCATCGACATCCTGTAGAAGGTAGCCCTATTTTCACTCTTCTTCGTGTATCAGTCCCATTGCTTTTTGCTTTACCGTCCACGTGAGGGTCACTGAGTTGAAGCAGATGAGTTTCCGGGCCAGCAACCAGCCTTGAAAGTGAATCCTCCCCAATCTCCATCACAGACACCTCCTGTTTCCAATTCCTCGCTAGAAACTCCGCCAATACTAGACTGCACTCCCTTACAAATTGAGAAATCCAATGTCCTCCTTCTTGGGCCTTCAGGGGTGGGGAAGACGCTCATGGCCAAGACTCTCGCTCGTGTCTTGGACGTGCCCTTCAGCATGTCGGATTGCACACCTTTCACCCAGGCTGGATATATTGGCGAAGACGCCGAAATGTGCGTTCAAAGGCTCCTCGCTGCCGCTAACTACGATGTGACTGCTGCAGAGCAAGGCATCATCTGCCTTGATGAGATCGACAAGATTGCCACAGCAAAGGTCGCACATGGCAAAGATGTCAGTGGAGAGGGTGTGCAGCAAGCACTACTGAAGATCATCGAAGGCACGACATTGCAGATTCAGGCGAAACCAGAGAGGGGAGGTAGTGGTCGAAGCCCTGGGAGCGTGCCTGGAAACACGGGCGGATTCCCCTCAAGCAACCCATTAGATGGGCCGAGAGGTCCTGGATCAGGTGCCGGTCCTCCGAACCTACCTGGCAGCAAAGGTGAGGTATTCAATGTCCGCACGGACAACATTCTCTTCATATGCACTGGTGCATTCGTCGGGCTCCACAGGATGATTCTAGACCGGATATCGAAAGGAAGCATTGGGTTCGGAGCTCCAGTCCGAGCCTCCAACCCGGAGTCGGGGGCACACGAGACGATGTTAAAAGGCGAGGATGCTCTTTTCAAGAAGCATTTACCATTCTTTGTCTTCCCTGAACAACCAGCTCCTTCTAACCCCTTCGCTCCCCAACAATCAAAATCCCAACAGCAAACATACAACACCCTAGATCTAGTCGAACCCTCAGACTTGCAAAGGTACGGCATGATTCCCGAACTTGTCGGTCGTATACCAATCTCCTGTGCTCTATCCGCGCTCGACGAGGAAGCACTAGTCCGTGTTCTCACGGAACCAAGAAACAGTCTACTTAGGCAATACGAGCAGCTCTTCCAGCTTTCAGGTATTGAACTCCGCTTTACAAGTGGCGCGCTTCGGGAAGTGGCGAAAAGCGCTGGCGGCATGGGAACTGGAGCTCGTGGGCTTCGAACAGTGCTTGAACGGCTGCTTGGCGAAAGCATGTTCGAAACTCCTGGTGAGATTTCCTCCGCTCTTCCAGTTTCCTCTACACCGAAGCTGACATAAATGCAAGGCTCCCACATCAAACACATTCTCATAACCCAAGATGTCGCCACACTCAAATCCGCACCTCTGTACTTCCATCGCGGACAATCTCATAACTTCCACGCCACCATTGCCCAGGAAGAAGAAAAGTGGGAAGTCGAGCTAACGACAAAAGAGACGCCGTCAGGGGCCAACAGTTTTGAGGAGTATAGGAGGAAAGGACTAGTCGCTGGAGCCGGTGGGTTTATGTGATAATCCCTTGCTCTAATAAATGCACACCTACTCTCTCCCGATTCCTGTGCGAGGAGATTCTTGGAGCTACTGTGACCAGCTAGTGTGGTGGTGGATAAAACTTCAAATTTCTAAGTTGTATACATAAATATATAGCTATAAGTGTTATATATGTATTAAACTTTTTGGCTAGATCAAGATCATGATGACGGTGTTAGTTTTTAATGGCAGAAGGCTTGCGCCAGTCGCTGTATCTTGACATCTGGCGAGGATCATATGATGAGGTATGAGAACTTTGTACAGCGTGTTAATGCTTTTAGTAGAACGTCACGAGGATCTATCCATAAATAGACAAGCCCCTTCATCCTCTAAGCCCTCTACTAAATTCTAGAGAGGGATCAGACAGTTCCAATATTTCCTGTTTATACTCGGTGCTAAGGGCTGATATTCTGCATTCTGTGCATTTTCTGCTTCTTCTTTAGCTGCGTTCTTATCTGATTAGTTCTTATATTCTGAATTGCTATGCTGTTTGTACGTAAAGTATATACATCTACTTTTTACTACAGCAATTTGAGGTGTATACTTCTTAGACACCCACTCTCTCCCTATCTACACCTAGTCACATTATACGTACTATACTCATTATTCTTAAGCTAGAGTTTTGGTGCTCCAACTACATATCATATCATATAAATGAACATAACATTAAGATTACTAGGTGTGGATGAAAGCTCCAGCTAGACAGAGACGCCAAACATCGCCTAGATCTAGACCTTTGGGAAACTTTCTAACTATAGTATATGTGCTTGGCGCTGAAATAACTGTTTCCCCGCAGAGATGAAGCAAAATTCTTCCGTTGGATGGGGGTGTGCACATGAACGAATATAGAGACCAGTTTCAGAACAATATGGAGTGATTGATGGACTTAGATAGCTCTGAAGAGAACTAGCAATCACTTGTGAATGTTTATAGACTGAGCTAACTAATGGGTATGAGGAAGGGTGAACTAGGCGATAGTCTTCATAATGGATGCATTACCACATGTCAATTCAGCGCGATTAGAGCAACGAGAAATAGTTTTTCGCGTTGGTGACAAAAAAAAAATAGACAGCTGGTTGAATTGTTAGTAGTCCTCAATGATCATATCACAAAGCCACAGAGTCCAGGAAAGTAGTTTCAAGAATCAAATATATACAATACACAAGTGCATGTATAAAACTAAATTATGATTACAAATATCTCTTCTTAGTAAATGTCTCCTTTCCCTGATACCAATGCCGTGGTATTAATGCAGAGTAGTCGAAGCCATGCCCAGTCGTAGAAACAAAGTTCCCTCTTTTAGCTGGGGAGGCATGATATCGTCTCATGCCGGTCGCTAGAAGTGTTTACATGCCGAAGCCGAGCATGGCGAGGCCGGCAATGACACCGAAACCCATGACCTTGCCGGCACTCATCGTGCTAGCAGCACCAGTGAACTGAGCGGGCCTTGAGGCGGTGGTGGTAGCGTTGACCCTGATGCTGGAGGAAGCGGCGGCGGAAGTAGTGGCCCTGATTGATGAGGTGGCGGCGGCGGAGGTAGTCGCAGGCCTGGAAGTGCTGACGACGACGACGACCGAGGACGATGAAGAGGGACGGATGGTGCTAGAGAGAGGGATGGTGGAGTTCGCTGGGCGGGAGGAGCTGCTGACAACTACCACGGGGGTGGAGGAGGCGGAAGATGGTTTGGGGGTGGTGCTCGCCGAAATAACGGGGACGGAGGATGAGACACCGGGATAGAATTGACGGGCAACGTGGGCGGCCATTTCTGCTGGTTGAGTTGGAAGTGGTTGGAGAAGGCGGAGCTGGAGTTGGTTGAAAGAAGAAGCTCGTCTGGGATGAGGATTGAAGGATGAGTGATGCAGGTGCCTGAGTGTTGAGTTGCTGTGAAGAGGAAAAATGGATAGGGTGAGTGCAAGTGATATAAATACTGATTCTCTTATCTATTTGGTGACTGAGTTCCCCTATTCCAAGCCTCTTTCTTAGAAGATCGGTGGGATGTCACTGCGGCGTCGAGCCAATATCGGATCTGCTGCTCCGGGTGAAGGCCTTGCTGTCATCACAGCACGGAAGATTGTCGTGCTTCGTCTAAAGGCAGGTGGCATACATGGCTGGCGAACCGCTCGCTCGCCAAAGCCAAGGCTGCATAAGTATGGTGACCTATGATACTATCTGTTGAGATTCTGGACAGTGGGTTAAAAAGCAAATTGTGGGCGGAACCTGCGCTTGTAAATTCCATCTATTGCATCTTGCAGCGTATGGTGTAATGTGACAGGGTCTGAAATCTGATAAACGTTCGACTCCTCTCAACTCTCACCTTTAATCCAGCTGTACGCTGAAGATACCGAAAAGCTCGAATTGATGATTCGTCGTCAGGGTGAATATGCAGTATTTCCACTGACCTCGCTTTTGGACTTATGTGGTGTACACAAGAATCCAATGACGATGAACGTTCATAGCTAGACAGTATTCAGGCGAATATTTAGCATACAGCTGAAAGATCCTTATTGTGTCGCTTTGTCTTGGTAGCTGGTCAGTCCTGTCTGGCCTGGCACCTTCGATAGCTGAATGAGCGTGTCGAGTAGGCCAAGCCAATGGAGCGATGTACCGGAAGGGGCTTGCTCCAGTAAGAAGTGGACAGCTTCTTGAAAAAGTCCGTGTTCTAGCCGAGGAACTTGTGGTTCAAAGCAGCGATTGGTGTCGATATAGTAGGCCAAGAACACTGCGAGCGACTGTTCTGTCCTTCGTACCTGGAAGGCGTATTGCCCAGACCTGTGCCTGCTTTCTCACGCATTCTCCTCCCCAGACTTTCGGGTGGCTGTTGATGTTAGCGAAGGCAATAAGCAACTATGGTGAGCAACATGTCACCGGAGAAAGACGTGAGGTCTAAGAAATCTCCGGCGGCTCCTTGGTGACATACTGAACACAGATTACTCTAATTTTCTCGCCTGGTGTTCACGGAAGGGAAATGAAGGCTGACCGTGTCGACTACTGGAGTATTAGGTTCCAGAAATTTTGGGAGCATGGGTAAGCGAATGAAAATTCTCGCCGACTTTCGGCGTGAAATGAAGGCATGCTTTCTCGAATGGTATACTACGTTGTGGTTTTGGAGTAACAATTGGTGGCGAGAGCTATTGTGTTGTTGGTGGAGAATACCCAGTCCTGGCAGCGATCCATGGATGGCGACATCGACTCGTTAGAGCACGTGCGAGAAGCCGTTAGCTTGCCGCGCCTGCACCTCAATCTGGAAAGCGCTCAACTCCGAGCTCCTGCGTCACGCCCTGGAGCTCCGACTAGATGGCACTGAATCGGAAGACACGTCTGCTGCACGCAATAATTCCAACATGTGGGACGTATGCATCCTATTTGCTTTGCTCAAGCAAGGCGATAAGGATATAGTTCGACCGTCTAGCAATTACAACAAGAATAAACAAAGAGGCGCACTGCCATACAATTATTGATATCCTCCCTCCGAGTTCCTGGGTGCAAGGCATGTACCATAGGTAGGATGCCTGGCCAAAGTTCCCCTGACTCCAACGCCACCCAATGCAATTCCAAGTTCATAATTTCATGCCATTCTCTGGCTGGCGTACTACTGCGCCCCCACGTCACTCATCATTAACGTAGAAGTATACGCACATCATCTTCTTCTTGTGCGCCGGGCCTTGTTCCCAGGTTGGCGACGCTGGCCTTGAGAGGTTGAGGGGTGTGCTCACTGCTGATTGAGGTGCCGAAGCGAACCCTTGATGGGGATACTGAATCGAGGAAGAGAAGTTGAAATTGTCCATGGACACCGGACGCGGCAGGTAGGATTCTATTGGCAATCCATGGTTTGTTGGACTCAGTGCAGCTTGTTCGAACTGTCCGTGCATAGGGAACGAAGATGAGGCGTTGAACGTCTGCGAGACGGGTCTCGAGGAAGGACCAGCGGGGGTGGTAGACTGAGAGAACTGGGCCTCCATTGGTGATATTGGTGACTGGAAGTTCGACGCGATTGGTGTTGGGGGCTGCGAGTAGGGGTTCATCGGAGCTGGCTGAGCATACTGGGTCTCCACAGGATACTGATAAATGGGAACGACATTATGGGCATGAGGATACTGGGTTTGTACGTAGGGCTGTGGGATGTTGAGTGGACGCGGCATGGCTTCAGGTGGAATCTCCTTGTTCTTGTGGTCGTCAGTGATCTGGAAAACTTCCGAGGTGTGCTGTGCAATGCAGTAGCCCAGCGAATCTTTGAAGGTGAAGATGACGCGATATCCCATTGGGGACTTCTCTTCTTGGTGTCGACAATAGCAGGCTATGCGCATTGCAAATTCGACCTGCTTGGCGCCGGAAGTGAATTGTGATTCAGAATCCACATCCTTCCACTTCTTGTACTCCTTTTCGTTGATCATAATGACCCTGTCACCCTCATAGGACCACCATTCGTCCTCGTCCTCTACCCTCTTCTTCTTTCGGTCGTAGCGCTTTCGCTCACGCTCCTTGCATCCCTCACATATTAGGACTTCTCCGCCGTTCTGAGGATGCGCGGGGTCTTCTTTGTCAAGCTCGGCAATTGGGACACCTGCTGGTCTTCTAGGGACAGGCTCCTCTCCACGCGCGCGGTGCAGGGCTTGTTCAAGACGTTCTGGCTCATCTACTGCGGTAGCGCAGACAAGGTACACGTCCATGTGAAGGGACTCTCCCTTGGAATTAATTTCCTGCTTCTCCTCAACGCTCGCGAGAAGCTTGGGTTTGGCGAGTGTTTTCCTCGGGAAATGAATGTACTGAAACCTCGCATCTAGCGGATCCACCGTCAATTGGACTTTGATCTGCGTCTCTGCTCGGGTTTTCGTCTTGTCTGGGCACAGGGTGATGTTAGGTGGTGTGTCCACATTTTGAGATATGTGGATTGCCTCTGGGGTGGGAAACATCGACTCTAGGGATTCCATGTCCAAGACAGGCGGTTTATTGTCGTGGCCGACGAGGTCATTGGTAGTTTCTGGCGAACTAGTCTGGCTCTGATCTCGAACGAAACCACCTGGAGAGTTGGCGTTGCTGAAGATCATGTCGTTGGAGGGAGACGCGGTATTGGAGATTTGCGGCGACTCTCTAAGGTCGACATAGTTGCCAAAAGGTTCCATCTTGATGTTGGAAGTCCACTGATCTCCGAATGAGGTGAGGTCGACGGCCGAGTCAACGGCAGAGAGATCGGATAGACTAGGAACTTCGGGGGCACCGTAGGAGTCGAATATGGAAGTCGGACTGTAGAGGGTGTTATGAAGATCGGCGGGGTTGATGGTGCTGCCCCTCTTAGAGTCGGAGGCATAGTGATTGAAGTCCATTTTGGCAGTGCTCGATGGTGAGTTCTGAAAGTGGGTGATCGACGCGGCTAAACGATCTGCTTGCGACAGAGCACGGGGAAGCGACGGAAGAAACAAAAAAGCGGACTTGGAGGGGAGGAAGCGACCGTCAAGAAAGGGATAGAAAACGTGCGGACAGCTTAAGGCCAGAATCCTGCGATGACGATGGGGGACGGGGAATATTCCCCAGCCTTGGGAGAGGGGTTCAGCTGCTATCGAGGCCCAGAGATAGTATCACTGCAACCCCAGCAGCACGAGTATAGCTTTGGTTGGCCGTGGGAGGGGCCAATTGCGCGAGCGCAGGCGGGCGTCCGGCGGTCGGGGCGGGGGCGCGTGAGGAGACGTCTCTCGAGCAATTGAGGGGGTCAATTGCGGTTCGAGCGGAGAGTGGAGAAGCGTGCGGTGTATTGAAGAAGGGAGAGCACCGGGTGGTGAATTGGATGGATAATAATGGCTTCCCAGGGTGAGGCCGTGGGTTGCTATTTCTCTTGCTAACGGGACACCCCACCCAGCACTGCGATTTCCGTCGTTGCCCGCCGCCTCGCAATGTCAGATCAGCCAAGGGACAACCCTGCGCGCCCGGTCTGAACACCAGCGGCCTTGGGGCGGACGTTTGTACAGGTACATCTGGAGAACCTCAGCGGGAGAATCTGGCCGCGTGGTGTGTGGTGCGGGGCCCCCACCGTCGGCTTCCCTGTTCTCATTTTCTTCGCCCATGGCAAGACGCTCCATGTCGTCCACGGCCACCCTCATTATTGACGTTTATTGACTCTGGCTATGCCCGCCTGGCCGCGCTCGCTCGCAGACAATTGCTGCTCGATGTATCTGAACATCGAGGCTGCGTGGTGCACGAGCTGTGTAACGGTTAGCTGCAGGCTCTGCAGGCTCTGCAGGCTCTGCAGCGTCGGCGCAGCTCTCGCGCAGTTGTTTATCGCCTTCGTCTGGCTGTCAGTATCGCTGGCGGAAAGAGTCGGCTCCCTGCTGTGCAGCGACGACCGTTTTGCCTTCATCTAAACAAACGCATCCAAGCCCAAGGGGGGAATGCGGCGTATTGCTGGCCCTGCAAATCATGCTGCACGATTGCATCTCAGCGTCTGCGCGCGCCGCAGCCAGCATCAGCCTGCAGTCGAGACACAGGCGCCATCTCTCCGCACCGCGCCCTCGACGCTCCAGTGCGGAGTTCAATCCGCCAGGCCGATGCCATGCGAGCACCTTTGCTGAGCAGCCCAAGGTCGTCAAAGGACAGGTACGAGTCGCAAGTCTCTCCAGCTGCAGCCGCGAGTCCTTTCCTGCAGACCCCATCTGGGCATGCCTGTCGACTTGATAAACTCTGCACCAACCCTCAGCCCTTTCGCGCATATCGCTGCGTAACAGAAACTCCTCGCCCGATCACCCAGCGCTGGCACCACCCTCCCCAGGATGAATTCCGCTAGTCTCCGCTGATGGTGTGTCTGGTGGCGATGGAGGCCACCCTCCACACTCGCTAGGATTCTCGGAACACAGGCACTCACAGCCAGAGCTCGATGCTCCGAACGTCGCCTGGCGAACCATGTCGGGCGGTATGCGATGAGAAAGTTTTCCTTTCGTTTTTCCCGCTGCCTTTTGCGCAGGGCAGGGTCGCCGGAATCCCCCTGGAGGTAAAGCTGTCTGCTAACCTTCGTGCCATCCCAAGGCGAGGACCGCATGCAGCTGTCGCAACAACGTGATTTGCTACCCCTTCTCGGGCCACTTTTTGTCTTGTCAAGACCGTTACAGCCGGCGTCGAGCTTCCCTGAGGCATGGACCAATTCATGGGAGATCTGTCCACCCTTAGATCCTCTATCGGAACCATGCCTCTTAATATCGAGTGAACAGGAAGCAACCAGTTCACGCATTGGCTTTTATCTTTCGCCCAAATAACTGACATCTGTCGATTCAGACAATGGCATCATTTAATGGGATGTCTGTGACCTGATCATATCATTCATTCTTCATGGAAAGCTATAATTCCCCATACTTACAGGATGGAGGCTTCCCCAAACAAGCACGCACCCGCATCATTTCCCCGCCTAACACTCCACTTTCAATTCCTCGATCGAACAGCTGCTCGCAATATTCCCACAATACCAAGGTATTGTCTGCGCGTTTTCTCTTTTCATCACATCACAGACCGCGATCCTAAGAAGGTGTAAGTCAACTCCTCGGTCCTATTGCTCCAATTGATTACCTTGAAGGTCGATGACACGGAGTCAGAGTTGAGTGCGGCTGATTATCGCCGGACGCCTTGAAAATAAACTTTGCCACGCTCCAATGTCACATGCTTGGGTACTTCCCAAACCTGCAAACCCTCCGCCATGCGTATGTACCCCGGAACACGCCAAAATTCTTCCTATCATATCCTCAGTCCCCAGACTCCACACGTTTGAGTCCACAAATTAAGCTCACTAATAAGATTGGGCCCTTCCCACAGTTCGTGGACTTCGAAAAGCTCGCTGATAGGTGCATGTCCGGTCCAATGAACAAAATCCTTATCATGACGTCTCTGTATACCACTACCTTCAAAAATTAAACCCTATGGAACCAAGAAATCCACGTTGCTTCAGGTCGTCTTCTCAAACGCGACTCACAGCCGAGCAGCTTGGTCCAAGGCTGATCACTTTGCCCCAAAACGAGCTAGGAAAAGTGGCGACAATTTAGCGGGATCACCAATGTTGGAACCTTACCTCCAAGAAAGTGTACTTTTTCAGTATTACATGCAAACACATGGAGGATCTGGCAGCAGACGCCGAAGGCTTCACAACTTCGAGCTAACGAGACCTCCTGAGCTTGCAAAATGCAGTGTTCCGAACGTAACGTTTTACAGAGTGGAGCACTACATCTGTTCGGCAAAATGTCCTTGAGAATTGACTACGAGAGACACGATAAAGGCATGACCTACACATGGCTGAAACACTCTTCTACAGCAACGGACTTCAGCGTCGAAACACAGCGCAATAGTGCACGGCGGTGGGGATCTTGGTTTTTCGCTTGAGGCCAGAACTCTGAAGAATCCGCCTTGTCCTGTCCCGATAACCGTCCACAGATTTCAAGCAACAAGTTTAAGCAACTAGTTCCACTCCTTACTGCACCTTCTCACCTTACGTGGAACATGACTAGTGCAGAGTCTATCTGTCAACCCTGTTGCTGGAATTAAGGGGAGCGTTAAAGGGATGCAAATTCCTGTCCTAGATTACCTACCTCTGTCGTGTTCCACGTTTGGCACAAGATGCAGTACGTTCTAGAGATGATGCTAGCAGGGGAAACAGATGGGAAGCTCATCCTAGTACTGTCGCACCGACTTAAAAATCGGAGACACATCAGACCTCAGATCAGGGGACATCCTCAGTCATCAGCCCGCACCCTTTGAGCCCTTGTTACTATTATGGAAAATACCAAAAATGGGCCCTAGACCACTACCCAGAGGCCAATTCCGGTCAGGAAGTTGCCGAGTGGAACATGCACATTCACATCGTGCTCGGAATTTGACGGAATACCAAACATCCGATTCCAGATGCGCGAACGAAGGAAGCTCAGCAACGATGAGCCATGCGAAGTTACGGCCTAGGTATGTGATGGCTTGTCTAGCTTGCAGGATTGACACTCCAAACGCCATGCAAAGTAATCACCAATCTCACCTCAATTCTTGCACAACCTTCTTCAGCATCATTTCCCCTCAATCATCTCGGCACCCAAGCAAATTACGATATTTACTTCGGGCCCTACTTGGAATTGACAGCACACTTCATGTTCTTCGATTTCTAAAACGCACTTGCATTCTTAATCCAAAACCACAAGCAAAGTACAACTTACCACATTCGATCTCTCAAATAGGAAACGTTGCTCTATCAAGACGACGATAGCTTTCTCCCTTGATCCTAGCAAGCGGATACGATTTTCTCCCAGTCCCACAGCTCACCAAACAGCACCTGCTTCAACGCACCACAAATTTGCCCACATCCCCGCACTCCACTAATTTCCAAGCACTGTCCAAGCCTCACGGCACTGCGGCATGTTCGCTTCGCCCTGCACCTTATCACGAGTTGAGGTACGCTTAGCTCATTTTAGTCGCTCTAACCACACTCAGACGCGACGCGATTGCAAAACCTCAACAATCGCAAAAGCTAAATCGGTGGCCAAGTTCTCCTACCTATAATACCAGCCGTATTCCCGCTTTCCTAAGCAAATGCACCTTCTACACACAGGAGGATCGGCTTATCGAGCAATCCTCTCCCATGCTCGCATTATCCCGCGTTCTTCTAGGATCTGAAACGCAATGTTAGAGCGTGATACTGAGTCAAATTCTGCAGTAGTTTTGTTAGATGGCTGAGGTGGCTTTCGTGGTTCTCGCTCGCAACTTACGCACACATAGAGGCGGCACTTCCTCAAGGTTTGTTTGTGAAGATGAAAATAACATTGAGGGATATATCATTCCTAAACTTCTATCGCGCGGACGTACTCCAATTGCTTCAGAACTTCTTAACTGCCTTCATGTACAACCAGGGCCTTGAATGACATGGGAAGGAGGTGGTATTAAGCTTTTTGCCAAGATGTGCTCGGTCGAGCATGCTGCTATGTTCAGGTCTCTGAGGCGGTCGGATGGATTTGCTCGGAAGGGTGGTAGGGCTTGGTGGGTAACGGATCCGTGAGGATTCCAAGGTTCAGAACCGCCGGGTTCGGGTTATTGTTCCAGCTTCGCTAGCTGTGTAGTTAGGGCGATGTCGGAGGCTCCCGAAAAGATGAGAGTCGAGACGAGGCGTCGTGGGCCTGCTAATCCACACCCCCGAAGTTTTGAATTGCGGTGGTGGCAGATAACATGTTCGAAATGCGGAATTTCCCGTGGTTGAGATAGAGGTACTTTTGAGATACCATCGGTAGAGCTGGATGAAGTTTGCCGGAGCTCTAAAGTGCTTCGTCATCCGGTTCCTACTTCGCGATTCCTTTGGTGTACGCGGTTCCCTTGGATGGTATACCGTCAATGACTGTCGGTCGCATTGTGTTTTGCTCTGGGGTACGGTAACCTTCGACAATTCTTTAACGGTCATTATATTGGATATCGTTCAAGACAGCCGTGATATACCGACAAAGCATCAATCATCTCTAAGCTTACAATCCGTGTTCGAATTGCTCACATGAGTACCATACGAGATATCTCTAATTCTTCCAACCTCTTAACGTATTATTAGGGGCAGCCACATGATATGCCACACTTAATGCACCCAAGGTCCATATCGCGAAACTTCAAGTCACCTTCGCTATGTCAAAGACGATCCAAAGCCCGATGCAGATCGCATTTTTGAGTCTCGATTACTGGTACCGACTATTTCTACTAATCCAGACACACTCTGGATCCTATCATCTAACGTAGAACACGGCTGTGGGGGCAGTCAAGGTTAGAAATTAAAATCTTGTTGCAGTTCTCCCTGATTCCAGCTGGAGCTTTAACTGATAGACTCTGCCTTTGTCGTCTTTCGTGCCATTCACACCTCGCAGCATCGCGATTTGCCAAGTCTCCAACCAGAATCTCCGATTCTCCAGGACCAATAGATTCCACACAAGCACTATAACTATCACGGCTTCTATGACCCTTTGCTATCGAACGCGCTGAATCTTATCCCCAATAAGACACTACCATATCGATGCTTTACGAGAGGGTGGACAACGCACATGGAACTAAATGCTATCAATATCATTAGTGGGACTGCGAGGACTTCCTGGGGCGTATCGTACTTCTCCACTCCATATATGACAGAATGGGTAATTCCTTGTCTCAGTAATCACCGATCTTAATTCTTCACCGATGCTTGCTGTCCTGCCTACTACATTCAAAGTATATTCTTGTCCACTATGGAAACGAATACTTGCTTAAGCTACGTACACACCATCCTTCGGCTTTCTTCGAGAAGAAGGACCAATTTGAGGTACTTTTGTCCACATCATTTTTACCTGTATAGAGAAGACTATAGCAACCAAATATCGAGTACCCCCAAGATGCATTCACGGCACCTACTACCTTTTCCGTCATAATTGATTAGATTCTAATCCTATTTAGCTTCACCTCCGTGATAGCATGAGAGCTCATTATTCCCAATCTCTGCTCTCATACGAATCCCAAAGGTACATGGTGAGTCACGCCTGCTAGCCCCTGTCAAGGCTAGTAGGTTTCCTGATATCCATACATATCCAGATGGTCTAACTCTTCATGAAATTTGACAGCTATACCAGCAGGAAAATTCGAGGATAAAATTCCCCGTATCCTGTAACCCAAGAGGTTATCGGTTGAACTTCTCCCAACGATTCTGATACCATATCCCAAGCCGCTTAAAAAGGAGAGGGAATAGGTGTCTTCCCCATGGTATCCCAAGTTCAAGTGAACTGAAGGGTAGCATATAAGCCATCCCAGTGGGTGAGTAAGTCCTTTGAGAGGAGGAAATATGGAATTACTCACATACCAAGACATGTAGAATGAAAGCAGTGTGGTGTTATGAGTAAGCCCAGTAAGAGAAAATAGATGTGGAAATCTGTCTATCGGAGGCAATCTCTTCCCATATGTACTTAAAACAGAAGGTTGAAAGCGCATCCACTGAGATGCGCCGTGGAAACTGATATTTAATTAAAGTTTCAGCTTTGGGTCTGTTTAAATGTTGCATGCTCTTTGCCAAATCTTGTCGCATGCCTTTGAAAGTCCCTGGGGCTATCCGGTGGTTATGCGTAAAATGTGGCTTTCTTGATCTTGGGCTTCATAAGGCTACCAGTCAGAAACCTTTGGGCATATCCGTTTCGTAGTAGGCGTCTAAGGCGAGGATCGATGGGAACGCCATTTCCAACAGCATATTCATATAGATTATCGGTATCACAGGCATGTTGTAATTCCAGCGGACTTCCCTTCTTCAGAATCTTTGCGTAAATTGCTTTGAGTCCCGCCACTTGCTCGCGCTGGCTACAGAGGTTAAAGCCGTAGGCTCTCAGGCATTCAAATGGATCTGTGTTATCTTGGTCGGCTAGAAATTGTGTCAATTTCCAGACTGTCGGTCGCTTGTCTAGAGGCGCTGCCAGAAACCGTCGTAACGTCGGAATCTTCTCCCACAACGCACAATACCCATGTTTGTTCAGAAGATCGACAAGCGTATTTCCCTCGTGGGCCTTCCAAAGCTCCTCGAAGATGACGGTTGGTCTGCCACATGTCTTGAGCATATCTGCGTAAGTGCCTCCTAGAAACTGTTCCTCATCAAGACTCTGACATACAGAGAATCCGAAGTCGTAGAACGCATTCCATCCTGGAATTGGAGTTTTTGTCTGGAGTAGTGAAGCGAGCAGTAAGAAGCTTACGGCCTTGGACTTTGGTCGCAGCTCTCTTACCCCAAGGTATCGCTCATTCTTAATAATGTATGGGCGAGCGCCCGCAAAGAAGTCCTCCAAACTGCTTCCGAATTTGGTTGGGAGGGGGGGAGTGTTGATGGGCGGCCTGGTCGAGCTCACCGAGTGTAGTGACATCTTATTGACAGCGTAGTTCGGACCAGTAGCTTTCTCTGTTTTTGGGAAATCACCGCATACGGTAGGAGTGTCTTTCGGTACTGCTTCTCCTTGCATGAATGTACTTACGATCGGTAATGATGCGATGAAGGTATCCAAAGATTGAGAAGAGAGATTAGTTTTTATGTGCTGCTCCATTGACGCACCCAGCTTGCGAAGAATGGATATCGTGTGCTGACTCTCCCCAATCGGCAGCGCCCACATGCTTTCAACCTTTGAAGAAGATTTGCGAGTTGAGATGCCACTGCGCATCTTAAGAAACACAGAGCACAAAACGCAAGGTGCCGTGCTACATCCCATATAACGAAACAGGCCAGGCTTTCCAAGTTTTGTGAGGCGCGAGAGGAGATGCATTTCGACATGTATTTGAGGACTCGTTCCTTGCAGGGCTTTCAGTTCATTTTCCGCCGTATCAAAATCCCATTCTGGTCTAATGTGATTCTGTGTGGGGTGGTCATAGGGTACCATGAGCACCCTGAGTGTTTCTTCAAGACTCAACGGGCGCGGTGTGACTATCGGCAGAGGCCTTGTTGTCTCACCGTGAATCGTAACTTTGGTAAAGATCTCTAGGCCCCTAGCGATTCGGACAAAAGTTCCGAATATCTCTTTGGGCGTTGCAAGCTGGTGGATGCATAGAAAGAGCTGATTGGTGAATGGGCTGTCACCCACGAGAAGTCTTAAGCGCTGTTGAAGTCGCTTCAGTTCTCGTAGCTTGAAAGCATATTGGATTAGGAACTCCTCGGTTGCCTGGTCGATCTTATCTCTGGGTGTCGCCCTTATTTTGCCATGGAGTTTCATTAGCAGGTAGCCTAGCGTGTAATCTGGACTAGGTTCGTCGAATAGTCCCATGACCCGAGTGAACGTGTCGTCAATGACATTCTTGTGCTCTTCACATTGGTCGCGCAGATTCTGAATGCTGTGCAGCAATCTTGGATGGTTTAATTTGATAATTGTGTGCCACAAATCTACCTGTGCTTGCTCACGGGCATGACCTGAGATGATTAACAACAATCCAAGAGGTGTAAGGCACAAAATTACCATCAGGATACTTGCAGATGCAACTTAATGCCCCCTCTATCGCGCGAAATATTAATTGCTGGACAGAACTAGTCGCAGCAACCCAGATGTTAACACTCCTGGTATGATTATCCTCGCGCATCATAGTCGCCGCGGAGTCCGATACAATCTCGGCGAGACGGTCTAGAAATCGCTCCTTCAGTTTGATGGTGTCATCTACGGAGATTGGCTGTCCGATATTGGCAGAGTCGTTGATAAACTCCTCTCCGGCATTCATAAGCTGTCCGTAATTTTTATAGGGCTGATAGTGGTGGAGACACATCAAGCTAGCGACGGCGTGGAAGCGTTGCCAGTCAAAGGCTCCGTTGGGTTCCATAGCAGCAGTTATAATGTCGATTTAGGTACGCCAGATAAGTTTTGGTGGTGAGGTGGAGAAAAGAGAATGAGAGTGAATAGGAAGGAGAGACCGGAGAGGCGAGGCAGGTTTATATAAGCCTGCCTGGGAGTGGTGAGAGAGAGAAAGTGAGAGAGATAGAACAAGAGTCGCCAGAGCTTGGATTGTGAGGAAAGCGGTGAGAGAAGAGACACTCTAGGGTAGAGGGGAACGGCGGTGGTAGGCCGTCGCAGTGGTGTTCAAGCTAAGAAACTTGTAGTCTTCTAGAGCACTGAGAGAATGAGACCCGGGCTGAGACTGAGGGGTGCCTGATAAACAGAAGCTGGCTCTGTTGGTAGCTTCAGATGCGATCTCGCTGCGCTGTAAAATAAGAAGCAAGTGGACGTGCAATTGATGAGTACTACCCAGGAGTCCGTGTGACATTGACGTTGGGATGTTCCCGTTCATATGCCATTGTGCATTGAGGGAGATGAGAGGGTTGGTGGTCCCCTTCTCTAACACTGCCATCTTCTGGGATATGGGCCAGTTGAAGAAGTCACATCTCTACTCCCAAATAAGGAAGTTGTGGAGTGAAGACAGGCTTTACGATATGTGGCAGGAATGAAAGAAAGCCTTTAGATCATACCGTAAATGAATTAAGGGAGTTATAATTGGTTCTTTGCTATTAGTCCTTCTTGACCTGCTTGATATCAGATTAGACAACTGCTAATTTCTCGTTGATGGCGTGGAGGTTGTAGTTGGTGGTAAATTAAATCCTAGGCGCAGGCTAGGGGCAAAGCTGGAGTCTAGGTAGGAACACGATAAACAAATGAACAAAAGAACTTTACGAGCATTTTAAGGCTCCGGCTACCAATACAGTCCAAGAAACAAGAGCTATGTCCTCGTCTCCTCACAAGGCATCACCTACCACCAATCTCTTTTCCCTCCGCCACAATATCGACAATATTAAGTCCAACCAAAAACTTCTGCCACACTTAAGAAGCTCATCCGTGTACCAAGAAGGGCAACGAATATAGCCACTAAATCAACAACTAGCAACACGAGGGCACCAGTCATGAACTTTGGACAGAAAATGCGATATAACATCAAATGTCGCCTGAGGTGCCCAGCCCACATCGTCGTAGCGAGATTGATGACGGCGTAGAAGAGCAAATGAGTGGCAGTAGCTTTTGCAACATCTCCAAGCAAGCCTTTCTTCTTCGGAGGCTGTTTCCATAGGACAATTGCGGGGACAGCAATGGCACATAGAATTTGAGCGCCGAATGAGTTGAGGATGATGAGGATTGGAGTCCAGGGATATTTGATGGTCCTGAGAGGAATGAAAGCGCTTTCCCATTGGATGCTGGAGAGGGTGGCTTGATGACCAGTTTTGAAGAAATGGAATGAGCCTAATAATCCAAGAACAATTGGGCCAATGGGCGTATCGGACAACTTGTTTGTATCTGTAATCTCAAACAGTGAAAATACTTGCCAGGCTGCTATTCCAATGGCACCCGCGCCCATGGGTTTCTGAACTAGAGAAATGGCCAGGTACCACATCGTGATGAGCAACGCGTAACGAGACCCATGTACGTTAGCATAACCCAAGATAGTAATGGAAGACGTTCCGCCATCTGCCACAATCTGTTCCGCAGACTCTTCTGAGCCCTTGACCTTCGTTTCGATGGTAAGGAGAGGCTTTGCCCACGAAAATGTAGAGTATCCAAAAGCTAGGGCAATAGCAAACGTAATTTGGGCGATTATGATTTTTGTTGTCTTGAGCATCTCGCTATATCCGGGATACCAGTCTCCATCGTCGGCAGCATCGATTGTCCAATAGGCTGCGCTTAGCAGCAGTCCGAAACGGAGAGCGAAATCAAGCCATAAGATTGCTGAGCCCTGGTGGGAACGTGTGCCCTTGTAATAGGATCGGATAAGATTTGGTAGAAGGAAGGCAACCGCATAGGGAATGGCGAGTTGCCAGGTTGCGGAAGTAGATGACGTGGCGGAGGCGTAGTAGGTGGACTTACAATATGGCATTTGTTCCTCGCGGCACATTCGTGAGAGCGAAGCTACCCGGGTGAGAACGATGAAGAGGATCGAGTGGTAGCACCCGAGCGCTCGATCAATTGGATCCTTTTGCCGGAAGGACGAGATCACTGTAAGCGCCCCGAAAGTGCAAAGGAAGTGGAGAAGGATTTCATCCTCCCAGATCGTGAAGGAATTTGCAGCAAAGCCCGCGGACAACGCTAGGGTGAAAATAACACTTACCCAGCCCCAGAGAGAGTTCGGGAGCGGGTTGGTGACCCTCCTTCTCACATACCAAAATGCTGTCCCCAACCCCACTACCCCGCCTATAGAGGCACAGTAAATGAGTGTATGCTCCAAAGGGAGATCTGGCTTAGCAAAGCCAAGGCTAACACCAACTAGGACACCGAGAACTGTCCCAATGATTCCTCGAACAAGGAGAGCAGGAGTTAATTCGGTCCGATCGCCTTGTAGACCACGAGCATAGATTGCAAGAATAACGAGTGTAAATGTAAGTATTTCAACTCCGTGCAACATCCTCGGAATGTCAAACCTTGCCCACAAATCACGACAAATGGTGAGAGTTTCGGCCTGATAAGCAGCGAATGCTTGAGCAGGTGTCTTCCAGTGGTCGCGGCTAGGTTTTTTAATGGGCTTCAGCTTGTCCCAAGCATCGTTGGCGGCTTTCCAGAGAGACAGCGAGTTAGACCTGGCGTTCTCTTCTAGTCCTCGAGCCAAGGCATACTCCTGCTGGTAGCGGTGGATTTGAGCAGCTGTCAGGCGATTGACTCTAGCTAAATTCTGGTAATCTTCACCTTTGGCTCCGATGAATGCTTCTTCGATGGGCACTCCAAGGTTGTTAAAGGGAATAGGCATCCCAAGAAGGAGGGATAAGGTTGACACCAAGTCGATTTGTGCGACTGGTCTTTCTTGTGCAGTGGCTGGCGGTGTCCTGTAGGCGGGTGAACTGCGGCCGAACAATTTCTGCTTCGAGTACATCCAAAGAGCAGCCTGGATCTCGTCATCTGATTCTCCACCATGATCGCCCTTAGCATCCATGCCATGGTCTCCCATGACTACGAGTAAAGTACTGTCGTCAAGTTGATCGATCATCTTGCGGAAAATTTCGTCCATTTGATTTAGCTTCGCTGTCATGGCCGGATGATTAGGCCCATACCGGTGTCCAGCGTGGTCGACTCCGAGGTAATGTCCAAATATTATGTCCCATTTGCTCGTATTTGAAGACTGCAGGAGCGGGAATATATGATCAGTGACTCCATTATCCACGGTATGGAGATCCCAAACGTTGAATGAATCGTATGCATGAGTAAGATTCGGCTCGAAGTAGCCGGGGAAGAGTGCATGCCATGTATCGTCGCCTAGATGTACGATCCTCTTACTTGCATTCCTTAATTGTGCTACTAAATTGTCCTCATCTATAGCAGTCCCAGCAAAGTTTGATCCGGCATCAAGGAACGTTGGTAACGTGCCTGTGGTAAGGCCTTTTAGCCTTTGCAGAGTGGTGGTTGGTGGGTCGGCAATGAACGGAAGGAGGAAGGCATTGTTCGGATGATTTATGGCGGTCTCATAGAGCACTGGAATCGCGTTATGGAAGTGTTGAAGTTGCTCGGAGCCTGTAGCCTGAAATGGAACGGTAAAGTCATAGCGAAGGGCGTCAACGATTATTACGATTGCTTTCTCGAAGGTCTTCGGGTGCCAGCATCCTGCTTTCGGAGAGCCGGGTGTGTATGAATGTGCAAGGTCAGCCGGCGGAACAGAACATTCGGACTTCTGCTGGAGCACGAGTCGGGTGAGGAGGAAGCCGCTGGTGAACAGGTAAATACCCAGGACATGGAGGACGCTATTTTAAGTTAATAAGGGCCCCTCTAGCATTAAGTACAAGGAGTTAATCGTACAGAATCCAAGTAAAGAACGCTACAACTAGTCCATGCGCAGCCTTGAAGTGGACCTCTCCTTGCTTGTTGGCTGCGGCAGCATCGCCTGTTCTTCCCTTCAACCCTTGGGCTTCTTCTCTCTCCTTTTCGGCCTTGGCTTTCGCAAAGGCGGCCGCGAGACCCTCGTAAGATGGCAAAGGCTCGCCATTGTCCATTGGAAAAGATTAAAGCTGTAGGTTCATGAGAAATCAAAGAAGAAAAGTTTGGAGCTCGCAGCGAACTAGATGGTCGAACCGCGAACTGCGGGCTCCGGAGATAAGTTCGGCCGAGCCCGAAAAGCGGGAATACAAACTTCCTCTTTGGGGTAGACAGCTCCGCTGCTCTTTCCAGCAATCGCAGACGCTTATCTCAGGCGTAGATCCGGGACTTGCAACACCGCCCGTGGATTATTCTTGCTGCGGGTGCGGAGAATGTTATTTTTAAAAGACGACTCGGAATGCTGCAAGACTACAGTCAGCGGTGGAGATGAACCACAGCATAGCTCGGAATGGCGAACAAATGCGCCCATTGTTACAGAAAGTACTGCGTGCTGGAATTTATGACGGAAAATGTGAAGGAGCTGGTTTAGGGTGGGAATTGGCATCCTATTTGGAACCTCTTGAATACTAACGGGAGATTTAATCGATAGACTTCGTCCTAACCATGTTCCGTGGTTTGGGACAACATGCTGTTAGGCACCATGCCAAACCAGTAGCAGACCTGCGAGCATAACGCCGTTAAGCTACTCTAAGCAAATCATCACTTAGAAACAAATGCAGTAAAAAAGACCAGTAGTCTGTTTGAAAAGGGGTTTTGTATTTACTCCCTGGCCGCACTTAAGCAGACTAGTTAGAGGGATTTATCATACATTAGAGAATAAAAGCTATGTAAGAGGACATAACCTCAGTGGAGATGGATGATACACCACGACGGAAGGTGAGGTGAGCTAGCTCCATATCTCCTAGAAATATACAATTAGGCCTAAGCCTCATACCCGTACCATAGACGAGGGCTGTCAATCGGCGATGGCGGCGGGCGAGAAGGAAAGTGCCAGAATCTGATATGTAGCACAACAAAGCGTTCATCAAGGTAAAAGAGTCGTAGCCAAGCGGCGTAGATGCGAAAAGAGTTTTAGGGGTATTGTTCGTTGGGCAGATTTGGCTGGATAGCCGGCTGGATAAAGGGGTTTTAGCCTCGAGAGCTTGAGAGTTACGAGTAATCCTTCTCATTCTTCTCTTTGAGTCCACCAATTCGGTCAAGATCCAATGAATCGAAGCGGTCCGATGAATCGCGTTGGTATGGCGGAAGATCCTCATTCAATGGTTCCAACCCAACGCTGTGTTCTCCAACGCGAACGACGACAACTCTGCCAGACTGCCGCTTGCCCGTCTCATCAACCTCATCGGGGAACGTGATGCGGATTTCGGGGACCGGGCTGGGTGGAGGGCTGGAGGAGTTCGCCATCAGGTCTTGCTTCTCCTGGCAGACGTAGATGGATTGGCGTCCCTTGCCGAAGGGGGTCGCAGTAATTGTCAATCGGCGGTGGTTTGAGACTTTTGACTGTCTCTTTTCGTACAATGGAAGTTCGGCTTCCTTCTTCGCTTTACGCACGTTTCGGAGGAAGATGAGGGCTCCAATTAGGCCGAGCCCAAGAACGACGAGGACTAACAGGGAAACTAGAAGGCTGACCATTGTAGGGTCGAGAGAGTCCTTTTTGTCATTGCGCACAACGAGGAGTTGGATGGTTTTCATAGTGCGTGGTGGGAATGTACGTATGTATGCGGTCGTTAAAATGCGGTCCTTTCGAAACCTTGACAGATGACGCGGTCTTCTTCGGTAGTAGCAGTCAAGGAGCGAATTAGCTGTCACCATGTCAGCATGATGGCATCAACGGGTGGAGTTGTGGTGTCGAGCAGGAGCGGAATGGAGGCCTTCTTGGCGGAATGTCGGTGGAGAGCCGCGAACGCACCTTATCATGAGCAAAAGATCAGTGGCAGCAGGGAGCGTGGGGCTAGAAAGACCGGAAAGAATGGATGCGTGCGCGCAGCTGAAAGAGTGAAGCTGGTGCCGCAGAGGAATGAGGAGGAGGGGGAAGGAGAGGCGGATGAGGCGAGGAGTGCAGCAAGGTAGTGAGAGTGAGAACAGGAGCAAGGAGAGGACAAGCCGTTGGTTTTCTTTGGGAAGCAGGCCGCTGGGCGTTGCGCCGGGGCCTCCAACGGCAGAATGAATTGGTGCCTTAGCGCGCGAGTCGGAAATGAAGAACACTGCCTCGAGCCAACGAAGCGCGCGAGCTATTCCCAATGAGCGAGAGACAATAACACGATGCTGAGAAGAGCACCGGAACGCATGCTGCTTTTGACCGTTTACGCGCCCGGCGCTCACAAAGAGAGAGAACAGATGATTAAGGCAGTTGCGTACAAAAAGGGACAGCACACACACGCAGCGAATGAGAAGCAGGACCACAAAGGAATGTTTCGACTTTAGATCGTCGGCAGGGACCCGAGAGGCGACGAGGGTGGAACGAATTAGGCAAATTGTAAAAGTCGAGAATCAACGTCTTGCCTCCTTGCCAGTGACCACGCGAGACCTCGGATGGGGGGTTCTCCCCGGATTTATACCATCAATGCAATCTGCACCTGCTTTAAGCTTATTGTTGACGAGACATGCCATGTTTCGGCCTTAGAAATGTTAACAACGTGGTTGCTCGACACCTGAGACGAACACCGAACGTGCGGCAGCAGTCGCCTTTACGCGGCAGTTCGAGCTTCCGGCCAGCATCAGCTTGCTGCGAACCGCTTCATGACGAATCCCTTAGTCTCCTGCTGCGCGCGCCTTGAGACTCACGGAGAGCAGGAGAGCCCAATCGTGTCAGCAGGACGACACCGCGCGCAGACAACGAAGATCCATCACTGCCTTGTGCCTCATGCTACGGACTCGTGGAAAGCAGATCTTTGCGACCATCTAAGAGTCTTGTCAGTATCAGATGTGATTGAGTGCCGGTTACTATATCCAAGGAGGAAAGGCGCCGGCAGTTCAGCATCATTTTGCATTATTACTGAACTGCCCGAGCTATCTCCAAGATCCCTCTACGCCGGATTCGCTCAAGGTCCCTTTGGCATGCCTTGATACATGTCGCAGCGCTACTTTCCAATGCCACCGCTCGACGGAAGCACTCTGTTCCATGGCTGAGTTCGCGTAAGACTCTCGAAGCGCTGCAGACCGGAGACCACCATCTCGTAAGGCGTGACAGGACAGCTCTTGAAAATGTTCCACATTTCAGCCTCTCCCTTTTTCTAGAAGCGACGGCCCCGATAATCCCTGGCAGAAATAGATGATACACGCCTCCGATATGCATCCGAAGTCGCCGGTTCTCGCGCATGGCTTCTGCACCGCCAATGGCGTTCTGGCAATTGGCAAACGCATACAGGATCATCAGTTTGGGTTCCGGTACGACGACCACATTCCATAACAAGCGAAGAGCGGTGTACAGATGCCAGACGACTACCTCCCCGTGGGCTAAAGCTCAAAGAGTGGCCGTCATTTGATGACGTTCCAGCTGGGGCAGAGGCAGAGTCCCGATATGGTTGTTACACCTCCCGACGGAAGAGAAATGACCTGTCGTTGAAGCAGTACTATGTTTTGCTTCGCTCGCTCCCACGCCAACGCAGCACGACTTGCACACAAAGTGGATGTCGAGTGTGCGCTCCCCTCTCTTGTGCTCTTACTAGAATGAATCCCACGGCTACTGCCAGAACCTGCGAGGTCGAGTTCGGGATAGGAGAGCATATTCTGACTAGCTTCCTGATCTCAGGAAAACCAGAAAACAGTATACTACTGTTCAGAGCACCGTTCTGGGCGGCAGCATGCAGAACAGAGTTAGTGAAGGCCTCGCATGGTAGAAGAAGGCAGTCATGAGGCGATCCAATGGCCAGGAGACTGCTGTCATTGCATCACATTAGCTTACATGTTGCTGAAGCCGCTGGTCAATATCTTGTGGGTGCATGGATCATTGGGTGCTAGGATGTGCCTTTCTGTGGAAAGGGCGCAAGTGCAAGTGAGGCTTCAAATCATCTTCACCCGAGATATGCTATATGGGTTTCGAGGTGCCAACTCTCACTTGCTAGCATTAATATCCACTGGTGCTGGATATGGATAGGGCACACTGGGTTGCGGGAAGCCGACACACTGGAACATGTATGCCTGGAGAACATCGGGGGCGGGGGGGGTCGGGGGGTTGGCAGCCAGGGAAGGGGCAAACATCAGATATCTCTGGGAGCAGGAATCTTGATGAAGCATAGTCACGATCAGGCCGGGCATGTTGGAGGGACGAAAAGGGCGCCCGGGACCCGGCATGGCACTTGTGAAACGCTTTCGTACTGTACATAATGAGGAAGTCTCCTTTCCCCATGCAAAGCGAGGGCTCTGTCTCACCCTCTATCTCAGCGCATCGTGTCTTATTGAATGACCAGACTGCGTCGTTCCCTTCGAAACGTCGCATCCTGGGCGACTCCTCCTCTTGCTTGGCGGCACACGAGTGAATACAACCGACGAGGGCACAGCAGAGAGAGCAGTGGGGTTGGAGCAGACAGCAGACAGCAGACAATAGACAGTAGACAGCAGACAGCCGACCGTCGACCACGGACGGCAGAGCACCAGCTAGGACACAGGGACGACTCTCGAGGGTTGCATTCCGTCGACGAACAGTAGCAACGAAGGCGGCAGCGGCCAGACGTGGATCTTGCAATCTGAAGTGCACAGCGGACCGTCCTTTTTGACGTTGGCCCTTCCCGAGTGGGTCCGCCCCCGTCGCGACTAGTGCGGCGCCGATCTGGGGCTCCTCTCGCCTGGCTCTGGCTCGCCTGGAAGTGGCATTCAGTCTTCATACCGCCCTCGACCACCACACCTCGCAGCAGCGCTCCCCAACGCGACGCTTTGCTGCCTTCTGCCCTCCCTCTCCCCTCTATCACGCCGCTCTCCTCCCCCCCCAGCAGCACCCTTTTGCCCGCCTCAGCCCCGCCGCACACAACACGCCCGGCTACGGCTTCACTGCTTCCATTCCGCAATTGTCCAGCCTGCCACCCTTGCGTCCCTCCTCACCTCGTCGCTGGAGCATCGCAGCACACCCTGATGCGTCCCCCGACTGGCACGCGATACCATCTATTCGAATTTAGCATGCACAGTGGCTAAAGACCCCGTTGCTCGTCCACATTACACACATTCAAGGGCTGCGCCGCCGAACCTGCCCATCTCAACCCCGAGGACAACCCCCCCCTCCCCCCTTCGCTCGCCCTCAAGTCCTCCTGTAGTATATCCTCGCCCTCTTCCCTTCTTGTTCTCGAGGTCCCTCTGGAATACCTTTTGGTGCGTTCCCCGCGTCCCCTCGCTCACCAATTGGCGTTTGTCAAGTGCGATAATGCTGACGCCTGGGGTTAGTTCAGCTCTCTACCTATACATAGGCCTTCCCATTTCTCCAGTCTCATCTACCACTCTTTCTTTGGCGCTGCCAGCGATTTTGCACCCAGCGCCACTCACAGCACCCGCGCCCCTCGGTTCAGCTGTCCTTTTATTCCAGTCGTCCTCACAGGGCCTGTGGAGGCTGCCTCGTCTGCCAGCGTGTGGGCCTTCCTAATACCCAATACCCAACACCCCCAAACCCCCAACACCCCCAACACTCTCTATCTCTTCTATACGATCCCTTGTCCCACTCTTATCTTGAATCTTGTAGTTTGATCGTGCTTGTAATATGGAACCTGGGGTTGTTGGTCGAAATATGACGGCCATGTCCAGTAATGTGGGTCCCGCGCCTCCGCTCTTACACTCGCCGCAATCTGACGATGTATTCTTAGCCTCGATCCCGCGACTTCAGTGGCGGGGTTGCCATCAACGGTGCCGAAAGCGACCGACCGTCCCACACGGCATTGACGCCCGGCTTTGCGAACACTGCTGGCTGGGGTGGCAGCATATGGAACAATAACACACTGGGCGCCGGCTTTGGGTCAGCTGTGAGAGAGAGCTCACGGCCACGAGGTACATCCGTCTCTCTAAATGCTGCACAAGGCCGTGCTACTCACCGCTCCACAGAAAATGGTACCTACATCAGCAGTCCTTCGGACCCAATAGAAGGCAAGACAGGCTCAGGCTCTCTCGTCGCATCATCGGAATCCGACAACTGGAAACCTAATCGCTCCCCTTGGGGAGACAACGCGACAGGCATGCCCCATGCAAGAAGCTCCGGAGTTTCACCTGCGCGGAAGAGGTCCATCGCGCAAACGCAATCTCAGCAATACGCTGACTCCACCTCGTCAGCCTACTTTCCTGTGTCCAGGTCGGCGGGTCTGAACCAAGGCCCCGTTGCAAAACCGCCAAAGCCACTACTCGACCCTACGTCAATGAACTTTTCTTCTACCAGACAGGTTGATCCTTTGGTTACTAATGGTTTCTCCAGTTTTGGTTTCGGTCAGAGTGATAGTAATCCGCAGCGCTCCGAAACAACGGTGGGCTCCTGGCCGGATGCAGGGTCAGTGCATTCCCCAAATGATGACAGACGAAGCATTACCGCCTCGGAGTATTTTGGTCCTTCGAGTGGTACACAATCACGTAGCGGCAGTCTGCCCCCTTCACGACACGGCGCGGAGCCTTTGCAATTTGCGCAGAACAATGACCAATACTCAAGGTTCACCCAGCCGGGTCCCCGCCAACACTCCTCATTCTCTCATGCTAACGGGCGTGCATTCCCAGAGCGCAGCGGCTCAATTCAAAGCGACTCGCTACATCTACTGTCGAGGATGAGCATTGCCGATCAGGATATGGACACGGCCATGATTGCACACAAACCATCTGTGAGCATCAATGGACTTCCTCCTGCTTTCACACCTTCTGGCAACGACTCCGCCTTCCCACGCGACACATACGGAGACTCGCAAAGCTTAGCTCGACCCGAAGACGGAAATTACGCACATACAGGGAGCTACACTCCCGATAGCTACGCAAATGGACATTTGAGTGATCCTAACACGCAATTCCGCTCCTTTCAATTCGACAGTCGCAGTGCGCCTAACGGAACTGGAGTCAGGCAGAGTCCCTTCTACTCGCATGCACATACACCACCAGTATACGACCACCTCTACCCTTCCCGCAACGACCAGACTCTTGCAAATGGCAACAACATTGCTCTTTTCCAAAGCAAGCTGCAAGGCTACCAGCAGCAACAGGAGCGGCGTAACTACATCAACCCGACCCAGTTCCATCAGCAGCATTTCCAGCATCTCTTAGCTACCAATCAGCTACGATCTCCGTACGGCTATGCGTATTCCATACCCAACGGAATGCAGTTGAACGGGATGCAACCAAACCTCGCCATGCCCGCTATTCCTGGAATGATGAATATGATCGAAGCTCCCAGAGCTCCACGAGATCATGCGCAACCAGACGGTGTTGTCAGCAAGTGCTTATATGATTTCAAGCAGAACAGCAAAACTAGTAAACGGTACGAGTTGAAGGACATTTACGACCACATCGTCGAATTCAGTGGCGATCAACATGGATCCCGGTTCATCCAGCAGAAACTGGAGACAGCGAACAGTGACGAGAAGGATCGAGTCTTCAGGGAACTGCAAGGGAATGCATTGCAGCTAATGCAAGATGTCTTTGGAAATTACGTCATCCAGAAATTCTTCGAGCATGGGGACCAAACCCAAAAGAAGATCCTTGCGAGCCGTATGAAGGGGCAGGTCTGGAATCTTTCTCTGCAAATGTACGGCTGCAGAGTCGTACAAAAGGTGAATTACCTTCGAGTACCTTGTTCCTAGTTCCTCGTAATCAGGGAGCTAACTTTTGGCAGGCACTGGAGCACATTCTAACAGATCAGCAAGCCGTATTAGTGAAGGAGCTCGAGAAAGATGTCACCAAATGTGTCAAGGACCAGAACGGCAATCACGTCATCCAGAAAGCTATCGAACGCGTACCCCTCGAGCACATACAATTCATCATTGATGCTTTCCATGGTCAGGTCGGGAGCCTCGCCGTGCACCCTTACGGATGCCGGGTTATCCAACGAGTGCTCGAATATTGTGAAGAGCCAGCACGGAGATTCATTCTTGAGGAACTACATGCAGAAGGACCGAAGCTCATCACAGACCAATACGGCAATTATGTGACTCAGCATGTTATTGAACACGGGAGTCCCGACGATCGCGCGAAGCTCATCTCACTGGTCAAAGGGCAATTGCTTGTTTTCTCGAAACACAAATTCGCGAGCAATGTTGTTGAGAAGTGTTTAATCTTCGGAACCGATGACCAGCGGCGAGAGATCATGCTGAAGGTTATTGAAAAGCCCGAGCGTGGGGAGAGTACGCTGATGATGCTCATCAAGGACAACTATGGCAACTATGTCATCCGTATGTTTCCCTTCCAATCCTTGATTTCCACCTTGTTGCTAACAATGCCACAGAGAAAATTTTAGAGACAATATGCCGCAAAGACTATGACGAGCTTATCGCATTCCTCAAGCCAGAGATGGATAAGGCCAAGAAGATCATTTCGGGGAAGCAAGTGCTTTCAGTATGTCTTGAATTTGTGCCCTCCCTACATCGGCTATGCTAATTTCGTTGTAGGTTGAGAAAAAGATGCACCGCTTCGACCGCGTAGATAGCGTCTCCTCGCCCACGGCTCAGCGCAATTCCATCAGCTCCGCGACTGATATCTCCCCCACGCCACCCCTTACCAGCGACGCCCAGAGCCCTCAAAGCAGCTCGCTCCCCAGCACTAACACCAGTACTGTCGATGACCCTGTAAACACAACCCCTCTTGCAAATAAGACTCTCTCTCCTCCCCGGGGCGGCGTCAGCATCGCAAATACTTCCTCGTAGATACCACGAAATCCCCAAGAAACGGCCTCGGGCGACTACTAATCGCCTTGTTTTTGTCATGTTACCGATTCGGTTCTGCACTACACTACTTTGCATGCATGAATATGAGAAACTCAGGCGTCGGTGTTCTGTGTTTGTCTCTAATTAATCTATCATGGTATAGATTGGGTCTTGTGGGAAGCATGTTATATACCATCCTTTCTTTTTTTTCTTTTTTCTTTTCAACCTCGGATACTCTTTGTCTTCGGTCTCGTGTCTTAATCTCCCCCATTTGTTTATTTCGCCCGATTCTCTTCCCTCCTCTCATATTCTATAACATATCATATCGTACGACGTATGTAAGCATAAAGGCAGAGTCCGCCAGGCTTTCCTCTCAGGCTCGCCCAAAATGACTCCAGCACTACTACTTGCTACTACTATTTTCCATGCAGGCAAGAAGCGAGATTGTGTGTGTACGGGTGTGTTTTTGTTTTACTCACTCGCACTCATAGGTTTTTTTTTTTTTTTTTTTTTTGCTTTTTTGCACAAAAAGCTAGGGATTTGATTTAGTAATTGGAAATGCTCTGATGATGGTGATGACAGTGGATTGGGGCAGAATGATTGATTGGTGTTGGTGAGATTGTGGATTGTGGGTTGTGCTTCGGGTGATATGTATGGCTGGCGTCTGCTTTTAGACACATGTGAGGCTGGGATACCATAGTAGTTTTAGAGTTCATCTGGGCTTTGGGAATGGGCATGGTGGGGATTGGGTTGGGGTTGGTATAAAAGTAGATCGGGGGTGGATGTGGGTTGAACGGAAGAAAATATTTGACTTTGTTGATTGTGTGGATCCATTCGTTTTGATGTTTTATATGCCACACAGCGGTTACTGTGAAGTATACACTCGGGTTCAAGCCCAGGTATGATTACCTCTGATTGCCGACCTGTCGTTTCTGATTTGGATTGTAATAGTATTCCCTGAAGTTCAATCCTATACTTTTACTACTCTTCTATCGTGATAGAGAAGAACCTAGACTTGTTGACGTTACCGATACCACCACTGCTTTTACTCGGAGTTGGGACCTGGGTTTGCATCTCGAAATACACAATTGTTCACACTCTTGTAGTGTTCGATTATCTATGATAAAATAACACCTTACATTAACTGCTAGACCAAAACAAACAAGAAAGTCGCTATTTTTGAGTATTTGTGTAATAATTTATCTATCCTATACCCAATACCGCCCTTATCACCTGAATGTCTGCAGTGTAAAATATCAGAAAGGCCAGACTTGGGTATATGTGAAGTTCCGAGACGAACCTTTTTGCTGTGTGAAAGGGGTGGTCAGTTAGAGAGCACTTCCTCAAGCTATCTACTAAACGAACCTCAGCTGGGCAAGAGACAGCAAGTTTCATTGATCATCTAACATTCCATTGTTTGGATCCCTTTATAATTGCGAAATTTAGCCATCACCATCACTATCACCAACCCTCATCTTTCGTCCACAGTTTTCCACAAAAATACAAAGCTTGCTAAACACTCATCAAACCTTAGGAACTACCACAGGCACTGTTAAGTCCCCCCGTTTCCGCGAAAGCAGAAATAGATGGAATCTGAATTCCATCCTTAAACCCAACCCAACAGAAGTCCTTGAGTAAATGCATCTTTGGTCCACGCACCCACAACCCATGATTATCCCTTACCCACCCACCCGCTCAGAAAACGCAACAATTGACAGACAGCAGAACAGAAAGTCCCATCAAACTCCAACCCGTCATTATCACTCATTGTGATCGAGAGTAGGGCATGTCATAACTTGCCATTAAAGTTCATATCCATGCGATTTCGTGCAGTATGTGGAAATCCACCAACCCTAACCGAATCTAGCGCAAGCCTATGCACCAAAAGTGCTTGGGCTCAGGTTTAGGATAGCCATGTCATAGTCTTAGAAGAAAGGAGGGGAAAGCCGTTTCCACTCGTACAATTCTATACATCACCTACACTCATCCCCTCATCCCGCGCATGTGCCTCGTGGCCCTCTAGGATCCCATGCGGCCGTGTGTTCACAAATTAGGAGTACCTCCATGTTTCTGCAGAGTGAATCTGAGGTAGAGATGGCAAAGCCGGCCTAGGCACCGGCCCTGTCCCATCATCGCTAATGGGGCTATACTCTGGTCTCTTTGGGCTATTTGTCGCATCACTTAGTGGACTGGGGATCGGTCTTTGCGGTTCGCTCGGCATAGGAGGCGCTGACTTCGATTCAATGGTTGGTGCAGCTGCAAGTGAGCTTTGTTTAGGCATTGGTGTGTTTCCCGTAGACAGCTCATGAGGCATATTTGGTGGTCGAGGAAGCTGTGGCGCTTGCAGTAGTGGACTAGCGGATATTGTAGTAGTGCTGGGAGTCTGTGATCCTGTCGAGGCCAACTGCTTCACCATCTGCTCCCACTTGGTAAGTCCTATGGATTGGGGCGGTGCTCTGGCAACATCCCGTTGGAAGGCATCCGGTGTTTGGAACTGTGGCATCGGCCTCGGCGTTGGGAGTGATGGAATTTCGCTACTAAAGCTCAACCTCAAGCCCTGGGTGGGTCTATGGGATGACTGTGGTCCACTAGTCGCGGTATTCGTATTGCCATTCACAGGTTTGGGTGTCCATTCCGGCGTGAACCCGCCATCGGGGCTGTAAGGAGAAACGTAAGTCTTTGCCCTCCTTAAAAATGCGTTCTTCAGGTAAGGATATTTGGTAATGTAGGCAAGGTAATCTGCTTGAGACTGGGGAGATTGTGCAGTAAAAGATGAAGAAGAAGAAGAGGAGGAGGAGGGTGCATTCGCGTACATTGGAGATTTGGCAGTTCCTGCTGTGCTGCTCAGCATTCCTGAAATTGGTGCGGCACTGCGTGGTGAGGCTGGTGACTGTGACACGGACGTGTGCTGTGCAGGTGAGCTATATGCTGGACGCAAATTTGGAGGGTGGTTATACGGGAACAAGGGTAATTGGGCGGATCTACTTGGAGTAGCTGTCTGGTGGTATGGATATGGTGGTAAAGGCTGGCTTGTCCGGACGTACTGGTCGATTCCATTCAATAGGGGTCCTGCCGTTGAAGGTTGTTCCCAGCTGGAGGAACTTGACGGCGCCTGCGCATAATGGTTGTTGTAGCTTTGCGACGGACGATGGCAGCCGTTAGTAGACGACGGATATCCATATTGAGGGGCCGTTGCCCGGTGATCGTATACCACATTTGGCTGATGTGCCACGGGTGAATTAGGATTCTTCCGACTATCCGGTGAGTAGTTGTACACCGGTGACTTATAAGTCGCCGTCTCAACCCTTGGTTTGTACTGGTAGGGCTTTTCAGCGGGTCGAATATACGGCTGCACAGGCGTTCGGGGAGTGGGGGCTGGAGATGGTTTGATAGGAAACGACGCTGGATATGAGCGGCGCTCGATTGGACCCATTGGCATCGATGCAGGCTTGACGGTATCTAGGAAATTGGCCTTGAGATTGTGTTTCGGGTTTGTAGGATCGTCGGTATACTGTGGCCTTGCTTCGGTCGAAGTCTTTCCGAGATAATACCAGAGCTGGTTCTCCTTGCTGAAGTCGACCCTGGTGAGTTGCCGAGCAACTTCCGGAGCAGTGTTGAACTCGGCCCACTTCAACGTCGAGTTGGGGTCGAGGAATGAATCGCCCATTGCTGGAACACCATCAGTGCGGTTAGTAATGCTCAGTGACGAATCATTGTCTTTGATATGTTCTGGAAGAGGTTGTGCATTTGCAGATGGCTTCGGCCGTTGTGATTCAGTCGGATCCAGAGCAAGGAGATATTTCCACTCAAGCTCCACACGGTCGCTATTAAGGTGTTAGCTGACAGCAACTGATATTCATATGATCCTTGACTCACCCATCAGGAAGTACATCAACAAGGACTGTCCATTCACCAGGCCTGTTTTCGACAACCACGCCTCCATAAACTTGATCTGTCCCAAGGTACTGAAATTGCACGACATCCTTTGGCTGAAGACTCTTCGCATATCTGAAGATGAACTTGTCCTTCTCTAGAGTCTCACCATCTACAGTTTTAGCATGCCTCTTCTTGGGTCGATGCCATCGGCAGCGGAAGTCGTATCCGTCGTAGACATATTCCACTCCCTCGTCGCCAAAGGTCTGCATCGGACCGTAGTCGACTTGGACACCAGCGGCGAAAGCGCAAGTGGCGTGGAACGCCCTCGTACACTTCTTAGAAGAGCACTGGAAGACAGCTCCACGTTTCGAGCGACAGTAATTGCATTTGAGCTCAAGGCGATCTCTACCAATACCACCAACATTACACACCCTCTCTGAGGGCGAAGATGACACATAGGTTTCCGGTGTGTAATCGCCACATAGACGATGTGCTTTAAGGCCATTATCGGTTGGGAGGAGGTCGTCAAACTCGACATCGTTGGGGCATAGGATACAAGGCATTTCCTTGCCTGGCACCTTGAGGCGGATTCGGATGCGCTTCTTTGGTTTGGCTAGCTCTTCTTCTCCCCTCTTCCGTTTGTTGTTCGCGGGCTTGCGACCCTTTCCTCTTGCCTTCCCTTTAACACTTGGGGGAGGACTTGGCAGATGATCCGCACCATCGTCTTCTCCTTCCGAATCTGTCTCCTCGTAGTACTCCGGAGTCGGTTCACCTCGCAGTTTGCGTTCAATTTCGTTCACATCTACCCAGACGCTGTCGGATTCGCATTCGCATTTTTTAGCAATGCGCCCATAGTTCAACCAAGCGTCATTTGCGAAGTTGACGGACTCAGCACAGTTGTAACCAATGTTGTAACCGGAATGGTAGCCGTAGGGGTAGGTGATAACAAATTCGCCTTCGTAGTGAACTAAACGGTTGACCTTAATGTTGAACTGCTTCTCGAGCTGGCTAGGCGAGATAAGAAACGTCTTGTGTCGGAGGAACTGGGAGCAGTTCTTTGCTTCGCGTGGCCAGATGCTCTTCATAGCCGCTTCAAAGCGTCTCGCATCCTCTTGTGAGATACTGTACCATTGCTTCGGGGCGCCGAAATGAATATAGTTGATACTATAGAGATCGACGTCTTCGAGATGCCAAGCGAAGGTAGCTTTCCACATGCCTAGATAGAGATATGCGGTGTTGACGCCTGGGACCTTAGTGCCGAGCACATCAAGAAGGTTTTCCAGCTTTGCGACGTTCCAACTGGTTGTCCGGTCATCAAAAAGGGAACCAGGCATATCGGCTCCATACATCGGCTGCCCATAGTTGATGGTTCTCCAATAATTCTCCTCGAGTTCCTTGCACCTCTCAACAGTGTATTCTTCGACATTCTCGAGGTGATAATTGAAGTCCTTAAAAGCTTCTTCATCCACCCAATTTGTGGTTTCAGTCCTGTTGTTCACCCTACGAGACGCAGTTGACCTAGGTTGACGACCTCGTGGCTTGGCTGGTGCAGCAGTGTCTTGCTCTTCTTTCTTTATTTTTCTCGTTAATGTTTTCTTCTCCTCTTCTCTTCCGGGCGACGTGGGTGTGGGCGGTACGTCAACGGGTTCCTCGTCAGCCTTGTCATCATCTTTAGTCTCCTTCTTGAGCGGGCGCCTTCGGGGCCGACCCGGTCCGCGCCTTGGTGTAGGTGTCCTGTCTGTGTTCACAGGCTGTGTGGATGCTTGGACGCGGGTAGAACGCGTTCGTTCTGGAGCTTCGACGGCAGCCCTCCGTCGCTCCCCCCGCTTCGCTGGAGGCTGGTGATGCGACTCAAGAGTCAACGATTTCCACTCAGGCAGGTTGTATGATCGCTGCTTCTCGATATTCGCTTGAGTATATATGCCATGCTGCCCGGCGAACTCCTGGGTGATGGGATTCTTGACTTTGATCGTCTTAACTGCTTCGCTGAGGTCGGGGAGGGCGTCGCGCCTGTGATTGGATTTGTTTAGCCTTTGTCAAACATGATGGGGTCGCATCGATGCTCACCATTCCTTGGGGGGAATAATCTTGACTATTCCCGACTTCATACCATACTTGTCAATCTTGTCGACAAATTTCTTGAAACTACGAAATTGGTCCATTGTCTACAAAGCAATACTGTCAGTATGGGAACCCTCTCAATCGCATGCGACTTGGGGCTTGCATCCATAGGAGGCCGCATAGCGAAGCTGCCGAGGGTGAAGGTGATGCGACCTACTGGCTTGAATACAGGTACTTTCCCTCCTTCAAAATAGTGATCGGGTTCGATTTCTTCGTCATCATCGTCGCTCTCCAGCTCAGAGAGCTCCGACGACAGCCTTTCCCTCTTATCCATGTCCTCGCTCGTGGGCGGCGTAAGAGCCGGCTTGGGGTGTGCAGCATCTTCATTATTAGCAATAGTCGTCTCGACCGACGGGACCACATCCGTCTCCGCCTCCATTGCGAAGGAAATATCGGTAGAGTGCAGCGTGGAGCCTCAGGGCAGGTGCAGGGCTCGTTGGGGGCTGGCAGACGTCGTTCGCAGGAGGTCCGAGTGCAGCATCCGGCGATCCTCGCCACAGCGCGATCGGTAAGGACTGACAGCACCACGAGCTCCCTACGGACTGCGCATCAACTTCGGCGTGTGGACGGTGGCAATAGCGGGTGGTTTGGGTGGTAGAAAGCGAGTGTGGACGCTATAATGGCCAGGCGGTTGAAAGTAGAGGTGCAGGGTTGCCAAGCCGCGCTAATACCTAATCGATATCCAGGGAGGTGTGGTGTGATGATCAGGACACACCATGAATCCTCCCAGATTGGACAGTCCCGAAGAAAACACGCGTAAAACTGCTGCTTTCAGCGGCAAAACATGCAGCGAGGGCGGGGTTTTTGACGGGCCTTGCAGCTATGCTGCTCTCGCCAGGAACAGAGCAGTGTGGTGTGAGCTAGTTGGTTTGCAGTCTTCATGCACGTCATCGCAGCACACGTTCGTTATCAGATCCGCCCTTCACACTAACGATTTTGGTTTCACTGGAGGCACGTCCTGTGCAGCCCTGCTATGCTGTTTACTGCTGACCTTTCCCCACACACTCAAATACAGTAAGTTGTCGCATACTAGGATCATAATTAAGGTAGACTTGGCCAAATAATTCTCTCTCTAGAAGTAACGAGGACGTCATCAAGAGGATGCTCACTTCCACTGCAAATCAATTCTTATTGTATTTTGTCATAAGTGGCTGCATAGAGTGTATTTAATTGCTTCGTTAGTCACTTTTAGGTGTGATGGAAATGTTTATTGTCCTCCTCACGGCTTCCAAAAGTCATGCATGGAAGTGAATGTTAACAAGACCGCTGCTCCGAAACTGTGGCAACTAAATGGTAAACGATACATACCTCTCGGTTGTCTCATAGACGCGCGCTTCAGCAAGGAATTTTCTGTGTGCCTGCAGGAGGGTGACCATCGGACTCCCAGATCCGTCCCACTAGTTCGCACCACCACGCCATCAGTGCACAAGCACGTCTTCAATTTAGTTTGAAGCTGGACCGTTTGGCCCATCGACATTCTCCCAGCAAACCAAATACTAGATCTAGGCTTAAAGCCTTCTTTAGGCCTTTCTAGTCTGGAGTTCAGATCTTCTAATGCTCAGAACAGCATTGAAGAAGCCGTATTCCTAACTTAAGTAAACTGACTCCATCTCTCAAACCTCCCTATAATACCCTTCAATCCATCTCTTCGCCCATACTCCCCTACCTACAGTTCCCATCCAGCGCATTGTCTTGCAAATCGTCACTGTTGTGCACCGTACGCCACAGCAGATCTAGTGCGATCCGCCTCCACCACATCTCGGCTATCTGACAAGCTCTCTCAGCCCTACCACTCACATCATGCAGAATCGCCGCTCATCCCACATCCCACACCAACTAATTTGCTTCCTCCATTGCCCCGGATCGATCTGCAGGAACGCAACATCCGCGCTGTGCGGAGACAGCCATTGGCCCAAGCTTTCGCTATCGGAGAAAAATGACCCTCGAGCTTCGGTGCAGCGAAAATGCGATTCGGTGCAGGGGATAGGAAGTAATCGGGTAGTGACAAAAGGTAAGGCTGTGCACCCCCAAGATACCGAGAGGTACAGAATGGCATAACTGGGCGCATCGTGCAAATGTGCTCTGGTAACTCCTGATGGACGAGGGTGAGATTTGCGGCCAGTGTTTAAACAATTGTGCTGAAGGCACGTCGAACGAGAAATCATGACCCCTACCAGAAAAGTTGTAGGGGAAGAGTCCAGACCAGTCACAAGCAACAGAGATGCGAAGAGAATGTGATACAAGCCCTTTTGATTCGAGCAACCGTATCCCCAGTAGACGGCCCATGTAAAATTACAGTATGGCCTTTTCCGAGAACCCGAGGCTCCGATGCTATGCATATAAAATGATTAGGCTGTACAGACATGCAGTTTGTGCAATGCTTTAGTTTTCGCCCAGATGTCCGATACGGTGGAAACAGACCTCAAGAGAGAGTGAGAAGGACGATGAAAGAGATCAAGAACCCAACTGTCTCCCCCAAATATTCGGAACACCTAGCTGTGGAACGCAGTCCTACTGCGAATCTCCCCGTCCACCTCGGAATCCTGATCCTCGGCCACGGCCACGGAAGTCTCCACGGCCACGACTGCGTCCGCGATAATCGCCGCGTTGTCCGGCCCTGCCCCTATATCCACCTCGACTCTCACCCTGCGGTCCGCCTCGTCCCCTGCCGCCTCGGTTGTGATGTACTTCGTGGAAACCATCGTTGCCGTTCGCAGATGTTGGGGTAGTGGTAGAAGTGGGCTCAGGAGGCTCATCAGCCCAGCTTTGCACACTGCTGATAGGGGCAACAGCCGCCGGGGACTCAGTCTCAGCTGGGTCGCGCGGCACCATCTCGAAAGACTCCGCTAGGGGATCATCTGATCCAGACGGTTGCTTGTCCCACTGTTCCTCCGCTGCCGCATTCGCAGCACCTGCGCCGACACTCGATGCCGGTGGTGCGCTTGGTGTATCAGCAGCCTCCGCGCCTCTATTGAGTGATGTCACGCCTGTGTTGAGCTCCGTCAGTCCCGCATTAGCAATAGTTGGGTCGGTGGTAATAGCTGGAGTGGTCTCAGTCTCGGTTTCAGGCGGAGCTGGTTGTGACTGTGCCACGTCGTCGACCCAAGCCTCTTCAGCTGCAAACGGAGCCTCCTCGAGAGCAGCTTCTTTAATCTGGCCGTCTTGTCCAATAGTCAGCCCTGTACTATAAGGTAGCCACATTCTTTGAGGAAGGCTTACAGGTTACGCTCAGGGATACACCCTCAGTTGAGGGAACATTATCCTCGGAACCGTCAATCAGCTTCTCAGCAGCCGCAACTGCACTGGCATCGCCGCCGTATACCAGAAGCAATGCACCCTCGAACGCCTTTGTCAAATCTGAGTCGTCATCTTCGAGCTGGCGTCGAGCGGCAGCTGCCCGCAGGAACCTCGACAGAGTGAGAAACTTTTCTTTGAAAACCTTTCGCGCCTCGATCGCCGCCTCCGCCTTCAAGGTCCCCCTCAGCTTCTCGAGGTCCTCTGAGTGTGATTGGCGCAGAATTTCTTTCTCCTGGGCGATCTTCTGTTGGTATTCCTGGTCGAATTTCTTGTACTGGGCGATCTGCTCCTCAAGCTGAGCAAGCTGAGACTGAAGACCGGGCTTCTTCAAAGCTTGAGCTTTCTGGTCGGCGTTGATCTTGCGGGAGGACACGAGGTCATCGAGAGAGATACCGGGGTTTGCCTCAATTATGGCATCGACCTTTTGCATGAGATTCTGTAGGCAGAAGTATTAGGTCATGCTTGGGGTAGGCTGAGGCACAAAATTGATCTTACGAGCTTCTTATTGACATTTCGTACGCTCCTGTGCAGAAATCAGTCAGCAAACATGAAGTGAAGGTAGCCGTGTTGCTCGGTGATGTAGGAATCCCTGCGACTCACTTTTGGAGCTCCTTAATGTATCCATTCTCGGAACCGCTCTCAACGCCATTGGTCTTTCCTGCTGCGTCGGAAGAGCCAGCTCCCAGTTCAGAAGTAGACTTGTCTGGGGCAGGAACAGCTGCGGCAGCAGCTTCTGCCTTGGCCTTCTTCTTGCGGGCGCTCTTCGACTCACTCGGCGCCACTGTTTGGGGGTTGGCTATGGCGTCAGAGGACATTGTTCGTAAGGGGTTTGAGGTTCTGAAAGAGTCTTCCTAGGGGGATGCGCGTGGTTTGTCAAGAAAATAGTATGATTGAAAGTAAGGTAGGGTGTTGGTAAGGTTCTTAATTTTTGACAAGAGCTCTTCTTCTCCACGCTCGCGCCAAGACGAGCTTTGGCCATGACGCTAACCTTGGAACGCCCGGACGCTCGTGGAAGATGCTAGAGCCGTAGCGTCGGAGACCTCCCTTCCTATCTTTCTTCTTGTGGTTGAGGTTAATTTTGACACCGTCTTGTTTTGATCATGAGGTTTTCACGACCTGGACTTGAATGGTGACGTGTGTCACTCCAATAAGAAGGAGGTCGGATCTCCCTGAGCTGCTCCGATGATCATATGAGTTTCTTGCGAACCCTTGTCTCAAACCCCAACTCTCAAGCAGCTCGAATGGAAGGCATATCCTCTCGTTCGAGAAATCTCCGCGGGGTAACAGACTTTCTGACAAGCTTGCAATGGAGGTGACGCTACAAGGCGCCGCAGAAAGACAGGGTCTATATTTCCCTACGAGCCTCCATGAATCGAAAAAATATGATGTCTAGTACGGTGATGATTGTTTTGCTGCGGTGACTACTGCATCATCTCACCTAACGCGGAACATGGGAGGGGTTATTTTAGGTCGCAAAGTGTCATCCTGTGGCGCTCTCCCTGATACTCACAAGGAGTTTGATAGATGGGCTCAACTCTGATCCTGTTCCACGGATATAAGAACATACTCTATATACAAGGCTAAGGCTGAATGAAGTGTATCAAAGGAAATACTTTAGTTCCCGTCAGGAATACATCATTCCACTCAGTCACTAAGCCCTTTCAGATGATGTTTGAAGTCAGCCACTTCGACAGGAGAAAGGTGACGATATGCTCTTCGAATCATCAGTCGCTCAGATACATATTGGTCAGCCCTCAGTAGCGGTGAAATGATCAAACATCCAAGTAATTGCCTAATGCCAAATCGTAAGTCACACACCTCTGGTAACTCTAGAAGAGGCCGATTGGGGAAGGATTGGATAAGCCGCGCTCGTATTTGTCGTACAAGACTGGGGCCAGAAGCTGCACCGAATGATTGTCACTGTCAACAGTTAGGGCAAGCTGCTTGCTCTTGCAAAAATACCTCATCAGAAGTCGCACCACGCATTTGCGAAGGTCATGGTGGTGATTGTGTGGTGTCGCATGATCCCTATTTGAGTGTGTTTTTGCGAATTTTGGCGTGTGCTTAGACGCATTAAACTTATAAAGAAGCTAACACAGCTCCTCTGCAAAGTAATGGCAAGTACGCAGGCTACTTGGCGAGCAGCCTCGCGCTGCGCCTATGTAATCTACTATACTCGAAGTGTGATTACTATAGAGCGTATTAGCACTTACCTCGGAACATTGACATGGAGGGTATAGACTCTACCCCGTCCAGCTGGAATCAGGGAGAACCCAACAGGATACTGATTTCTACCCAAACCAAGCCTATTATGTTCCGTGGTAGGTCTCAACGTCCAGTAGATTACTCGACGCGGATACCGTGAGGCAAATAATTTTTTTTTAAGGCTGGCATAGGCTTTCAATAATTAAGAGTTAGTTATGTTCATTGTCGAGAAATAGGCACCGACCAAGATACCAAACGTCATGAGCAGGCTGGTGCCCACACACACGCACTTGCCCAAACCCAAAGAGATCACTACAACCGTGCCATTTTGCACGGCACTGCAATCCCACGGAAGCCTACCGATACACACCTTCGCCCCCCACACCCGAAAACCGGCTGTGTATTACTGAAAAGGGAGTCTAGCTATGCTAAATATGAGCAACACTCGTTGAAGAGTGACTCGTGAACAGAGAACGAGTTCGTATCTTCATCACATTAGATCGCCCTGGAGCCATGAAGTCAGTAATCTGTGGTCATGCGAGAACGGTATGAATGTATCAATTAACGATTCCTTCCCACTTCCCTGCTCGAGCTCTATCGTCGTAGACTTAAAGTTAATGTTGGTCCTCTGACAGTCCTTCATCTCCTTCAACCCAAACAAGATCTCTCGCTTTTCTACTCCTCTTCAAGGGCTATATTACTCCCAAAATCCCTGATTATTTCAATAATAGGGTGCAAATAAGCTGGCCTTAAGTGCAATGGTCCAGTGGTTATTATCAGTTCATTGAACTAAATGCGTCAGTTTGAGCCCGGCACTCTGAAAGTACCATTAATATCCAAAAACGGGTTCAAACACCTGCTTGGGAGGCTATAGCGGCTGATCCTCTCTAAAAATAAAGCTGGAGAGGGTTTCCCATATTGATTTTTTTTTAGTAAGGTGGGGGCTTCCGCGGCGGATCCTGAGGGCATTAGAGAGGAGAAACGGTCTTCTTCAAGCTCCAACGCAGTGACGAATGCCTGGCTAGGGACAACGTAGGGTTTCATCGTCGTCACTTTAGCGTTGTCGGCGTCGGTCTATCGCAACTTCTACAAAGGGGAATGCTTGGACCCTAATCGAAGTCAGTCATAAACAGGGTACTACGTCATTCCGTTGATGCCCTAAACCTCGACGATACTGTTATATGGGAGGGAAGAGTTAGCGATGGTACAGAGTATGGCGTAGCTACGATTTGCGACACTGTAAAGGAAATATATGAGGGGACAGACTAGGGACTGAAGCAAGGAAACATGGAAATGATTTCCTTCGACCTCTAAGACAGTAACGAAAGCCAGCCTAGGCACCGCATGGACACGCGTGAGATTCCAGTAGCTGAATTCTGTGCATAGGGGGTTAGGTTAGGTAGGCGATCTGAGGTGGACGCCTCGAAGTTGTATGACCTACGTGAGATCTCACACAATACTTTACCAGAAACGAGGCTACAACATATTAGTCTCCGAGAATGATATCAAAGGTCTTTGGAGATCCAAATCGTCTTACTGTCCCATTCTCGTTCACCCTAGGCTAGGAAACCAGGAAACTAGATGGAAGTGGATGGGAAACGGTTCCGGCTGTGCTAGATGGCATCCGACCTGGCACAGTGCTATCATGTCAGGGTAAACTAGTGGCTTGCTGTATGCCCTAAAGCAATGTATTGGGTCTCATCGCCTAACTTGGAACTTAAGAGGGGTGGCTTTGGGACAGAATTTTGGATTATGTTCACGGTCCCCATCATTCTAGTAAGAGGTTTAACTGATCAAATATGGCCTGGTTATGTTCCACGGTAGGTGCAAATATGATGTATTCGCTAAAATCCTAGAAGGCTCAGTAGCAAATAGTGTGAGTGCTGAAAAAGATGTTAGGCCGCAGTAATAATCTGCAAGCAGAAGCCTTCAGCGGTATTATTGATCATTTTGAGCTGCCGTTCTAGTGCATCCGTCACATGAGGTCTAAAAGAAAGGGAAAGGGTGGATGGAATAAAGGAAGTGGTGTGTTGACTGTGGCGAAACCGACGTATTGCTTCCAGCTTATGTGGTCCTAGATGGGTAAGAAAGCAAGCACCAAGATAAGACGATGAGGGTAGTGGAACATCATTGGCTTTCAAAAAGGCCAGGAAGCAAAACCGATAAGAGTCTACAATCGTGCTAGGATGGGAGGGGTGGTGCAGCAGCAGCGCCCTCGGGTTTGTGGGCAGCACGCGTGTTCGGACCGATATTCAAACGGGAAAAGTAGGGCGGATAACGTGATGTGGGGTTTCGCATGTGACGTTTGGTTTGAAGCGCGTGATCCGGTAAGACATTCTCCAGGGCTCTCTCCACATCTCGGGTAGGGCACGGAATTGACACATTCGTTCGCAAGACAGACGACAGCAACCTATCGGTGCGCCTAACGATGGTGCTTGACAGATGTGCTGAGAAGGTGGGAAAATTGCGATGAGAACGGGACAGAGGATGATACGTTTCATGACAAGACAATAAGGAAACAAGCTGGATGGAGGAATAGACTCAGGAGAGGGCTTGTGGCATGAATTGGAATATAAGCACCTATTTTGAGCACCCCGATCATTGAATGATACCGCCGTGAATGTAGGAAGCGATGAGCGATCTTGCAAACCGAGGGGAGAAAGTTGAGTGGGAAGCTCGCTGCATGCCGGCAGAGGGTGGTGCCATTCGCTAGTCGGCACACCTAGGCACAGACCCGGATTAGCCAAGCCTCGAAGGCCTGCCTGGGTTTAAATGGCGAAAGCTGCCCGGCTCCCTCAGGTGACCTCGACCTTCCGTTCCCTCGTGATCTCCGCCCTCACTCTGGATATCTCCTACCTTCAAGAGACTCTGCGACGTACTCAGACCAAGTAATCAACTGTTCTGAAGGTATGAAGGCTGATTTTACTGCCCTTCTACAGTACCCCCTTACGCGCAAGGTTCATTGCGGCAGCGCGGCGGTTTCCAGCTATTGATTGTTGACTGAAGACTTAAAGATTGTCCCCGTGACTGTGAGCGCGAGCACGTCTTGTCCTAGTAAGTCCGCTATCGTTTCCTTCACAACACTTTGCTATTCCCTTTCTCCTCCCCATCCACTGTGTGGCCTACGATATACTTCAAGGCATTCTCTTCTCCAGTCGCGCTTTCCAACCATCGATCGCGGCAGTCTGTCTCCAGGACGTCGCTGGCTCAAATCCACACGGCATCCGGCGCGTTCTGGATGAGCGCACACCTGGGAGAAACGGTGCACTGCCGACGACCTAGTAGCTGGCACGATACGATGAGTCCTATTCGAGCGATGACAGGTCCCACAGCGGCGAGCAATCAATGCGACCAATTGCCCGGTTACACCCCACACATTATCCCTTCTCATGCACATGCTAACGTTTGTTGCTCGTCTAGCCTCGTGTGCGATCGATCGGCGCATGATTGCTATTGCGGTACTGCATTCGAGTTGTGCATGAACGGGTGGGCAAAGCGCAACTGTTCGTAGCTCAAGTGGTTTGCGTCTTCGACCTCAGGCACCTACCCACATCCCTCCGACAACCCCGAACTTCGCTGTCGTCACTGGACCCAGCCTTGCTAGCTCTTTCACGGCTCTGTTCCGGTTGCCTACATAGAGACGTTGTACCACGACAACCGATACCTCCCCTAATCACCGTCTGACCTTCACACTGCGTGCGTGAAGACCCACCGAATAAGACTACCTCTTCCCACACGAAGGTACGGCCTACTCTTTATTAGTCCTCTGTCGCCTGTCCGATTCGAATAAGGGACGCTCAATAAAGATGGCCGATACTGCGGGCTATCCTACCGACACATCTAAGACTGGGTTGGGTGCTTCTGTCCACTCCACCAACAAGAGAAAGCGCGATTCACGCGACACCGGCACCTCCCGAGGCGCACCTTCCGCCAACGCGTCCAGCGGAGCCAACGACTTGAGCGACCAAGCCACTGCCTCATTCCTTGCCGCACACAACGCTTCAACTAACGAGGAGGAAATGCAGCAACAGTTCGACGTCCACCAGAACGGCGGCGCAAACGCGTCTAGCGTAGGAGACACCGCTGCCGCCGCTCTCGCCTATCATCAGATGACCGTCCCCCAAGCCACCGAACTCTCCTTCCAGGCACAAAACTCGAGCGGAGAAGGCGGCTCATTTAGTCTTGGGGATCATCACCAGCCGCAACAGACCGGCATGCAAGATTTCAGCCTCGAGGCTCTCAAAGCCGCGACCCAGACCCCACGGTCAGGCCAACCAGCGACAAATGAGTCTCCACCAAACACGGGCGGCCACAAACCCCCTGTTGGTTCAGAGGAATGGCACAAGGTGCGAAGAGATAATCATAAAGAAGGTAAGTGCTTGTGCTGACCTCGACATATCATGGACACGTCCGTTAACTCTCTTCTAGTTGAGCGCCGCCGTCGTGAGACCATCAACGAGGGCATAAATGAGCTTGCAAAGATTGTTCCCGGCTGCGAGAAAAACAAGGGCTCCATTCTCCAGCGCGCTGTTCAGTTCATCACACAGCTAAAAGAGAATGAGCAGCAGAACATCGAAAAATGGACTCTTGAGAAGCTTCTGACGGAGCAGGCCATTACCGAATTGAGCGCCAGTTGCGACAAATTTAAAGCTGAAATGCAGCGGGCCTGGGACGAGTGTGGCATATACAAACGCGCATGTGAAAATGCCGGCATTGTTCCCGATGAGATAAAAGACCGCGAGAACAACAACGAACAGAACGGTCAGAGCTGAAAGCTTCCTACCGATCGATGATACCATATCGGAGGCCCTATCGTATAGAACAAGATCCGGCGGGCTAGTTGTTCACTGTCGGCTGTCTGCTTGTTCATAGAACAGGGTTCACCAGGGCGATTACTTCTCAAGATGACTGAATGTTTCTTTGACGATGGACGGATTGTTACACGAGCCTTTCTCTTCTGTAAGGGGTTAGTCCTAGCTTGTTTTTGGTTCTTCTCGAGACATTACAACACATCTGATTTGGCTGTTCTTCCGGCGTTCCTCGGCGGTAACATCACTCGCTCGGTGGAATGGATGCTTTCTCGACGGTTGTGTGGCCCAGGTAATGGTCTCACGGTCAATAAAGGAGTCACATAACTCTCTGTTTGCTGGGGTACATTGGGGGCACATTTATTTCTCTTTTCACATTTCAAGTGCACATAGTTTGATGACGGGGGAAAGCCGGCTTCTGACGATGATGAGTTGACAATCCTTTATTGGCAGTATGCTTTATGTCTCTTCGCTAGTATGTCTAAGATGGGTTGTGAGCCAGGGAAGCTTCGTGTCTGAGATCTACTGCATGTTGGAACTTACGACGGAACGTGACTGGGCCTAATTTAGGGTGGAAACTAGCATCCTCTCTGACAACTTCTTGAATTTTTGTTAAGAGGTTTACTAGGCCGACTCCACCCTTGCCACGGCCTGTAGGAAATGATAGCAGCTGAATGTGCGCAATTAAACTATAGCAAAGAAATGGTTCAATTTGACAAGTGTCGTGTCCTATTCTATGAGCCAACATGCGGGTAATGACGCCGCCTGCGGTGTGGGTGAAGTCAAGGTCAAGGTTGGCTCACTCTCATTGGGTGCGAGGCCTGACAGGACGAGCCGTTTCACTCTTGGCGTGCCTGTGGCCAACCCACCTCGCCCTTCCTTAGGAACTATCACCGCTTGCCTAACACCATCCTTCGACAGTGATTGCCACCGTCATTGATAACCATGGACCAGACGTGAGCTCTGCCTCAAATATGGTGGAAACTACAACACCTCGTACACTCGTTCATTTCTGCTCGAGCCCCAAACAAGAGCTACGATGGAACCCAACAACCTCCCTGAGGAACCACTGGTGCCTCCAGTCATTGACGAAGCCGAGTTGATTGGATTATCCAACACGCACACACCCGTAATCGAAGCAGAGCCCGCCGGACATCCCAACCCCCCGCTCGATACCGCCGAACAGCAAGGCCTCTTACTCGATGATGGTGCAAACCCACCACCGCGACAGGATGGAACCGGAATGTCCCTGCCTGTGAGACCAGGGCTTCACCGAGATAACTCTCTTTCCAACCCAGCGCCTGTCCACCTCCCTCCTCCCGCACCGCCTGTGCCTACCCAAGATGGCGGTCAGCCCACAGATTCCCTCTCGTTGATGCAACTGCGAAAACTCGTGAACGACCTGCCGAGAGTCGAACCCACGCCATATTCCTTTGCATATGATGATGCATCGTCGTTCGAAGATGAGCTAGAAGAATGGTTTTCGTACAGCGTGGAGGAGCAGGCCATGATGCTGAAGACTCAGGCATCTTTCGCGCAGGAGTGGAGTAGATACAAAGGCCCAATGTTCGTAAATGGGTCCCCATATGAAGAGGGGGAAATAGATTGGGCCAAGGCGAGCGGCGAACAGCAAAACGAATTTTTAAAGTCGTTGTTGGACGGTGTCAAACAAGCAGATGCCCCTGGGAGATTGAAGAGGCTCGAGGCGCTGCTATACATACTTTTGGGATGCTGGCACGAGAGTGCAGGTATCCCCTCTGCAAATACTGACGATGGTTTAACGTCGCAAGAGAACTCAAGCAGCAAGGGAGCTCCAGCCGAGTCGGGTTATGAAAAGTCCGCTCTTCAGACCCAATTCATTCGAAACAACGCCAAATTACTCCTCGAATGTGCCGGGCTTCAGACTATTGTGGACTCGATGCGCTCGGCATGTTTGAGGACCTGTGGGGTGGATGTAAGACCCGGAGCCCCACGCGATAGCAAGGAGGCAGAGCGTCGCGAAGTATGGTGTACTATGACGGCTGTATATGTGATCCTTGAAGTAGCTCGAATTGAAGAGAAGGAGAACGATGACCTTAGTGTCAGAGGCGCAGTGCTGTCTCACGACAAGCCTGGTATCATCATGATTCTCGTGGAAATTATCTCAAAGCTACGCTGGGACGAATCGATTAATTTGCCCCTTTCTAAAGTCTGCCTCCTTGTCTGGAAGGCAATCCTGGTATGCTTCGGCGGTCTTTCGCAAGTGGAGAAGGCAAAGGATTCATTCAAGGATAAGAGTCTCGAGTCTGCGGATGCAAGAGGCCAGCCTATCATCACTGCATCTCCGCTGGATTATCATTTGTTTCGACAAGAAATCAGCTCGAAGTACCCCGCCTACAGCCCTCCACTCCCTCTATTTCCCCTCGAACCAGAGAATAACTCGATACTCCCACCTCTCAAAAATCACCCAAATAAAGTCGCAGGGAATCATGTTTTTGGGTCCGGCCTTGGGAACATGAATGGCAACAACACGTCTATCTTCCATCAGCCAGTCCATATTGCCACACCAGCGCCGTCACCCCCACCTTCCCCTGCAGGGCCTGGTGGAAAGGGCGGGAAAAAGCAGAACTACCAGACAAATCAACTATTTCCATTCTTGTATCCACCCTTAGATGAGTCAAGTAACAATCTTGGCGGGAAAGGTTCGACCGACCTGCAAGACTTACTCGTTGGACGGAAATGGGAAGGGGCTGACATCCCTGCCTCGATTTTAGAGGCAGCTGAGTTATTTTCCAAGCGTATGCGAGCAACCCGCGCCATGAAACAATTGTGGGAAGAGCGCGTGCAGTTCATGAAATACGAACGGGGTTGGTCCGGTGCAGACGAGAATGGTGATGTCGAGGATCTGTCACTGGAGCCAAAGGAAGGCAGTCCAGAAAGGAAGCAGCACCCAGCCGGCAGTATTGAGGAACGACTGGATTTGGTGGAGGATTGCTATGTACGTGATATGCTGGTCTCGGTAATTCTGCTTAACTAACTCCCTTCAGCGAACCGCTTTGCCCAACCTGCAATCTATCGTTATTGTTCTCATCAAGGCCGTCCTGTCTCATGTAACTGCGTTAGTTACCCAGGCGAATGGCTCTAACGGTCTGCAAAGCGGTTTTCAATTCCAAGAGAACCAGAACGGGACTTCGGGAGCTAAATCTGATACGAACGGCGTGAACGGCTATCACGGGAGTGTGGCGACGAACGAAGAAGTAGATGCGATGCGAACTCAAGAAATCCTTGACAAAGCTGTGTCTGGCGTCTTAATCCTACTACTCAAATGGTTTAAGGTTTCTCGTAAGTATCTGAACCTGATAGCAATCTCCCATTGTACTGATCGAAGCTCTAAGACATCCTGAAGTACGAATATCTTACACAGCTTCTTGTCGATTCCAGCTACGTCCCGCTTATCCTGAAGCTCTTGCAACTTCAGGAGATTGAAAAGGTTGTCAACTTCAAGTGCGAGCAGAAAGAACTCAAGTACATAACCCTCACCATGCTCTGCTATTCTCACTGACTCTAGAAAAGCTTTTTCCATTTCTGCCGCGCACATTCTCGACTTGGAATCGAGGAAGAAAGGCCTTCAAACAAAGGTGACACAGACTCAGACTCCGACGATGCTGTTCCACCTCCAATCCGACTCCGACGTGATGAAAGTATTAATCCGGAAGCAGATACCGAGCCTTCTGCTTTACCCCAAGCGCCGCAGCCTCCAGAGGTTGACGAACTCGGCTTCCCCACTAATGAAGTTCCGAAAGAACCTATCACAAATTTCTCATGGCGAGCCTTTTTTACCTCTATCAACTACCTACGTATCATGCAGAAAATCTGCAAGAATAAGGCACATCGTAATCTAATGCTCGTCTCTTACAAGTCATCGCAATTTCTCCGGAAGAGCTTGAAAGTGCCACAACCAGAACTTCGACTTTATACTCTTAAACTGTTCAAGAACCAGGTTCCGTATTGCGGGAGAAAGTGGCGACAGTCGAATATGCGCGTCATCACGGCCGTTTACTTGCACTGCAGACCCGAGCTCCGCGACGACTGGCTAGCGGGAAGTGACGTCGATGCTGAAGTTGACGAGAGCGTGCCTTTGGAGCAGGCTCTCAGGGCTTTAACGCATTGGCACAACTTGAAGAGATACCCAGAAGGCATGGGCGCTCGTAGCGGTGTGCTCGATGAGGAACAAGACTTCTTCAGAAGAGAGCTCGAGAAGATGGATTGGGGTGAGGAGGTGAATGACGCAGAGTCGGAGCAGCAGGGGTGGGATATGCAAGTTGAAGGTTGGTGAAATATGACGACTAGTAGGCTTCAATATACATGACTTGTTGGGTAATAACGCGCTCTTAGGTTCTCGAGCTTCCAATATCTAACATACGGATAGCTTTGGTCAACTAGCGATATAGCGTGTGAGATGTTGGCAGCGGAGCATCAAGGAAATTTTTTTTTGAGGAACTAGAACATGAAAGCACTCAGAATACTCAAGTGTTTTCCTGTGAATCTTAGAGAAAACACCAGGGTTTTATTGCCCCTGAGGAACACTTAACCATTGCATCATGAAGGAATCTGTTTGATAAGCTGGTGTGCCAAGACGGTTTGACTGAAGTAGCAATGCGGGCCGTCTTGCCTATTCGGTGACAAAAACACCGAATTACGGGAATTCGGTGGCCCCGCGGATTTCTGCGCCTTATCACTCTTCGGTACAAAATGTCTGCCATAGCTCCTTCCTCGTTGTCGCTGCGTTCAACAGTTTCTTCCTTCTTTTTAGAGCCCCGTAGAAACAATCTCTATCATCTCGCCCTCCCTGATCTTCTCGCGGTTCCTAGAAGTTAAAACGCTCACACTACACCATGTCGAAAGTTCTTGACTATGAAGAAGGTTTGTATGTTTGTTCACGGAACGCAGCTCGCATAACACTTTGACAGTCGCGAAGCACAACACAGCAGAGAGTTGCTGGGTCATCTTATACGGCAATGTCTACGATGTAACAGACTTCATCCCCAGCCACCCTGGCGGCGCCAAAGTCATCCTACAGCTGGCGGGATCCGACGCTACAGAAGAGTATGACCCTATACATCCCCCAGGTATTCTCGAAGAGAATCTAAAGCCAGAGGCCAAGTTGGGTACGATTAACCCAGACACTCTACCCTCGACGGAGAAATCGCTAGCAGAAACAGACGAGGAAGCTGTCGATGCACCTCCCGACCTTGAATCTCTCTTGAACCTGGACGAGATAGAGGAGGCAGCTACAAAGCAGATCAGTCGCAAGGCCTGGGCATATTACTACTCTGCTGGCGACGACCTGATCTCGAAGACGCTCAACAACACCGTGTATAGGCAGATCCTCCTTCGGCCTCGAATGTTCGTTGACTGCGTGAATTGCGACACCTCGACCTTATTCCTCGGCCATGACGTCAAACTTCCACTGTTTGTATCCCCTGCGGCGATGGCTCGTTTAGCCCACCCGGACGGCGAATGGGGTATTGCACAGGCTTGTGCGCAGTATGGCGCTATGCAAATTATATCCAACAACGCGTCAATGACTCCGGAACAGATCGTCGCAGATGCACAGGGCGGACAGGTGTTTGGGTGGCAGTTGTATGTTCAGACAGAGCGAGCGAAGAGCGAGGCGCAGCTTGCCAGAATGAATAGGCTGCCTGCGATTAAGTTCATCTGTCTAACGCTCGATGCTCCGGTCCCTGGCAAACGTGAGGAGGATGAACGTAGCAAGAGTATCGGGTCCAACCTTCCTGTGCGCTCAGCTGTTCAAGAAGGAGGCTCGACATCGAAGACAAGCTCCAACTCGGAGACTCCTGCTCCAAAGGCGATGGGGGTTGGCCAGAGTCTATTCTGGGGCACTGCGGCGGACCTCACGTGGAAGAGGACGCTACCGTGGTTAGCAAAGCACACTGATCTGCCGATTGTGCTGAAGGGCATACAAACGCACGAGGATGCTTATCTAGCAAGTCTCTATGCTCCGCAGATCAAAGCCATCATACTGTCGAATCACGGTGGACGAGCGCTCGACACAGCGCCCCCGGCTATACATACTCTGTTGGAGATCAGGAAATATTGCCCAGAGGTATTTGACAGGATTGAAGTCTGGGTCGATGGCGGGATCAAAAGAGGCACAGATATCGTGAAAGCGCTCTGCTTGGGAGCGAGGGGCGTTGGCATCGGGAGGGCAGCCCTTTTCGGGCTCGGGGCTGGTGGAAAGGAGGGCGTGGCCCGAGTCCTCGAAAGTAGGTCCTTTATCTTAATCTTGCTGGACAACGTCTTCCCTTTACTTCGGAATCTGATTTGGTCCGTGCTGACAATATATAGTACTCAAAGCCGAAACAGAAACGTGTATGCGACTGCTCGGCGTGGAAAGGATTGACCAACTCGGTATGCAGCATGTAAGTTCCCTTCACTGGGTTGATTATTCAAGGGAGGCACGGAGTCGTAACGTCCGACAGATCAATGCCCGGGCCGTGGAGAGAGACATCTATGATGGGCCGGATGGTCTAGAGCGTCCCCACATGTGGTCCAACAAACCGAAAGCGAAGCTATAGATATTAGAAGTGATTATGTTCACGCGCTTTTTGACAATAATACCAAGGCCAAATAAGTAGTGGCTGAAAGCAAGCCACCGCCAAAGCACCTCGGCAACCTTCTTTATCAAGCTGGCCGCACATGCCATTCCACTGAAAGAAATCTGCGTATAACCTTGAAGTCTCCCGTCAACCATATGCGAAGCCCATAATCCCAGGATGTGCATCCTTCCCGGAGGAATGTTCACAGGCAGCGGCGGTTAACCTCGCCAGAGAGCGAAACTCATTGCCCAACCACTGCTCAGCCCTACCCACCACTTCGGCACACTGTGAAAACGCTCTTGCAGCTGCCACGTGTGTGTTTGCCTGATCAGGCAAGACGCACGGAAGTCTCTCACGCAAAGTGCTCTGTTATTTCCTTTTGTCCAGTGCTGTGTGGGCGTGCCGCGTCTGTTGGTCGTTAGCCTTTGTTTGTTAGCACAAGTGACCGAGCATAGCAGGGTCTCAAGTGGAACAAGAGGTCTGCATTCTTTGGCCAGTCTCTCTGAAATCAGCAAACAGGGCTTCCAGATCAAAGCCTCTCTGTTGATAACTCGTGACAAGCGCCAAGATGCAGTATCCTTTTCAGTGTCGGCCTGCGTCATCACGCCGACCGACTCCTCACAGCCCCCCAAGGCAGGCCGTTGCTTCAAAGGGGCACCAGCAACCTTTCGATGACGTTGTCTGATTCGCATAGGATACCCCAGTTCGCTAATCGTCCTGACAAGGACGCTAGAGCGCAGTGTACGGACCTGATTGCTCCGGACATTTCAAGGCACGCAAGGCACTGCCGTGGTGGGCCGTCTGACGACGTCGTCTTGCCATCCTGCCCTTCCTTCCATCCTTCTAAAATGTATTGCGGCAGTGGTGCCAGCGCGCCGCACAAGACGCCCACAGGGCAACGGCGGGGCGAATTCCTCTAGCCTCACTTCTCTCACCACCTTGTGAACAATGCCATGTTTGACGTGCAGTCAGGCAACGGCCGGATACGATACGCCTGGGATAATTTCCGGCGTTCTGGTTTCGCACGTTTCTATCGTGTGGGCTGCCTCTGGGCATGCCCGCGGTCTGTCTGCCTGCCTGTGTTTCTGTCTGCCAGCATATGCTTTCAGCGATTTACGAAGAGTGGGCTGTTGCTTTTTGTTGTGGCTGAGCTGAGCCGCTTCGCTATTTCTGGTGCAGAATTGGGTTTCAATTGGGTTTGGTTTGCGGAAGTGAGTGGAAGTAGGCAGTGGGCGGTCCAACGCAGTGATCACCGACTACCGTGTCGGGTTTGGGGTATATAAAGGCCCTATGCTCGGCGCTGGTCTTTGTTGTTTTGAAGCCCCATTGAGCTGCACTCCTTCGGACTCCATCATTCCTTCTTCCTTCGATTCAATACACAACAACGCCTCTTTTCTCAAGACGCCCTTTATACGCCACCTTGTGCACTCCTTTCTGCCTTGATTCCACGCAACACCCAGCGGCTACCACCACCTCGAGCTCCACCCGACGTTATCCGCCTTATCCACACACTGCAACCTAATTCAACCGCAATGCAGTGCCCAACCTGCCACGGAAACGGCGTTATCAAATGCGATAGCTGCAACGGTGCAAGCTGCGAGAACTGCAAATCCGGCTCCGTAACCTGCCACGTCTGTGAGGGCGCTGGCGCCATCCATACAGACTCTTAGCCATCACCATCAACCATCGTCAACAACTGCCCCCCCATTCCATCATCTTCTTTCACATTGCTTCAATCTCAAACGAATCCGGGAAATACGAACAATATCCACCAGGGTCTCTTAGGTACGTCAACGGGAACGTAGACGAGAATCAGCTATATTTAAGGTTTAATTTAAACGATGGGAACCTTCCGCTGACGTAACTAGGAGAGTTTTGTTAGAATCTGTTTCATAATTATATATTTTTTTTGACTTCGCTGATAAGATGGGCCTGATAAGGAAAGCTGGGATGCTTACGTGGTCACAGCACGGGATGGCGTGCAGTTGGTCGCACTCACGTGGCTGATTTTCTCGTATTCATGGCCGCGAGGCTTGCCCAGGAAGGCAATCTCCGGGAAAGTGCCGAAAAATAGGATTGCCAGTACTGCGTGGGGAAACGGCGTTTAGGACGAACATCATGGGGCAGATTGGGATGTTTGAAATTGGGGGGTTTGAGAGGGCGGGGGGTTTTGGTGTGCTGGGTTTCCACTTTCCTTCCAATTCTCTTCTAAAAGAGGCTTGATTGAGCAGAGCTCAGATCTTCGTCATACTAACATCTTTTTTCTGTCCGTATTTCGGATCCACCCACCCCCCCTTCCTCATCTCGTTTTTAGATGTTAGGCATGATTCAAGCTGAGCGAGGAGGTTATCTGGGCGTTCTTTAGCGTAGCGTCTGTGTGCTATTCATCTGTATTCATGACTGTGTGTACTATATCCAAATTGTCCCCGAAACTTGAATCTACATCTCTTTAATCCTTTCACAAAACAGTACGTATTCTGGACCGTCTCCAAATATGTACATATGTCACGGCACGGCAGTGATGATCGTTCCTTTGAGTATGAATTGAATCTCCACTCCAAATACCCCACTTTGTACTTTGGATTGTCGTATTCCCACATACTGTATTAACTCCTATTTCTTACTGGAGCGCTATTCAAGGTCATGGAAAGAAGGGTCCTGCTTTTCTAACAGCACTATCCCTCACACGGTTCAAGAGATAGAAGTGCCGTCTTGCCGCGAGTGCAAAAGTACAGAGACCAAGCACTATTGAGTTGGTCCCGTTACGCACGACTGTCGCGCCATCATCGATAGTCTGCAGGATTCCTAAAGTTTTCCGATCCTTCCGGTGAGTGTATTACGCCTCGGTGTTTGAAATGTGGTGGGGCGTAATTGAAAGTTTGACGGAAGGAGCTCCGGTAAATGGCATCGCGAGCACCTTCACCATTTTCGAACCGACGTATGACACTGATTGACTTCATGTTTCAGTACCCCTCTAGACTGGAAGTTAAAGTCGAGTTGTTGGAAGAGTGGAGAACACTCTAATTAGCATGAACAGGGCGTGGCTGCCATTTTCGAGGTGCGTACACATTTTGGCGGAAGTCCTTAGACAGGAGGCCTCACGACTTCCTAAATCATTGCTCTCAAATCGAGGCCTCTGAGTGAAAGGGATCCTTATTTGTTGGGTTTGCCGGGAAGCATTCATCGCCCTTATCTTCCGAGCTTCTGGAACCCCGAGTGTTCCACCCAACACGTAGTAATCTTGAGTACTTTGAGCATTATGGCGAAGAACAGCAGAGCACACTCCCCATGAAAGTATTTTGCCATCATGGTAGATAAAGGTAGGTATACAGGTATACTCCAATATGCAAGATTCTAGTCACACCAATTAACATTCCTAAATGCCTTTTCCCCAAAGATTTGAAGACGTGAAAACCACGCCGTGGAAGCAAATGCAACACTTTTTGAAGCGTGGGGCCGCACATGGCGACGGGGTTTTTTTAATTTTAATTTTTATTTCTGAGTGTGGAAGGAACTGGATCCGGAGGGTCTCGCGATTTGTGGTTTTAGCGGCAGAAAGAGCAGTGAAGTGATCATTACTCGATACGCCGGATATGACACACTGTCCCTGGGATGGAACGCAATTTTGGTGCGTAGGTTCCCAGGTAGTATCAACGGCTTCTTTGTGAGTTGTAGAAGCTGGGCCTCCACGAAGAGATGCTATAATAGCACTTAGAAAGAATGTGTACCAACGTTCTGCAAAGCAGGAAGTGCCACAAACTTACAAAAAGTGGGCGCCGCTATAAACCCCCTCCTAGTAGAATGGAGAGTCTAAAAAGAAGTGATTCCGTTACCGGGGTCTGAATGGGATCAGTACTTCATCCCTTCCAGGAATAAATCCGGATATACTTACTCGAACCCGGGTCCCCTGGGTATTTCATATCTTGAAAGCCAGATATCCTAACCACTAGACTATAACGGATAAGCTGTGTTTAATTATGCCAGTCCGATGAATACAACTCGTATATGTAGGTTCTACAATTGCAAAAATAAATAAAAAAGAATGGGACCTTTAAAAGGAGGGTTCACACGGAGAGTAAGAGACAAGTGGTCGACTTCTGTGCATACATTCATGCTAGAACATAGCGGCGAGTTAAGATACGATGTAGTGCATGTACCCGCACGCAAGTAAAAGAAAGCTAAAAGTTAACTCCTAGACTATGGTAGGAACTCCATAAGCACAACCTCAGATTCAAACTCGAGACTAACAATAGAAAACGAGCCTCGAACGGTTGGAAAAATCGTCCTGCGAAATGGATTCAATGTGACTCAAGTATCGGCATACTTCCGACTCACATCACGCTCTTTTTATTCTGACTTTCAATGTGACTTCCTTTCCCACAACCGCAGCAACGCTAACGTCTCCGGCAATAAGTAGAAGACAAGTTCGGGGAGATTAATTCTTGTTCACGGGGTGACGCCGTCACCGACAGCGGTTCCTTCCTCTTGTAGAATGACAAAGAGGCTAGATTATGTCACGGGAATGAATGGGTGAACATTCTGGGCATAAAAAAAAAAAAAGAAGTTGGGCACATTGTGATGTTAAAGTCTCGAATTCAGCGAAATTCGGGGGCAGGGGAGGTTGGATGTTATCGATAAGCGAAGACCATCATGCACTGGGACGCTAATCGATCAAGGGTTAGCGGGTTAACTTTCCTAGACATGACAGGACCTGCCTGATGGAAGCCATTGATCTCTATCCTTTTAATAACATTCTATAGAATAGCGACAGGCTTAACAATAGACTTACCACTGTTGGTATTTCGAAATAGGCTCTGGCCTGATGTAATTTGCGTCGACTTTCACTGCCAAAAAATTACCACAAGTTTGGCGGCAAGAATGAAGTGAGAAAGTCCAAGGCGATGGGATTACTGTCACTAAACGAGAAATCTGAAAACCATGAGAGTACAAAGCGAGCAAACTTGCGCTTTTCGTCTTGGATTTATTGTGTACAGAAACATTAGTCATGAGACTTAATGATGAAAAGAGAAATATGTACAATGGGAATTGAAAAAGGGAAGGCCATCTCAGCGGATTCTCTAATCATCAAATGTAAGGCCGAGCCCCGGTAATGAGAAAAGTCACTCGGAGCGTTAGAGGCTCATGATGCGAACTTAGAAGTGGCGTGGATGCTTGCGGTTGTTGTGGCGCATGAAGTTGCGCATGAAGTACTGGAGCCATTCTAGAAGATCCTTCAGCGTGATACCCTCTGGGAGAGGTTTAGAAGGCAGAGGGCCAGTGGTGTTGCCGCCCGCACTAGGAAATGTGGTAGGGAGAGCGCTTGTAAGGAGACCAGACGGAAACCCCGAAGCAATCTGGCTTATGATGGGAGCGATAACGTCTGAAGTAGGGTACGGAGCTTCTGTAGTGGTAGGGGCTTCAACAGTCACGGCAATAGTGGAGGTGACCTGGACGAGAGCGGCCTTGCTTGTGACAGCGCTTGAAGCAACTGGAGTAGCAGAGGAGACAGCAAGTGCCGAAGTGGAAACAGGGGCGCTGGGTGTCGCGCCAGTAGCAGTAGCTTTACTGGTCTGAGCTGGAGCAGACTCAGCACCGCTAAAGAGGGCAGGTCCAGGAATCTCATAGGTCAAGCTTTGGTAGATGTTGACCAAGATGCCCGGGTCAGTTGGAGTATAGAACTTCGTTGCAGCTTCAGCTGATGGGCTTGCAGATCCTCCGCCAGTGACTTCGATGTTAATGCATTGGGGATAATTCTGAGCACCATTATCCTGTCCAGCCGAGTGCAAAGCAATGATTTCGTGGCGTAAGACGTAGTTCCCTGTAGCAATGCTAGATGGGATTGTTACTGTCCAAGAGTTGTTGTTCGAAATAAGTTTGTCGGAGGCCCAACTCCCGGGAACGGTAGTGTCGTCGAGGAGACCGGATTGATCAATCTTAAAGAATGACAAACCGTCCGCAGTAGCGGTGGTGCAGTCACCGTCACACTTTGCGAGATAGTCAAGAACAGGTCCATGATGAGATTCCGGCCAGGCAGTCCACTGAAGCTCGACAGTGCCCCCAGCGGCAACCTTGGCCGAAGCTTGTCCAGCGGTAGCGTTCTTGTGGCAAGCGATGTTGGATGTAGTGTACATGTCAGGGGAAACAAATCCATTATCCAGGCATTGAGGGCAACTCCAGCCAACGACTTTGGGAGGGGTGGCCTGGTACTGGAAGCTCGGATCATAGCCCTGATAATACGTGCCATCAGCAACAATGCCGCTGACGTGACCGTGTGCAGTGATTGTAGTAACCAGAGTGCCGACAAGAGCAGCTACCTGAACTCTGAGAGACATTTTTTGATCCGATGTTAAGAATGAGCGAGTTGAAAGAAGGGCGTTCAAGCTTCGAGGTCAACGAAGGTTTGAGAAGGGATTTCCAGCTTCAGTCAATGAAGAAGATTCAAAAGAATGTTGGAAAAGAATGGAAGTATCAAAGAGACCGAAAGAGTGAGCTACAGTGCAATCTGGGAGGAATGGTGGGAGAAGAGCCAAGCTTGCGGACAAGTCTTATATAGAAGTCCCAGGTGGATTTGCTTCAGACTCCCATTTTGACGTAAAAGGAAACACGCCCGGTGCCATAGACAGGGGACATTTGCAGGACTGGAAGAATATGAGTTATCTAAGTGGCTAACTGTGTTTACCAGTTTCATGGACAGGTCGATGGCGGCTATCGGCATTCAACGCAGCCTTTGAAACAAGTGTACCCGGAATGGTCGAGATCGACGCAGGCATGCGAAGATTCGAAACGTGCATTTTAATTGAGAGGAGCCGTTGCGGTGGAAGTGACGAGGGGATAGCAGATATCGTGGACAACCGCGCGAAAAGTCGCCTATCAATTTAAAGTTGATGGGGAGATTGCAATGCTACTACGATCTTACTGACCTTTGCTACACTGTGTTTCCGAATTCTATGGACCATAATTTGGACAGATGTGATCTGTCAAATTTTATGTTGGTTTTGGAGCCTTAAGAAGATTTTTGGTTCCTATGTTGAAACTAAATTGTCCTAGGGTACTTTTGTAAGGCCTAATATGTGGAATTGTTGTACAACAACTGAAGTTCGTGGCATTCAAATGATGTTGGAGGTTGGAGGGTTGAAGTGGAATGAAACAGCAGGCACAGCTGGTGACGAAGACGCCATACTAAACTAGGTTAGCCACTTTGAAGAGGGTGAACCAGCCCTCATCTTCACCATTCTTTCAAAATTTGTCCTGCAAGCCCCATCCGAAAGGTTCGAACAGCCGTGTCAGCAACTTCATCTATCCCCATCAACGGGTTACCGAACTGCTGTCGTGGACAGGTCACCGTTTATCTCGTTTCGCTCGCTTCATACCATTTCTGTTTCACCATTCCGGGCAGTGGGTCGATTCAATATCGCTCTGAGCCTGTGGCGTCCATGGCGCTCTGGTATCTTCCTTCCAATATTTCTGACCTGCATATTCTCTAGTGACCCGTCTTCCGCGCAGCATATGGAGTCATTTCAACTGGTGGAATAATTGGTTTTGAAGGAAGGCACCGTTAGCGATACTGCTTACCCCTGAAGGTTTCGTCAGAGCGCACTGCTAATGTTTGTAAACGCTCTTGCCATCTCACGCGTGAGTTGGAACCGATGATTTTCACGCTTTGGCTGTTTCTTAATGTACCTTTCATATGTACCACCCCTGTACGATGCTCTGTGGGATCCGAATGCGATGACGAAGTCTTTCATGCATCAAACAACTCGTCACATGCTGGCTCATACATTGAGACGGAACAAGATCCAATTTAGGATAGAAGTCTGCATCTCCTCCGCTCTCCTGAAGTATAGATCTTGGGTTTACAGGATCATTCCTTTCTCTCGGTCACCCTATCAAATTCAATTTCACAGTTCTCCACGATCAAGCCAAAGAAAATTTGCAAATGTCATTGCTCTAGAATTTAGCCGTGGACCATTCCCCTGATAAACCCCTCAATTCTCTGGAGAGGGGAGGCAGTGGACCTGACGGCGCTTTGCTTACCGCTATTGCACATCCTGCACATCCTCACCTTTGGACACTCCCATCACTACACAATCGCCTGGATTACGGCAACGTCTTTAAAATATACTACCCTGAGCCTAGGTCGATTTTATGCTACGATTCTCAGGAGTTCAGTTAAATGATTATGAACTCCCTCTGTATCTTATGCTGACTCACGGCGATCGAGATTGGAGGTATAACTAAAGATTTGACGAAGAAACCTCCAATTTTTCCTCAACCGTCCAGTTCGCTGAAAAAAAGCCTATCCGTAGCTTTGTCGGACGATTCCTTTTCGCACTTTTGGCCATTGCATTAGTCGTTCTGTTCGAGTTCCTACTATGCTTTCACTCCTCCAAACCGGCCATTCCTCAATTCCCTCCAGGCGAATTAAATCACCATGTCGACGACCAAATCCACCTCGCCTTCCTCAAGTTACCGACTAAGAAAGAGTTCATACCAAGGTTGAGTCTCTTAACGCAAGCCGAATAGGATCAGTCCAGAATGTGCGATAATCTAGACTGGCGGATGCAAAGTGGACACTGGAAGTGTTCGGAACCTAGGGTTCGAGGACGTGGGTGATATTGGGTATTCGGCCGTCCCTGCCAGCATCTGATAGTTCTAGGGACAGTTTACCGGGCGGGACTGGGAACAATTCGAATTCGTTATGGGAACGCTTTCCCTTCCGTTGTAGTGTCCCGTGTGGACCTTCCATTGAAGCAACAAGCTATTTCGTTGTAGCAGATGATAATGGTGGTAGATTGCTTTCCATTTCATGGTTGACATTTTCTTTGTTAGGCATTAGTGCAAAATGTTCAGTCCGGAAATAACCAGAGGTCTTTATACACTACCACCATCTCTGTGAAAGTCCATTGTGCATGCTTCCTAGCGGCAAAATCTCCTTCGCGAGCATGCCGACATTTTTGTTAACATACTCTCTATTGGATCTTATCCGTGTACGTAAAACTGAACGATTACTTTTGAAGGCACAAATATCTTTTTCACAATTCTAGGGTGAGACAAGGAATATTAACAATACGAAGTCATAACTACGGTTGCACGTTAAGAGCTGGAAGGTGGCTCTTCGGCAGTATTCCTGAGCCAGTAACACACATGAGAAATTCCCTCCATCTTGTGAAAGGCCTATAAGAGGCGCTTAGAAATTCTCGTTGTTATCCTCTAGCCCAAACAGATCCCTACTGCCTGATAGTAAAATCTGTTCCCTGTACATTCCCATTGGGCCCGTTACAGCAGTTCAGTAATTTTGAGCCCAGCATACGCCAGACTCTATCCTCTGAACCCAATAGCCCAACTCTTCCTCCCCTAGCTCGCGGTATTCACCTCTCCAGTAATGACCTTAAATAATTTCCCTAACAACGTCCAAGACATCCTGCCAATCTCGATACCAAATTCTATTCCTATGGTGGACAGTAATCTCTACAGCTTTGTAGTTGTTCGAGTCGTATGGCTCATGACATATCAGGCATTCCTCTTCCTTTAGCCGTGCGAGGTGCTTCTTCGCCCCCCCGATCTTGAAATCGTTGAGCACTGCCAGTTCTTAAGGAGGGCAGTTAGAAGTTTTGACTTTGGAAATATTGGGAAAGAATGGGGATGAAAACTAGGATTTCTATCGCCTCCGGTAGATTAGTTTACAGGTTGAGTATGAAACTAGTCACTAATCAGGAACGTGTTTCCAGAGGGAAATTGGGTTGTCATAGTTAATCGTGAACAGCCAGAATCTAGCAGCCTCACGAGAACCTACTCCTTCGCGATACTTCGCTGCACGGAGTTTATCATCATTGAGTGGTAATTTTTTAGTTCACTGATGCGGCTTTAGAGTCCTCGAATGAAGCGTCTCCCTCTCGATGGGCTCTTGTGCAGTGAGTGGATTGTTCTCGAGAGTGGTGAGTTTACCGTCGTGAAAGAGGCGTGTAGGAGAGGTACCAAAACCGCCGGGTCTCTTAAGAATGATGGAGTGTCCTCATTGAGTGCTGTACAGCGTTATTTTTTTTTTTTTTAGCAACATACATGCGTACTATACTAAATAGTAGGTGAGCGTCACGTACCATTTTGCTACTTATAACTGACTCTGCTTGTATAAGTGTCTTATCGTGAGTAAGCGCCTTTTATCCACCACTTCCTGGATATGATTGAGTTCATCATCTCTGGTACCTGACTCCTACAGTCTACGCTTCGTCCACATTTCAGTGCGCTCTTTATGCATCGCCTGTTCATTTACCTGCTCCTAGAGTTCCTTTTTCTGCTCAATAACTCTTCTCCTTTGAAGCCCACAGCTTTGGCTCCTTACCCGGAGGTGGTTCCATGGCCAGTAGGATCGGTGGTGTGACCTTGAACTGCTTAGAATAGCAGTACAAATGGCTTATAGCACCATGCACCCCTACCCAAATGGTAACCATGAGGACATACTTGGTGTCAGAAGCAGGCTCTTCCCAGCTTGTTGGAAGGGCGACGCTTGCTTCACAGAGGTTTGACGCTGTTGCTTGAACAGGGTGTACAGCGTTGTCGTTCGTGCTTTCGAGCATGTTGTGAACAAGGTTAGGAGCGGAAGAAACCTATAATTGCATTATTCGCTATGCTGCTCATCAGCAAGTGGTTGTGGCATCTCCACGACGACGTCGGGCTTGGCGCGGAGGTAACGCCTTGGATCACCGAGTCGGTAGGTGTTGTAGTTGTAATCGCTTTGACTACTTCTGGGGCCATGGCGCTGGACCCTGCTGGAAGCCTAGGCAAGATGGGGATCCGGATGTTATGGCTGAGACTCTTACTAATGTGTCGTGAGAATGGGTTCGGTGGGGTTTGAAGACGCTGGGTGCAGATGTTGGAGCAAATGATTAAATGCATGGTCATAGAAACAAGAGCCTTAATAGAGTCATTATATGAGGTAGAGGCAATGATTCAGTTGCCATGCCGTGTATTCTAGCACAATCATTCAGTGTCAACTGAGTTCGCTGCGTGCGGACGAAAATGCGTAGTGAATCTGCGTATAGCGGAATCTTAGGGATAGTGCAGCGTACGGACAATGCAGAAACCCATTTTTAGAATATCACGCGTCTCTTTATCCGTTCAGCCTGCTCCTCTTAATGAGATAGCGCGTTTTGCAATCGCTCCTGTTCTGACTTCCCCGAAAGTTGTTAACTCCTCTTTTAGTGCAAATACTAAACCCTCAAATCAAAAGCCACTGTTCGGAATACATTTACGAGAAACTTGCAATTGCATAATACTACAACCCTAATTAAACATAAGCAATACAAAACTACAAACTAATCCCCTGACCTCCCCGAGATACCCATCCCCTCTTACTTCTCCCACTTAACCGCCCTCTGGCGAGGACTCCTCCTTGTTACCTCAGCTATCGCCGCCACACGGAGCCCATCATTCAGCAGCTCCTGCTGCATAATCTTCTCTACTTCTACCTCCAACTCCGCCTCGACCCGCTTCTCAAACACCTTGACCGCCGGGCTCTGGCCGCGAGCACGCGGGGTCTGCATATATTCGCACAGATGTCGCGTCTCATTGACCCGGTACCGGGTCAACGAACTGCTGTTAGCAAACAGCAGTGAGCCACCCTCCAAGGTTAGCGAGAGACCCTTGCTAGTCTCAGCGTAACTAGACAGGACTGCCATCTGGTTTGGCCGCTGCAAGCCAAAGGGCGATGACAGCTTGGTGGCTGTTGGGTGGTGGGGGTGGAGAGGAGTGAATGCCGGAAGAGAGGGAGGGTATGAGGGCCTATCCTCTTCCGAGGAGCTGGAGAATGACTCGTGGTTGAAGCCATAACTAGCTGCTTCTAAGAGAGTTAAGTTCGGTGGTCGGATTGGGGACTGCTGAGGAGTGAAAGGTTGCTGCTCGAAGATGGATTCAGCATCCGTCATGACCTTGTCTTTGTCTTGTTCTTCATGGTTATCCTGCTGGCCATCCTGGAAGTATTCCTGCTCACCCTGCTCATCCTGCTCATTCTGGTGCTCGCTATGATTATGGTTGGTAAGCTTATAAGTATCTAACCCTGGCTAGTTGCCAGGCAGATCTCCAGTAGGCAGTAAACCACCATCTCGATCACCCTCATCATCATTGTCATCGCCCTCCAGTCTAGGCCCAATATGTTCTTCCTTCCTCGTCTTATCTAGCACTTAAGTATCCTTAAACCACGCCTTCCTCTTTAACTTTTTCATAATCGCCACCCCCTCCTCCTAGCTCAAATGCTAGCCAGTCATCTCCAGCACCTCAACATCCATTTCAGGATTCAACAGCGCTAGATAAAGTATAAGTGCCTAGAGTCTAGGCTCATGGTCTATGGTTCGGGGGACATACCAAATGGCGAGCTCGATCTTAGCTTGATCTTGTTTCTCACAGTAGTAGGAGTGGTAAAAAGTGGCGCCGAGGTCTGCACGGCTTGTGCCAAAGAGGACCTGGATGACCGCGGGGATGTATGGGCTGAGTGAGTGGAAGAGCGTGGCTTGGTAGCAGCGTAGCCATCCGCATGTAACGGAGTAGTTTTGAGGTTGTACGGTGCCCTGTACTGTTTAACCTGCTTGCAAGTACTAACTACACTGAGTAGATAAGGGAGGGCAACTAGCAGTACTCCGTAACGGGTAAATTAGTTAGATTGTGGTGTACTGTACAGAGTATCTAGCCGAATTAAGAAGGGGTAGTAGGAGTAGAAGTAAATTAATATTCTTCTTAAGTCGCATTTCTTACTGTTTAATGTACACGGCTAACTTAGTTAACTTGCTACTTACTACCTTATTACATAGCTAGTTCTTTTGTAGCTTTATAGCCCTAATTATTGTGTGCGAAACGTAGCAGGATAGCAAGAAGGCGCTTTCTTAGAGACAGATTGACTGCCTAAGGCCTAAGAGGCAGCAATGCGTTAAGAGGCTGAGGGCTGGTGGGTAATGTACCAAGAAAGTAATATTATGAGGTGCATAAAGGGGCTAGATTATAGTGTTATGGAGTTTCTTAGCAAACTGCTAACAAAACACGCTGGATTTGCATAATCTGCACTATTTCTGGCTACCCTAAGGCCCCTCTAAGCCCCTCTGTACCCTCTGCGTCCCCTGCGCCCCTCTGAGCCCTCTGAGCCTCCTGCGGCCGCGCAGGCACTTCTATTCTACCTGAAATCTATACAGACTACCGTAAATGTCTAGTAACAAGGCCTCACATACAATTACTGTACTGACAACAACCTCTATACTTACTAACCAGTACTAAATTTGACGTACTGCAGTACTGTACGACCGAGTGTACTGACGGATGGCCGCGCGGCTTGGTAGAAGAGGGTGCTAGTGAGGGCTTTTGCGCGGGCGATGAGAGAGTAAGAGGTGCCGAAGTGGTAGGATTGGCATTCGTAGTTGGAGCTGTCACGCTCTTTATAATAGTGGTAGCGGTGTCGGTAACCGTCTTCGTAGCCCGAGGAAGTATTTTTGTAACTGTCGAATTGACTGGGGAAACGCAGGATGTAGTCGTCGTGGGTGCAGGTATTTTCTGGACCTTGAAACAAAGAAACCCACATGTATCCTTGGGCTTGACCGTACATTGCACATCGAAGGCAGCACGGTCTGGTCGCGTGACCGTGGCCCCCAATAGCTGTAGTCTGCAACTGGCGTGTGGACCATTCCTGTGGCGGCGGCGCCATCAATCCGAGATCGAAAGGAAGTCTCGTTGGCAGCTTTCCAGGACGTAGTATCTCGCGCAATCGTCATACTGCCCTCAACGTCTGTCCATACTGGATCGCTGAGGGTGCGGGTCTCGCGGATGGTATGAGGGTGGGGCCCATATCTCAGAACCCACGCTGGGAACGTCCCGCTTCGCGGCTGGTAGGTAGTCGCTTCAACAGTGCAGCCATGGCCGGCCCGGGCATTGGTGTTCTTAATACAAACAGTAGCTGTAGCTGTGGTGATTCCAGTTGGAACAACCTTGCCCCCAGTTGCCGAAGCATTCGATAAGCTTGCGAAAGCTACCCATAATGAAGCCCGCTGAAGTTACATGTTGAGCGAAAGAGGGCGTTTGGAGACGTGTTTGGTCGAGGGGGCTACGAGTTGTCGAGAATCAAGGATATTAAGAAGATATTGATGCGGTCCAGGACTAAAGTGTTATGGATATATGAGGCCTTCAAAAGTTTTTGTGTGATGTTGACAAAGAGAGTGCAACAACAAAGATCTTGTAAAATTCTCACCATCTCACTGACTTCATGACTATACAATGTTTGCCTTGGCAACGGATCTGTTGTTGGTAGGGGAAAAGATACAAAAAATCAGTTGTGGAGGGCGAATTTAGGCGATGGTTACGGTCTAGTGAACACTGAGAATATCATTGTGAAAGTCCCCGTTTGTTACTAGGGTCGAAAGGGTGCCCAAATGGTGTAGGATTCTACTCAAGGAAAAGTATCTTGCACTACCTACTCATGATGTTCCATCACTAGCATCTCCACTGTCCTCCTCCATTCTCCTCAATTTCTTCATCCTTTCCTCAGCTGCCCTCGCCAATATCTCCCTTCTACTCAGACTCCCAGGTGATACTTCTCCGCCTGCGCTACTAACCGCGGTCTCAGTTCCTATTCTGCTTCCACCCAACACGAACTCCCCTCCGGTCCAGCCCCCATGATCATACACTTCTTCTTCACCAGGTTCATAATACTCTTGATTCCCAACACTTCTTCCCCCGGACTTCCAATCATCTCTATCAACTTCCCTCTCTATCTCCTTGCACAGGTTCCAAAAATTACGATCGTGGGGCCCCCATACATTATGCGCGAGCTCGTGACATAGCGTCTTCCTTATTGTCTTATAGTCCCTGTACCCGTCATAGGCGTCCGTCCTTAACCGTAGCTCAATAACCTCTCCCTGATTCCTATTGAGTCCGAGAGTCCGCGACTCGTGTGTAGTGTGCATCGCGGGGTCCATTTCCGTGAGCAGAGGAACGCTAAACTTATGTGTCCGCATGGCAGCCTTGATTCCTGCATCGTCGCGCAGCCTCTCGAGGAATTTTAGCGACCGCTCTGGGCCTGGGAGATACGGTAACGGCCTTAGAGTATGGAAGGTATACTGCGACTCCTCTTGCACCTTCTTCCAATCTCTATTCCGGGCCGGTGTTGCAGCTTTGACTGGCCCTGGACGTCGAGGCGCTGAGGCAGCGGCTATGCTGGCGTTGAGGGAGGCTATTTCAGCACTCGTATTACCCATAAGTGTTATTTTCTTGTAGACAAGGTCAGAGAGGGGTATGGTAGGGTCTTTAAAGGGCGGTTTCAGAAGACCAGGTTTGGGTGTTATGAGGAATTTCTGGTTCGAAGGGGGAACGTTGAGGTCTGTGGAGACCTTTTCTGAAAAATCGCTGATGGTGGCATCTTTTGGGAAGGACAAAGTTACTTTGTTTCCGTGATGTGTGAAGGGGAGCTGGATCTCGTCGGTCGATGCGATTGCTGATTCTGGGGTCAGGCTGTGGGGTTTGGGGATCTCATCTGTCGATGTCATGGTTGTTATCTTGTCTGGTATGAATGTGAGTGCGCGAGTTAGTGGAAGATCAATGTAACTGAGGTGCACTTTGTTGCTAACATGTAACTTCAATGACTTTCGCTAGGTTTCTATATGCGTCGTCATCGCGAGATTTGTAATCGCGCTAAAATCTCCGATCATGTGATATCTTTGAGAGCAGGACAGAAGACTATCCTATCAATCTGCTACTCGAAATAGTAATAGCACCATAAAAACACAAACGCATATCTTACTCTAGACCCCCCTACTATATCAATTGTTCAGATATATACTGGCAGAAGAGAAAAATCACGCACTCGACAACGCCAGTGTAGAGTACTATGTTGATTCCTATGGAAAATGTTTGCATGCTCTTCACAAGCCCCCATGTATCCAATAACGAGCCCCGAAAAGTAAATACACCTGTAGACAGTCGGTCATAAAGACCACCGACATACACTGCCTCTCAAATAAAATGGGTATCAATGACGTGTTTATCCAAGTACGAGGGACTGTCAACCAATATCAGTTCCCTTTTTCAAAGAGCAATGCCATCCAATACGCCTGATAATGCGAAGAAAAGTACCGTCCCAATGCATACCAAGTATCTTTTTTCCAACTCAAGGGGAGCCGAGAACCGAGGGAGAAGGTAGATATACAGGGATATAAGGAGGCTACTCGGTCTTTTGTTTACCGTCTTCATCTTTCTTCTTCTGCTCCTCTTCCTCAGCTTTCATTTTTGCTTTCTCTTCCGCTTCTTCCTTCTCCTTCTCAACTTGGGCTTGGGTCTTGATCCATTCTTTTTGGGAGGGATCCCATGCGTGACTTGAGAATCTGTTAGCTTACATTCCCAAGATGAACCAGTCGCGTTTTGGCGGGGGAGCTAGGGAAACGGCAGGTACCTACCCTTCATACTCAGTGAGCACCAGCGCCTTCTCATTGTACTCTTCTATTAAAATCTTGTCATATGCATAGGGAATCTTTGCGGGAACGCCCTCGAAGACAGATTCGCGCATAGGATAGAGGTCTGAAGTATGATAGCGGTGGTAATTCTTGCAGCTCCACACCGCCGGATTGGTGTCAGGATGCGTCTCGCTCAGTCCTGTAATGTCGATGAACAACCCATTCCGTATATCGATCCATCGCGCATCGATGACATTCATCCCGTCTCCTCTCTCTCTTTGCCATATCCACGGATTCACATCTAATAGGAAATTACGTTTCGTCTCACCGTCCTCGGAGACATAGTGATGTATCGATTGGTTGAAGTGTTGTCCGAGATAGTGAAGCGTTGCGCCGGAAACCTGGGTATCCAGATCCCAATCCCATGGTAGTCGCTACATACCTGAGTCAGTACCCTGGTGTCTATCCGTTGAAAGGCCCGAAAGAGTCCTACCTTGCCGTTCCACCACCACCCGAGCAACGTTCCGTGTGCTATCCACGTGTCCAAGCCGTTTTCGTTGAAGAATTTGAGATATGCCCGGATCATGTGGAATTGGGTGTCGGTGCGCTCTTCGTAACTGACGATACCGTGGAAGTACCGCTCATCATAGTGGCCGAGCTGGTCGTCACCGCTGGGGATGAGTTAGCTATGGATCGCCATCTCAATAGCGTAATATGGATTTGGGGTAGGTAAATGCAGGCGGAAGGCCTTAATACACCCGGCATCCTCCATATGCGATTGAGATGAGCGAAGTGAGAGACGCGCAGCTTGACGTACCCAGGCTCATGGAAGTACTTATTCTTCGTCGGGTCATCCTTCCTTTCTATGTTCTCTGGGGCTGGCGCAAGTCCTGATCCCCCGTGTACTGGAGAGGCTACCGTGGTAGCGAACAAAGACGCGAAGGCGATTGCGGAGGTATAGCTGCTGGGTCTCATATCCCGTGCGTGAAGAGCGTAAATAAGAACAAAGGTAACAATCCAATACTCAGGGTAAGAGATATCGGAGTAGTTCTTGGCGATTTATGGTAGTAGATGCGGTGCTGAGCTGGAAATGGGCAGGCCAAGAAAATCTTGGAAATGATCTGTCTGGATGGGGTGCGGGATGAGATATTAGGAAGGAGGAATTGTCCGAGGAAGGTGGTCGTGTGCGTTTTCGGGGATCTTGAGATGGGGGTTGAGATCGGTTGGGAAAATGAAGAACTGGAAATGACGTGTATCGCACTTTCTTGAACAACAAAGCATACAAGAATGAATCAATCGTCACGGAACACCGGCGAGCGAAGGAGCGAAGGCGGTCAGGCCTGCCAAACCAAAGTGGGTTCCATGGCTTTAAAGGAAGGATGAGATGGATGGCGCCGCGAAGCCCTCAACCAAGCACCAAGGCCCCCCAAAGCCAGGTTACGGGCCTGAGCTTGGCATGGGCGACGGCGTCACTTACGGTTCCCATTGAAGAAATGGGAAAAGGGTCGCGTGCTGCCAGCCAACACCAGCGGGACTATTCCTGGCCAGGATGGTGCCGTCTGATTCCGAGTACCGAAGTAGTCTGTTCTTGGGAGCAGCCCTGCTAGTAACGCGCGGCCTTGGGACCTCGTCCAAGTGGGAAACGTCGCCAACGGAACCCCACAGCTGCGAGCCACAAAAAATGGGGTGCTTGTGCTCCCCCGTCTCGCCGCCGGTCGTGCTAGACATGATTGATAAGAGTCTCAAGTCGTGGGATTGCTGGAATATCGACTCGCCTGATACGACCTTCCGGCGCCATCATGATAACTTTGATCCGCAATTCAGAAACAGCAAGCGATCGCCCATAAGACGGGTTCCCTACAGGGCATCCGGCGAGGGGAGAAGGAGTCGCCAAGTAGATCTCCAAACGGTGCTCCAACGATTTCTGTCGAGATTGATATCAAATCAGATCCTGATTTCACGCCCCGGACATTTTAACACATGCCCATGCGCATCCGCATTGCTGAGTTCTTTCTCAGACCACAGTCATGATGAGGTTTTCGGATCAGCAACACTCTTCTTGCCCCTTCGACTAAGCCACGAAAGGGAGTGCGAAATTTGTCTCCTGTAGCCACGCGCCTCATCCCCCATCGCCTTGGCTTACGCACCCTTCCCGAAATTAAGAGAAATTCTCCGGCCCCTGCACGAATCAGGTTTAGCCAAACGCGACATCAACGACATGATGCGTCCTCCATTTCCTCCATGTAAACTCCGCACGCTGGAGTGCATATACGGTAGAATATGCGGTAGATGTGGAGTCGGGGGCCTGTCGACGATATTGATTTGGTTGTTCGTGAGGCGAGTCGTGACGTTTGAATTGGGCGTGTGTACGGGATACGAGGACAGGAAAGACTTAGAATTGCCTGAATTCCATGATTGACGAACCTAACGTTTCAAACTGACAGCAAATGACAACACGCCTGATACGTCCACGTAATCTAAATCTACTTCGTCACCCAGTGATTGCACTCATGGACAGCACATTGTCTCATGTTCACACTGTAGAAAACGGTATAAGTGCCGCGACATCTCCTTTCTGATGCTCCAGTGTTCTGACTGCTGCAGGTGAGACTCCGCGTCAGACATCGCGTTCGCTTAGGTGTGCTGTCCAAGAATTGACAAGAAAACATTTGTGCAGACTGCAGCAGGAGCAGTTTCAACTCGACCAAGATCATGACATCGGGTCTCCAATGCTCCGTCCAATTTCCATACGATAATCACTATAGTTGCAAGAATTGATGCACTTTGGCTTGAAAAGGCCGTTCGGGTGGGTCGACGAAGGGTGTTGTACGAATGTACGAACATGCCCACTCCCATTGATGAAGACGGAGCACTTAGTATTACAGTACACCGCGCAAACTTTTGCCTAACCCACAAGGAGATGTTCTATGCCCAAACGCTAAGCCCAGCCCAGAACCTTCATACGCCTGTTGAAAGAAAATGGCGTTGTCTACGAGACATCCATAGCGTCTGTGCCATTCGTGATGGCGAAGGATACATCGCCGGCGTTGCCTATAAGACGTTTCTCGGACTCGGTTACAAACTATTATGTTTAGTGTATTGAAGGGTGGATGGAGGATGAAATTGATTACCTTCACGCTTCTTGTGGGGTCGTAGAAGAGATCGAAGCTTCGCCGTATATCATCGATGTTGACTTCCGATGCATTCTGTCTCTTCTGGCTTAGTAAATATGAGGTGGTGATGAGGTTGCTCGCATATCTCAGGCCAGTCTCCTGACCGATCTTTGTGAGCAACGCTAGAGCATCTGGCGAGATGTCCACCTCTTCCTCCTGAGCTCGTATTGAAATAATCTGCTGCATCTCCTCCTTGGAATATGGGTGCGTGCTCACAATGACAACCCGATCGAGGAAGTCCAGTGGTAAACCGTGTGGTGATCGGTAATCCGTACCTCGGATATGTGCGTTACCTCTGTTGCTTGCCATGATGACAATAGGGGCCAGTTCGTCTTCCAGTGCACGGTTGATGAAGGAAAAGCATTCAATGTCGAGCATGTGGACCTCGTCGATGAACAGTACGCCCGGTACAATCTCTGCTTTGCCCTCCTCCTTCCACTCAGCAACTTTGGTATTAATCTGATCCCGGACCTCACTTCGGATCTCCCCTGTGTCGCCCGAAAATAAAGCCAGGAACCCTTGGGTCCGCGAGTTTATCACATCGATTTCGTGAAGACTCACCGTGTGCACTACCTCGCGCCGTTGTTGAAGCTCCCCTTCCGGACACTGCACAAACTTGGTGTCTACGCCCATGGCATCATAATCTCTCGACCGCGTGTACGATCGCCCCAGCTTCGTAATCTTCCCTGATGCCTTGTCGATAGAGATGATGTCACCCGCCATGATCTTTTCTTTGGTCATGGAGTCAATCATCTTAGTTCCCATGTCGTAGATGGTCTCCATGTCGGTTGTTTTAATCGTAAGCTTGCCTTGTTTGTTGCCCTAATCATCACACTCAGTGCTCGTCCAACGGTGGTTCGGCCTAGAAATGCTTACACCAGTGACGCTACGATCGATCTGAATCTCCACAACCTCTCCCTCGATAACCTCGCTCTCTTCTGTTATCCGGACCCCAATAGATTTTCGGAACGCCTGTGTCAAAGCCTCCGTCTTTGACATCTCGAGCGAGAAGATTTCAGATGATGCGAGCATTGTAAAGGGAACGTCTGGACCCAGCGACTGCGCCATACCCATCGCGATGGCAGTCTTCCCTGTGCTCGGAGGACCTGCAATTAAGACCGCCTGACCTGCGATCTTGCCCTCCTTGGCCATCTGTAGTATCACGGCGGCGGCCTTGCGCGCCTTCTCCTGTCCGACCAGTCCTTGAGACGACGGCTTGGGCTCGAGAGTATCTAATTCGACACCGAGGCCGCGAATGTGTGAATGTGCCGCGATGAGGTTGAGGCCGCGGAGCTCCTTGCTCTCGGCGATGGTGGCTATGGGCTAGGCAGTGTTAGTCCTTTTGTATGAACGAACGATTTCGCGCACCTACGACAGCCATGGCAGTGCGAGACGTGGACTCGAGCGTAGATACTATATTCCAAGGTCGTGAATTGCGATAGATCGCCAGAGAGCAGGCCTCGTCTCTCAACTTTAGGCAAGCTCAAGCTTTGCGACGCTTGGATCAAGTCGCTAAACCCCTTTGTCTCCTTAGCGTGTTGCGGGCGTGTTCCGTGGAGTCTTAAATGGCCTGAGTCGCCTATCACTGCCAAAGCCCCTCTCCTGGAAACAATCTCCCTGGAGTGGTGTAACCCAGTGTTGACTCACCTTGTTTTCCATCTGCTGCCTATATAATTCAAGTCTCTAGGTCAAAGCCTTCATCAACAAACAAATAACCCTTTTACTTGGATTGGTGTTCCTGCGGATTAATTGGAGCCCCACCCAATCAGCGCCCTCGCTCGCCTCAACCCCCATGCTGGCATTCCTTTTGCGAGGGCGATGTCAGCGAACAGGCGACCGAGCTTCCCCAAGCTTTCGAACCGCAAGGCGTCATATGGCGGTAGTAATAATGGGTAAGTTCTCGCTACTACCTCATCAGGCAGCGCATGGCGTGCCAGACGCCGGCCAGAGCTAGCGTTCGCTCTTCTGTCGTGCTACAAACAACCCTCCCTCTTCTTCCTCCTCTCTCCGCCACACTAACGCCACGTTATGCAGTCCACCTGAGAATGCATCTCGCCGGTCTTCCACTGGAAGTACGTCTCGGTTCGACAACATGAATCACAACAAGCGACCTGCGACTCCCGGGCTGAGAGGCAACAGCCCACCCAACCCGAAGCGAAGTCGTGCGCAAGAATCGAATGCTTCTTCTGAAAAGGTGTGTTTCATTCCTCACGCAGGTGTGTCTGCAACCTTTTAACACTTGTGATAGTATGTCTCCTCCAGCAGCCCTACCATCGGCAGCAACCCCCCTTCTAGACACAATTCCATATCGGGCAGTCTCGATGCTCCAACGGGTCCTGGGTTCAAAACAAGAGATGGCAGACGTATTGACGCTTACAGACCGGGCCCAGTGAGGTCCCAAAGCGACACGGCTCCACCGAGGAAGGGCAGCGTGGATAGCAGAAGCCCTCTCGATACAATGTCTCCTATGTCCATGCATGGAGAGCTTGCCTCTGCCAGTGGGCGTTCGTCTCCCGTTCAAGTGGCGCCGACGGCCCCTTCCATGGCTCCCATCTCAGAAGAACCTCCGACCGCCTCATTCTACGCGAATAGCCGAATCCTTCGTCAGTCTCAGGACGCAAATGCGATGGACCTGTCTTCGGTGGCAGCTATGCGGACGCGTAAACGGAGGACTCTCCGGCTCAGTAACGTTAATCAAGACTCAACGAACTCAATTGCAGAAGTGGGTGCGGAAAAGCTCGCAATCGATGCATCTGCACCTGAGTTTTCTGAAGGGAAGGGATCTATTCAACAAAAACTTAAAGAGGCCACTTTTAAGGCTCTCCAAGTCGAAGTTAAGAGAATGAGTGACCAGGGCAAGGAAATTCGAGAGCAGATGAAGGCCATGAAGGTGGAGCAGAAGGCAAGTGAAACTGATCTGAAGCAAGTGCTCAGAGAACAGATTCGCGACGCCGTGCAGGTACAAACCAAAGAGGCTATGCGTAAACAAGTTAAAAGCATGCTTGAGAAAGAAATCAAGAAAGCACAGGCAAGCACTGAGGCTCGCTTCCAAGAACAGAAAAAGGAAACATCCAAGCAGATTTCTGAAATAGGAGACTTATCCAAGGACCCCTCTCTCGAACAGGATGTAAAGACCTTGCTGGACTTCAAAGGTCAAATCGAACGCTTTCAATCGCAAAGTGTTCAAGAAGTGGAGAACCTTACTGCACAAGTTCGGCAGACAGAGAACAAGATTCCCGACATGACCAGTATCGACGACTTTCTACGAGATTGGCAGAAGGAAGACGTGCTTGAGCGTCTGGTTCGTCTCGAACAGTGCATGCAGAGGATTGAATCTAAGCTCACTTCAATGGAGAATTTCAGAGAGTTGGCTGACTCGAAGCTTACTTCCATGGAGGATTTCAGACAGAAGACTGAGTCTAATCTCACATTCTTGGACAAGATACCTATCGTCCAGAGCGAGAATGCTATCATGGAAAATAGGGTTGCTAAACTGGAAGCAAAAGCCGACAAAATGCCTTCAGATCTGAGCGGGAACATAAGGAGCCTTGCTTCTGCACTTATTCAAGAGACAGATTTAAAGCGCTCGAACGAAATAAACTCTATTCTCAACGAATTTAGTCAACGATTAGCTTCTAAAGAGAAAGTCGAGACTAGGGGACCGGCTGACGAAATTTTCCAGTCAGAAATTAAGGATCAGCTCGCCAAAATTACTCAACGACAAGACATGATCGAAAGGAGCGTTGATGAGAAATCTCAAGAGGCAGTCGAAACAGCTCGTCAGATCGCGAATGACACTAGGAAAAAGACAATAAGCAAGACTGTCGAGCTTCTAGAATTTGACCAACAAACTCGAAACGAGAAAATCGAAACAGTCCAGCGAGGCCTTGCCGCCATTGAAACACGGCTGTCTACTGCTAGAGGGTATACCGATGGCACCAGTGCGGATCTGTCTCGAAGCCCCGTAGCTGTCAGCATGCTGCCTACAAAAGAAGAGGTTTCAGCGCTAAAAAGCGATGTTCTTACTCTTAATGGAGCCTTAGGGGCAGTCGAGGAAGAACTACACCAAAACGTTATTGTTACCCAAGCATTGAAAACACAAACTCGCGATACGGTCAGGGAATTCCTCAATGACCAATTCAACGGGTTCAAGAATGGTACCAATCAGAACATTCAGTCGGTCAAAGACAAGTTAGCTGTACACGACAAGGAAATCTTGCAGCTTAAGCAATCTGGCCCCACGCGCAGTGGTTCTCGTATCAACTCTCCCCAACCTTCTCTCCATGCTTTGGAACAACAGGTCAATCTGATTTCCACCAGTGTCCAAGCGCAAAATGCCAGTTTGAAAACCATTGATCAAGCACTGCGCGATAGAGAACAGGGAGAGGAGACGCTCAGAAGGCAGATTGCTATAGCGCAGAGGGCATATCAGAGTCTCGAGCTACGCTACGAGAACATTAATACAGATCATCTAAGTCAGCAAATGGTTCATACCATGCAGCAAATGTACCCCGACGCACCTGGATTCTTGCAGAAATTAGGAACTATTCAGAACGACATCAAACTCCTGCGAGAGCACGAAGTGCTGCCGTGGATACAGAAAATTCAATCTCTTCAGAAGTTCGAACATATTTGGGCAACGATCATCGAAACTATTGCCAGGGCTGAACGTGCAGAGAACAAAGTGGATGACCAGATCACTAGGGTTGAAAGTCTGGACAATAGAGTCTCGAGTCTCTCCAACACTTGCAATGACCTGGTTACGGTTGGCCATGGCCATGGCGACTTTACAGAGCTAAATGACAAGGTTGACATGCTTCAAGATGAATGGAACCGCAAATACACAGGTCTGCAGAGCGTGCAGGCTAGTCTTCAAGGCAGTCTAGACATGGAGCGCAAGGAGCGCATCGCAGGTGACGAAAACGTCCGGAAGACAAAGTCAAGAGAGCGCGAGAAGCTAGACAAGTTTGAGAAGCAGATCGGACATGTCGAACGACAGGTCGAATCATCCAACAAAAAGGCTAGATCGGTCGCAGAGGCAGTCCGCAAAGTTGACGAGCTCGTCGAGTTGAAGCCCAAAGTCTTTGAAATAGTTGCTAGGGTGCCGTTCATGATGGGAGCATTAGCGAAGCAAAACCTCGCGCTAAATCAAGTTAACCAGAATCTACCTCACCCAGTCCAAGGACTCGATCTTGATCCGGACAATCGCGATCCAGCTCCCTCGAAGGCAACTGCAGACGACAACCGTGGTTCGGGTATGGACATATCAGACTGAAGTCTGAGACCTATTCAAAATATCCCCTTCCAAGGTGACGATAGCGCCGGAACACAACCTCTAAGATTTCGCCAATACCTTCCATCGTTTCAAAAGCCTCGATTCCATGGTATCCTGCACCGAATCTTGACCGCGCCTTGGCACCCAATGAGGTTGGTCGTTTCTGCTGCCTTACTAAGCACGCGCGTCGTAAAAATCCCCGCACACCAAAAATGCCGCACCAAACTGTCCACCACCAAAATCCTCATATAATCGTGATTTTTGAAGCATTTTTTGCGTGCAATTGGTATAGGTGTTCAATAGAGGCCAGTACCTAATTAGGCAATAGTGAGGCTCTGTTTTGGTGTTGCAGGAGCCCAGTTGACATGTCGTCGTCTATGTGCAGAGCAATTCACCCTACATAACTTTATGTACAGAAAACAATCAATACCCAGTTAATTGCCCATCGTTTTCAATAACATCTTTGAGCCTTTGAGGCATAGAGTCAACTCTCTTATTTATAAACTCTTGAGAGACCTTATCCCAGCCCTTAAGCGCAAGCTCTCTAGTGTCATCCTCATCCTAATGAGGAAACTTTTTGACGTACTGTTTTGGAGGCTGCCAGCAGTTTTCAATAGGGGCCAGATCAGGAGAGGAGTGGCAGTTGAAGTAGTACTCCAATCTGTGCTTTTTCTTCCAGGTTCGTACTATATTTGACTTGCCAGGCCTATGCCCACTGTCGCTGTCTTCTTTAAGGATAAAACGAGGACCTTTCAACCAGGGTTGAACAATAGGCTTAAGGATTTGATTAATATAATCGCGCTGGGTCATCTTTCTATTGGTATTGCTTTTAATGTCGTAAAACGTAAGGTTCGACTTGAAGTTATAGCTAACTGCTCCCTAGGCATGGATTTTGTTCATCTCCTTCTCTTCCTCTATATTCTGGTGCAGGGATGATCCAAAGTGCGGATGAACACTAACGGCCATGTTTGTCGTATCTGACTAAGAGCATAGATAATTCTGCATGCGTGAGAGGTGTAGAAGCCGATGTTCTGGCTGCTGACGTGCAGCAAGGGCAAGAGCTAGTGCCTAAGATCTCTGTGGATGTGGAGACCGAAAGGCAAGATCACAGCGTCTTACGCGCTCCGCCCACCGTCGGCGATGATCGAGCACTGGTCTCGAGCCGCCTATTTCAAGATGCTGTGCTGGTGCGCGCTGAAGAGGAATCGGAATATGATTGGCCTCCTGCTGTAGATCCGGATGATAACCGGTGGACGGTCGAGAAACTGATCGAAAAGCGGCGGATAGGGAGGGCAGTCAAGTACCTCGTGAAGTGGCTGGGATATCCGGACAGCGCAAACAGCTGGGAGAAAAAGAAGGATATCGATCCTGACATCGTCGCGGCCTTTGAAGCTGAACTCCTGCTGGCCCAGGATCAGGTTTAGACGCTTATCGAATTTATCGAATTTTCCATATTTGTGAGTTGGAAGATGAATCGACTGGCTAATGGTGGTTGGATTAGAAGACGGCGTGGAACAAGAATCATGATAATATGAAGCGATTATTTCGTGCCCGCTACCTAGCAGGCAGATGCCGATCAACCTTCTCGTTGACTCATTTGCAAAACGAAGCGCGCTACTGAAGAACATATGATGGCCTCGGATAGCGAACCTCCGCAGCAGTCCAAACTGGTGGACTTGCTTAGTCTGTCGGGGTACTATGCAATCTTTGACCTGGTCTCCTCATACTTGGGCATGGCCGACTTTTTGGAGCTGTGCCAAGTGTGCAAAGTAGTCTACCAACTCAAGGAGTACTTACGAAGAACACGTATGAACATTAGTATTCTGCTACGCGACTTCGTAACCGACCCTGATATATTCCGATCTCAGCTTGGGAAGCACGACGCCTTGATCTTAGGGGTTTTCGCACTCAATTTCTTCGAGTTGGGCCGTTGGAAGGTACCAAATCTAGATGTTTTCATAAAAGCTGGGGTCCAAGCGGATGGGTTTACAAACTAACATCCCTCCCTGGGTCGCCGGACACACTCCCTGACAGGACAAACCATAGGTAACCTCTCCCCCTGCGTACCGAAAAACCCTGTGTGCCGGAAGAAGCTTGAGGTACTTTGGCTTTTAAGCAACACAAAGCCTGCACGCAGACCTTCATTCGTAATGCACTACAGTCATTGCAGTTTATAGTAGATGATAAAACCCTTTAATACCTTGGATCTGAAAATTACGCAAAACTAGCTGTTATATCGCATAATGCGCGCTCAACTTCGCTTGACGCCGCAACTTCGCTTGACGCCGCAACAGAACAACCCCAACATCCCAATGTCACCTCGATTTGCAGCTATGTAAAACGAGCACAGTAATCACCCAGGGCTTGCGGTGCTTCATATACTATTTCTACATGTTCTTCTACAACGTTCGTGATGCTGGAGGCAAATCCGCCACGGAGGTTGTTACATGCGGCAAGCCGCAGCGACAAAAGCGGACATGGCGGTATTCTTCGGATCTTTTTTACCCCGTGCCCCTGCTACCTAGCCACAATGAGGACTAACTGGCCTTAGTGCTACAGTAGCGATGAAGCGAGGCGCAGTCACGGTCTTTTGAGCGCTTAAGCACTCGGAACGACTGGCGGGGCGCCGGGGTCCGGCTTGCCTATTTGCCCTCATAGCCGCTGGGGGATGAGGCTGATGGCCTTCGCGATCCTCCCTTCTCGACTTCGCGACGCACGCGCACTGCAGAACATTACAGATCCAGTCCCCGAGAGCCCGCGCAGCGCTCTGATTTTCCAAACAAGGTGACGCGCTTTCCAGCCTGCAGCGCGCATGGCGAACGTGCATCGCCACGGCTTCACGAGGCTGTCTGGCGGGGATGGGAACGACGACCAGTGTAGCCTAAAGTAAGACCGCCTTCCTATGCATCGTAGGACGTCTGTTGACGTCCGTAGTATATTGTTCATACACGGCTTCGAGGACATCCTCGAGGAGTGGCGGCGCGACAGAAAAGCCCAAGGGCTTCAGGTCCTTGTTCAAGCGACGAACAGCTGGGTCTCCATCAACGAGCACAGAACAAGCGCAAGCCTCCTCCACCATCTCCTCCTCGTCGTCACTGCCACCGTCCAACGTCTTCTGGCCAGAGGAGTACCTCGCGTCGGATGTACCTCAGGTCCGGGTGTGGACGTACAGATACGACGCAGATGTTATTGGGGGCCTCTTCCAGGCGAACAACAAGAACAGCATCTCCCAGCATGGCCAGGATCTGTCAGTCAGGCTCGAGGGGGAGATTCAGAATGGAGTAGAATGCCAGCCTGTTCGCTGAGAGGTTTCTAACAGCGTTGCAGAAACCAATCGCATTCGTGGTGCACAGTCTGGGTGGCATCATCGTTAAAGATGTAATGGCCTAGTGGTCCGTGGTACAACGACAAGTCCGCTTACTTTCTGCTACAGGCCGTTCGTCGATCAGAGATAGTCCGCGATCAGACAAAGCTCATCATCTTCCTCGGGACGCCGCATCGAGGCAGCGCGTATGCAGGCTGGGGCCAGATCGCTTCGAACCTTGCCCGCTTGGCCCTGCAAGGCTCGAACAAGAAGCTTCTCGAGACGTTAGAGGTGAACAACGAAGTTCTGGACAATATTCACGAGGAATTCAAGACGATTGCGTTCAAGGGAGCTTTTAAGATTCATTCCTTTCAGGAGGCTCGGGGCATCGCTGGTATAAAAGGACTAGATGAAAAGGTGTGTATTCTATATGGCTATATATTGTGCACCGCAAAACAGGTTACAGGACGCTAAACACCTCTAGGTGGTGGACGACTTCTCGTCGAAGCTCGACCTCCCACGAGCGCTGGAGACTGTTGAGAGCATTAATGCAAATCACATGCAGATGGCTAGAACCAGATCCTTGGCCGCCGTTGCTGACTTCGTCCCATCCTCAACGTCGTAACCTCTTTCTCCTACAGGCGGTGGTAAGTTGAAATGAAGTCTCTATCTCTTCCCTTCGTTCTATGACGACCTAGCGACGATCAGTTCCTTCTATTCCGCCTCGCCCTCTGACGCCCTCTCTCCCTTGTCTAACTCTCGGCGTTTCGTCACCACCTTTGGTGGGCAAGCTCGCACATCGCCCGTACCTCGGCGTCCATGCTGCTCACCTCCCCCAGCTCCCCCTCACCTCTTCGCCTCGGGCACTTCCTCCGCATTCGCCTACAGCCAACCGCTCAGAGTCCTCACCGACCAACGGAAGACGGAATCACTTGTGTAGGTTGAGGCTGCGCTTGCAATGGCTGAGTTGTTGATACTTCATTTATTTGAGGTGTAGGGTTTTGCTTCTCTGTCGATGGTTGTGTGTTGATAGGAGTGTACGGTCGGGTTGGGGAAGTGGATGTTGCGGAAGGCGCTTTTTGGGCGGGAGGCATGGCTTGGCGAGGAGGGTTACTCGAGATCTGTCGGACGTCTTGAAGAATATCTGCCCACAGACAGTCTTCCTCGTGGTGTCCAAGCAGCTCTTCGTCGTTGAAAGATTCCTTTGAGTCCCATGGACGGGTCGTCTCTTCTGGCGAGAGTCAGCCGATGCCAATGTATCCTCCACCTCCCTTGCGTCCCTCACCTTCCATGTCTCCTTTGTGCGACGCGGGTGCTTATGGGCTGGGGCGTCTGTAGACGGACAAGTGGGCTCGCTGGACGCACCGGATTGTTTTAGCGTTCGCAGATTCCACCGGGGAGTATCGGCGTTAAAGGGAGCATTCAGGCGAAGCATTTTCGAAGGCGTTCTGCGGCTCAGTTCCAAGGTTCGCAGGGTAAGAAGGTGTTTACCGCTGGGTAGGAGAAGGTGTCAATTGCGTGCTTAGGCCGCGAGGCCTCTGGTGTTTCCTCCAGAGATTGTTGCCGCCAAACACCGAGACTCTCCCTGTGGGTCGGCCGGTTCGCAGTCTTCCATCGTCACTTCCAAATTGGGATCTCAGCTCCAGACTTCAGATTGTGACCAGAAAGTGGGGCGTACCCACCATTTGCTGTCACCGTACGACTCCGCCACTTCTATCTGAAGCTGGTTCTGCTCCTTCTGCAGCTCTCCCAGTGTGGCCTCAGCAGTAGCTACCACAGTTACTACAGCCTCAGTAAGTATTGCGATACTTTCTTTTCGCTTCCGGTGACTGCAACACCTGTTTTCTGTCCTTCGCAAACGCTCCGGCCATTTGCGACTCTTCTTCCTCTCGAAACTCACTTCGTACTTTGCGACAGCTGTCTATTGCTGTTCGAGTCGCTTTCCTTGAGTTCCGGGCTGTTCTCAGGCTAACTTCTGTCACAGATCGGTCCTATACTGCTTGCGGAGTCCTCAAATTCAACTTCTCTCACAACTATTCGGCCCCTGTCGACTCCTACGGTTGTTACCGGCGTGCGCGCGTACTTCAGTAACCTACTGTATACCAGCCTTTGCGCACCACGCTTGTGACAGGATCTCGCCTACAATGGCTTCATCGTCTGCCGCTCTGCCGCCACTCGGCTGGGCCCACAGCACTGCCCTCCATCAACTTACCTGGGTTGTGTCTATCGACGACTGGGAGAACTAGCCCGAGCTAGCCGCGCCTGATTACGTGGACCCGTACCCGGCGAACGGCGTCCTGCTAATGGCCGACTGCTGGAACACGACTGCTTCTGGCTTCATGGAAGTCCGCACGAGCCTCCGCATCATCGTGGGCAAAGACAACTCCAACCAGGCTAGTAACCAGCAACCATGTAAGTGGGTTGGCATCTACACCATCACCACTACAACCGTCGCACCCGTCTACGTAGCGATGTCGCAAGTAGGCTACCAAGTTCCAGCAATTGTCACTCAGCCGGTGACCCATGCAAAGGCAGAGATGCCCTGGACCACCTCCGTGCAACAGCATTGGCCAGCGATCAGAAACTTTGACTTCGTCCGACCTTCGCGAGAGCATGCCCTCATACCTGCACAACATCGCTGCTTCAACGGTGTCCGCACTCGTCGCGACCACCCCGACCTACAGACCGCCGCCATCAGCTACATTGCTTGGACCCCGGACGAGGATGGCACCGACGACGCGCTCGAGAACCACCCCCAAAGCCAAGGCCTCGATGACGAGAGCTACCGGACCTGGCTCTGCAACATCGTGCCTACGCTTGAGCAACTCTGAAGTCTTTTATGGTATCAGCCATCATGACTGAAGTAGAAGGGGTTCTCTACTCCTTATAGATAGGCCCACATGCTTACATGCACCGTGGTCAATCTCTGCTGCTCTACTTTAGTCTTTGCCTAAAGTCTACCACCTACGCCGGATAGCCTAATATAAGTACTATCCACATATTGCATTGCGTCTTCTTTATAACTGTAACTGTGACATCCTTATATATCTGTCATCTTCAGGAATGGACCACTTGTCGAGTGGGCTGCCAGTGTGGGCTCTCTTGTTCAAGGCAGTTCCCCGGATGCGATTGCGTTGACGGCTGCGGACCAGGATGCCAATGCCTGCGTTACCAACACGAATGTGTCTCGGAGTTATGCTGTTGCAACAAGTGCAACAATGGGTACAAAGAAAGCGATACAGCCAAGTGCAGTATACGTCCTTCTAATATACCAAACGCCGGCAAAGGCTGTTTGCCAGCAGCCACATTAAGAGCGGAGGGTTCATTGGAGAATACATTGGACAGCGTGGTCGATAATAATATTTCGATAATATCGACCCAATTTGTCGATATCGATAAATATCGATACAGAGGTCTCGATAATCGATATTATCGATATTTCTTGGCATGCTTATGTAATATACAAATTTCTCGCTATGTTGTAGCTGCATCCCGACTTACTTGATATTAGCAGCAGAGTTCCCTTCTGTTCCTCTACGTCTAGTGTTGGATTTTAGTCTCAATATGCGGCACTTTGATGCCTGAGGCATGAATCACGTGGTCAATTACGCGAGAGAGTGCTCCATCTGTGCTTAACCACTCTTCTACGTCAATACATTCGCTATATATACAGTCAATACGCTTTGTAACTTGCCCCAACTGCTGTTTCTAACATATATCAGAGTTGCTCTTAGCAGTTAGTACTCAATACTGCAATCCTACTTATCACGTGATGCTTATATAATATCACCAACTCTGATATATACAACTTTAAAAGCATCGATATCGACTCAATACAGCCTCCTCAGCCAGATATATTTGCAGGAGGGCTGAAGAGTGACCAAAAAATATCGATCGATATCGATCGATAATTGAGGCTGATTTGTCGATATCGATATCGATATCGATATGGATTATTATCGACCACCCTGACATTGGAACTCTCCACCACGATGCTGAAGTGGAACCTTTTTGCCGCTGGAACCTGAACAGTACCTTGTGGGTCTCTGGGCTTTCGATATTTGTATGCAACTGCGATGGCGGCGACCGGACTACGTGCTAGGAGATGGGTGGTGCAACAACCTTTGACCATCCTCGACTACCGATGGGTGTGGATACGCCTCATGTGGTCAAAGATGAGTGTCAAATTCGCTGGAGATCGCCAGATTTTAAGTACGGTGAAGTGGAGTTTGCGCGGCTTACGGTCTATGGGTTTTTGCGTCTGTCAATTTTATCGGATTGCACCATGGTATACATGATGTCATTCCCCTCCCCTTAAAGGCACATTGGGATTGTTACGAAGAGAGGGCTCCAGAAGTATGATGCTTAGAAATTAACACAGGTACCTCGGGAAAGGGGAAGGCTTCATTTGGCATACTCTTGGCTAAATGGGTCGGTAGCATCTATAAACGGCCGGGTTACTTTGAATTCTACCACGACGAACTTCCACCAGAACCAATCAAGGCAGGGCTAGGCAGACCAGACTTACCGCTGAACTCAAATTGGTTCTATAACGGTAGATATGAAAAGATTTATATTGAGTAGATGGTCGACACAGATAAAAAGTTTTAATAACTATTGTGTTTGTATCACTAGCGAAATAGGTGACGGCAATGCATCGTAAAAATACATTGTAGCATTCAATTTTTTAATTTTGAATGAGAAGGTATGTCTTTCTCAAGTATTGAAGATAGGACCTTACGGCAAATTCCACTGCAATGGTAGATCCCTCTTCTTGCGCTATCTCTGAATATTGTACTACTGCCTCGAAATACAGTTCCACCAGTTCTCCGTAGTCATTATCTGATAGCTGCGTTGCCTCTGCCGCATGTTGTGACTTATCCTTAATATTATTGGGTATTAGGTCTGGAGATGTTGAGATGACTCTTCTACAAGTCGGATGAGGCCATGGAATTGATAAAGAGCGGACGAATATCTGCTTTGGAAAGTAAGGCTGTTGCTGGTGGGGAAATTCGAGCTATTCGAAGAGTACAAGAAAGGTAGACAGTACGGGAGAAGCGCGAGAGCATCTTGATGATACCACAGGCAGCGTCGTAAATGAGTCAATAGCTGGACGCCTTTGACAAAAGGCGGGGTAGCGGAGCGGACTTACACTCAGCACGCTAGCCCAATAAGGCTAATGTACACGTGATTGCACTGCTAAGAGAGGGTATACCCCTCGGACAAGAGATCAACCTAACGTTAGATACCGTATTAAAGAGTGCCGTTTTTTCGGTATGCCTGTCCGAGTTAGCTTATCAAGCATGATGATTCGTCCACGTGATGTTAAATCGCTGAAGCTCGGCGCTCACTGCTGCCTACCCTACCCTTTTATCTACTTTGCTAGCTAGCACAATTGTGGCTCTCGGACTTCCCGATCTGTGCACGCCTTGTCTCTATATATTCCACTGATATATTTCGTTAGAGCTAGCTGATCGTGCTCTCCTCATGCGTCTTTTGCAGCTTGAAGATACCGACAAATTCAGCCTCGTCGAGTTTATAGGTGACGATGTTCCGCGATATGCCATTCTTTCGCATACTTGGGGGGCGGATAACGAGGAGGTTACCCTCAAAGACATAGCGAAGAGTACAGGCAAGGGCAAAGCTGGTTATGCTAAGATCCGATTTTGCGCGAAGCAAGCTGCCAAGGACAATCTCCGATACTTCTGGGTGGACACTTGCTGCACTATACAGACTCACCACCGACGACAATGCCCTACGAAAACGGTGACATATGCCGCCGAAAATGGCGGCAGAATGTATATAGTTTTTCAATACGAAAACGTATTAATAATTCCATACCCACTACCTTTTCATCTCTAAAGGACCTCAATCCTGCTCCTCACGATCATCCTCTCCAGGCACAACGGCCGGCGGTAGAACCAACATTAAGTACAAAGCCAGCCTCGACAAGTCTTGTCAGACAATCGATCTCACGCTCTGCGCCGTTCCAAACGGCTCCTCGATTGTAAGAGCAATTGCTCGTTATCGCGACTCGAATTGGTCACTCAATCCGATATCCCTGGGTCACAAGTTCCTCGGTGAACAAGGCAAACCGGATTCATGGGTGCTGCTAGGGTATCGGTATGACGATGGTGCCCTAGGCTTATGCAATCACAAAAGTCTGAATGCGGAATGGATGAACAGTTCCCACAGTGGCGCTGCTGGTCATGGAACGGACTGCTCAGACGACGACTAGGACGAACAGGGCAAGAATGGAGAGGAAAGCACAGAAGAATACAGCCGACGAACGCACAAGCCGTGGCTAGAGTCGGACGAAGTGCTTTAACTCTCGTTAAAGGATAAACAGGATATGGAGTGGACGGAGATTTGTAAACGCTTCTCAGGTTGGTCACCTGGCACAGTAAAAGTGCGTTACTACATGTTGCACAAGAAGGACTGGTAACGATATTGAGCAACAGCTCGAGTAGGGGTTTGGTAAGACGGCTGGAAACAATTCGCGCAAGCCTTAGAGAACTCCCAAAGGAATTTGTCGCCCTTCATACACACTACAAGTGGTTGATTCGCAACTTGGATACAACAATGAAAGTCACTTCACGCAGAAGAAAAGATGCTAAATAACGCGTGATGGAAACCATATCAACCACAGTGCAGTGCGGTGAACTAGTATTATTTTATTCTTTGAAATTGCCTTTGAAATAATGTACAGATACAGATACAAATACAAAGCATGCCAAA